GACGAGGAGGGGGGGGGGGGGGGGGGGGGGGTTCAGTGGTTCCAGCGAGCAAAATCCTTGGAAAGTCAAGCTTGCGATAACTAACCAGGCCTTGACAGCGGCCGTGGCTTTGTTACGTAGGGAGGGCCTGTGACGTCGCCGACCGGGACGAGAGGATAATCAGTCAACTGAAGTGAGGAGAGGAAAAATGCAGGGGGCTGGGGGGGGGCAAGAGGGACGAATGCCGTCTTTGGGGTTACGCGCGCGATGCGATGGGCCAGGGCAGGGCGCATGGTTCGCGGCAAGGGTGCGGCGCGCAGCGACGATCGCAGCACCTGATTCTCGCTCAGTCACAATTGCATGATAAGAGAGAAAGTCGAGAGGCTATCACAGTTCATCACAGTTCAGTTGAGATGTTGACCAGTAGAGACCATGACAGTAGGTTGGAAGTCTTTGTGTGTGAATTATGTAAATGGTAGATCCCGAGTTATTCCAATATCGCCCTCCCCAAGAGCCCGTGCAAGGCTCATAAGAACAACAATAATAGATCATCCGGATCCAACAATAAGAATTTAGACATTAAAAATCCCGCCGGTTCGCCGAGAAAACAAAGAATCCCAACCGTCCGGCCCGGGGCGAATTTCCCACTCCCCCGAAGAGTTCCTCTATGGTATTTTCCAATAACGCCGAAGCATCATGTAGAATGCTCCCATAGTCCAAAGGAGGGTCAAAAAAAGAAGGGTATATGTACTAATAGTTTGTGTGTGAACCTGTCCAAGCCGTCTAGAATCATGTACCCCGTCGTAATAAGACTATCCATCAGACCGTCATTAACCAGGGAGGCCAACGCCGGTTCCCGAGGAGGACTGGCCTCGCCACGACAACACACGAAGTCGTGACGAGCAGCTCTCCGCAGCGCTCGGAAGCGCACGCGGTCGCTGTTCAGCCCTTCAGGAAGGCGCAGCCGCCGCGGACATTGTCGACTCTAAAAAGAATCCATTTACAGGACAAGAGCGGCAATACCAGCGACCAGGCCGAGGCCGGAGCCGACCTTGGCGGCGGCAGCGGTGACGGTAGGAGGCTTGGTGGGGTTGACGGGGGTGTTGCCGGCAGGGGTGGTGGTAGGAACAACGGGAACAGTGCTGTTCTTGAAGCCGGTGGTGTGGACCTTGGTGATGGTGCAAGGGCAGTCTGGAGCGGCGAGTTAGTATATCTTGGTTCTTCTGTCTCTGATATCAAGGTAGGGCTGGAACATACTGGTGATGGTCAGGGTGGTGGGCTTGGTGACGGTGTAGGTGACGTTGCCCTGGGTGATCTTGGTAGGCTCGGGGCAGTAGGTGGTGTAGGCGGTCACAACCTGGGTGGTGGTGAAGGTGCCGTTGGAGGCGGCGTTGGCAGCGGCAACGAGGCCAGCGGCGGCGAGAACCTGGAACTTCATTTTGGTTGTTTGGGTTGTTTGAACGAATGCTCTACTGGGTAGATAGTGGATGCGATAAAGCAGCAAAGGCAAGTATGCACAGCGAGGGTGATGGTATGGATCGTATGTGAGGAGGGAAGGAGAGAAAGGTATCTCGCCACGGAGGGGATGGGTCAGCACATCTTTATACCAAGAAGGTGGGAAGAGGATCTCCAGCAGAACCCAGAGGCGAGCAAGGCTCCCACGGGCAGAGAGAGAGAGAGCGGGCGGCGGCGCAGAGCGCGATGGGCTGACTCGACGGAGACAAGGTTCCCCCATCCACATCCACATCGCACATCCACACCCATCGAGGCCGTCCCCATCTGGCACGATGCAGGCAACGGGACCTGATCTACACGACGGGCGTTGCTACGCAAAGAGGCCGGAGTTGGGCGGGACTAGGCCCGTCTAAGCAACTTCACTAAGACAGAACCGACAGAAATTGCCCAAGAATAGCGACGATGGCGGTGCCACTGGCGGCGGCGTACCCACAAGCCATTGCGCTTCTCGTCCTAGCTCCAGGCTGGGCTTGCCCACATCGATCCCCACCCTTCGCTTGGCCTGACCAGGCGTTGCCAGGATGATGATTTGAGCCCATTAGGGGCCAGATGATTGGTGGTGTCGGCGTGGCAGGCAGCTCTTGGAAAGCTCGTACGGAGTAAAGGTCGGCACAAACAAGCTCTGATGGTTCTGATGGTTCTGAGCATGGTTGCGGTTTGTCCGTGCGGACCGCAGCTCGTGAGCAAAGAAGCAGGTGGTGTTGTTGGTGGTCGCGGGGAGGTTGGTGGTGGTGTTGCCTTGCCTTATCGCAGCAGACGATTTAGAGTGCCATCCACACCACAGGACACCAGGAGTGGCCTGCTACTCTGGACGTCCTGCAGATACGTGAAAGCTTCTGTGCTATCAGCATGCAATTGCTGAGTCTTACGTCGCATCCATCTGACAAGCGCATACTCCCTACGGCTGGGGGGACGTCTGTGCTGGCGGTCTCCACCGTGATTTGCCAGAGGTGATAGCTCCAAGTGGTTTGATTGCCTGTTGCTCTCGGGAGATCAGCCACTGCCTTTCTCAGAGGAGCCAGCAGGGCCATGCAGGCCTACCAACGAGGCAACCCGCGGGGGAGGGAGGTCGCAATGCAGCTGTCACCGGCGCAGAGACGGGCAAAAAGACACCAATGGCAAAAAGTCAAACAGGGAAAATACGAGCTATCGATGCGGGCTAAGGGCAAAAAAGATTTTTCACGGACAAGTCAGAAGCGGCCTGATAAGCTCGCCTCGAGGGCTTTGGACAGAGTGGATATGCGCTCACTGTGATTCGCTAGCTTCCTGTGTGTTGGAGCGTTCTTGTCTGTCCTTGTCTTCCATCAGCTTCCTTTTGGGAAAGTGGGACAGCAGAAATAAATGGAGCCATTCATCATGGCTCTTGCCTCTGGTCTACCATGGGAAATTCAGAAATAAGACGGCGTTCTCTTGGCGGGCTGAGAGTTCTTGGTTCATCACCGAGCGGAGGAGGTGATAGCCTGTATCAGGCCTCGCCCGCAGCACGCAAGGGCGCCATGAAACTGCGCCAGCAAGAGGGCTGAACGCCGGCGCTTCAGAAGGCAATCTCCTTCAGGCAAGCCTTTTCAATAGTTGCCCGGTGCAATTTCCCATACAGAATCCGTCGCCATTGAGGAGCTGCTTCGAGGCGCCTCTTTGGGCGCTTGTGCGACCGACAGAAAGCAATTTCACAATAAAACCATCGTCGCGCCTCATTGACCAGGGTGCGACGTTCTGGACTCAGTATTTCCAATGTTTACACTCTGTCGCCTTGCCCGATTTTCTAGAGCCCACGTTTTTCTTTTTCCCACCGCTGACACGTCGGTCATTGCGACAGCTGAGATGCTGATGGCTGTGTGATCCAACTTTCTGACTCTGACTCCCGGGTGGCCTCCGACGGCTGATCCGATCGGTGAGTGAGCAAAGGCTTCAAATAGCATATCAAAACCCACCCAACTACCCTGGCTGTGCCTCAGATTCACGGACAGGTAAGCAGGCATGCCTTCTCAGCCAAGAGTCCCATGTCGTCTTCTTCCTAGATCTCCTCGCAAGAGCCTTGATTGGGATTCTCTGGTTGCAAAGACTGACGTCAGGCATGGCTCTTGGTCGGCCCTGAGAAGCTCTTGGCGCGGCTGTCGGGCTTTGCAAGAGTCATCGGCATGTCTATTGTCTGATCAATCGAGCGGCGAACTTGGGTGGAATCACGATAGGGACATCAGTTGATCCAATCGACCTCTGGCCCTTGCATCCGGATCAACTGGGATCTTGCAGCAGCGCAGGGGTCTCAGTGCTCGTGTGCACGGTTGCGGTACCGTTTTCCAGGAACGGATTCCAGGGCGACGGCGAACCTAACCTGGTTTATCCGTCCACTCGCGGCGTCTTAGATTCGGCCCACGCCATTGGTCGGCCTGGACGACGGCGCCAAAACACCAAGTGACGGCGCGCGAAGATTTTTTTCTTGCTCGCCCACTCCCTGACTTGACAGCTTCCAGAGGCTTCCGGGCCCCGTCCAATGTCTTGAGGCAGAGCGGCGACTTATCTTAGCTTTTTTCAGGGTCTGACACAGATCCAACTCCCAGCATTCCGGCTGCACCGGATCATGCTGACCCGACCTGCGTGTCAACATTATCGGCATGACATCGTTGCCTGCCGTCTGAAATTCCGACATCCCAATGATTTCGGGTGTTTTCCCCCCATACAATCGAATTGCAAGTACAGTATGCGCCTCACTGCGCTTTGGCCATCTAGCACATTCTGCTAGGGCCTTTAGCTGCCTTTGGCAGGCAGAGATGGTGCCTGACTTTAGGGCGATGGCAGTGGTCTTCTCGGGTACCTGACCTGGGCATGGATTCTGCGATAGCATCACTGATGAGGTGTTTTTCGGGCGCCTCAACTTTTCGGCTATTCCTGCCTAGGAAAACCTCCGTCCGTCGGACTTCAGATGTTGCCTTCTCGGCACAATTTGCTTGACAGAGTCAGGCAGACCCGCTCCAGGACCGATTACGGCTCTGCTCCTTGTCGTCATCCCTGAGGCAGATACCACTGCCTACTCTGCTCGCAAACTAGTTGTTTGTGTCCAATGACGTCGATGCATCCTCCATGCGTCCGTCTCTCATCACCACCTGCCACCCATCTCGATTTCCTCCAAGTCCCCCCCTCAGTGCCTGAGGCTACAGCTGCTAGAGCGGCGTCGATGGAAAGCAGTATTGTTTGCCTGGTTCAGTATATGCATGATGTACCGTCTGTATTCGTTGGATCATCAGGAAGTACCTGTCAACGGTCGACATGAGCAGTTGTGTGCAGCGTTTGGCAGGCGGCTCGGCCAACACTGGAGCAGGATGGATCAGGTTGGATCTCAACAGGCTTGAAAGTCCAGTGGCAGACTGCTCTGCGACAAGGAGGGATATCGTCGTTTCCAGACCTCGTTATCACGGTGACAAAAGCTGATCCGGCAGTATGAACACATGCAAGTGCATGAAGTCGGACGCAGTTACGGCATCTGATCGTAGCTGCGTCTGACCAGAGTTTCGTTCGTTGACCAAGCCCGTCTTCACTTGTGCTGCAGAGTTACTGCAGAGGGGCCTTTGTCTCCATCCTTTCAAACATTTCCTGCTGCTCGTGGTGGTTCTTCCTCGACATTGCGTCCTTTCAGAGTTGATGCTCAGGTGGTTACGGTTGTTTGCACCCTTTTCTTCGAACAACGAACTCGGTCACAGTGATTCCGCCTCCGAGAGTCAATCGTTTCCCAGGGTGCAGCGCATGTACCAATAGTCTCTGTGGCGGCCAACAGTCATCGCGAGTGGTGGCTCGCCTCCTCTTCGTGGAAGAGCATAACCGGGACCGATGGTTCCTGGTGGCTGTGAAAGTTCCTCCCGACCCAAATCGATTAGTCTACCCAGAACTTCACAGTCTCTTTGGTGCAGAGATGTATTCTCTTGTATCTCTCTCAGGCGTGTCCTTTTAGTAGAAGGACCAGGGTTCGAGTGAAAACTCTTCAGACACCACTATCTCTGGTCGGTCTACGTTCCTGAGGTATCGACACAGGTCAAGTCTCCAATCTACCCTGACATCCAAGGCATCCTTGGGATCTCGGAGCTCTGATGTGGTATTGCTCGGTCGAATTATTGCTGCAGAGCTGGCAAAAGCTACATCGGACCTGAAGATAAGACTTCCAGTTTTGGAGTTCTAGACTCCCACAACGCGGGGCTGATTGGCTACGCTGGGCGTAGCAGCGAGAGAGCTTCAGAAGGCGAACATGAGGCATTTACCAGGTACTTGCTGTACTGGGCGACATCTGGAGCACAGTAAGTACCTCGTGGGCAACCAGGCCCGTCGATCCACAATAAGTTTTGCCTGAGGAGAGACTGGATGTTCTGGAAACACTGGCTTGTCAACAATTGGGCTGTCATAGGTATCCTTGTCCGGCTGTACCAGCGGAATCTGCAAGAACAGAGGCAGATGTTCTAGGTCACCGAAGCACACCCACGTCTGACTTGTCGTTGTGCATTAGCTTGGGCGCGGCGTTGGGGCCTCCGGCCTCGAGAACCAGACTGGGTTGCGCCGCACTGTGCTGTAGCACCAGTCTGCTCGATAGGAAGATGTTGGTCGGCAATGGTGAAGACAGCTTTTGCGACTCAGTCAGACGCACGGCTCTCCTCTCCCTTACCTAATTGACAACCATCAGAGTTTTCACCCGGTTTGTTTCAACTGTTCAGTCCAGACCATGCATTGCACATATGAGCCTACCTCGGTAGCATCCAGAGTCTTGCGCGTCAAGTTCTGCCTTGTTTGCGTCGGCTCTTTCGAGTCAATGAATGCTTGCAGCCATCAAACAACCCCGATCAGAGCCTTTTCTTCAAGGCCCAGAAAAAAACCCTTCTAGACCTCCCCACCTCCCACAATGTTTCCACACCATGGACAACGCCAAAGGCGATTAACAATCACAACGGCTGCCAATGATTGTTTGGCAGCGGCGATAGATCGAGTCTAGAGAGGAGCCGGCGTGTCCTGGACCCTCGACACAGCCTACCTCGGCGTTGAGGGGTTTCGATTTCGGCTCTCGTCGTCGAAGGTACTTCTTCACTTGACACTTGTTGGCCTGGGATTCCAGGCCCAAGGGTCAATATTGTACCAAGTCTTATGCGCCCATGCTGTTTGGGGTTTGGGTGATAGCTACTACCCCTCTTGCTTGTTTCTCGCTTGCGTCTTCGCGCATGTTAGGTACATGTATTTACATTATCTCCATGGAAAACTGCCACCAGATACGACAGGTACAAACTTGTTGCCTCGCTCGACCTTGGGAGACGGGCCTTACCGCCTGCGCAGCCCGACAGGCCTGCATCTCTCTTCTTTTTGAGTTCGTGCTTGCTGCTGTCACGCGTGAAGGGTGTGCGTGTCAGGAATACGCCACGTGTAAGCACGCGCGCGCACACCGGTCGTGTGCTGGTTGTTCTACATTTCAGCGCGCTATTTACGTGGGTTGGTGGTGTCCAACCGATCTTGGGCTTGCCCGGGGAGGGGGGGGGAGACAGGCTCGACAGGGTGAGGGGTTTGGCTGGCCGGTACCAGTCTTGGCGCCTGCAGCTCAGCCTTGGTCCAACGGGAGACGGGGGTTTCTGCCGGTCGGCCCCTGAGCCGATCCCCTCGAGGGGCTTTCGAATCCCGCCACCTTACTGGGCCGGGACACCAGCCAAGTGGGCTCGGTGGGCGCGGTGGGCCTCTCGCGCACATGGTGCATGTCAGGTACCAGGAACAGATCCAAACACCCAGCCAATGGCCGTCCAGAAGCGCCTCCCGGCCGAACTTGCAAAAACTTCGATCCGGCTAGCGCCTGGTGGGTAGCGGCCGACTCCTGTTTTTTTCCCAGAGCGCTCTCGCTGGTCGAAACAGGGGCCCCCTACCTAGGCCTTTCTTCCTTTCTTAGAGCACTCCGACGCCAAAAAGTGACCCTGTCGGGGCACACAAGACGTACCTCTGGGTACCGCCCGGCGCCATGGAGCGGTCCACTCCCGATCCAGGGACGCAGAGACACCTACCGGTAGGTCGACCAGGCCCCTTGTCCCACCCACCACCACCGACCTTTCAAGTTCTTCACACTGCTGACCGGGTCACATTTATCCTGCATGTACATCTGCACTGTCAGCATCCATAGAGAGTTAATAACAGCATGACAGATGGGCACGAGAAGAAGCTCTCTGGAAGCTCACGCGGGAGCCGGGGAAAAAGGCGTCTCGGTCAGAAGAACCGGCTCCCCCAAGGCAGACGTCACCGGATGTCCGCCAGCATTCCAATGTGAGTTTGCTTCGGGGAGGCTGCGCAGCTGCAATTGTACGAGGTCTACTAGGTAGGTAGGGGACCCGGGTCTCGTTTCATGTCGTCGAGTCAGTGGGAGGAATGCGGGAGCTACCAACCACGAGGAGGACGCGGTGCACAGTGCTTGGCTCGCAACCCTCCACCGTCGGGAATGCTTTCACACCACCATGTGGACCAACACCACGACGTTCGTCCACAACACCTGCAGGTGAAGTGGATGCGTCGACCCACCGCGGCAGCGTCCCTTGGACAAAGCCTTCTTTCTTGTCAGAAACACCCTCCGCGCGTTCATGGATGGGCACTCCTCCCAGATCGACTTATAAAAGGAGCAGACGAGTCCCGCACTTGGGGATCTCGAGCATTCCTCAACCTTCCTTTCCAGCCCTGCTCAGACACGGTGATCGTTTTTCGTCCTTCGACAATAAACCACATTCCTTGCTTCATCGCAAAGTCCATCGCTCCTTGTAGACTTTGTTGATCAAAGACACAACCAGCTACTATCCTTTCCAACAAGACTTGACGTCAAAAGCAACCACACACTTCGCACCACGCGACAGATACATATCTACAAGCCACCCGGCCACATTCAAGACATTCTCGTGATCCCACGAAACCCAAACCGCTCTCAAGCACACCTGAGAAAACTTACCAACCTTGACGGTTTCTGATATATCGACGCAAGCTATTCCAAAAATGCAGTACTTCAAGATCGCCTCTCTCCTGGCTGCGGCCATCGCCTCTGTCCAGGCCACCAACATCGTCACCCTCAAGTCCCTGGACGACGTTGACCGCACGGTCTACTTCACCCCCAGCGCCGGCCACGCCGAGATCGCCGCGGTCCAGGTCGCCGCGGGCCAGTCGGTCGACGTCGAGATCCCCTTCCAGTGGATCGGCAACTGGCACGGCGTGCAGAAGGGCCAGGCCAACGTGCCCGGCATGCTCGGCGAGGTCACCTTTGACGGCTGGGGCGGCAAGAACTACTTTGACGTGTCGGCCATCGTCAACCCCAACGACAAGGACAACGTCTCGGAGATGTACCCGGCCGGCCAGCCCAACACGCCCACCTCGGGCTGCAAGAACTTCCCCTGCGACAACGCCTACTACGTCTGGGACGACGTCCAGACCCGCGTCACCACCCAGAGCCACCTCATCTGCACCCTGCACAAGAACGGCTACGCCAAGCGCGACGCCGACGAGGTCTCGGAGGAGAAGCTCTCCCGCGACTTCGTCCTGGGCAAGAAATAAGCTGGCTCTCTCTCGCTGCCAACTTGTTCCTTTTGGGGTTCCTGGAGTCCCGTTGGGGGTCCCGATGCAAGCAGTGTGTGGAGGCGGAGCCGAACGCATGCCAAAGCGCGGGCAGTTACGAGTTTTATGACATCCCTATCAAACACCTTTTCACTTCTCTGGGCGGGGATTTTTGGCGAAGACCAATTTTTTAGAAGAAAGATACCCAATTCTCAAACCCCTCTCGTACGCGAGGGAGGGAGAGAAGTCCAAAGAGGCTGGTTCTCACGAAAACCCTCTTTTGTCTTTCACCCAACTCGAGCCTTCCAGCAAGGCCATGACTTGTTCTTTTTTTTTGGTTTTTAGACTTGGGAAACAACGACAACAAGGCGACAATGGGGATATGAGCACATAGCAACCACACAAAACAACGGCCACGGTTGAAGGCGTTTCTTGGGGCTTTGAATCAAACAGACCCGTGTTTCGGTTTTCCCGTCCCAGCTGAGGTTTTTCTGTTTCCCTCCTTTGTCTGCACAGATAAAGCTGAAAACGAAAACAGCCGGCTCTGGGATGGTTACACTTGGGGGCGGGGGCTGGCATTCACTTCAAAAAAAGACTTTACAAAACTTCATGACACTCGTTATACATGAAACTTTTGGATTTTTATACTTCTTTGCTGTATATATTTAGAGAGAAAAGAGGGTTTAGGTTTGATGTTTCGCATCGCCTCTTCTTTTTCGACCTTTGTTGGCTTTTCTTTTGGGAGAGAGAGAACAATAGACGGACATCCATGAACGAAACCCTTTTGTCTTTGGTGAAACCAGAAGTGTTCAGCGCGCGCGCGTAAGACTGGCCTCGCTCTTTCTTTTCTTTTTCCTACCCTACCCATGACCAGCTGGCGCTCAGCTTGTGCGAGGATCGAGGATCGAGATGCGCTGCATACGAGCTACGAGAAGCCCCCCCGGACGGACTCCAGGTACCTACCTGACCCAAGCAATAGGAATTATCCTCCCCTCTCTCGACTTTTTGTGTAGCGCATGTTTTACCTACCCAAAGGACGTGAGCGGAGTCGGGAACGGGGGGAGAGAACGAAATGGTTCTGGGCCTTTGAGAGGATCCATCCATCTGAGAGAGTTGAAAGTGCACTTTGCCCTCTCTCGCACGGTGTATTCAATAGTCCATTATTGGCTGGGTTCAAGTTGTTCTTGAGGGATGTACACTACTTGACCCGTTCCTGTACAGTGGGACCCTCCCTTCCCTGCACCCAATCGGCGCCATCTCGCAGATCCGGCTCCTTTTACCTGATCTTCCAAGTGGACTCTGTTTTTTTTTGTAAACCCCCTGCATGCGTCGCCCACCAACAGATGTCGCCTCGGGTACCTGAAAGTCTGTGCCTGATTTTGTGGCGCTTGTGTGCCTGGCCCCGAGCAGAGACACTGGGTAAGGCAAGGTACCTGTTGTACGGAGAGAGGCACCCGCGGTACCTAGCTTTTCCGGATGGACGAACGACAGCAGCCACCTCGGTCGGGAGTTTCTCTCGGAACCCAAGCCCAGCTTTCCAGGGACCTGCGTGTCAAGTGCAGGGGCGAGTTGGCGGGCGTGGTAGGTACCTTTCAGCTGTCCAGGCCCCCCCGAGTCGGCGCAGGAGGTACTGTTTGCGTAAGCCATTGTCCCCCCCCCTGGCCTTGTTTCGTGTTTCTTTGTCGGCCAGTTCCTTTCACATGTCTCTCGCCGTCTCCAAGTACAACTCTCTGGAGACCAGGCAGGCAGTCTGTGAGCCGGAAAGGGGGACAAAGGGAAAACAGACTAAGCGTGCAAGTTGCTGCAGCTGTAGCTGCTACCTAGGTAGGTCCAACACATAGGACGTACGCAGGCACCGGTGGGGAGGTGATCGGCGTGCTGTGGTCCACGGCATGGAGTCTTTTCGCCTTGTTTCTGTGTGGCTATTCCATCATTGTCTCCTCGCTTTTTCTGGATCTCTCTCTGTTGTGTACAAACATGGTTTAGCATGGTGCTTTGCTCAAAAGCAGGCTTTGTTGGTCTTCCAAACAATGGAAGGAGAATTCACGGACGAATCGATCCGCTCCCGCTAGTCAGTTGCTCAGTAGGTAAGATCCTTTGTTTTGATGATCTTTTCCCGTTGGTTCGGCACACAAAGGACTAGCAAAGTCGAGGCCGTTTGTTTGCCGGAACAAAGCTGCCAACTTGCACGCATCATATTTGTGGAGTGTGTGTGTGTGTGTAAGCCAGCTTACCTTGGACCGCCTGCAAGTCCATCCATCAGTCAATCAAATCAACCATAACAAGAGATGGTGCTGATCCGTCTTCGATGACGAACTATTTGTACATGGGGGAACATCAACTGCCACAAGACCAAGTACCCCGAAGTTGCGTCCACTTTGGGGTGTTCGTGATCAATTCATTCAATTGGAATTGGAATTGGGGGGGGGGGCATCGGTATCATCTCCCATACTCAAGGTAAGGTCGAGAGAACAAACAACGGCCTGCATATTACCAACCACACACACACACACATCTTAGTCGTCAGTGCCGGGCTTTGCAGGGTCTCGGGCAACCGGGAGCGGCAACACTTGAGTACAGTAGAGAAGGCATTCAAGCCCTCAGTGCACAAGCAACTGGACATTGATGCAGTCACGCCCACAATCAGTGGACTCTATCAGTCACGAAAAGAGAAGAACGAGAAGAGAAAGAAGGCAAGTCTTGTCGACACATGCAAAGCCAGAGACTCTCTACTTGCCCGACTGGCAGACTTGATCGTGCCACAGACACATGTTGCAGCGCCCGAGTTCCATAGCTTGTCTGTTTCGTCTGTCGTACCTCTCGGCCAGCGCAATCCAGAAGAGAAAGCCGGCGCCTCGGTCCGTTGTGCAGCTACATTGCATATGTGCACCTCGTCAAACACATGTTAATTCTTCTTCTTTCCCGTCCTTCGCTTGCGGGGAAAGTCAGGCTAGTCGTGCATAAGGCAACCTTGCAGGAGCCAGTTCAATCCGAGTTGGTGCTGTCGGTTTCTTTGGATTGATTGCTTCGCTAAAGGAAACAAATGCATGTTGTTGTATGCAAACCCCCAACCCGACCCGACCGACCTACGTAGGTACCAACTACCAAGTAAGTCAGCAAACTAGGTACAGCTCCCTTACCTAGGTAGTTATCCCTTTCCGATCGGCATCTCGCCAAAGGTGTCGATACTACCGCAGCGTGCCATCCCGCAAAACGCAACGGCGCAAAATGCAAGTCGGTGCCGGCGCAGGGTCTGAAACAGCCCGACTCCTGCATGGACGCATGTCATGTCCTATCGCCGCATACCTAGTTCACATGCAGAGTTGAAATGAACTAGAGAACCAGACACACGTGAAAGCCGTTTTTTCCCTTTTTTCTCGATGACGGCGGGAGGCGCCGGTGCATCGGAACTCGGGCGTTCCCCCCTCTAGAATGTACTTTCGTAGCCTTGTCCGCCAAGCAACATGGCTAAAAAGTGGCAGAATAAGCCACCAGACATACAGATGTGCGCCCGACCCGGGAATGCAAGTAAACGGCGCGGATCTTGGCAAACACGAGGGGGTTTACGGGGGAGAGGAAGACGCATACTCTGGTCGGATTGGGCAAAGAGGCAGCAGGATGGCAAACAAGAATGTGTTTCGGGTTATGCCGTGCGCCTCTCGATTCATGCAGAATCTTCTTTAATATCAAAAGACGCCGTAGAACATCCCGGGCTGCCGTCCTTCGTTCATGCGGCAAAACTTGCCCTCACACACCCGCGCGGTGTAGAAAGAGGCAGAAGAGGCACATCGGACTCGTCGGGTGCGTTCATCTACACGCCGTGACTCAGTCAGTTTTCGGGATTTCTTCTAGAAAAAAAAATTGGACGCGGTACGTAAATTGGGGGTCTCATATCACTACATGCTTATATGCCTTTGTGCTTTGTACATCGTATCACTGGTTAAAGAGTAAAAAGAAAGAAAACCGGGGGGGTCCCTGATCACCATCCAGGCACCACTGTCACGGCTTGTGGCTTACACCCGGTTCTGCAGATTACACCCGACTTATGCTGCGAAATATCAGCCGTCCTTGGGGGTATCCGTAGCTTCCCCCTTCTCTTCCTCCTTGGTCTCGTCGGGAGTAGTTGTAGTCTCCGCCGGCGCCTGGTCGCCCTCTCCGGACGGCCTAGCGGAACCAGCAGGCGAGGCCGCCGGAGACTCCTTTGCAGCGGGAGCGGGAGCGGGATCAGGAGCAGGAGCAGGAGCCACGATCTCCCTGCTATTGATGATGGTCTTGAGATAGTCGCCGGTGTCCCCGAACCCATCCACTTTGCCCAGCTTGGAGATAAAGAAATCGACGTCCTGCAACATGCTACATCGGACACAGTTAGCCGCTGGATAGTTCCCCGGGTGTATGAAGAGGGTCGGGATACGTACCTTTGTCGGCCAGCCTCGGTATCGACTTCAGCAGTCTGAAACGCCTTGCCAAATTGCTCCTTGTAGCTGTTGAAGACGGGGACCATGATCATGAGCACCCTGTGCTCAGGGAGCGTCTTGGTCAAGTTGCGCTGCAGCATAGACGTCTCCTTGACCAGCGTGTTCATGTACGGGTGCGCTGCTGGTTCGGGCTTGTCCCAAGTGATCGTCTTCATAGCCTTGCTGTGCGCAACGGCCCGGCCGCTCATGATCTCGACCAGCTTGTCGTAGATGTTGTTCTGGTGCTCTTGGTAACCGCGCTTGACCTTATCAAACTCGCCCATCAAGTTCGCGACCGGCGGCCCGGCGCCGGCGTGCCGCCGAGCCAGTTCGCGAATGTGCGGGACCAGCGTAACGATGAAGCCAAGTGCTTGCGACGCAAGCGCCAGGTGTTTCGTGGTGATGTTTCTGAGCCCGGCTGAACGGGTGGCTCCCGCCCCGAGGATGAGCTGCGTACACCGAGAGTTGAAGAGCTGCAGGTAGGATATCAACGACACGGAGATGTCTGGCGTCATGGATGGCATGGAGACCATCAAACGCAAGAACTGCGACAGCCCATCCAGACACAGGATGGCCGAGTTGGGAAGAAGGAAAGTCTCTTCTTCGATGACCGCGCCACGTGCCTTGGCCTTGGCCGTCCCATTCGGTTGGGCTGGGTCATCAGGCTCGTCATTCTCGTCGTTCTCGTCGTTGCCAGAGTCCACATCCGAATACGGTATCCAAACCTTTGTGCCGTCCGACCATGTCTCATCGTCTTTGGTGCTTGACTTCAAGACGCGGCCAAGCAGCTCGGTATGCTTCTCGTCAAAGTCCTTTGCGTCCCACTGATCAGACTCCATGCCTTGCGCAAGCTTCTGCTTTTCAGTGTCACCATGCTGTTGAACGAAGCCCCTTATGTGGCCGTTAACAACGTTCTTGAGGGTTGTGCCGCTTCGTCCGGAAATGGCCTCGCATTCATTGGCAAAATGAAGGTTGAGCGTGAAGTACCGAAGGAACCAGATCAAGGACAGATGAGTGCTCTGCTCGGCTCGTGCGCGCAGGAGGCGGACAACCCTGTCCTGTGCGACGTCGACAGCCTGGCCGACAAGGTTGGACAGATCTAGAGCTTTGTGCAACTCTTCTTGTGCCTCAATCGCAGCTATCGACATCCTCCGGCCTCCGGGGCTGATAGGCGGGGAGCGAATTTGCGGCGACCTCAGGCCCTCTGGTTCAGAGTCCTCGCCAATGGAGCTCGCGACGTCCAGCAACACTTTTGCCTGCGTGGAGAGTCGTCGCAGCGTTTCAGTGACACCTATGTACACCTTGACAAGTAGCTCTTCGGCGTCTTCGGGCTCAAGAGCCCTAAGGTTTCTCGCAAGAATGGAGCCTTTGTCCTGTTGGCTTCGTTGCCCCCTGCCAGTAGTTGACGAGGACATCATTGACTCATTATCGTCGTCATTCGAGCTCGGGAGAGGCCGCTTGATCAGGTTTCGGATTTCCCGCAAGAGAGATTCTCGATAAGAAACAGTAGCTTGTCCGAGATACCTTGACCTGTGTAAACCGTGCAAAATAGGCGTGAGTTCGGAACGGAGATCATCGGTAGCCGTCAGATACGAAGGGAACGTGGACGGCTCTCGCGCGTGTCCCCCTCTGGCCCGCAAAGACGCGCTGCTCCAGCGCATGAGAACTTCTCGAGACGACACATTATCAACATGGCGACGAACATCAGCCATGAGGGCCGTTACAAGTTTCGCCTCATATGCCTTGCCGACCCGGAAACGAAGCGTCTCGATATCCTCATTAACACCCTGCAGAGCTGTCGCCCCTCTCAGATCTCGGACTCGAGGTCTTTGAAGGGTCTTCTGGCCTAAGACCACTGGCGCGTCAACTTCGCCAGCAATAAGCCGTTCTAGCGAGTCGACATCATCAAGTGCCTTTTCCAGTTCGCCTTCGTCGACCAAGGACTCGCAAACGGCCACTTTCTCAATGATAGCTCGGAGCTGCAGGATGGCGTCATGCAATTGTTGAAGATTCTCACGTTTCCGCCTTCGCTGTACAATGTCCAGCCCACGTGTCGCAATCTCGTCGTCAAGGTTCTCAAGTTCTGTTCTCAAGGCCCTGATCTTTTCTACTGACTCGGCAGCTTCCGTGTGGAGTTCTTTCAGGGACCCAAGAGCTGTAAAAAAGGTGGATGATGCGGTGGAGATGGATGAGATCAGGTGCATTTCCACCGTGTCCATGTACCATGACAGCTTCTCTTGAAGAATAGCGTTGGTAGCAAGTGCCTTCCTCGGCGCAGTCGCCCTCCCATTGGCAGCCTGCTTCTCTTCGGTGCTTCCCGGCGTGGGCCGAACCACTTCGGACCGCTCACTGACGATATCAAATGTGCGGGGGTTCTCAAGGTGGAAGTCGTCATCAAAATAGACGTTGGGGATGGTTGACAGTGGTGGGGGTCCTTGTGTTGTCTTCCTTATGAAGCTCGAACTCGATCTCCGCAGCGGACCAGGCATCTCCAAAGCAGACAGCGAAGAGATGGACGAGATGGACGCCTTTCTTGTCGACGATGGCCTTCGGCCTGGCTTGAGATGCCCGTCATCTAGCAAGTCTGCCACGTCCTCGGGCTTGCTGCCTCGTCGTTGAGAACCATCCGTACTCTCCTCGTCGTTCTCTTTCGCTCTCCGTAACTGCTCATACAGGGCTCCAACCTGGGTGAGGTAGGGTGCGAACTCGGCGGCCTCGACATGGGGTATATTGGTCAGCGCGACCGGAGGAATGTCTTTTGCCGTCGGCGGCTTGTGCGCGCTTGAGGCAGGGGCCGAGGTATGAGGGAGCAGGCCGGTGCGTACAATCGGTGGTTGGAGGAGTGTCGAGATGGCATTCTGCCCTGATTCCAGCACGGCACTTGCCCAGCTTCCTGGCACCGTGTCCAGTGATCCTCCGATAGAGTGGATGCTGCTAGCGACCGACTCCCTCCGCTGCCGTGGGAAGCCCGTTGCGGAGCCCTGCCGATGGAATGGGAAGTCGGACCGGTGCGTGTGCGGCGTCATCGGGGACAGACTGTCGACAGACTTGCGGCCATCGGGGTTTGCGAACATGGTGCCCAAGCCTGTCGCAACTTCGTCATGCCAATCTCCAAACTACCTCCTCCTCCTCACCACAACCTCCTGGCTTATAAAGTACCCGAATCGCGAGCGCAGCTGTCAGCGCACCATAGAGCTACCGAGCGGGCATCCCCAGGGGACAAAGCAATTGATCCAATGGCTTCTCGTCGCAACAGAATGTTTCTTTGGAGTGGATAGCAACCCTCTCTGTGCCCTAATATGTCGTAATAGTAAATTTTACTAATCCGTTGTGTTGCGTCGTTTCAGAGCTCGTCTTTGATTCGTACTCTCCAGACCTCATCCTCCATGTGTGAGCACGGGTACCTACCCTTACGTATCATCAACAGCTTGGAGCGATAATCCGTGGTTCAACCGATTGGCTGTCGGGAAGTTCACGTGCTGATAAGATTAGCTGTCCCAAAAGAGAAAGGCCCCAGGACTAATTAATGCAACCACTTTAACTTAGCGCGTTGAAAGGGAGGACGCGACGCGTTTTCACGCGACCTTTCAGACCCCTCCAAATACTCTATCGCTGTTTCGCCCTCTGTTTGTCCGCAAGCTTCGAACTCGTTTGACTCGATTGTCACATCTCCAGTTGTTGCAAGAGACCCGTTGATTGATACCTGTCAATCCCAGAGCATCGTTTCTCGCGACAACCGCCCAAGATGGATCGCCAGTCTGTCTACACAACTCATGTCTTCGAGCCCAACTACGAGCAGGGCGAGGACACAAACCTGCAGATCCAGGCGCAACTGGAGCAGTTCATTCTGGATTTCAGGCTTGAGAACCAGTTCATCTACAGGTTTGTGACCGTGTCGTCGTTCATCTCCGGACAAACACTTACGCAATGGGGATAGAGACCAACTGAAGGAGAACGCTCTCCTCAAGAAATACTACTGCGATGTCAACATCGGTGACCTGATCAAGTTCAACGAGGAGCTTGCCCACAGACTGGTGACCGAGCCGGCAGACATCATACCGCTTGTGCGTACTGTGTTTACATTTCATTCACTAAGGCCTTGCCCGCTAATTCAACGAAGTTCGAAAATGCCCTGCGAAAATGCACCCACCGTATCGTCTTTCCGCACGAGAGGAAGGTCGACCTCCCCGAACACCAACTTCTCCTCCACTCCACCGCAGAAGACGTCTCTATCCGCAATCTGGACTCCTTGACCATCTCAAGGCTAGTCAGGGTTCCCGGTATTGTTATCGGTGCTTCCGTAATGTCCTCCAAGGTCACGGAACTGACCATCCAGTGCCGAAACTGCCAACATGAGCAGAGGATTGGCGTCCTCGGCGGCTTCACCGGCGTGACCCTCCCCAGGAATTGTGGTCGAGTCCGCGCAGCAAACGACCCTACCGAGAAGTGCCCTCTGGATCCTTACTTTGTCATGCACGAGAAGTCCAGATTCGTAGATCAGCAAGTCATCAAGCTCCAGGAGGCCCCTGACCAGGTTCCCGTCGGAGAGTTGCCACGCCACGTGCTCATCTCTGCTGACAGATACCTGACCAACCGTGTGGTTCCCGGATCAAGGTGCACGGTGATGGGTATCTTCTCCATCTATCAGAACAAAGGCAGCAAAAACTCGTCGACTGGCGCTGTTGCCATCAGGACACCGTATCTCAGGGCAGTCGGCATCCAGACCGACATTGACCAGACTGCAAAGGGCCACGCTATCTTCTCCGAGGAGGAGGAGCAGGAATTCCTAGAGTTGAGCAGACGGCCAGACCTGTACAACGTGCTGGCTGACTGCATTGCGCCTTCTATCTACGGAAGCCGGGATATCAAGAAGGCCATTCTGTGCCTTTTGCTCGGCGGCTCCAAGAAGATTCTCCCTGACGGCATGAAGCTGAGAGGAGACATCAATGTCTTGATGCTCGGTGACCCCGGTACCGCGAAGTCGCAGCTGCTCAAGTTCGTGGAGAAGGTAGCCCCTATTGCTATCTACACATCCGGCAAGGGCTCATCAGCAGCCGGTTTGACCGCCTCGGTCCAACGCGACCATTCCACTCGAGAGTTCTACCTTGAGGGCGGTGCCATGGTTCTTGCCGATGGTGGTGTCGTCTGCATTGATGAGTTTGACAAGATGCGGGACGAGGATCGGGTCGCTATCCACGAAGCCATGGAGCAGCAGACCATCTCTATTGCGAAAGCCGGTATCACTACCATCCTCAACTCACGAACATCGGTGTTGGCCGCAGCCAACCCCATCTTCGGTCGCTACGATGATATGAAGACTCCTGGAGAGAACATTGACTTCCAGACCACCATCCTGTCGCGTTTCGACATGATCTTCATTGTGAAGGACGAGCACGAGAGGGGCAAGGATGAGAGGATCGCCAAGCATGTCATGGGCATCCACATGGGCGGCCAAGGAATCGAGGAGCAGGCCGAGTCCGAAATCCCCGTCGAGAAGATGCGGAGATACGTGAGCTATTGCAGATCGTAAGTCACAAAGAAGTCGTTGGTCTATAGCCATATCTAACACTCGTGCACAGGCGTTGCGCCCCTCGCCTGAGCAAGGAGGCCGCAGACAAGCTGTCCTCGCATTTCGTGTCCATCCGAAAGCAGGTGCACGCTTCAGAAATGGAGGCCAACACGCGAAGCTCCATTCCCATTACCGTACGACAACTCGAGGCCATCGTGCGAATCACAGAGTCTCTGGCCAAGATCACGCTCTCGCCCATCGCCACTGAGCAGCACGTCGACGAGGCCATCCGCCTCTTCCTCTGCAGTACCATGGATGCCGTCAACCAGGGCAGCAGCCAGGGCTCCAGAGAGCTCAACGACGAGGTGAACAGGATCGAGGCTGAGCTCAAGCGGCGACTGCCCATTGGCTGGAGCACGAGCCTGGCGACACTCAGACGCGAGATGGTCGAGGGCAAGGGGTTCAGTGAGCAGGCTCTCAACCGAGCGTTGATGATTCTGCAGCGGAGAGACACGATCATGTTCCGCAACCAAGGAGCACAAATCTACAGGAATGGTGCATGAGGGAATGACAGGGTAATGTGTATCTGATATGATTATAATGGCATGGGAAGGTGTGCTGGTGTGCTTTAATCCGTTTTTGAGATGGGTCTAGGATGATGTTCGGTAGCAACGTATAGCTCTGGTATTCTGATGACTCCATCTAGGAATCTGGTGTTCGGAGTACTGAAGTCATTTAATTCCATCCAACTTTAACGACGTCCCCTATTCAAATCAAGTTCATCGTGCCCTCCGATTTCTCCTCCATTGTCTCCCAAGAAACGCAGAGAAGATCCAACAGAATCATCTCAACGCTTTAACTCTTCTTTGCTTCGCATTATCCATCCTTCATCCTTCACCATCTCATCCTGAACCTCGATCAAACAGATCCACGCACCCACCTTAAGAAGACATGCAATAGAACTCACACCAACCATATCCACCTCCTCATCATGGCTTCAGATCACGAGCACGAGCTGGTGACGGCCTCTCAGATCCGTCGCTACCGCGGCCTCACAACCGTGCTCAGCTGGCTCAACATCGCGACCCCAAACGTGAGGATAAAGAAGGGCAACTACGGCAGCCTGCGGTCTCAGATCCTCTTCAAGGGCGAGGCCCTCGCCGACATCCTCGTCCGCGAGGACGAGACCGTCGCCGTCACCTACAACCACACCGAGAAGCGCCTGCAGGTGCTCGCCACGACCGTGATCCCGAGCCAACACCCCGACAAGGCGGCGGCGCCCACGTCCGCGTACATCCCCGAGGAGGCCCTGCGGTTCCACCCGGCTTACGACGGCGACTTGCCCGCCGCCTTTGACAACGGCGACGGCGACGGCAACGGCAACGGCAACGGCAACGGCAGGTCGTTCGCGCTGCCCCTGGGCAGCGCGGGCTGGTACCTCAAGCACCGCAGCAGCGGCGTCGTCGTCGACGGCAAGAACACGGTGCCGCCCTTCACCGAGCACTGCGCCGTCGTGTGCGAGCTGCTCAAGCGCAGCCACCGGACCGCCGCGCACCCGGGCGGCGCCGGCCCCTCGGCCCTGAACCGCGACCTGCTGCGCTACCTCTGGCTCGCGGCCGAGCCGGCCGTCAACGCGCGCATCGCGGCCGGCGGCGCGCCCCAGCCGCACGGCGCCGCGTACCACCCGCGCAACCTGTTCTGGGCGCTCACGCAGGGCCCCGCGCAGCTGCAGGGGCTGGCCGCGGCCGGCGGCGGCGGCGGCGGCTGCGCCGACGCGGCGGCCGTGTACGCGCAGGGCCTGCGGCCCGAGAGGAAGGTGGCGTTCCGGGGCCTGCGGGACGCCATCCTCGGCGTGGCCAACGACGAGCGCTGGACGAGCGACATGATGCTCGACCTCGACGAGATCGCGTACGACGCGCGGGGCCGCATGGTCCTCCAGGGCGTCCTGGTCCACACGCTCTCGCTCCTGTGGGTCACCTTCCGCAACATCCGCCTCACCAAGCTCGAGCTCATGGCGGCCAAGAAGCGCTTCGTCGAGGAGCCGCACTTCAGCATCCGGCACGCCCTCCAGAGCTGCGCCTCGAGGCTCGCGGGCCTGCTCGACGAGCAGGCCAACGACGCCACGCGGCACATGCAGGTCCTGCTGTTCCTGACGCAGGAGTACGAGGACCTGCTCAGGGAGCACTTCCGGTGGCTCCAGGCCGCCCTCCAGCTCCGACACAGCCGCGACGTCAAGCTTGCCCACTCGTACTTCTGGGAGCGGCCCGTCTCCCCGTTTCAGGCGTGCAAGGACGCCGAGATGCACCTGCACCGCGGCGGCTTCGACGCGATCGACGCCCTCGAGGGCTTCCCGCCGCGGGCAGCTGGCGAAGGCGGCGAGCACAGCCAGCAAGGCGAGGGCTGCGCCAGCTGGTCCGCCGTGGCCTTGTACTACCTCAAGAGCATAGTCCTGCACTATCGTGGCGTGTGTCGCCTGGTCAGAATCGGCGGCGATGGGAACGACCTGGCGCTCCGGCGCTCGAAATGGATCAGCCAAGTCGGTGTGGACTGCACGCAGGTGGTCGTCGGGCCCGCCCTCGACCATGACACGATGTCTTCCGTCAACAGCGTGCTGCGCGGCCTTGTCAAGGAGCCCGACGAGGACATTGGCCTTGACGAGGACGACGTGCAGAGGCTCGCGTTGAAGATTGCGTTTATGAGTCCCGAGCAGGGGCTCGACCCGGCGAAGCTGCTGCAATGCACGACTTTGTTCGAGGGCACAGCCCACTGCGAGAGCATCCTGCTGTCTCTGCACCTATATGCAGAGCGAAGCAAGAAGTGGGTTAAGAGGGAGAAGGAGACCACCCCGCCTCCTGTCTCCGACACTGCCCAGGAAGACGGACCAGTATCCCAGGAGCTCCGCGACCTATCTCGGCAGCTACAGCATCTCGTGTCAGCCATCGCACTTTCGAAAGGTTGCTGCGCCGGATGTTACCAGCTCGTCGAGTACATGAAGTACGAATACAGCCATGGCGACAGGGACGACTACCCTCTATACCCGGCTAGCAACCATGCACGCTGGACTCCTTGCACCATTCCGCCATGGCTTTCAAAGAGGGCTGCTTCCTTCATGATCAGCAGGGCGGAGAAGGCGCTGCTGCGCTGGGCAGACCAGACGACCGAAGTTCCCGAGAGTGAGGAAGACTGACGATAGCTCTCTTGGCCGCCTGGATTTAGCTCTTCGTTCGGGAAACACCACAAGATTCAGGGGTCAGGCTGGTGTTTGTGGTGGTGTTGCGCTGCACTGATTTTAGGTTCATGCTTTCGACTGCACATATGAAAAGGGAGAATCTTCACGCTGAGTTGATCATTCTGAGAGGGGGCCTACGAAAGATACGAATTAACGAATCCATGAACGAAAGAAGTAACGGTTTCTCCGCATAGCGAACCGGTAGGTAGTCGGATATCCGTTGCGACTACCATAGACACTACACAATCGAGAGTATGAATAGAGAACAGTAATTCGGCATCAGGATATGGAGAGAGAGGGGCTCCTTACCAGAATCCCGACTCGGTGATTGCCGGTATCAGTTCCCTTCTCCCGCTCTCCTTGAGGAATCACATATGATCAAGCACATATTCGTCGAGACTTAAAAGGTATTGCAGTGTTTGTAAGGGTATCTAAACCTGTGTGAAAATTCATATTGAGTGAAAGACACCCTCCTGGACTCCGATGCTCGATGCTCACCAAGCCGGTAAAAACCCTTCTCCTCCATTCAATCATCTGCTGGGACTCAAGGGCCGGTTGAAGCCGCCCTGCCGGTTCATGTACTGGCGGTACTCGGTCTTCTTCTCCTTGCGCACGCCGCTGACGTTGTTGCCCAGGACCTTCTTGTTCTTGGTGGTGCCGAAGCTACCAAAGCCCATCATGGCCTGCATGGCCGCCATGCCGTCGTCGTCCTCGACCACCACGTCGTCGTCGTCATCGCCGTCGGCGGCTCCACCCTCCGGACGGTCCTCGTCCATGGGCGTGCCCTCAAAGCTGTCCCGGTGCTGCTCCTCCTCGTAGCTCCTCTCCCGCGTGCGGCCCCGCTCTTCGTGCCCTCCGCCGCCTACCCTGAACGACATGGACATCGACTTTTCCGGCGGTCCCTTGGACCGGGTGGGTAGTGGCGCGCCGCGGTCGTCCCGGTAGCTGCGGCGCTCGGGACTCTGGCTGCGCTGCGGGGAGGCAGATCGCCGTCTGTTGTTGTTGTTGTTGCTGTCCCTGTCTCGCTCTTTGGTGAGCGTGTTAGCCACTGCTGCGCCGATCGACAAGCTCTGGACCTCCTCCGCGCAAAAAGACATCTCTAGATCGCGAGGGCGAAAAACAAGACTCTGGTACATGTGCATACCTCCTCGGTCACCTCTAGCAGGTGGCGACACCGCGCCTCTGTGTCGTGCACCCGGCTCATCGCGACCACGACGGTCGGGATCGCGGTCCCGCCCGCCCTCTCTAGGCCGGTCGCGGCCGTAGTCGCGCCGGTCGTCGTGGCGCGGGGGCGATCGGTTGCGGTCGCGCCTATCCCTCGATCGCGACCTGTGCCGCCGCCTGTCCTGATCGTGTCCCCTATCGTCGTCGTCCCTCCTGCGGTCACGGTCGTCCCTGTCTCGGCGGTCGCGTGGCCGGCCTCCGCCTGTTCGGTCCCTGCGCTCTTGCGGCTCGTCCCACGCCTGCCTGCCCTGAGGACGGCGGGAGCGGTTGTGGTCAGACATCTGGAGCTTCTGATGGAATACTCTTGGGATGCGGTATAGATGTATATCTCTTGCTGCCCAGAAACTGCTGGTGGTTGAGATAATGGGATTTAAAAAGGGTTGTTGTTGGGTTGATTTGAGCCCAAGTTTGCGATTGATGTTCAGCAGTCACTAAAGAACAAAAAAATTATAGTGGATTTGCGGCTGAAACGAGGCAGGAGCTGGACGTCATGTGGTGACTTTTAGCAGGTTCTGTGGGGCAGGAACAGTGCTGTGGAAGACGAAGAATGGGCGGTAGGAGACATCCATGGACTTGATTGCCAGTGCTCCTTATTGGCATCAACATTCACATCCTTTGAAGCATCTTAAACAATTGCTTTGTCACAAACAGGAAGTGGGTGTTCATACTTGATCAAATACACATTTTTTTTTTAAAAAAAAAAAGTATTGAAACTGTTCACAGACATCCTATCTGATGTGACATAAAGAAAGGTAGTTATTATCCTTATTTTAATCCACAACAGCATCTCCCAAAAATACAAGATAATACAGTTATGATTCAACACAGATATTTTACAGCCGCCTATCCATCTAATGACGCCCACTTAGGAGCTCCTTAGTGCATTTGCAGTGCCTCTTGCTAGTAATTGTTGGGTATTGGGGTATCTCTAAGTCTAGATCTCATCCTCGTCCTCGTCAAAATCATCCTCGCGCCCAATGTCGTACAGAATTCTCCCACCCTCACCACCGCCAATGTCCGTCTGCGCATCAAAGTACGGCAGCTGCACGCCCTCGCGGTCTCGCTTCTGCTTCTCCGTCAAGCCGAGACTGAACGTCGCCCCCATATCGGCCTCGTTCTCGTCGTCCGCCCCGCCCTCCGGGCCCGCATCCGTGGGCACGCGGAAGGAAGGCTGGTCCGAGAGGAGAGAGAGCTCAGAGGTCCCTGCCAGACCTCCCCCTACTACCTTGCCATTCCCTGGACAGAGGACGAACTTCTCCGCGACCGATCGGCCGCTGCGCCTCCGCAGCTCCATCTCGAGCACGATCCCGTGGGCATTGGCCCCGTGCTCATCGGTCTCCATGCCGACGAGCACACCCTCACGGCCCTCTCTGAGGCCCCACTCGGGCTCCTCGAGGCTCCTGTTCTGGGCACGCCGTATCTCGATGGCCTGGTACAGGCTTGAGACGCGGCATATCGCCGTGGCGAGGTGGCACAAGACGTCCAGCGGGTGTGGCTCATACTCGCTCGCCGGCCGGACCAGGGGCACATCGGTGTGGTAGACTGCAACGACAGATGCGGCCGGGGTCACTATGCTTGATAGGAACGCCGATAGAGACCTGGGGTGTGATGCAGCCAGGGGGTTCAGGGAGTCGATGACGACTAGGACTTCTAGTCACTCCAGGTTAGTACCATACCCGCGTTATAGCAGTGTGCGTAGCATGCGAAAGGGGGTCAACCTACTCTGTGTCTGTGCAGGTGCATCCCTGCTCGCGGCAGCGGCTGGCGGGGGGCAATGTGAGGCTATCTCCGACCTCAAGTTACCGAGGGCCTTGCCTCTGCCCCTCACGAAGACGTCTGCATCACGGGGCTTCCTAACGGTGGCGAACGATACAAAGACGACCTTGGTTCGCCCAATCTGGTTACAAATTAGTCGGCGTTCCGAGGACAACGTAGATCGCCACGAGTAACCATGGTCGCGAGGCCCGGGAAGGGACGATGATCGGTCACATGGCCTGCGTGTGAGGGGTTGGGAGGTGTACGAGTGCGGCTCAGGAGATGGGGAAAGAGGAGAGGACTTCACTCACCTTGGCCCGCGTTGCGAACTCTCGGACTAGTGGCCCTGCTCCTTGCTCAAGGGTATCCAGGATCAACGTCAGAGGGCTGGCGCTGTCTCTCAGGTTGAGCAGCTTCTGGCCTAGAAGCAGGCTGTGAGACCGGCCGTGAGCCTGGGCTGACGGCGCCATGGCGGGTGCAATTCTTCGAGCCCTGCCACCCAACAGCGACCAGAGTATCGCCTTCAGATGCTTCCAGCGGTGATGCAATTGCGCAGGCAGAATGAGGTCAAGCTTGTGCCACCACCACCACCACCCCCGCGTTCTTCGGGCTTATAGCGGGCGAAAACGCTTGCCGGCTGGGCACTGGAGAGGTGCGTACTGGTGTCTGTCTGTCTGTCTGTGTGTGTGTGTGCGTATGTGTAATATCGCGAGTGTGTTAAAGGACCGGGTTCATGATGACTGCCGAAAGCCGTCACTCTAAATTTTGATTCCGAGTTCCATAATTTGCTGGGCACTAGTGGAAGCACGCCGCCCGCCAAGGGCCGGAGCCAGTCAGGGCGCTGTTCGGAACCGGCAGTGGCCTACATTAGCGGCCGATCTGGGAGGGCCAGATGGCGGCTAATCTGCCGACCGTTTCTCTGACTTGCATTATCTCTTCATATAACACTTGCCAGTCTTTCCCCTCCTTGCTCGCCAGTCGCTGCTACGTACATGGTAGGATATTAAATTCAATCTACTTGAGATCCTTGATAGGCATAGCCTCCGCAGCCAGATACGACAACTCGTCACTGCACATCTTGCCTCTCATCGCTGTTTGTTGTTCCTCCATCTGACTGCTCTGTCTCCTCTTGCAGTGTGGCAATGTTTCCATCGAACCCCCAAAGCCAGAGGAGTTCTGTGCTTTCTCCCGCGTCCGGGGCTATGCTCCTCCGGACCGTCACCGGCGGGGCCCAATACCCCAAGGACACAAGCGACTGTGATATGAGAAATCCAATGAAAGCCCTTGGAGGTGTCATGTCGTAATGGCGATAACTCAACAATATACCCACGGAGGACACTGGCTCGTGAGAGGTCCTCTCCCCTACCTCCCTTGGCACTATGGCCGACCTGGAAGGGTCTCATCCGGAAGTAGGACCGGTTGTAGTCGGCCGTGAGCAAACCTGCTCATCATTCCCCAGATCCTCGCTATACGGGTTCAATTCCACCATTGTGGTGGCGATAGCAGTGTCTGATATATAATGCCCATCCTCCCTGAAGAGAGTGTATCCCAGCAGCGTTGCCTGCCACGCGGGCCCAGCTCTGATAAGAGAAGCACCCAGTCCTAGGATAGACACCTCGAAATGGCCAGATCCCTCATGCACTGCCTGCTGGGCAGCCTCATCGCCGCCGGGCTCGCCCTCGCCGCCCCCGTGGAGGAGCATCACGAGAAGAGAGCGCCGCAGATAGCGTCCATCTCCAACACCCTGCCGCTGCGGAAGGAAAGCTACCAGCAGAAGGAAGGCTCCAGCCCGAGCTCCGTCTTCCGCAACCACCGTGCCCTGAACTTCAACATTGCGGCCGACGACCCGGAGGCAGCTCACAATGGCAAGGCTCTGGCCGCCCGGAACCAGATTGCCTACATCACCGACGTCAAGGCGGGACCCGGCACGTATCAGTTGATCATCGACACCGGCAGCAGCGACACTTGGTTTGTAAAGAAGGGATTCCAGTGCAGAAACTACCGCAAGCAGCCCATCCCCCTGGAGCAATGCATGTTTGGGCCCGAGTTCCAGGGAGACTTTCCTGGTGGGAAGATTGCAGGTCAGCGGTTCAGTATTGCCTATGGTGACGGCAATGGTCCATACTTGCAGGGTGAGATGGGATATTCCGAGTAAGCAAGCCCACCTCCCCTTTCTCCAGAGAAAGGATACCTCGCTCGTTCAAGTGCTGACCCCAGTCTCTGTACTGTAGCATGACTGTTTCGGGTATGACCGTGCCCAAGCAGCAGATTGCTCTGGCCACTACAGGAGCTTGGGATGGTGATGGAGTCACAAGCGGCATCCTTGGCCTGGGACTGCCGGCGCTCACAGAAGCGTTCAACGGCACCAGCGATAATGCCGCCAACCTCGTCACCTACGACCCCTTTGTCACCACCGTCGTCAAACAAGACGTGCCTCCTATATTCAGCCTCGCTCTGGCGAGGGAGTCCAACCGGTCTTTCCTCTCCTTTGGCGGCGTACCGCCCGAAGCCAAGACGGACGGGAACTGGGCAACGACAAAGATTCTCAAGGTATGAGAAGGCGTCCCCGAGAGTCTCCTGGAGTTGGCGGCAGAGTGGGCTCGGAGCTGACCTTGGACATGTAGCTGGAGAGAGTGTCTGGCGGGAGCGATTACTTCTACTACACGATACAGCCAGACGGCTTCGTCTGGAACACCCCCAGCGGAACCAACCAGACCGCCCGTTCGCCCATGATCATCGTCGACAGCGGCACTACGCTGAACCTGCTCCCATACCGTTAGTAGCCCTCGTGACCCAGGACAGTCCTGTCGTGTCGCATCATTTGTTGGAAAACCGGTACTAACGCCTGCTTGCTCCCTACTCTTCCCAGAGATCGCCCAGGCCATCAACAACGCCTTCGTCCCGCGCGCGGCCCTCGACAGCCAGATGGGCGGCTGGTTCGTGCCCTGCGACGCCAAGGCCCCGGACCTCGGCGTCACCATCGGCGGCAAGACCATCTGGACCAACCCGAGCAACATGATCCTGCCGCAGGTCAGGCACCCGATCACGGGCGAGTGCGCCACGGGCATCGGCGCGACCAACGGCTTCCCCTACATCCTGGGCGACACCTTCATGCAGGAGCTCGTCTCGGTGTTTGACATCAGCGACAAGATGGAGTTGCGGTTCGCCAAGAGGACAGACTGACGGGAGCAGCCGCCGTCGTCAGGACAGTCATGAGACTTGATGAGATATGTCATTGTTTTTCGTCGTGGTCGTGACCGTGCGGTCAGGTAGTTACTATTAGTACAGCGCGATAAGGCAAAGGAGGGCCGATGTCCCTGAAGCAAGAATAGCAATAGCAATATGGCCAGGGGGGCCTGATCCAGACCCTCTGCTGATCTGACTCCCGAGTCTGCTATGATACTGCATATGCATCCGGCATTGACACGTCCCCCTGGCTCGCTCCCTCACTCTCTTCTTCAGGGCTCTTTTCCTCGCCCTCTTGATTGTTCTTTTCCTCGCTCGTTTGAGGGCTCATTTCCTCGCTCCGTTGGGGGCTCTTTCCCTCGCTCTGTTGAGGACTCTTGTCCTGGCTCAGTTTGGTGCTGTTCTCGGAAACTGAAACCGAAGTCACCCCCTGGCCAGAACCCTGGCTCTCCTCCTTCACCTTCACCTTGACCATGGCCGCCGGCTTGTACTCATCAGGCAGCTCCACCTTCCACTCCTCCTGGAACTGGCCGGCCTCGAACTCGTCAAAGAAGCCCATCTTGCGCCTCTCGTGGGCCTCCCAGGCCTCGGTCAGCCAGTCCCGGTCGTGCGTGCCGTCCTTGAGGTCCTGCGCGAACCGGGCGCAGTCGTGCCGGAAGTTGTTATCGTTGCGCAGCGACTCGATGTTGGGCCGCGCCTGCGCCGTGCCCGCGTCCAGGACGTGCTGCTGGTCGGGGAAGAGCGCGAGGATCTCCGTCTGCTCCTCCTTGCTCAGGACGGACCATGCCTGCGGGTGGCAGAGGATGGCCTAGGGGGGCATTTTGTTAGTTGTGAGAGGTTGCTTGTGCTAAACGGGTTGGTAGACTCTCTCACCCTGAGATCTGCGGTTGCGAGAGGCGACTTGGAGTCTGTCAATATGAACTCGGCCTCCCACTTCTTGTCCGCTTGGGGCTTTTTTGCCGATCTGGTCGGCATCTCTGAGAAATGTCCGCAGAAAGTGTCTCTATCTGCTCGGGCGCTGACGAGAACGATCGCGTATGGCAACTGAGTGGGTGTTGAAGCTCAGCCTTGAAAGTGTAAGTGGGAATAGCCACTGCTGTTTATGAGGCTGCTCGTAAAAAGAGGATCAGGGATTTATTTTTGGAAGGGCTGAATTCACTAATCACCTCATTAAAGACCGGCCATAAAGAAGAACTTCATCAGTTCTATCGGATATGTGAAAAGAATGAATTGGTATGTGCGGTTTCTCATGAGTCAATGTTGTTCATTGAATCCATAATAGGTAGGTAACGTAAATCACGGAGATGAGCACAATGGGATCTTGGTCTACAGTGACTGTGGGACAATTCCAGGGACCACAAAACACCACCAGCGCCTGAGACACAGGGCCTCACGGGCTTGTAAAATGATTGGCTGGCTCCGCTGATTAGCCTTCACCACCGCTGTTCCAGGAACCTGTTGACACTTTACCCAATCGAGCCCAGCCTGACATGTGGTGCGGCTGCTCTTCGACAATCGTCGCTGGAACTCGATGAACCTCCTTTGCGTCACTCATTGGACTCCGAAGGAAAAAAAGAAAAGGCACACATTGCCGACGAACAAGGCCTGCACCCGCTAGCTGACAACATCATACATCAAACCATTGGAAGTGTTCTTGGATTGGCTACCACACAATCTGGCAGGAGGGCACGCGCAGACCAGACCTCGTGCTCCGAAAGCCACGTATCTTCAGCCAAAAAGCGCGGCCGAATATACGTATCATCCACGATCTCAACCCCTTCGACTCCAGCTCCCGACGCAGAGCTCCGACCTTCTCTGTTTCCCTTTGAGATCAACGGACTCTCTCTCTCCTCCACCAAACGTAAAAAAAAAAAGGGAAAACAAACAGCAAACAAACAGCCATGATCCGCTCGACGCAAATAGCCCGCCTCGACGGGCTCATGCTCTGCGCCTCGGTCGACGACGAGGCCACCGAGTCCTCCCTCTCCGAGGTGAAGTCGCAGGTGAAGCTCGTCCTGCGGCGGCTGAGCCGCAACTCGGAGCCGCAGGCCTCCATCGAGTCCGGCAGCCACTGCCTGCACTACCTCATCGCCGCCGACGTCGTCTACGTCTGCATCGCCGACAAGTCGTACCCGCGCAAGCTCGCATTCACCTACCTCTCCGACCTGGCCGCCGAGTTCGCGGGCACCTACCCGGCCCAGCAGCTCCTGTCGCCCACCCTGCGGCCCTACGCCTTCATGGAGTTCGACACCTTCATCTCCAAGACCAAGGCGACCTACAGCGACACGCGCGCGACGCAGAACCTCGACAAGCTCAACGACGAGCTGCGCGACGTGACAAAAGTCATGACCAAGAACATCGAGGACCTGCTCTACCGCGGCGACAGCCTCGAGCGCATGGGCGAGCTGAGCAGCCGCCTGCGCGACGACAGCAAAAAGTACCGCCGCGCCGCCGTGCGCATCAACTGGGAGCTCATGCTCAAGCAGTACGGCCCCTTCGGCGCCCTGGGCCTCATCATAATCTTTTTCATTTACTGGAGGTTTTTCTAGAAAGAAAGAATGAAGAATAACAAGATAAAAAAGCGCTTGGGGGGGTATATGCCATTCTCCGACAAGAAAGGTCTGGAGAAACAAAACAAGGAATCTTTGGGGGCTTGCGTGTTCTTTTTCTTTCCATAAACAGCATTTGTCTGGGAGTCAAGGAGTACATGATGCGCAGAAACCACCCTCTCAGGAGAGACGGACCTTTGTATAATACGATCATCAGGGCGCATATAGCAGAAAGCAAGCCACGGATTCCTAATAATCCATACACAACAAGCACACCATGACCCTGAACCACCAGGTTCACATACACTGCCTCTCCTATCTTGTCCGAGGCTTGCCTGTATGTCCAATTAGAACAGAACAGAACAGAATAGAACAGTCGCTCCAGCCAGCGACCAATGCCCCCCCATTTCCAAATGTATCCGTAAACGCCTTGCCGATATCATTCCGTCATTCCAGGTCATGCATGGGAGAAATGCCAAAAAGTAGATAATCACATGAGGTTGCAGCTCTTGGTCGCCTTGGGCAGCGACGGGAGCGCCATGGCCGTGTGCTGCCACTCCAGATGCTCCTGGAAGCTCTGCAGGTCCGGGAAGCCAGAGTCGTCCTGCACGTATTTCGTCTGATCGAACTCGTTGTCTCCCTGCTCGTAGTATATGTAGTCGTCGCAGTATGGACACCATAATCTTGCTTGCCAATCGGCGTTCAAAGGCGGTAGATGATTGGCAATGACAAGCGGTGCAAAGACGACTGACTTTTCCTCGCCCGTCTCCTTGCTCCTTGCCGTGGCCCGCCAGTTAGGATACTGGGCGTCTGGGGCCGTGAATCGCACCGTCCGCGTCGAGGGCATCGTCTGTATGTCTTCCCATAGTATGTGGCCGTCACAAAAATCGCATATAAAGGCGATATCTGTCTTTCCTAGTCGTTCGAACTTCCCCACGGTATTGCAATCGGGTATCAACTCCTCCAAGCTCATCCTGCGACGAGGAGGCGGCAGCGGTATCGGATCCTGGTCTGAGTTCCGTCCATCAGACCTTTCCTCGTCTCGCAGCATCCCACGTTGATCTGACGGCCTGCGAGGGCCGCGCTGTTGGTCTCTTTCTCGTTTCTTCTGCGCGTCCATCTCGCGTAGCTTCCGATACACCTGGAATGCGCCAAGACATCTCGTATTTGACTCCTGGTCGGCCGCGAATATGCGATGTGCGGCCCGGCACTGAGCCTGGTGCAACTCTTTTCGGAGCTGGCCCGTCTCCCTGGCCCATATCGGGTTGATAGGCCCACCGGCCTTGAGCCAGTCCTTGAAGTTTTGTGCATGAAAGTCGGCCTTGGTCCGCAGCACTCGGAGCTCTTGAAGTGACTCAACTGCGCAGAGATCTTGCTGTTAGCATACATATCAATGCATTTCAACTTGTCACTGAGCGGGCCACAGAGCAGAGGATGAAGGAATGTCAAGGTCTGTGATCTAGTCATGACCTATCGCATCTCCCATCTGCATAGCAGCCCAGTCCCGGAAGCAAGACAAGAGGACAAGGGAAGTCCAATCCAACCTACTTCTTCGGTCGTTCTCGTAGTAGAATTGGCCGTTCACGAGGGGCGACAGCTGCTGGAAGTCCCGCTTCGCCTCGTCCAGCGCCTGCTCCAGCGCGCGTACCTGCTCGAACTCGTCCGGCCCCCACTGGCGCTTGTCCGCAAACATGAGTATCCGCAGGCCATCATTGAGCGAGGTTGCGATGCTGGCCAGGAGAGATCCGACGGTGTCCGTGCTGCTCATCGTCTAGCCCCGGGTGGCCGCGAATACGTGTCGCATGTGGGGATTTGGGGGCGATTAAGAGGACTGGCGTCAGCGGCGGCGGCGAAGGACAAGCTTTGCAGCTCTTTGCAAGTTTGCCGCTGCTGCTTGGGTTGCGCCCCCGTCGTCGCTGCGTATCAGATGGTTCGAAGAGGCAGCGACTTCGTTCTTCGGCGGGTGTTGTTGGGCCAGATAGCTCTGGAGGAGGCCTCACCTTCAATGCGAGCAGAGGCAAGACTGGGGTGTGTGCACGTTTGGTGTTTGGCGGGCGGATCCTCTCTCTATCTCGGTTCTATCGGTCGCTATCAGGAGCCGACCAGAGTGTTTGTGATCTCAGCAACATGCGGGGCGACCGTCGATTGTCGCACTTCAGGGGGGCAGCCGCTGTGCTTTTGTCGAAGCTGGGGATTGAATCCCTCACTTGCGGTTTATTTGCTCGTATTGGAGTGGGGATGGGAACAGAGTATTCGAACAAGCGTGTACAGTTTAAGAGTCTCGAGAGAGTGTAGAAGTACCTGGAGAAAGTGGATGATGGGCTTGAAGCTCCCACTCGTAGTTACGACATGGCCAATGACGGAAGCTGCACTTCTTTAGCACGGATGGGGGCATTTGACGCCACTAGGCGGCGGAGTTTGCTGCCTAATTGGCGTGCTTACGGCACTCAAAGTGGCGGTTTGATACCGCTAAGTTGGAGCTCAGCGGGATCCATTGGCGCTATCCTGCCTCGACGGCTGAGGCCTAAAGTTAATTTGGAGCAGTAATTCGACTACCGAGGTTGCGCGCCACTTCAGCCCTACGAAATCGAGCAGGCATGGCTCTCCTTGTCTTATGTTGCCTGGTACAAGATGTTGATATCGTGATATTTGGAAGGCTCTTTTTAATAGGTACGTGACACCTGGTGTATCGCACTGGACTTTATGATGTCTTACCGTACAAGTCTACAATGTCTCTCGTCGGTCCCGTAGAATAAACACCGCCCGCCCATGTCCACGGCCTCGAACAGGCACATTCACACCCCTCACCTCTTCAGAGAGACCCTCCCCAATCTCCGGAGGCATGTCAGGCCAGTCCCTCCAGATCTCAATCGCAGCATCTCTGTAGACACCCCCGTGGCGTCCCAACGCAAGTTCTACCACCCTGCGTGCCTGATCCATGTCCCCGACCTCGCACAGCATCGCCCGCGGCCGTGCCACCGCCCCGATTTCCAGTAGGCGAGCGTAAAAGACGTCTTCTGGCCGGCAGTACTCGTAGCCTCCCCGCGGCACCGGCACCTGCGCGAGCTTCGGCTCGAAATTCCGGACGGACCGGGCGGTGTCGCGGGCGAAGCCGTCGCGGGAGATGTAAGGGGGGTTGCAGGTGATGACGTCCCACCGCCTCTGATGGGCCGAGACATCGTCCCAGTCCGAGGAGAACATGTCTGCAAGAGAGAAGGTCAAGGTCTTGCTCGGTGGAGTCTGGTCCTCCAATGACCCTGCCTGCACGTTGTACCGGATGTTCTCCTTTGCGAGAGAGACAGCCCGTGGAGAGATGTCTACGCCTGCTATGTGTAGCTCCTCAAAGGACCCTTGAAGCATGGAGTAGAGTAGCAACGGTATGCATCCTGTGCCCGTGCAGAAGTCCAGGATGTCGAGCTTGCCAGGCTGAGCTCCGGCCCTATCCGAGAGCAGGCCGCTCTTGATCAAGCCCGCCAATTGAGTGGTATAGGCCTCTGGCTCCGGCCTGTCCTGTAGTGTCAATGATATATTCGAAGTCTTGTTGTGGTGGAAACAGGGGCATCTGGTGAAGAGACGGACCTTGGTATGAGCACACCCGGCCTGCATTTGATCTCGAGGTCGCCAAAGGGCTGCGTGCCGAGGATATACTGTAGCGGCACACCTCTGCCCCTCTCCCGACAGAGTGCTGCAACTCTCTGTTCGAAGAGTGCAGGACCCCGTGGCTCAGCGCGAGCGTGGTCGCGGATCCATCTCAGCTCGTTCAAGGCCGAGGGCAGGTCTCTACAGACTGGGAGGAGCGCGGCCGCGTGCGGCGAGATGCTGTATGCCTTTCTGACCAGGCTTGGGCTGATCCTCGGCATGAGGTCTGTGTAAACACACTGGAAAGTTCTGGCAAACGTTCACATATCATCGGGTTCTGTTGGTACCTGGTTGGTGTTGATGCGTTGTGAGTGGTGAAAGGTTCGGGGCGTGGGCCAAAATTTTCAATGTGGATAAGACTAACTAACGCCCGAATGCTCCAGCACTTCAATTACTTGTATAGAGCTGTCGCAGAGCTTCACGAACAAGATCAAAATTTATGAAGTCATTAGGTCATATTCATCGCCGAGAGTCGGGTATCTCTATATCTTTACACTTTATTTTAGAATACAAAGTTTACAAGTTTGCCGCCCCTGACGACAATCGTCTTCTTGGCCGCGTTGACATCTCCCACGCCCGCGGAGCCAGTCAACTTGGCCTGGCCCTCCTCCGTCTTCAAAATCTCCTTGACAACCCACTCCTTCAGGCCGTCGCCCGTGAGCTTAGGAGGAGCGCGCGGGATGTCCACGGCGAACCGCAGTTTCCCGTTGACCTGGACGGCACATGTCTGCGATCTTGATTGCAGCAACGGCAACGTCCCGTCAACGGTAGGGAACGATGCTGCCTGGAAAAGCGACTTTGTCGAAGGGTAAAGGATACTCCAGCACTCCTCGCAGAACGCCGGGGTAATGGGAGCTAGCAGACGGAGAAGGATTGAGAAAGCCTCGGTGCGTACCGCTTGGCTCGCAAGCTCATTGTTCGCAAGAGAGTTGGTCAGGCTCATCAGGTCAGAGACGACGGTGTTCAGCGAATACACCCGCTCGTACGACTCCGTAACCGATTCAACGGTTTTTTGTACATCCCGCCACACCGACGAGTCGGCATCCCATTGCGCAAGCTGTTTCTCATCCATGGTATCGATCAGCTTCGCCTGGCCCTCAAAGTACGCCTGCGAATCAAACGATTCCTGGGGTGCTGTCTTGTTGGCCACAACCATATCATGAATGCGACCAAGCCACCTTGTGACTCCAGAGATCTTTTCCTCGTCCCAAAGCACGACATCGTTCACTGGTGCCTGAAAGAGCATATGAGCTCTCGTGGCGTCCGCTCCGTACTTGCCGATGAACGCCGTCGGGTCGACGCCATTGTGCTTGGACTTGGACATCTTCTCGTAGGTGACTGCGGCCGCCTCTCCGGTAGCCACCACCTTTGGATTCGATGGGTCAGACAGGTCGACTTCGTCAGGCTTCAGAAAGCCACCATTCGATGGGTTAATGTAAGTCTTTCCGTGCACCATTCCCTGAGTGATGAGTCTCTTGAATGGCTCTTGGATGCTTGAGTCGATACTTGCACCCTCCATCAGGGAAGACGACATGAGGGCTTTGTATACGAAACGAGCATAGAGCAGATGGAGAATAGCATGCTCGATTCCGCCAATGTACAGATCGACCGGGAGCAAAGACTTGGCCTTGTCGACAGAGAACGGAACGGCCTCGTTATGCGGATCAATGAAACGCATGTAGTACCAGCTTGAATCAACAAAAGTGTCCATGGTATCTGTATCGCGCTTTGCAGCGCCACCACACTTAGGACAGCTCGTATTGACCCAGTCGTACGCTGTCTCGAGGGGGTTGCCAGCTTTACGCTCAGCCCAGTGACCCTCGACCTCTGGCAGTTCGACTGGCAGCTGATCGTCTGGGACTGGCACAGGCCCGCAGGAGTCGCAGTGGACAATCGGAATTGGGGTCCCCCAGTATCGCTGACGGCTAATCAGCCAGTCTCTTAACCGCCACTTTTCAACAGGCTTCGCCAGCTCGGCCGCTTCCAGCATTTTCACAAGCATCTGCCCCGCCTCTTTGGACGACTTGCCCTTGAAGGGCCCGCTGTGCTCTGTCATGACGCCGTGGTCCACGAAAGGCTCGTTGAGCATGGCAGTTGTTGACTCGTCTTCCGAAGCAGCTAGGACGACTCGAATAGGTTGGTCATAATGATGCTCCTTCCAGAAAGCATGATCACGAAGATCATGCCCCGGAACACCCATGACGGCCCCTTCTCCATAGTCTCCCAGTACATATGGCGCAACATAGACGGGCAGCGATTGTTTGGTGGCGTCTGGGCTCTCGTCGTGGTATGCAAGCGGATTGATTGCGCGCAGATGAGGGATCAGATAGCCCACCTTGCTGTCTGGTGGTAGTCCGGGTAGCGTGTCAAGGAAGGCTTGGAGCTCAGGGTCTTTCTTGGCTAGACTGACGACACTGGGGTGGGTTGCTGCCAGAGCGATGTATTGGACTCCAAAGAGGGTGTCAGGCCGTGTTGTGTACACCTCAATTGATGCAGGCATTTCATGGTCATAAACAAGGAGGGGGAATTTGACCATCGCGCCGACCGACTTGCCGAGCCAGTTATTCTGCATTGCCAAAACTCGTTCCGGCCATGCATCGTCCTTGGAGAGGTTGTCCAGGCCTGTCAAGAGAGCTTCCCGGAATTCCGAGATGCGAAGGAACCACTGCTTCAGCCTGCGCTTCTCGACCTTGGCCCCAGAACGCCACGAACAACCGTTCGCATCGACCTGTTCGTTTGCGAGTACCGTTTTATCTACGGGGTCATAATTGACCTCCGCCTCGGCCTGGTACGCGAGGCCCTTCTCATGCAGAAGGAGGAAGATCTTCTGGGTATGTTTGTAGAACTCGGGGTCGCAGGTAGACAATTCCTTGAGAAGAGTCAGTAAACTGGGCAGATATATGGTTGATGACTTTACAACGTACTCGAGACCAGTCCCAGCTTCCATTCATCAACTGCACCTGTTCCTTCATGCGCACGATATTGTCTTTTGTCCAGGACGCGGGGTTGATGCCTCTCTCGATGGCTGCATTCTCTGCCGGTAGGCCAAAGGAGTCCCAGCCCATGGGTAGTATGGCATGGTGTCCTTGAAGCTTCCGAAAGCGGGCAAGGACGTCGGCAATGGTGTAAACGCGGACATGGCCAATATGTAAAGAGCCGGACGGGTATGGAAACATAGGCAGGACATACGTGCTGTCCTGGCTAGTCGCGGCGTCTGTACTTGATGAATTCCTGTCTGCATCCCACTTCTCCCGCCACTTCTGGTCCAGAGAAGGCAAATCGAGTTTGACATCCGCGTAGTTGCGCCGCTGAATGCGCGGGAGAAGTGCCGCGGCGGTGTTGATGGGAGACGCCCTGAAGCACGTCCATCGTGAGTTTGAAGCTCTGCTTAGCAAGACCTGGGGGATGCGCAGGGCAGGCGACGAAGGACCTATGAGTTTCCCATAGGTTGAAGACATGGCGATCACATTGTTCCAGCTTGGACTGGCAGAGAAGATGCGATTGCAGTTTGGGGAGTTGAGGATGTGCCGGTGGTGAGTGAGCTCATGCCATATTTTTTACGAAGCTCGACCTCTTAGCGGGCACCAGTGACTCCAGCGTGCATGAATGGGTCGAACAGTGTGGGACCGACCCTGACAGCATCGCATTGGCAGGGGTAGCTTAGCTCTGAGGAAGTACCCGCCGGTGAATTTTGGGGGCGATGTCCGCCATTTGATGCCTTGGTGAAACCCGCAGGTACATGCTTACGATCAAAGTCGGAGGGGAAGCTCGAAAAGAAGGGTCTCGTGCCGCATGCAAATCGGGAAAGGAGCTGTTGGCTCCCACACTACCAGCGCCACCCGCAGACCATGTGTTCTGGTGTTACGATGGACTCCTGTGTTTCGTCCTGCTGAACTTCCCTTCTACCCAGACGTCTCGTGCATATACATTGCTTTTAAGCGGACCAAAGAACAGGGGACATGACTGAGGACTGCCTTCTAGACCGGCGGGATCGAGATTCGATGGAATAGTCATCTTTCGTGACTGCATTGGCATGCAATTTTGCCTAGCTGCTGAGGCCTTCCAATTACATGGATGTAAAGTACCTAGGTACTGTGTGAGATCAAGGCCTTTTTGGAAGAAATTGGGAGCGCAGAACCAACAGGCAGGACCTACGAGGTAGGTATCTATGATCTGGTCTCTGGGGTTGAGCAATATGCCCAAGCTTGGGGACAGAGGGCCCTAGATACGATGCCCATGATCATTGATTTCGGTTATGGCTGGGTATTTGCGGATCTTTACTACCTGCCGACTTAGGATTTGATACATACCGTCAGGTCTTCATTCAAAGAGATGGAGGCAGTCAATGAAAACAATTGAAAATATGTCTTCCTTCTGGTGAGAGATACTCCTCGATCCGGTTTGCCATCCACCATCAAGTACTCTGTATCTGAAATTGAAAAAGAGAGAGCAAACAGCACTCGTTCCTTGCAATTCTTGGCAAGGTAATGCGTGGTCCCTAGCGCTAGTAGGTGCGGCACTTTACCTGGAGAGAGGCCTGGAGGGAAATGCCCCTGTGGCTTGGCGCTGGGCTTGCGCCGCACTGACCACGAGTTTAAGGTTCTTTGACCAAGCATAGGCGTGGAAAACATCATCATTGAAACAAGCCTTGGTTCGATGTACAGACAGGGCCACTTCTCCTTTCCAGGTTCTCCATATCCATACTTTCTCCCTTCTCAAATTGCTTAGCTCTTCTTCACCGCGATCGGCACTCAATACCACCCTCGTCGCTCCGTCTCGTTCAGAGTCTTTTAATTCTTACTTTCGATTCCCACTTTGCGCCGTACAAGCCGTCTCTTGTACTTGGCTCCCCCTCCCCCCTCCACACAAAGAAGTACTTCTTGAATACTCGAGCATCTTCTCAGACCAGACATGCGCTGAACGATACGACCGAGTTCACGACCCTCACGATCCCTACGAACTGGCTGCCGACTATTCTTATCCCTTGATACCCGTCCCATAGTCGACGGCCATTTCCAATGCCTCCTCTCTATTCTTCCAACCTCCAGGCAAATACTCGCGACTCCCTGGAGCTCGCCTCCCTCGCCAGCTCCAGTCAAATAGGCCCAGGCACATCGGACACGGATTCTCGACCCAGCATCTCGTCCTCTCGACGGCTTTCTCTTGAGCAAGACGACCCTCTCGACTCCCACAACCCTGCTTCTAATGCGCGACCCAACTATGGACACGGCCGGTCCTTTTCAGTATCCTCAGGCTTCGACATCGCGGCCAACCTCTTTCCACTCTCATCCACAACCGCCGGCGGGTATGCTCCAATAGGTGCACCTACATCGTCATCACAGCCGAACGGAGGCCTGGGTGGCGGGTCTCTCGAGAAGCACAAGACGTTGACCTACCTCAACGGCCTGTCGCTGGTCATTGGCATCATCATTGGCTCGGGGATCTTCTCTGCGCCAAGCCAAGTCAACTCCAATGTTGGGTCGCCCGGAGCAGCCCTGATCATCTGGGTCATCGCTGGTGTTCTAGCCTGGACTGGTGCCAGCAGCTATGCGGAACTCGGTGGTGCCATCCCCCTGAACGGCGGTGCGCAGGTCTACCTCGCCAAGATTATCGGCGAGCTCGCTGGGTTCTTGTTTACTTGGGTCGCCGTGCTGGTCTTGAAACCAGGCAGTGCCGCCATCATCGCCATTATCATGGGAGAGTACCTGGTCCGGGCCTTCATAGGCGCCGAGGCAGAGACGATAAACCCTTGGATCAACAAGTCTGTCGCTATCGTCGGACTCCTTGTCGTCACCTTTGTCAACTGTGTATCCACCAAACTGAGCACCCGGGTGAATGACATGCTCATGTTCCTGAAGTTCATTGCGTTAATCGGCGTCACGGTCACGGGTATAGTCGTGGCAATTACAGGGCATTCTTTCTCCGGATCTGCAAATCTGGACTGGAAGAACCATGAGTGGTTCGAGGGGACCAATAAGAACCTTTCTGGCTGGGCCGTGGCCCTGTATGCGGGCCTCTGGGCCTATGATGGCTGGGACAACGTGAGTTCACGGTACTCATTGCCTTGTTTCGCCAATTGCTAACATATAGACATAGACCAACTTCGTGGTTGGGGAGTTCCGAAACCCCAGTAGAGACCTCCCTCGGGTCATTCATACCGCTATGCCCTCCGTCATCGTTTGCTACGTCCTGGCGAACGTGGCGTATTTTCTAGTGCTCCCCTTTGCGAGCATAAACTCGACAAATACCGTGGCTGTCATGTTCGGCAACAAGGTTTTCGGACCCATTGGCTCTCTCGTCTTTGCGCTTATCGTGAGCGCATCCTGCTTCGGCGCGCTGAACAGCTCGACTTTCACATTTGGGCGTCTCACATACGTTGCTGGTCGAGAAGGCTACTTCCCCTCCGTCCTGGGCCGCATTGGCCTGTCTGCAGACTCGATGGAGCGGGCTTCATTGAGCACTACGCGGACGCGCAACTGGTTCTCAAAGAAGCTTTCGAACCTCTTCGCAGACGAAGATACCGGCCTCTTCTTCACCCCCATATACGCGCTGGTACTGAATGCTCTTCTGATGATCGCATACGTTGTTGTGGGCGAGTTCGGCACTCTGGTCACGTTCTACGGAGTTGCCGGATACACATTCTACTTCCTCACAGTCCTTGGCCTCATCATTCTCCGGGTTAAGGAACCCCACCTGGAGAGGCCTTATAAGACGTGGATCACGACGCCCATCATCTTTTGCTGCGTCAGCTTGTTCCTCCTGAGCCGGACGCTATTTGCTCAGCCGATACAGACGCTGATCGTAGTGGCGTTTGTCGTTGCCGGCATACCGGTCTACTTTTGGCGCATTAAGGGCAGAGACAAGCCGGCCAAGCGAGAGATGGGCGAGTCTGGTGAGGGGAGATCCAGCTGGTGGAAGTTCTGGAAAAGTAGGCATTAGAGGCCACCGACTGGGCATGGTGCTCTGAGTTGGCTAGAACAAATAATAGAACATACCTCAATATTGGGGAAGATGCTTTAATGTTGCTAAAATCTGAGCGAAGGCTTCGTCCTTCTGTGATCATGTAAGACCCTGGGACTTTTGCTTGTTGGTGGAGAGGACACTCGGCTCAGTGAGCGACTCGCCTGAAGCAATGCGGCTCGATTAGGCTCTAGCCACTAACTAGCAGTTGGCGATTAGCGCAATTCTCCAGGGGTCTTTACACCAATGACGCAACTAAAATTATCAATCATCCTCGGATCTCCGAGCCATCCTTGTATCAGACTGATCTTGTAAGCCCCATTGACATAATAATTTTGGGAGCAGCAATGCGCCGGGGACCGAGGACTTGTCTCTTGCAGCCCATGAGAAGGTAGAGAGCCTCGCGGACAATTTCCTCTTCTCAACCGGCCGCCCATGTCTCGAGCCCCGTTCTCCAAGGTCTTGCGCGCGCTGGCCCGCAACGGCCGGGCGGCGCAGAGGAGACCGTATTCGAGCCGCAAAGCGGCGCCGCCCTTCCCGACGGTCCAGAGCTGCCCTCAGCCGACATGCGAGTGCGCGGCGACGCCGCAGATGCCCGACGGCCTGGAGATTGACCACAAGGGCGTGCTGAACGGCAACATCACGAGCTACTACGAGCATGTCCTGATATGCACCGGCAGGACGGACTGGCCTTCGAGGATTGAGGAGGAGAACAGCGGCGACAACCTCGCCGCAGACCTCAAGGAGCTCTTTGGCCGGGGTGGCGTGTATAGTGATGTAGGTCCCTCGTAAAAAGAGCCTTGCTGGATAGGACACGCACTGACAACCTCCAGCCGTATCACAACGTGTCCACCCTGAACTCCTCGTTCCCCTCCTCGGTACCCAGGCGGTCAGAGCTGCAGACCACCTCGGTCTATCTCCTCCCCAGCTTCAAATACGTCCCGTTCCTGCCGCGCGTATCCTTCGACAGCGTCGAGGCTCTGGCCAAGGGGTTTCTGCTACCGGAGAAGCTGCACCCGGCGCACGACGGCCTGTCGCCCATCCACCGCGACCGGCTGACCCGCAAGGCCGCGTACCAGGAGCTGCTGTGGGGGGTGCGCGACGTGCGGGACGTCATGGTGCTCGTGTGCGGGCACGGCGGGCGCGACATGCGGTGCGGCGTCATGGCGCCCGTGCTCGAGGCCGAGTTTGAGCGGCAGCTGCCGGCGGCCGGGGTCGAAGTGCTCCACGGCCCGGTCGAGGCCGAGACCCCGGAGGGCCTGATATCCGGTCCCACGGCCGACGCGGCTGCCCGCACGGCCCGCGTCGGCGCGATTAGCCACATCGGCGGGCACAAGTATGCGGGCAACGTGATCATCTATCTGCCGGGGGACATGACGACGGAAGACGGCCGGGCGCATCCCCTGGCGGGCCACGGGATCTGGTACGGGAGGGTAGAGCCTCGCCATGTAGAAGGGATTATACAACAGACGATCAAGAAGGGCAACATCATTGTCGAGCTGTTTAGAGGTGGTATAGATCCGAAGCGCAACATATTACGATTATAGACGTCTTTGTATGGAGTAACGAAGGCTTTGTACTATATATTACCCAAAAGTCATCTCTAGAGGTGAGTGGCTATAAGATTTCAAGTCTAATAGAATTCAAATTCCGTAATATGCAACATCGGCAAGGCAGTATGGTTGAGATTGAAGATGCAATTGTCTTCATCACGGTCCCACGTGACCACGCGATGCTTCACTGACATCGTCATCCCGGACCCTGATTTTTTTGCGCACTTTTGCAGACGAACCACAGATACCGCCAGAGAAAGAGATTTCATCTCCAAGCTGCCCATCATGAATGGGACACCAGCGGCTCGAGATGCTATGTCGGCAATCTCTCGTCTGGTACCGCACAGTGCTCGTGCGATTGGGACGGTGTGTCGAGATAGTCGGAGGCAACGGGGACTTATACATAGACTCCAACTCCGACCGGGCAACAGCTCGGTGCCTTGCAACGCTTCAAGAGCAACCTCCCGATGCTTTTCAAACTCCCCGAACTCACGGTTCCGGGAGACCAAGGCCTATGCGACTCCAGAAGGCAAGGGTACCGAACCCCCCAAAAATTCAGAACAAGCCAGCCAGCAGTTCGCCAAACGACCCAAACGGGGGCGAAATGCCACCCTCTTCCTCCTCTCCGCGGTAGCCATAGTCGGCATAGCCGGCACCGGCTTCGAGGACCAGCCGGGCATCCCGCTCCTCTCGGCGCAGGGCCTCCTCGCCCTGCGCACCCGCCTGCTCTACGGCGACCCGCTCAACCAGGATCGCTTCGTCCCCTTCACCATCGTCGACCGCGAGCAGGTCTCGCCCACGGCCTTCGTCATCACCGTGCGGCCCAAGCACGCCCGCACCGACGACTCCCCTACCACTGGGTTCCGTGGCGGCGGCGGCGCCCTGCACGCCAACGAGGACGTCGTGCGCGACGCCTGGAGGCACGGCCTCTGGGCCGTCGAGATCAAGCAGCCCCAGCTGCAGGTCGCGCGCGACTACACGCCGCTGCCGCCGCGCCGCGGCCGCGCCGACGCCGAGCTGCGGCGCGGGGAGCTGCGGTTCCTCATCCGCCGCATGCCCAGGGGCGAGGTCTCGTCATACCTGTCGGCCTTGCCCGTCGGGGCCGACGTCGAGCTGCGCGGGCCGCACTACGGGTTCGACCTGGCGGCGCGCATGCGCCTCAACGAAGGCGAGAGGAGCAGTGGCGCGCCGGCCCGCGCGGTCTTCCTGGCCGGCGGGACGGGCATCGCGCCTGCGCTGCAGGCCGTCAGGGCGATCCTGGGTCCCGAGGAGGGCGTGGTGCAGGCAGATACGGAGACGGTTGGGGGTGGGCGGCCGGGCCCGGTCGTGGATGTCTTCTGGGCGAATCGCATGAGGGAGGACTGCGTCGGCTGCGGCGACGGCCTCGCCTCCTCTGCTCCTGGGCCAGTCGACGGCAGTCATGCTCCGGGCGAGCCGCTCCCCGGGTCGATCGTGGACCAGCTGCGCGAGATGAAGGCGCAGTACGGCGACCGGCTCGACGTGCGGTGCTTCGTGGACGAGGAGCGCAGCTTCATCGGCGCCAGGGCTGTCACGGCGGCGCTGCAGCCCCAGAAGAAGACCAAGGGCGGCTCGCGGGAGGCGGCGCGCCAGGAGCCAGACTGTCGGTACCACGATGCGAAGATCCTGGAGTGGACCGATACGGACGTTTTGAGGACGGACGGCGGCGAGGGAACCACGGCTTGTTCATGCGGCGGGAAGAACCTCGCGCTCGTGTCTGGCCCGGATGGATTCATACAGGCCTTCGCCGGGCCCAAGAGGTGGGCTAACGGCAAGGAGCTGCAGGGCCAGGTGGGAGGCGTGTTGGGCGAAGTGAGGCGGAAATACCCCGATTTGATGAAAGATTGGCTTGTGCTGAAGCTTTAGACTGTACCATCACGATGTTAAGATTATCTTGTATACAGAACAGTGTATCGTGGCTTGTCACGGTTTGGATATAGACATGGGGAAATGCAATGTAATAAGTAAGCAAGGCTCGTTTCAGCCCAAGTGAATAGAGGAGAACTGAGTGCAGTCCGCTTGGTATTCCCATTAAACGCTCAATAATGCTAAGTCATCGTACTCGGTCTAGATTACTGCTCAAATGCTCTGGACCTTTCTATACGCCGGCGGCTTCATGGTCCGCCTAATCAGTTTTCCAGCATACGGCGGTATCAACGATATAGACCCGATAGCAAGAACTCGCCAGACAAAACCCCTAGAAAGAAGAAGAAAGATGTTAGCACCAGAAGCTTATGGCAGATATGCCTGGAACGCGGGAGTGAGGCTGCTTACCAACTAATAACGAACTCAAGGTCGAAATACCCCCCGAGGAATGGCACAGATCCAGCAAAGAGGAGGAACGTGCCAACGATACATATGATCATAACCGGGTGCCAGGTCGTGATCTCGATGGCCACCATGAGCAGCTCGTTCAGCACGAGGACCGTGTAGCTGACCGTCACCATGCGCTTGCTGTCGACCTCGGTGAAGATCTGCGACAGGCCCTGGATCATACCGCCCTGGTAGATGGAGACCAGGACCCAGATGAAGAAAGTGCGGTAGGACAGCGACCGGCCCAGGGTGAGCTCCTTGTAGAGCTCCGGGTACAGGTTCGCCACGTTCTCGTCGACGTCCTTGTCGAGCACGAGCGAGAGCACGGGCATGGCCGTGTAGACCGTCGCGTAGCCGACGAGCAGCCAGTCCTTGTACAGGCCCTCGGGCTCGAACTTGATGGCGATGCTGTACATGGTCTGGCACACGGCGATAATGAGGCCACGGTGGATGACAAACTGGGCGAGCTTGGCGCTGCGCTTGTAGCTGTTCCTGCCGTGCCACACGAGCAGCTTGGTCAGGTGGTGGAACTGCTCGATGGAGAAGTCGGCGGCCAGGGAGGCCTGTCGTCCCTCCTTGCCGACGATACCCACGCCGACATCAGCTGCCTGGATCATGGATACATCGTTGCCGCCGTCCCCAATACAGCAGACGCGCTTCTTCGTGTACTCCTTGATCAGCTTGGCTACCTCAGCCTTCTGAGTGGGCGAGCATCGGCAGGCAACGACCGTGGGCAGCTGAACCGCCACCGAGATAAACTCGGTGCGGAAGTGCGTCAAGAACAGGGCGAGACTCTCACCGTCTATGAGAAGGCAAGAGTCGGTCTTGGTACGGAGGAAGTCAAGATGGTCTTGGGCATTGTCTTTCCTCTTCAGCTTCGCAACGGTGTAGATGTACTGACCGCGGGCCACCAGCTTGGAGCTCACGGCCACACAGCGCGCCGTCTCCACCTTGTCACCAGTCAACATCCAAATCTTGATGCCGGCATTGCGGAGGAGTTCCAGGGAGGGCTTGACGTCCCGCTGGAGCTTATCTTCGACCCCAGTCACGCCCAGCAGCTCCAGGTCGTTCTCCAAGTATTGCGACACAACGCGCTGCATGCCCGCATCGCGGCCGGCGATCGCAAGCGACGCCTCCTGGTAGCTGGAGGAGAATTCCTGGTACTGCTGAGGGGAGAGCTTCTTGCGGCCGACGACCAAGGTTCTCAAGCCCTCCCGTGCCATATTTGACGTTTCCTCGTCAAGCCAATCATTTGAGGCGACAATCGCGCCCATGACTGTGTCAGCACCCTTTTGGTAGAACCAAATTTCGCCATTGCTCAGAGGGGGGTTGGTCTCTGTGGTTCGTTGGCAGAATTGGACGATGATACCCATTCGCTTGCCTTCTGAAGTGAAAGGGAAGACATCAAGGATCCTGACCTGCACAACAGGCCTACCGGTCTCTGGTGACTCCAGGATCATTCCCTTCCGATCTCGATAGGCCAGCCGCAGACCGACGGCTTCGGTCCACTTGACAATGGCGATCTCGTCAGGGGAGGATGCCTGATACGAGGTGACCATCTGGCCATCCTCCTCATCCACCGTTGGTGTGACATTATGGCAGAGCGCCAGAGCCAGGACGACATCTCGAACGCGAGAACCGATCTCGCGACGTTGCCTCGTCACCCCGGCACTGGCCGTGGTTGTAATTGAAGACGGTGTGACCAAGGCGGTATTGCTCGATGGGTCCGTAGACGGTGGGATGTGAAACCCCTGCTTGATATAACTGACGACCTCGTCCATGGCCTCATTAGCATAGGACACGGTGCCGACGTGGATCTTCTTCATCTCCATCTCGTTCTGCGTAAGGGTGCCGGTCTTGTCGCTCAGCAGGTATTCAATCCGCCCAAGGTCCTCCGGAATAGTGCTAGTGCGCACGACTGCCCCTGGTATTCCGGGATCTCTTTGTATGAACCACGAGTAGACACTCTTGCCCAGATCTAGGTTGACTCGCAGACTGATGGGCACGATGGTCGAGAATAGCACGAGAAAACGCATGATCTTGACGTACCACACGTTGCCTTCCGTGTTGCCGAAACCCTCTAGTGCGACCAAGATGACTGAGAGTGCCAAGGTCAATGCACAGAGGATCTTAGTAAGAGAGTTGATCTCGTATTCTAGAAGACCCGTTTTGGATCTTGAGGGTGCAGTCGACAGAGCAGATCGGGTCTGGGGGCCCGTGTATATGATCATTGCCAAAGCAGATGCGTGCGAAGCTATGATGGTGTTCGCCCACGCGGTGTTGTCAATGGACAAGGGGGCTGTGTTGGACTGGTCATCGTGAGTCGGGAGGCTTGCGGCATTGTTCATAGCATCTTCTCTCGAGGAGAGGAGCTCAATCGTGCCGACAAACTCGTTCACCTTTTTATCCGGCTTGCCTCCAGTGACGCGCAGTCGAACAAGCTCTTCGTTTGGTAGTTTCTGTGAGAGCGGCGAAGCAAGACGCAGCTTCCAGTCTGTCTCACCGTCCAGTTGATCTGTTCTAATGAAGACTTCCCCACTGGGCCCAGCGTGATCATCGCTAGGAGATTGTGTCTCCTTGCCCTTGCCGGCTTGCGATGTACTAACCGCTTCTTCTTCAACATGGTCAAGTAGAAGAGGCTCGCTTTGCTGTTGTGGCTCTTCAACGGCGGCAGCCGCAGCATGAGCGGTGTCTTGGGCGATGCACTTCAAGATGATGACATCGGCAGGGACTCTTTGGCCTTTGGCCAGCTTCAGCACATCGCCGACCTTGAGGTCTCGCGACTTCTTGGCGATCTCAACTACCGAGGAGGCGGGATGCCTGCGGACACCGTCACCCTCGGCTTGCTCCTCTTCCTCTTGGATATCTGACAGTCGGTCCCTCTCCGGAGCTTGTCGTTTTTGACCCTTGTGCAGAGACGCCGATTTCAACTTTTTCTGCGGACGATATCTCTGCGCGGAATTGTCAGGCTCGTTAAACTGAAGCACGGTATATGCTTCGGCATTGGCTTCATTGTCCCGTTTCCTTCTCTCGATGTCGTCGTATGCTTCCTTGCCAAGGGTGATGACCAGCACGAATGCCAGGGGTGCAATGTAAGTAGACAGATAGCCTATTCGAAGCTGCGGGATGGCCTGTGAGAGTGCGACGAGGAGAAAGTACATATTAAAGAAGAACGAGAACTCGTTGTAGAGTGTCACCGGCAGGAAGGAGAAGGCCGTGTATTTGGCGTTGGATACGAGATTTGGCGGGAATCGTTTTGACCGGGGTGAGCCCACGGCGACAAGTCTCGAGGAAGAGGGGTCGTTGTCTTCCTTGTCCTGCTCATTGTCGCTGTCGTCAATGTCACGCGCGCTGGCGGATGACATGAAGCTCGGTAGTCGCAAGCCACTCCTCAAATTCTGCAGCCTGTCCTGAGCAAAAGATCGCCGCCTCCGGTGCCCTCCCTCGTTCAGTAAAGGGGCGTCATCTCCATCGCTGGGTCTACCATCAGAGTGGCTGGAGGAAGGACCATCGGCGTCGCCGAGGAGACCTCGTCCATCATCGTCCAGCCCATCCCGGCCGTGGCCGAGCTCTCCATACCCCCGTGTCCGGTTGCCAACCCGTCGCAGACCACCCATACGAAGATTGCGCAAAGCTATTCTCGGTGCTCTCTGCTCTGCGGTTTCTTGGTTCTGGCCTAGCAGGCCGGATCTCCGGGGTTGGGAGGTAGTCTTTGGGTCAAGCTCCTCGAGATCGATTTCGAGATCGGAGTCGGAGTCGGCGGAAGGCGAGTCGGGGGGGTCGGCAGGCTTGTAAGACGCTGGAGAAGGCATCCCGCAATGGGCAGAAGCCCCGATGGTAGGGGGTTCCGCCGCTCGTGTAGAGTCAGAGTTGCCTTAGTTGTTTACTAGCTGCGGATGCGGCTCTGGAGATCGAAGCTCAAACACATGATCCTCGCCCGCTGTCGACGAAGAGCACAACTAATGATGCGCGATACTGCGGACCAGCAAAGGACTAGAGTGTTTGTATGGTGAAGAGGCGGTATGGTTCACGGAGGCCTTTGTCCGTGAGTGCTGTAGCCTGTTCTCGTCTTGAAAGGGACAGATTCGAGCTTCCGGTACGGTGTGGTTGAGCACATGCAGTTCAAGGGCACACGAGCCAGATTTCCGTCGTCTTAGCTGACTTGCTGCCATGCAGGTTGAGACAGGGGCGGCGTCGCGGCGCGGTAGGGATTACGTCGCTCAAAGGATGGATCCAATGGATGTTGCAGCAGCAGCAGACACCTGACAGGCCACTGCAGCCGAATATCCCTGTCAAGTCTACCAGGTAGTACCGCTAATTATAAGGTGACTTGGTCTGTGGCTCCCGCTGCGGCACTACATCAAGTATTAGGCTAGTGCCTGGTACTCCACGTCCCCACACGGGCCACTATGACGGGCACCGGAGCACGGAGCTTACAGCAGGTAAGGACAGCTATGGCATTTCTGGACCAGTGCTGTGGCTCGCTATTTCTTGGACGACACGAACCCCGGCAAGGGCCTGGATCCATCCCTCCTAGGAGAGAAGCACGATCTAGGCCAGGTGTAATTTCATCATTTGCGAAACTTTCCCAAACCCTTTCGCCTCATCCTCTCCTGGGAGCCCCGAGGCCATCGCACCGACTTCTTTCTTTATTCTTCTTCGTGAAGCGTGCTTTCTAAATGGCGAATTCCTCTTAGACTCCTTGTACACGTAAGTCTTCCCAGTGGCTGTCGGGCCATTGTGCGCATCCCGTCGTGCAGAGGCCAATGCCCCGGACCTGCCGTCCCCTGCCCCTTTCGCGCGCCGCGATCCAAAACCCGGCCTACTGACGCATGTCTTATCAGTAATTTTCTGTCCTGCCTGTTTTCTTGCCTGATTGCACGACGACTCTGCTTCATAGCCGCTTCACAGCATGTCCTCGGACGCGCCCACTGCGGCATGGCATCCGGCCTTGATGCCCCATACAGCTGCCGATATCGTACCAGACAAGCTGCCGAGTGAAGAAGCAGCCGTGCCCTCATCTTCTACCGAAGCGAACAAGGACGACGTCGCATACGCCACAGGACCAAGGCCTGAGCCCAACGATGTCCAAGGCCATGAACATACCCGGAATTCTGCAGGCGAAGACTGGTTTCCCGAATACGAATCTGCGAGTCCCTGGCTTGACCAGCCCTCTGATCAGCCATTCCCCTCGGGCGAAACTGCTGCCGAGGTGCAAGCGGAACATCATGAGGATGATGTAGAGGACCAAGCCTTCACTTCCTCCAATGCAGCGAAGCATGCCAGCACCATTTCGTTCGCTCGGACCGTTTCGCATGATGTCAACTTCGATGGAGATGATGAAGACCCGGAGTGGAATCTGCCGAGGACCGACACCGATCCTTTCAAGTTCATGCCTCCATCGGACCGAACGAACTCGTTCCCTGTTGTTCCGCCGGTTCCTCAGGAATTGGCGAAAGGTACAGACCACTCTCTGCCCTCAACTCAGGTTGAGGGTCTTATCAACAAGGTCGAGGAAGATGCCGCAGTTTTGCAGGAGACAACTCAACATGCGGGCAGCGCAGCAGCAACTACTAGCTCGAGGAGTGATCAGTCGGCAGGAAATGAGGCTGAGGTTCAACATAGCATGGGGGGCGACCTCATGGGCTCGAGAGAAGAAGCTTCAGATGAACGTTATGCCGAGGGACTTCCTCTCATCTCGCGGGCTGCAACCGCCAATGAAGCTCCCGTTGAACACGCAGCACAGGCCGACCCCTTTGGCGAAGCTGATGGGCCCGAAGACGATGACTTCTTCAATAACATTGGTGCTGGAGAAGAATCTATACCCGATGTAGCTCCTGAGCCGCACTCCTTGGAGCGGAAGTCGACAATGCAGGTCATTGACTCGATGAACTTCGGAAAGCTAGATAGGCACGATACGGGACTAGACTCCATGGCAGAAGTCGCCGAGTCACCGAATGACGAAGCGCCCGCCCCAGTTCCGGCACAGGTCGAAACTGCAGAGCAGGCTACTACTGTGGAAGACGCCCCTGAAGGCGGCGACCTTGCTGCTAAATGGGCTGCTGCTTTTGCCAGCGATGATGACGAAGAAGACTTTCTTCTGGAAGACACCACTGCGGAATCAAAAGAGATCGATCCTGCTGCTTTCTTTGGAGATGACGACGAAGGATTTCTCGACGATGCCGAAGAACCCGCAACACAGGACCAATCTGTGGCTTCTGTCCCCAGAGGAGTGGCCAGCAGTTCAGGCGCCCTGGCAGGTTCCCGATACGTTCCCTCGGGGGCGGCACCGGCTCCGTCCCAGGCACCGAACCCTTATTATCCAAACAGCGCTGCACAAATGATTCAACCCCCAACTCCATTTTCGTATGGTGCTCCAACTCCAGCAGCTCCTCCGTTCCCTGGAACCGGTCCCCAGCAAGCCGATGCTGCTCGCCCGGAGCCCAGCAAAGCCCAGAGTTTTGTCGATAAGTCCAAGGGAGGCTATCATTCGCCTTACGATCTTCCCATGGAAGTTGTGAAACCGAGGAAACGACAGAGTCTTCAGCATCTGTCCAGTGCGCCATCCCATCCTGCACCGCCTCCCATGGCACCTCCGCCGAGGAGCTCTAGCATGCAAAGCCCTACTCGCGCTTTCTCGACTACAAGCTCGCCTCCAAGCTCAAGCCATGGCATTCAACATGCTGCTGGTTCCAAACCGCCGGCAGAGATGAAGAAGCATAAGGAGAGCTTCTTTGAGGAACTGCCCATGTCTTCGAGACCGCGACCTGCATCGAGGCATAGCCATACCAGCCAACCTTCGCCAGCTTTAAGCAGCCCGTACGGAAATATACCGCCTCCACAAGGGCCGCCGCATCCGTCGCAGCAACTCCAATCCGGGCATCATGACACCTCTATTATCTCACCACCTCCGTCTCAACAGACACACAGCCAACCCCCCGGAGCGAACATACCAAATCTCGTCCCCCCGGAGCGAGTCAGTCCTTATGCGCCTCTGCAATCTGGCAGTGGGCCTCAGACGAGCATGCCACCAGCAGCGAGCAGCACGCGTTACTCTCCAGCTCCTCCGCCACTCACTCACGCACACACGACGCCATCTGCCCCACCGTCCACCCGCTACTCACCAGCTCCCTCTTCGCGAGCCACATCAGGAGGCTACAACGTGGCGCCCCCTCCTATCCTTCCTCATCAACCCCGAACATCTAGTCCACTGGCACACTTCGAGATATCTAGCGATCGTGCGGCGCGGCCTCTGCATACCAGTCACAGTGACAGCCATATTGAGCAGCGGCGCAGTAGCTCCTCGATGTATGAGTCCAGGTTGAACAGGGTACCCTCACTGCCGCCGACCAGGGAGGTTGACGAGGAGGACACTGCTCGCCAGCCAGGTGCTGACAGTGGTCCTCCACCGCCACAACAGGCGATGCCGTACATGCCTCGACAAACACCACCCCCTCAACTACCAAACTCGCAAGCTACGCTTTCTCCTCCCAAGCGTGTTTCCAGCTATGCACCTCAACCCCAGACATCTTATAACTCCCAGCATCCTGAGTTCGCCCCCCCACCTCGATCTCATACCCAATCTCCAGGCTCACTCTACGGCAATCGTACGGGTGGGAGGCAACCCGAACCAGTGCCCCGGCCTTCTTCGGTCCATGACCCAACATCTCCACGAAGCAGTGCGCCACCACTCTTCACCGAGACCGTTCCCGCAAGTTCGAGGGCCAGCAGGCCTCGCGGTTTCTCACAGAACTTAAACCTTGTTCCTCCTACAGATGGCCGCGAGCATGATCCGTTACAACGGTGGAAGGGTTGCCCAGTCATTTCTTGGGGCGTTGGAGGCACGTTGGTGACCTCGTTCCCAAAAGATGTGCCGCGATATGGTATGAACCAGGCGCTCCCGATGATCATTCGAAGCCCTGGTCAGGTCAAGATGAAGAGCATAAAGGAAATGGAGCCTCTAGAGGAGCGACTCAACAAGTTCCCAGGGCCGCTGAAGGGCAAGTCCAAGAAGAAGGAGGTCCTAACTTGGCTGAGCGCTGGAATCGAGACCCTGGAGCGCAGCTCACCGAGCTCGACCTTCCAAGCTTATTTGTCGCATGAAGATAAGCGTGCTGCAGAGCGTATTCTGCTCTGGAAAGTCCTCCGCTTGTTGGTGGAATTCGATGGGACCTTGGACGGAAGTCCAGCAGTGGAGAAGGCTGTGCGTGATGTTCTCGTCCCTTCGACTGGGACAGTTGATCCCACAGCCGCCTATCAGGCTGGCGTTAATGGTGGTGCCGTCACGCACTCTTCTCTCACTCAGATGACACCTGACGCCGTTGACTCACCCGTCATTGAAGAAATCCGGGCCAGTCTTCTCGCAGGGGACCGTGAGAAGGCGGCGTGGGATGCTGCCGACAAACGTTTGTGGGGGCATGCTCTCCTAATTGCTAGCTCAGCATCTCCAGAGCTCTACAAGAAGGTCACGCAAGAGTTTGTGCGCAAAGAGATCAACTACCCTGGTCACCAGAATGAATCCATTGGAGCGCTCTATGACATCCTTTCCGGCAATCACGAGGAATGTGTCGACGAGCTTGTACCGGTACACGCACGCGCTGGCTTGCAGCTGATGGCGACGAATCCTACTTCGGCTACGTCCAAGGATTCCCTTGAGGGCCTTGATAAGTGGCGTGAGACTCTTTCTCTGGTCTTGAGCAACAGAAGCCCAAATGACACGAATGCACTCCGTGCCATGGGCAACCTGTTGTCCGGCTATGGTCGCGCTGAAGCTGCGCATATTTGTTTCCTCTTCGCCCGTGATGTCTCCGTCTTTGGCGGATTGGACGACCCCCAGGCGAATTTTGTCCTCGTTGGGTCCGACCACAGGAGACAGGTCGACCAGTTCGCCAAAGAGATCGAGCCGCTTCTTCTCAGCGAGGTCTACGAGTACGGTCTTTCTCTGGCTGGCGGTCTGAACGCCGCAACAGGAAACCCGCATTTGGCAGCCTATAAGCTGCAACATGCCATAACGCTCTCAGAGTATGGCTTCAGGGACAAGGCGTTGCAGTACTGTGATGCTATCATAAACTCCATCACTGCCCAAACGAGGCGGTCAGCTTATCACCATGCTGTGCTAGAGGGAGCCGTTGAAGACCTTTACAAGCGACTCAAGCAAGCACCCAAGGGCGAGTCCAACTCGTGGATTCCCAAGCCGAGCATGAATAAGGTATCTGACTCGATGTGGAACCGGTTCAACAAGTTTGTCGCTGGCGATGAGGCAGAAGGGGCTGCAGACGGCGCAAACGGAGAAGGCATGGAGTCGGGTCCGTTTGCCCGCATCCCTGGCGGAACGCCAACTATCAGCCGACCCGCCTCCTCGGCCGGCGCCACAGGCATGGAGATGTTTGGCTCCCAAGCCAATCCGTATGCTGCTGCGCAGTCAAGTGCTCCTGCAGTGCCCCCCCCTGCGCCTACAAGAGCTGGGTCTCGATATGCACCGGCTACGAGTGCTGCTCCCGCCGCTTACGAGCCCGGCTCATCATACACGCCAGCTGGTCGATCATCCATGGAGAGGTCATCTGGAGAGTACAACCGAAGCTCCTACGAACTGCCTCGCCGTTCAGGAGAGTACAGTCCTGGATATGCGGCGCCGAGTGGAGCCCAGAATGGCAGTGTGCCGTCTCCTGGCTATCAGCAGCCACAGCAAGCCCCTCAGCACTCACCCTACGCACCCTCGTCTCAGACTGATCTCCACGCTCAACAACAAGCTCAGGCAGAGTATCCAGGTTACAATGCCGACTCGGCCACCAACGGATCTCCGTACGCACCTGCTCCCGCGGTGCAAGTCAGCCCTGCCAAGGTAGAGGACGAGACGCCAGTGACCACGGGCTATCAGGCTCCGTCCTATGGCTACGAACCCCCCTCAATCAATACCTCCTATGAGCCGCCTTCGGCCGGGACCGAGGAGAAGCAGCCTGAAGAGAATGCGACTGGTGGCGGATACGAGCCACCCTCGTTCCAACCATATGGCTACGAACCGCCTTCATACAACCCTGAACCCGACGCTGCCTCTGATGACGAGGCCAGGCCCAAGAAACCCAAGAAGAGCTTCATGGATGACGACGACGATGACATCCCGGCCCTAAAAGCCCAACCCCAGGGAAAGACCAAGGAGGAGAAGGACAGGGAGAACGCCGAGCTGTTCCGCAAAGTGGCCGAAGAGGATGGTAAGCTTACCCTCTCACCTGCGTACATCGGGGATGCACATAAGCTCTTCCATGAACACAATGACTAACGATATCTCTTCTTCTCCAACAGCCAAACGCGCCGAGGCCGAGAAGGCAGCCAAGGCCAAGAAGGGCTGGGGCCTGACGTCGTGGTGGGGCGGCAGCGGCAAGAAGGAGACGTCGCCGTCCCCGGACCCCAACAAGCCCATCCGCGCCAACCTCGGCGAGAAGAGCAGCTTCTACTTCGACCCGGAGCTCAAGCGCTGGGTCAACAAGAACGCGCCGCCCGAGGAAAGCGCCGCCAAGAAGGCCACGCCGCCGCCGCCGCGGTCGGCCCCGCGCTCCGCGACCAACACGCCCCCCCCTCCGGGCGCAGGACCTCCACCGCCGCCGCCCATGGGCGGCGGCGCCGGCTCCTCCCTGCCGCCCTCGGCCTCGCTGCCGAACCTCGCTGTCGGCGCCGGCCTGCCGCCCAGGAGCAGCGGGAGCGACGGCAGCGGCGGCGCGGGAGGACCCCCCCTCGGCGGGCCCGTCGCGATGCTGCGGTCGGGATCGAGCGGAGGCGTCGGCGGCGGAGGGGCGGCGGCGACACCGCCTCCCAGCCGGCCGGCGACGAGCATGAGCAACGCCAGCAGCATCGACGACCTGCTCAGCGCCGCTGGGCCGAGGAAGCCCGGCGCCAAGAAGGGCCGCAAGGCGGGCCGCTATGTCGATGTCATGGCGAAATAAAGCGCGACACATTGTTGTTGTTGTATGAAACAAGATGAGATGGGACGAACGGGAGTTTCTAGTGTGTGTATGTGTGCTTGCTTGTATGGGATATTTCCATCACCGGAGGAGCTCGGGAGGAACAGCTGTGATGATGGATCGATTCAAAGGTTCATGGGGAACAAGGGGGGCCATGGATGGCCCCCTTTTTAGTCGCGACTTGTTGTCCGGTTTCATTGTATCATAGAAAGGACAAGCACTTTTTTCTATTATTACCCCCCTATACGCAATGTTGTAATGTACGATATCCTTCCTTCTCAGCAGGAGAGAAGGTGCTGAATTCTCGAGTATCTTGTCAAAACTCCATGTAGGGCAACGCCGTAAGCCAGGTGATGCACATGTCCAAGCTCACAGGGCACACCGAACTTTATACACTATCATTTGGGAACAAGGTAAAAAGCGACTTCCTCGCTCACGCGCTGAACGATGAGACGTAGTACTAGATGACAAGAGTCAGTGATCAGAAGTTATTCACCATCGAGACAAAAAGCGTTCGCGCTTGTTTGTGTGTCCCAAACGTACCGTGACGACACTATCGTCCGCGGCAGCGTCGTCGTACTGCGGGACGTAGACGTAGAGGATGAGGGCGTGGTCGTCGGCGAAGCAGGCAATGACCCTGCCCTCGAGGCGGCCGACGCTCAGCACGCGGCTCCAGTCCTTGCCGTCGACGCGCACCGTGGCCCACCTGTCGGCGCCGGCCTCGCGGAAGCGCGTGCTCGGGTGCTCCTCGAGCGGCATGGCCAGCTGCGCCGGGTCGAGCTCCGGGTTCTCGAGCCCCGTCCAGACGCTCTCGATGTCGAGCGTGTCGGTGGCGATGCGCAGCCGCAGGCTGCCGTGCATGTTGGCCGAGAGCTCCAGCTTCGGCGAGGCGGCAGCCCCTCCGGCGGCGGCCCGGCCGGCTGTAGCGCCGCCGCCGCCACCGCCGCCACCGGTTGCCGAGGTGGAGGTGGTGGAGGCGAGCTTGGTGAAGCGGTCGGATATGGCCTTGAGCTGGAGCAGGGGCGGCAGCTGGATGTGGACGTCGGGCTCGCGGACCTTGGGCTGCATGATGGTCTCGACCGTCTCGGGGTGGAGCACGCGCACGGGGATGTCCTGCGTGATGATCTTCTCGTGCTCGCGCTTCATGGTCAGCTCGAGCGACTCCTGCTGGAAGACGCCGTCGTCGGCGAAGGGGTCGTTGTCGCCGTCGTTGTGGCCGCCGCCGAAGGGGGGCCTGTTGAAGCCGCCGCCGCCGCCCGGCTTCTCGTTTGTGTTCGTGTGGATGGTCATGCTCAGCATCGGGACGCCGTCGCGCTTGGTCAGGCGCAGGTTGGCCTCGGTCGCGTTGATGGCTGAGCGCAGGGCGCGCTGGAGGGGGCCGAGGGGCAGCTCGAGGTTGATGGTGTTGCCGGCCTCGGCGGACTGGATGTGGTAGTTGTCGAACAGGACGTCCATGGAGAGGGACCTGGTGTATGCACTTTCAGTAAGTCGAAGAGCCGCAGCGTGGGTGGGAGATGGAAGGGGAGTGCTGCTCACGCCCAGACTTGGGACCCGGTGTCCGGGATGACGGTGAAGCGTGCCGTCTCATCGTCCAGACGGACCCAGGCGATCTTCTCGAGGGAATTGAGTGCCGCAGTGAGTTCTGTAGCGTGAGCGAGGGTAGGTTAGTATCTAGGCCTTCGCGCGATTGGCATGGGTTGCATCACTGACTCGAAAAGGTGCGGACATTTTTCAGCTCCGTCTTGAACCGCATTTTGACTGATGTACAGACGCGTCGGTTGGCCTCATAGTCTCGACTATCCCCAGACGCAAGACGAAAGACGCAAGGTGCCAAACACGCTGTGAGTATCGCGTTGCCGCGAAGTGCACTTCAAGAAGGGAAGCACGCGAGCAGAAGAGGTCACTAAGAAATACCGATGATGATGAAACGCTCGCGATCGATATCAATTAAAGGCAGGCAGGCGTGGTGCAGTCACGCCTATCAATCAATCCGTGGATGGAAACGATGCGGGGTATCCTAGCACATTTGGAGTAAGATCCCGCCTCGGACCCCCGCTGTTCCCGCTAACTAGACCCTGTAAATCGTGCCTTAAAAAAGAAACCCCACTGCCTCCGTGTCCCGCGGCCGTAATAATTCCAAGCTACCTGACCCCAAGAAGCTTTCCCAAAGCTCGGGTCTGTCCGTGGATGGATGGATGACGAAATATTCCAGAGACGTGAAGGGGAACAGGGAGATCCTCATGCTTGCGTCGTCCAAGTTGTGGTGTTCCCATATTAGATGGATTCAGTGGACGTTCTCGCTCGACAGAGCTGCCTAGATCGAAGGCGGGGGATGATATGCAGCAGTGATCGAGTCGGCGGGAGTATGGGGGATGTCAAATATCAGGGAAGAGTAGATCTGGCATTTCTGTCTCCGGCTCCTGATCCGCCCACCATCTTGCAAAACTGACGAGATGTGTGTCCCTGAGCTGTTGCCAGTAGACGTCTTCTGCCCTCTGCCTGTTGACCCCCTTCCTCAAGAAGCACCTTGCAAAGACTCGGAATCTGAGTCGATCACATGCAAGGCTGGCACTACACCACAATGTCTTCCTGCAGTACTTGCAAGGCGATTGTAGGCTGCGGGCCCTCCATGCCACGACCGAAGTGTTCTTGTTCGTGAAGGACACCCTCCTGTTGGGTTCCTTGTATGTTCCCGTCCGCGAGTTCCGAGCAACTTTGGGGAGGACGGGATGTCCGCAGATATGAGTCATGTCGTGCCGGCACACGGGGCAGACGGGCTTCTCTGTCATGCCGAACCATTTCTTGATGCAGTGGGCGCCGAACCAGTGACCGCACGGCAGGCTGGCCCAGTGCTCGACGACGCCCGACATCGTCTCGATGCCCACTACATCCTGACAGATGGGACATGTCGAATCGTCTACTATGGTGGTTGTCGCGGAGATCTTGTGGTAGTGTTTGCTGCCCTTGGACTTCCCCATGGCTCTCGTCGCCGCGGAGAGGACTTTGAGGGAGTGATGATGGATTGCTGATGTTGAGGGCGGAGAGTATTGGGGTGTGCAGCTGATGAGGCACTGTAGGCAGCTGCCCGCATGACAGTGGGAGCGCCCGGTTAGTGAGGCAGGGCTTTGTACAGTCTGCCTCTCGCACGGGACTCACGCAAAGCTTTCAAAAAGACTATGCGTGGTCCCAGGAGGAGAATTCTCATAGTCCTTGTCTAGGTATGAGCCAAGGCTTTCAAGGAAGTTGTACCATGGTGGGCGAGTTTCCCGGTCCCGGTCCCGTGCGGAGCGTGCGTCAGGTTGTAAGAGGGCATTTACTGGCTCTCGAAGCTGCATATTATGTCATCCGTGCCCAAGGTTGTCTTGTCAGGCTGAACCTGTGTGGCAGACAGAAACTTGGTCGCCCACATACGACAGGTGTCAAACAATGAGAACATGGCGGGATTGGCCTGCTCTCGGGCCCGAGTAAAATCGGTGGCAATTAGAGGTTTCAACAGGTTCAGACCAACGCAGGAATGCTCTACAAGTGCGGACAGCAAGACAGAAAAGCCGGTGGTTTTACAAAAGTAGTATGCGCATGCTTGCTTGCTTGCTCTCTTCATCGTCAAAAATACATATAAATGCCGGTCACCTCCTTGGCTCGTCATCTTCGTCGCTGTCGTCCATGAAGCCTTGTTCCAAACTAAAGCACCAGCAGACATTAGTCTTGGCACGCGGAATACAATCAACAATCACGACTGGAAGGGCATACTCTCGACTTAGTCTTCGCGTGTGATCCGGATGGTCTGTTCGTTGCCGTAGGCTGTCGGTGACAACATCGGCGAGCTCCTCGCCCTCTTCCGAGTTGATCTCAATGTCCTCGTGGTCCGCGACCACCAGTCGCTCTTGTAACCGTTGTCGCCACGTCGAGGGAACCACCATCCGGGCCATGGCACCCTGTATCCTCTCCCGCAGCGATGAAGTGTGGTTCGATAAGCTTTCGACGGGCAGGTAGTGGCTGTATCGAGTTCTGTAATGCTGCCAGACAGGTATGACCAGGTACGTGAGCAAGAGGAAGACGAGGAGGGCGATGATGGCAGGGACGATCAGCGTCTGGAGGATAGTTAGCAAATACTTCATATGCAAGTGCTCTTATGGCTGCAGGGCTGTCGGGGCGTTGCGCCATGGTTCCTTACCTTGATAACGGAGAATGTGCCGGCCATGGTGCGGAGGGTCGCGATTGATTCAGCGCAACCGGATGGCGTGGCGGAAACCCCTCGGTGCGCTAGCGACTATGAAGACGCTCAAATCCAACCTCCGCCGTTTGGGAGATACTCGGTAGGCGACCAAGCGACGGCTTGGATGGAAGCGAAAGATGCCCTACGGATTAGATGTTGGACAATGTGTCAAAATGAGAGCATACGCAATGTGGCCCGCTCAGGTGGTGATGAGTGGAGAGCGCCGAGCACCTGGCTTACCTTGCTCCGTACAGTACGTTACCTAGTCTACCCGGGGCAGCCGGGGTAGCCATTTAGCGCAGCCTGTCAGGAACACAGACAGACTCGAACCTTGCCTGCCAGTGCCTACAACAACCAGTGTACACAACACCTTTACGCAGTGCACTTCATCCATTGATGACTGCACCAGCATTGAAAACCTGTCCATTCCGTAGCTAAGGTAATAGCGTCCGTTTACATGGGCTAGGAGGTCGTGGACTGTCCTCCCATCGGTGATGCCAGCTCTCGAGACGCATCAAACAGGACGACATGCTTTCTTTCTGTGAGTTAAAAGACAGAGAAACACTGCCTGACAGTTCTCCAGAAGAGACCAGCTTACCTAGTCGCGTGTAGGTGCATAGGTATTCTTCATTGACCTGTGCCTATCAACAGCAGGTGCTTGTCACTGGTTCATTACCCTTGTTAGTTACAGTGTTACGATGTAATTTACCCGTCAAGCTGTCGGACCAGACTGAGATGAAACTCCATTGTCAATGTTACCTACTTTCTGGTAATCTAATAGTTTCATGACGGTTATTCTAGCTGAGTGACAGAAGTGACAGATGCCGGAGAGACTTTGGAATCAATGATCAGAAAGCCACCTCTTACAACCCCTCTGCCCGCAGATGCAGAAATGACCGTGCCCAAACAGGTGTAGGTTCAATGAGATGGTGGTGGTGGGACATGTCAACTCGGGTCTAGCTTGGTGCACTTGATGCAGCCGACGAGAGGGGGTCTGTGGCATCGCGCCTTGATGAGCGCCTGGGCCTGCCACTAAGCCAAGTACACTTTCTTTTGAGTATCCCTTGTGAGCCTCCTCGGAACGAAACATGGCAGTGGTGTTGGCGATCACCACCTGGACGAAGCCAGAGCTTCTAGATTCGAAGGGATTTCTCTGGTCTTTTGTCTATAGCACGCAGAGAATGTATCGCTCAGTCAAGTGCATCCCGAAACGTGAAGCTCTGTGGTTGGCAAGGGAGACAAGAGTTGGCGACAGTTAGATGGTGTTTCTGTCCATGTGTCAGGGGTCTCGACTAATTCCGTTTCAGAATAAACAGGGAGGGCCCGCCCCTAACTTCCAGGTTCATGTTGGCCACTTCTCGATAGAGTACCTGATCGTCGCTCGGGCTTGTGCCACATGGAGCATGTACAAAGTAGGTAGTCAAGGTAGTTTACATACATGAGCCGTTAGAGATGCGTACTCCGTACACTCGCATACCTACAGTTATGTACCTACATTTGGTTATGCAAGCCAAACCCCAGCGAGTTGTGTGTGGTCGCGGGATTCTTGGCTGATAATGTTAGGTACCTAACTACTTGCCTGCTCCGTTTGGTACCACCTTTTTTTTCTTCGTATCGCCCACCTACGGCCCGTGTCGGCAGACCTACGGGTACCTTTTAGTAGGGTCAGGTACCCCATTTATAGTGGCAACACATGCTGTACCTCCGTATTTGGACAGAGCTGTCCGTTCTCGACACGCGCCGCCGCCAGGCACTGCAAGCAGCGCTTATCAAATAATTAAATCGACCCTTCTCGCATCATCACCCCTGACGATTGGATCTGTTTGAACAACATCTCCGACTATCTCGAATTGTACGTCCAACACGTCCTTTTTCTTCTTCTTGTGGTGACAAAGAGGCCGCTGGCGATGCGAAAGTCCTTTATCCACATGCTGCGAAGATCCTAATTCATGCAAACAGTCGCGACTGACCCTCGTGCGGACCGACGCTCCCAGATCGACCCTGCCGGCCAAGGGCATGATGCGACAAGCCTTGGACCTGAGACATCCGACATTTTGAGAGCGTCTCCCTCCTCACTCTCGACCGCTGTGCCCATATCGCCCCAAGAATTACTGTCGTTTGGGAGCAGCAGCCTCCACGCCCCCAGCAACGCCTCGAGAAAGCCACTGGCGCACCCTACCGACTGAACACGAGGCCACGGTGCCGGGTGTTTCAAACATCCCGCCGTCACCATGTCTTACGCCGACAAATCCAGGCAGTCCTCTGGCGGCAAGACCTCCTTCTTCTCCAGAGGCAGAAACAAAGCCGACAAGAGGCAAACCAGTGACGAAGGTCGACAGCTCGGCGCCTATGACGCTGCAAGCTTTGTGACTACGGGATCGCGTACTTCGCGGCACGCCAGAGAGTCATCAATCATATCCATCGATCGCCCCGACACGCCCGAGTCCGGATACAACATGTCCGCTGGTGCCATTTCCACCATTCCCTACGAGAACACCGCCTCTGACCGAAGGTCGCCCATCCCCGTCGATTATCTACCCAAGCAGGATCAGCTGCCCTTGGGTCGCGAGCCCTTGCCGCACCAGCTGAATAAATCCCCTGGAGACTTTCACCAGTACCCGAGTTTCGATCCTTCCGCAATGTATAACACCGCGGGTTCCCACTTGTCGGGCGTGCGACCGGCCGCCGGGGTGTCCAACATAACGATGGCCTCTACGGGGCGGCAAACCCAGCTCCAGCAATGGGGCCCGCCGAGGGAAAGTGGTTATGCCGGATCTCACAGCTCGAGATATAACTCTTACCAACCGTCCGGAGGGCGGAACTCGACGGACCAGTCCAGTGTGTTTTCAGGTAATGCGCAAACCCCCGCCCAAGACACTGCAACTAGAGACTCATCAAAACTAGCACTCCCAAGTGCCTCATCTCTCAGCTCCTACTCCTCCCACTCCAATAGAGATTCGCATCGCCTAACTAAATTTCCAGGCGGTGGAGGTGGTTTTCAACAGGGAGGCGCTCACGATGGATTTAACTTTGTCAAACCGGAAGATGATAACATCATCGACCAAATGTTTCTGGCCCTGATGCAGAAACGAGGGTGGCACAACCTCCCGGAGCAAGCACGGCGCCAGATGCTTGCTTACCCGTCGGCCAAAAAATGGACCTTGATCTACCAAGACCGCCTGACTGAATGGCAAGGAGAGCAGAGGCGGCGGCAAACTGCCAAGCCAGGGCAGTATCAGAACTTCGATGTCACTACATATTCCGATGAAGAGGGGTCTCCCGAATGGTACGTTAGGAAAGTCATGGATAACAGCCTCGACACGAAAGGTCTCGGGAGTCTCGAAGTCAACCTCCGCACTCAGCAAATCGGCTGGGTCAAGCGATTCATAGAGTGCCAAGGTCAGGTCGCCTTGACGAATGTTCTCAACAAAATCAATCGCAAGACGGCAATGGGCCCGGCGGCCTCTGAGAGTGGCAAAGGCGACAAGAACCTGGATCGGGAATACGACATTGTGAAATGTCTCAAGGCTCTGATGAACAATAAGTTTGGTGCAGATGATGCTCTTGCCCATCAGCAGGTCATTGTTGCCCTGGCTACCTCTCTCATCTCTCCGCGACTCACGACACGGAAACTGGTCAGCGAAGTTCTGACCTTCCTGTGCCATTGGGGAGAAGGCAATGGACATGTCAAAGTCCTCCAGGCGATGGACTCTGTCAAGAGTCAACAATCCGAGAATGGACGTTTCGACTCCTGGATGCGTCTGGTCGAGGTGACGCTGGATGGGCGCGGCAAGATGGGCAGTCTCGTTGGTGCGAGTGACGAGGTCCGCAGCGGAGGAATCGGCATGGAGAACCTCTTGATGGAATATGCCGTGGCAACCATGATCCTCGTCAACATGATTGTCGACGCTCCGGAGAAGGACCTCCAGCTGCGGATCCATATCCGCGCCCAGTTCCAGGCCTGCGGGTTCAAGCGGATCCTGACAAAGATGGAAGCTTTCCAGTACGAACTTCTGAACAAGCAGATTGAACGTTACCGGAACAATGAAGCCATCGATTACGAGGACATGCTGGAACGGGACAACAGTAGCATCAAGGATAGTATCGATGGGGAAGTGAAAGACCTCACGGATCCGGTCCAGATCGTGGACGCGATCCAGCAGCGTCTGCGGGGAAGCAGGACCCAAGACTACTTCATCTCGGCCCTCCAGCACCTGCTCTTGATCAGGGACAACGATGGCGAGGAGCGGCTACGCATGTTTCAGCTTGTGGATTCCATGCTGAGTTATGTGGCCATGGACCGGCGGCTGCCGGACATGGATCTCAAGCAAAGTTTGAACTTTACCGTTCAGAGCTTGCTTGACAAACTGCACACTGATTCCGAGGCAAGGCAAGCTCTCGATGAGGCTTTGGAGTCACGGCAGATTGCGGAGGCTGCTATGGCCGAGCGCGATGATATGCGTGCCAAGCTTGAACTGGGTGCCGACGGACTTGTGGCCAAGTTGCAGAAGCAGCTCGACGAGCAGTCCAGGTTCATTGAAGCTCAACGGAGACAAGCCGAGGGCTTGAAGTCTGAGCTCGACAACTTGCAAACACTCCGCGCCAAGGAGGCCCAGAGGAACGAGCTCGAGACTAGAGAACTTTATCTCATGCTGCGCGACGCTCAGGACGTAGCCGCCTCGAATGCTGTTAAGGGCAGCAAGGCAGGCGACGGCAATCCCGCCCAGATGCAAGGCATCCTTGACCGTGATAGACTCATGGAACGGTTGCAGATGCAGATCGAGCGCCAAAAGACTCAGTACAAGCTCGAAGGCCGTGTTTGGGGCGACAATGCCGGGCCATCTGACAGGTTGCGGGCTCTCCGAGAGGAGATGGACGGTTATGGCGGCGGTGCAGAAGGCGGCGGTTTGGCAACGCCGCCTCGCGACTTCACCAACAGCATGCTTGGCAGTGTCCGACGACAGACCAAGATACCTCGGAAGCCTGTCAATTCCCAGGGCGAGCCTGTTGAGGGTGCTCTGGCGGAGGAGACCGATGAGCTCACGGACGAAGACGGCGTTGTCTACGAGAAGCCTCGTATGGTCGAGATCCGACGGCCAGTCATGGATCCCAAGCAGCAGACCGGTCTACTCAATGAGATCACTGGAACGGTCAAGAAGTACGATGCCAGCGATGATGAGGGAGACGGTGTTACCACCGGTCCCACGCACCCGAGCCTCGAATCCCAGGCGCCCATCACTCCTGGGGATACGGAAACGCCAAAGATCGAGATCACGGGTGCCGGAGCTCCGCCGCCGCCGCCGCCTCCTCCGCCTCCACCTCTGCCCGGGCAACTTCCGGGTGCCGCCCCTCCTCCTCCCCCGCCCCCGCCTCCACCTCCCGGGATGCTCTCTCCGGCGTCAGCTGCGGGAGGCCCTCCTCCGCCACCGCCGCCACCGCCACCCCCCATGCCTGGCCAACTGCCTGGTGCTGCTCCTCCTCCGCCTCCACCACCGCCCCCGCCACCGCCTCCTATGCCAGGAGCAGGTGGTATGCCCCCACCGCCTCCTCCTATGCCTGGAAAGATGTCGGGCCATTTCTTGTCCCAGCAGGAAACCTTTACGGCGACGCCTACTATCGGCTTGCCTGTCGTGCGGCCTAAGAAGAAGCTCAAGGCTCTTCACTGGGAGAAGGTTGATACTCCCATGACGACTCACTGGGCTGCCCATGCTCCGTCAGCCGAAGAGCGCGAGGAGAAGTATATGGAGCTGAGCCGTAAGGGTATTCTTGATGAGGTCGAGAAGCTCTTCATGGCCAAGGAGATCAAAAAGATCGGCCAAGGAGGCTCGAAGAAGGACGACAAGAAGCAGATCATCTCGAGCGATCTGCGCAAAGCTTTCGGTAAGTCCCTACTCAACACACGTACATTGGTTTTTCGATTGCTAAGTGTGATTGCTCTCAGAAATCGCTCTTGCCAAGTTCTCGCAATACTCTGTTGAGAAGATTGTGCAGATGATCATCCACTGCGACACGGAGGTGCTTGACAACAATGTTGTCATGGACTTCTTGCAGAAAGACGACCTCTGCAACATCCCTGACAACACTACCAAGGTCATGGCTCCCTACAGCAAGGACTGGACGGGCCCGAAGGCGAACGAGGAGTCTCGTGAGCAGGACCCCTCGGAGCTTACCCGACAAGATCAAATCTACTTGCAGACCGCCTTTGAGCTGCACCACTACTGGAAGAGCAGGATGCGGGCTCTCGCTTTGACGCGCAGCTTCGAGCCGGACTACGAGGAGATCTCGGACAAGATCCGCCATGTCATGACGGTGTCTGAGTCGCTGCGAGACTCGGTCTCGCTGATGAATGTTCTGGGCCTCATTTTGGATATCGGTAATTACATGAACGACGCCAACAAGCAGGCGCGCGGATTCAAGCTGAGCTCGCTGGCGCGCCTGGGCATGGTCAAGGATGACAAGAACGAGTCGACGCTCGCTGATCTGGTGGAGCGCATCGTGCGGCAGCAGTATCCCGAATGGGAGGCCTTTGCGACCGACATTGGCGGGGTGCTCACGGCGCAAAAGATCAACATCGAGCAGCTGCAGACGGATGCCAAGAAGTACATTGAGAACATCCGGAACGTACAAATGTCGCTCGACAGCGGCAACCTGTCGGACCCCAAGAAGTTCCACCCTCAGGACCGGGTGTCGCAGGTCGTGCAGCGCTGCATGAAGGACGCCAGGCGCAAGGCCGAGCAGATGGAGCTGTACCTGGAGGAGATGGTCCGGACGTATAATGACATTATGGTCTTCTACGGCGAGGACCCGGCCGACGAGAATGCCAGACGCGACTTCTTTGCCAAGCTGGCCCTCTTCGTGAGCGAGTGGAAGAGGTCGCACGAGAAGAACCTCAAGCTCGAGGAGCTCAGGAAGAGGAACGAGGCCAGCATGAAGAGGAAGCACGCGCAGCTCAAGGTGGCCGGCAGCGGCGTGGACGGTGCCCTGCCTAGTCCGACGAGCACCGGCGCCATGGACAGCCTGCTGGAGAAGCTGCGGGCGGCGGCGCCGCAGACGAGAGACCAGAGAGACAGGCGGCGGCGGGCGCGGCTCAAGGACCGGCACCAGGTGCGCATCGCGTCGGGCCAGAAGATCCCGGACCTCAACGAGATCCCCGAGATCGAGGCCGGGCTGCAGAGCGCCAAGAGCACCGAGTCGGGCCGGACCGACGAGGACGGCAACAGCCTGCTCAGCCCGGGCCTCGCGTCGCCCAAGGAGGGCGAGGAGGAGGACGACCTCGCGCAGCGGGCGGCGCTGCTGCTGCAGGGCATGCGGGCCGGGGAGGACGGCGGCGGCGGCGCGGACGAGGGCGACGAGGAGAAGAGGGAGAGCCTGCGCAGGGCGCGGAGGCAGACGGCCGAGGAGGAGAGGAAGGCGAGGCGGAGGAGGCTGCGGGACAACAAGGCGGCGTCGAGCCAGGCGGGCGAGGGGGACGGCGGCGAGCCGGCCAAGCAGGCGGATGGCGGTGAGGATACGCCGACGCCTACGACGGAAGAGACGCCTGCTGGCGCCGAGTGAGGATCCTCGCCCGACTCATATCGTTATTTCTTGTGGGTGGCTGTGATGATGCTGTTGTTTGTTGTTTGTTGATGAAGAAGCATTTAAAATACCATACTTAATGTCTATACTTCTTCTTCTAGAGAAATATGAGAGAAGGCAAGAGAGGGAGGAGGAGGAGGAAGGGTGGTTTGTTGGAAGAAAGCACACGGTTAGCATCTGCATAACGACATGACTGCATACTTGGAGCGTCAATAGGAAGTGTTGAAGCGGCTTGATTTGATTGATCTCGAAAGAGAGGCTATGAGTTTCAGTGAGTGGTATGCTGCAGATATTCCACAACACATGGACGTGACTCTGATTCCCGGCAAATTCATCACACACACCTATGACTACATCCAGAAAAGATACATCATACAAGGTGCCCTCCAAAACCACAGACCCGTCGTCACTCGCGTCAACAAGGCCCGATTTCTCCAACATGGCTTTGCAATTAGCCGCGAGATCTTCCATTCGAGAGGAGGCTCGATTTCCCCACTCCCTAACTGCCCTGATGCAGGAACCCCTCACCAGACTCTCCATCCCATCCCATCCCATCCCATCCCATTGTCAAATCATCCAGTTCCCGTGTGTCCCAAAACCCCCCACACACCATCGTAGCAGGTATGGGAGGTAGGTCTCACGCTCTGGTCTCGAGGAGAGGAGTACGTCTCCTGTACCCTGCGGGCAATTTCTCGGTCAATGGTCTTGTTATAAGCTAGGACTCCTCCAGTCTTTCTCTCCTCCTTTACTATCTCCTTTCTGTTTGGTGACGACAAGAGCAAGACTGAAAGCTCAGTCTGATACATACATTATACATTACATCCCATACATACATCTACACATATCCCAACACCTCCCCGATAGCCACAGCCATGACGCAGGACGCCACCACAGGCATGGTCCTGGGCTACGACGCCGTCCACCCCTTCGCCAAGGTCAAGCTCACAGACCGGGCCTCGGTGCAGGAGCTCCTCCGGACCCTGCTCGACCCGCTCGAGCCCTTCTTCTCGCCGGGGAAAGCCCGCGTGCGCTGCCCCGGCGCCACGGCCGTGCGGTTCGACCAGGCCGCCTCCGAGGTCGAGGGCATCTGCCGGCCGCTCTGGGGGCTCGCGTGCCTGCTGGCCGGCGGCGGCGAGTACAGGGGCACCGGGCGGTGGGTCGAGGGCGTGAAGGCCGGGACGGACCCGGAGTCGGGCGAGTACTGGGGGTACCCGCGGGACAACGACCAGAGGATGGTGGAGATGTGTCCGCTTGGTGAGTTTTTTTTTCCCCACGGGGGCACAATGAATGGGTGCTGCGCGATGGAGGTGCTGTTGCTGAGATGTGCGTCGTGTTTGTCATAGGCTTTGCGCTGGCTGTTGCCCCCGTGTTCTGGGACTCGATGTCTGAGAAGGAGAGGGAGAACATGGAGAATTGGCTGGGGAACTCGATTAATGAGAAGAAGTAGGTCCTCTTTGATGTCCAGCACACGGGACTATGTGTCCGTGGCGGGAGGAAGAGCAGGCATCTAACAGCCGATAGCATGCCAAACACAAACTGGCTCTGGTTCCGGGTCTTTGCCAATCTGGGCCTCAAGAAGAACGGCGGCAAGTTCTCCCAGGAGAGGCTCGACAGCGACATCGAGCACCTCGACACCTTTTACCGCGGCGACGGCTGGTCCAACGACGGGCCCGAGGGCATTCACCGTTGAGTTCTCCCTCCCCTCCCTTTTTCCTCTTTATCCCCAACAAGACTCAAAAGAGTTTCGCTCATACCCGGTCTCGGGCGAGACACACAGAGATGGACTACTACTCCTCCAGCTTCGCCATCCACTTCCTGCAGCTCCTCTACGCCAACCTCGCCGGCCAGGACGACCCCCAGCGCGCCGCCGAGTTCAGGAGCCGCGCGGCGCTGGCGGCGCTCGACCTGGCGCACTACTACGACCGCGAGGGCCGCGCCATCCCCTTCGGCCGCAGCGTCGGCTACCGCTTCGCCATGTGCTCCTTCTGGGGCGCCCTGGCGTACGGCGGCGTCGCCGACCTGCCAGCGCCCCTGACGTGGGGCATGGTCAAGGGCATCGTGATGCGGCACCTGCGGTGGTGGCAGACGCAGGGGGACATGTGGAGCGCCGCGGGGACGCTGACGGTCGGGTACTCGTACCCGAACATGTATGTAAGTTTTTTTTTTCTTGCCCCTCTGGGGTATGTATGTATGGGGTTTGCGTGGACAGGGAAGCTGGAGCTATGGGGAAGGAATCCGAGCTGCGGCGTGGTGCTGTTGCTAACGTTTTATTATCAATGCTCAGATGGCGGAGAACTACAACAGTCCCGGCAGCCCGGTAAGTCTCCGGTCTCTCCCTCCCCTCCCCCCGTGCGAAAACCATTCACTACTGACAAAGCGGGCCAACGACAAAAGTACTGGGCGTGCCTGGCCTTCATCTGCCTCGCCGTGCCCGAGTCCCACCCCTTCTGGACCTCGCCAGAGGAGTCCCAGTGGGACGTCCTGCCTCCGACCAAGCCCCTGCGGCACCCGGGCCACATCACCAGCTACCTCGGCGGGCACTGCATGCTGCTCAACTCGGGCCAGGCCTGCGGCTACCCGATGAAGGGCACGCACGCCAAGTACGGCGCCTTTGCCTACTCGTCGGCCTACGCCTACTCGGCGCCGCCGGGGCTCTTCACGCTGGAGCAGTACGCCCTGGCCTCGCAGCTGGGGCTGTCGGACGACGGCGGCGAGTACTGGAAGACGCGGCGGCTGTGCGAGTACGCCGGGATCGAGGACCGCCCCGACGACGGCGACGGCGACGGCACCGACCGAGGGAGCACGGTGCCGGTGCTCGTCTCCGTCTGGAGGCCCTTCCCGGACGTCCGGGTCAAGACGTACCTCGTGCCGCCGCGCGAGGCGACGCCCAACTGGCACCTGCGCGCGCACCGCGTCGAGGCCGCCGGGCGCGAGGTCATGACCGCCGACGGCGCCTTTGCCATCCGCAACGTCGACTCCCGCACGGGGCGGTACCTCGGGGCGTACGACCCCGCGAGGCGGGAGGGGACCCGGCCCCTCATCATCGGCAACTACGACACCGACACGCCCGAGGGGTGGGCCCCCGGCCGGGCCGGCGCGTTCGCGGCGTCGCTCGCCGCGGGGGCGGTGGGGATCCGCGCTCTGGAAGGCGATGTGTTGGGAGGAGAAGCAGGGGCCGGGGCAGGGCCCGGGAGCAGCAGCAGCAGGAGGCAGGCGATGCTGGTCAACGCGGACCCCAACTCGAACCTCGTCGAGAGCCGGACGGCGATCCCGACGCTGCGGCACACCGTGCCCCGGGGCGGGCACGCGTGGTACGTGTCGGCCATCTACGCCAGGCCGGCGGGGGCGGGGGTGCCCGGGGAGACGTACCTGGACGGGTGGGACGCGGTGCCTGAGATCCCCGGCTGGCTGCGGGAGGAGATGAAGAGTGGTGCCGCCGGTGGGGGTGCGTAGATGTTATGATTTTTTTTTGCTTGTCTGTCTCGGGGGACTGGCAGAAGAAGGATGCCAAACAAAACGGCCATTCTCTGGTTTGTTGCCGCCCTCCCCCGCCCGGCCAGACGCTGAAACCTGGTTTCGGGGAATCGTCATGCTGTCGTACAACCCGATATCATGTCACCGTTCATAGTTGTCAGTGTGACCGCCCGTTCTCACAAGAAAGATGACGGTCACGAGCATCATAGGAATGTACTCTCCCGCATGGGAGATGCATCAAGAGACGGACGGAGAAACAAGGAGAGAGAGAGAGAGAGAGAGAGAGAGAGGAGAACCTTTGCAAAATTCTATTTCGTTTGATGCATGGTTCACGTCTATCCTATTCTTGGTGCTCTAATGTAGCATGTAGCTCAAATATACAGTTCCCAAGAACACCGGTTTCCACCATGTGCGTGCGCGCACACACACACAAACACGCACGCACGCACATAGCCGCTTCACTTTCTCTTGGTAGCACCAGAGCCGGCACTGGCGCCCGTGGCCTTCTGGCCCGCAGCACCAACCCTCTTGGGCTCGATCGCCGCCGGCTCGTTATTCTTCTCCTTCGTCTTCTCGGCCTCCTTCTCGACCGCCTCGTCCTCGTCCTCGCCGCCCTGGCCAAACTCGTTGACGCGGCTGTAGTCAATCTTGTAGGCCCAGCGCTGGTAGAGGTACACAAAGAAGATGACGTCGTCGCGGAAGGTGGCGAGGCGGTGCAGGACGGGCATCTTGATGGTGAAGGCGAAGAGGTCGTCGATGAAGGTGTTGAGGAACTTGTACATCATGGCCTTGGCGGGCATGTGGGCGACGCTCTTGAGGCGGTAGTTGATGTAGAGCGAGGGCACCATCATGAGGAAGCCGTAGGCGTAGACGGAGCCGACGAGCGTCGTGATGACGTAGCTGTACCACGACTTGTGGGTGTCGTAGTAGAGCGAGTAGACGGCGTAGGCGACGAGCAGGGGCACGCCGGCCATGTACATGTACTTGAAGGCGATCTCGTCGTACTCCTTGGTCTTCTCCTCGGTCTCGCTGAGCTTGTGCTTGTCCTCGAAGCTGACGCGGTAGGGCACCAGCGACCCCGGCGGCGCCGGCCGGAGGCGGATGTTGACGACGGTGGTCACCTTCCAGAGCTCGATGAGGATGCCGACCACCTGCTGGCCGAGGATCATCCACGAGGTGTTCTGCGAGTTGTCCAACAGGTAGAGGAAGATGATGGTCTGCATGAAGACGTTGGCGAGGATGGAGCGGACCGAGATGCCGACGTTGTCCTTCTTCTTGCGGTAGTGGGCAATGTCCGAGCCAAAGGCCAGGGTCTCGAGGATCAAGTGGGCCACGGTGGCAAACGCCGTGACACCGAGCAGGATGGGGTTGGTGTCGAGGAAGATCTCCTTGATCATCTGGATCTCGCTGCCGTCGCCGCCACCGGGGGTAGAGCCGCCAAAGGCGGCCTGGCGGGCGGTCTCGCGTCCGCTGGCCTCGATGGAGGCCATGATCTTGAACTTCCACTCGGCCATGTTGTTCAGGTCGATGTGCAGGGGCAGCGAGGTCACGGTGTCGTTCAGCAGAGTCATGTGCGAGTTGAGCTGCCAGAAGGTGTTGACGAACAGGATGGGGTAGTACCACGAGTTCTGGCCGGAGCCGTCGCGGGCGCCGGTGGGCTCGAGGTGGATGAACTGGCGCACGGCGGGGTGAGTCTGGGGGTACTGCACGACGCCGGCGCCGGGGATGAAGGACAGGCTGGTGTTGGGGTGGTAGTAGTTGGCAATGATGGGGCCCGCGGCCTGGTCTTCCTGCTCCTTCCCGGCCTCCTGCGCCTCGGTCTCGTTTCTGCTCTCGAGCAGGTTCCGAGTCTTGGCGACCTTCTTCTTGGGGATGTACTGCGTCAGGGGGTAGCCAAAGTAGCAGGCCTTGGCAGGATCAAAGCCCGAGCTGGTGGGATCCATGTTGCTGCCGGCGAGACCAATGTAGAAGTGGCCCCAGAGCGTGCCGTTGTTCTGCACCTCCTTGGGCACCTCGATGGTGGTGTCGAAGGCGCGCCTGTCGCTCCAGTTGCCAATGCCAAAGCTCTTCTCGTCGAACACGACCGGGTCGGCCGGTCCGTTGGACCAGGGGGCGGGGACGACGGAGGGCGAGACGGTGATGACGATGTCGACCTTGCTGTCGTCGGGCCACATGGGAGCGAGGCGCTGAGGGATGGGGTTGTACTGGGCGCCCTCGTCGAGCTGCTGCGGGCGGAGCAGATATGCCGGGATGTCTGCGGTGTTCGCGGGGACCTGCACGACGTTGCCCGAGGCGTCCTGGGTGGTGGCCGTCTGCGGCTTCTGGGGCATGAACTGCTTCATGAGGAACTGCATGCCGGCATACATGGCCACCATCTGGAAGATGGTGTACATCATCGACTTGCCCTACACCGCGCGGACAGGGATTGTCAGCCGTTGGGGACATGTCTGGAGGGCACAGCGACTGCAAGACCTACCCCTTCCTCGCGCTGGGCGGGCGCATTGCCCGCGCCAGTGGCTTCGGCCGGCATCTTGCCGCGATAGTTTTGTTGGATCTGGTGATCCAAGCCGGCTTGAGAGGTGTTGTATGCGACAGCTTGTGTTGTCGTCGTCGCCGTGCTCGGTGAGGGTTGGGCAATGCGAGCGAGGGTGCAGTCAGTCGGAGGAGGAGTGGACAAGTCTCAGCGTGTGGGTGGATATCACTGGCTGGTGATATTGCGCCTTCACAAAAAAGCTACCTAGCGCCCAGTAACTTTCCCAGCTCCGCTCTTCGGCCACGGGCGGCGTGGCGGCCACTCTGCTCCGGGGAATTCGACGATGAATAACCATCCATCGAACCCACTTGACTACATCAATGTCCTACAAAGTTGACTAGCTACACGAGGTAACTAGACAGCGGGACACCCGGCGAATCAGCACCCCGTGGTTGCGCACCTGCGTTGCCTGTTGGAGGGTCGGAGTCGGCTCTGTTCCTACAGGCCCAAAACCAGGCATCCCGGACAAGAATGAGAGATCTTGTTTCATCTGACTTTACGGTGATCGATCATTCTATCGAATCGGCCTTTTTTTTTTTTTTTTTTGGAGTGGCCGTCACTGTCGTTCAACTGTCAGAAATCAAACAGACATCTGCTCCGGAGACGGCTATCTCTTGAGCTTGGGAGATCTACTCAGCACATACATGTAACTCTTAACTACCAATATCTCTCTCTCTGGCTGGCCACCCGCCTGCACTTTGTCTCCGAGAAGTCAGCCCCCAAATGCCAACGACACGAAACCGCTTGATACCCGCCTATCGGCCTTTGTTGTTGTTGTTCGGGCCAGACTGCGTGCTACGTGTGACCGACTCTCCAGCGGTCTCACACCCCCCGAGGTTGGTCCATTTCTCTCCTGTAGGAACAAGACACGACGGAGTCTCTACTCTGCTTGCGTGACACAGAGCAGTCTTGCATCGACTTCCGTCATCCAACGGCTTTTCTCCAGCGAGCCGAGACGTACACGCAGTCAGTCATGCAACGAAACACGACAACCCGGATAGCGGGAGTCTGCATGGGAGCATGGAAAATCGCGGATAAGAGCCCTGCGCTCTGGCTGTGGACTTGCCCTAGCTTTGGACTTTAACTACCTACTAGGTATGTCATGGACACGGTAGATGCGCTGTAAATGGTCACAAGGTGCCCGCGTGGCGGCCTCTCCGCTGTGCGCCCCCCCTTCCCCCCCACTAAGATTCAGGCACCGCTCGCACTAGAGACAACCACTCGTTGGGGCCGCCGAATGACACATGCTGCTGGGGCTACCTTGGCTTTTTTGCCTTTTTCTCTCATAGACCTCAAGACACACGTCGAGGCTTGACCGGGGATTACGACATGAATGTGAACATATAAAGGGATTCCCGTTCTCTTAGATATTTCGTTCTTCGGTGCCTCGACTCTTTCCCCTTTTCTCTTGTTGGGATCTCTGTCCATTGCTTCACTCATTCTCACTACCTATAGACCATACAGGTTACATCTTGTAGGCTTCTTCTTCTCTTCTTATACAACACGAGATATAAGACGGGCTCGCGCTCAGAGATTGTCACCGCTCATTCCTACGTCAACGTCACTTAAACGGGGTGTCTTTAGATCCTCGAGAGCTCCAAGACACTTGTAAGAGTGCACACACACACACTCTCTTTCTCTCTCTCTCTTCCTAGGCCATATTCTAGAACGTAGAGACGACACACACAAAAGAATAGCACAAACCACACCGGGCCGCAACCATGGAATCCGGCGGCGCATCCCCGATCCCCACGCTGCCCGCCTCGCGGAACAGCACGCCCGCCTCCTCCAACCTCAACCCCAACGCCGTCCCGCGCACCAAGATCTGCGTCTTCTGCGGCTCCTCCCCGGGCCACAACCCGGCGCACGTCCAGACGGCGCGGCAGCTCGCCAAGGTCATGGCCGACAACAACATCGCCCTGGGTATGTAAAATTCCCGCCCTCCTCCCCTCCCTTTACCCTTCGCCTTTCCCTTCCCCGCTACAAGATATATGGCCTGCCGCGGTATGCTAACGCATCTTTCCCAAGTCTACGGCGGCGGCACAGTAGGCCTCATGGGCGAAGTCGCCAAGACCCTCGTCGCCCTGTCCGGCCCGGACGCCGTCCACGGCATCATCCCCGAGGCCCTGGTGCGGTACGAGCGCGACCCAGAGTTCACGTCGACGTCGGCCTCGGCAACATGCCCCAAGGACAGCAACGGCGACGGCGCCGTCCTCGCCGTGCCCGAGGAGCGCATGTACGGCCGCACGACCGTCGTGCGCGACATGCACTCGCGCAAGCAGATGATGGCCCAGGAGGTCCTGGCCGGCGGGCCGGGCAGCGGCTTCGTCGCCCTGAGCGGCGGCTACGGCACCATGGAGGAGCTGCTCGAGATCGTGACGTGGAACCAGCTCGGGATCCACAACCGCGGCATCGTCGTCCTCAACGTCGCCGGCTTCTACGACGGCGTCCTCAACTGGATCCGCCAGAGCGTCCGCGAGGGCTTCATCCGCGCCGGCAACGCCGACATCCTCGTCGAGGCCACGACGGCCGAGGACGCCGTCCAGGCCCTGCGCGACTACAAGGTGCCCACGTCGGTGCTCAAGCTGGCCTGGGGCAAGGAGTAAGGGGGAAAAAAGGCTTGCATTCAAGGGTCGCCCATATCTAGAATCCCCATTTCCTAGTTGTATCACTAGTAATATTACAGTGCCCTCGCATCTTCTTCTCTTCGCTACTCTGTCTCTCTATCCGTCTAGTCAAGGCCGTAGGAGATTCTTTACCCATGGGAGAGCGCCGCCAGTCTCTATCGTGAGCTCGCGATGTTGCACACCCCCCCCTCCCTTCGTAGACGTCAGCCGTATGTATCATCCATCAGCAGCCCACCAGGCGCTCTGACAACCTCGACTACTCTAGCTGTCCACCTCCATGCCCTCCTCCGCCGTCTCCGCGCCGCCGCTGCCCTCCTTGTCATCGGCCACGCTGTCTATCCAGTCCTTAACGTCCTGACCGTCGTGCACCTTGAAGGGCTGGACCTGCTTCTTCTTGCCGTCGGCGCCGGGCACGAGGCCCACGACGCCGACGCTCGTGTTCTCGATCGTCAGCTCGCGGTCCTGGACGAGGCTCTCCTTGAGGGCGCGCAGGCCGTGGCGGATGAGCTCCTCGCGGTCGCAGTCGGCAAACTTGTCGATGTTGCGCTCGAGGTAGGTGCGGGCCATCTGGGAGCGCGCGCCGATGGCGAAGGCGACCATCTCCTCGGTCATGCCCGACGGCTGGAACTCGAACAGGTGGGGGCCGCGCTCGTCGACGCCCGCGACGAGCAGGCCGACGCCGTAGGGCCGCTTGCCGTAGTGCTGCGTGTTGATCTGGGCCTTCTCGCCGATCAGGTCGACGAGGGTGCGGACGGGCATGGAGCGGCCGTAGGTGAGGCGGTGGCCCAGGCACTGCTGCTTCATGAAGTTGGACAGGACGCGCGCGTCCGAGGTGAGGCCCGCGATGGCGATGCCGGCGTGCTCGTCGACGGGGAACAGCTTCTTTTGGTATGATGATAGTTCTTCGGCATTGCGCTGTTGCAAAGAGTTGCAAAGGTTCCCGAGGTCAGTCGGGATTCGATCTCCTTGTATTGTGACATATGGTGTGGACGTGTGGACGGATGAGCTTTCTTCTTACCTTGATCGCTGCCAGAACGGCGTGTGTCTTGCTGGCGATGCCCACCACTACTGAACCCTGCTTGACTGCCTCCGCCGCATACTCGACCTGGAATATCCGGCCTTGGGGTGAGCTGCGCGCCTGTTAGCAGATGCGGATCGAAGGATGGGGGACCGACGGTCGAGGGGGTGCGAATGCTCACAATGTGACGGAATCGTTATCGTAGTTGTTCCTGAACATGTTGGCGGTAACGAGCCTTGTTCAAGACGTGTCGGGCGGGATGCTCAGTTCGTGCAGGTAGAGGGTAGGGAGGAGTGTATTTCAGACGTCGGACTGCTGCGCTTCCAGGGAGATGAGTTGAAACTGGGATGGAGAAAGTGGTGATTCTTGGTCGATGTGAACCGATTTGCTGGACAAGACCATGGATCTCTCAGAAAGGCACGTAAGGTCGTCGGCGTAGGCAGCTCTAAGCTTCGTACCTGCCGCGCTAAAAGAGGCCCCAGCTCGAGGAAATCCACCAGACAGACTGGGTGGGAAAAAAAAGGTACGTACCTATCGCTTTGGTGAGCTTACCAAAAAGCCGCCCAAAAGAAGCGCCGGAATCCGACCCAGCGCATCGAGTTGAGGCTGGGGAGCGCCAGAGGGAGCGCACTGACCACCCCAGGCTTTGGTTGGCCCACTGCCCAGCAGCCATCCATGCTGTCACTTGCGCCGGAGACTGCCTCACGGCTGACGACAATCCCACTACTTGTAGGTACGCCCGCCGCCAACCTCATTAGCTGCAACTTTGAAGCTCTCACCACCGCCAAAGAGTCGATCACCAAACAGCCGCAAAACCGATCCAGCCTCCACACAACAACTGCATCCTGCCCTGCCAGGCTCCCCGACCCTTCCAAACTTCCCAGCGCAGCAGCAGCACCCACGCTTTCGATCTTCCATCCTCCCCGCCCACCACCACCACCACCACCACCGCCGCCGCCGCCGCCACCCGGGTGACACCGGCCGCCCGCAACCCGCCCGCCATGCCCGGCATCAAGACCATCATCGCCCTCTCCTTCGTCCTCGCCGTCGGCTTCCTCCTCGTCATCCTCTCGTGCGCGCTATGGAAGGTCTACTACCCGCTGCTCGTCGTGGCGACCTACGTGATCGCCCCGCTGCCCAACTGGATCTGCAGCCGCGTCTCCAACCCGGACGACTTTGTCGAGAGCGGCTCCAGCTCCGCCGTCCTCGACCTGGGGCGCTTCCTGACGGGCTTCTTTGTCGTCATGGGCATTGGTGAGTTCTCTCTCTTCTTTGCTGGGTGCATGTCATGTGCACGGCAGCTCCGGTTGGCTAACATCGTATTCCCTCTTTAGCGCTGCCCATCGTCCTTGCACACTCCAACCTCATCCAGATCGGCGCCATGGTCATGTCCGTCGTGGGCGGTCTCCTCATCTACGGCACCATCATTAGCTTTGGCATGTTCTTCCAGGAGGACCAGGAGTTCTAGGCGTGATAAACCGGCCGGGCGAGGGTGATAGGTCGCATGGGGTGTTAGGGAATGAGCTGAAAGCAAGGCGGTGGAACTACGAGGAGTCGATATCCTGCAGTGAGAATTGAATGGGGAGACATCGGGAAAGCCTGTCTTGTATGATTTCGCAAAGGTCTGTCTGTATACCAGCGTGGCATCGGCATTGTTTTGGGAACTGGTCTCTTCACCGTCTGGACCAGGCCCATATATACATATCTCGTTTTTGAAAGGCTGAGAATCACATCTTTTATTCATATCGTCTATGTGTCAAGTTATTGTGTGCCTGCATGGGTTCGGGACAGCTCCGTTGAGTAATTTCCATTTCCAAGACGCCGCGCTTTGCCGCCAGGCTACGTTGAAGTAAAAAAACCTGGATGATTTTCCGAAAAAAAGTCAAAATTCAGGAGAAGATGCTCAGCGGCCCCCCGAGCTTGGTAAACATCTCCTCCCTCTCCCCCTCGGGCGTGCTGAGGATCGTCACGGCGCCGCCCGCGCCGACGCGCCACACCTCCTTGCCCTCGTCGTCGCCCTCGTCGTCCCACCGGAACATGCTCCGGATGGTCACGCTCCAGTCCCCGCGGCCGGACACGCACATGTACCCGACGACGCCCGAGTACAGGCTCCGCTCCCGCCGGCCCTCGATCTCCTGCAGCAGCTCGCAGCTCCTCTTCTTGGGCGCCCCCGTCATGCTCCCGGGGGGCAGGCTCGCGGCCAGCACGTCGAGACCGGTGTGCCTCGTCGCCGCACCCTCGCCCTCGCCCTCGGCCTCGGGCTCGGGCAGCCGGCCCTCCACGACCGTGATCATGGTGAACACGCTCTGGTACTCCTCGACGACGAGCAGGTGCGGCACGCAGACGTTGCCCGCGCCGCACACGCCGTGCAGGTCGTGCCGCACCAGGTCCACGATCATGAGGTTCTCCGCCTCCTCCTTGGGCACGTGCAGCAGGGCCTCGGCCTGCGCGAGCGTGGCCACCGCGCCGGACTTGCGCACCGTGCCCTTCATCGGCTTCATCGAGCAGAGGCCCGCGCGGTCGTGCTGCAGGAACCGCTCCGGCGAGCTGCTGATGAGGGTCGCCGGCCCGAGGCGGATGTACGACGCGAAGGGGGCGGGCTGCTTGGTGCGGAGGGTGCGGTAGAGGTCCCAGGAGTCGTCGGCGGCGGGTTTGGCCGCGGCCTTGGAGTTCCTGTGTGAGCCATTCGGGACTGAGGTGGGCGTTGTTGGCGAGCGGCGCCGCGGGCAGCGCGTGATGATCGTTTGGTCCGTGAGGCAGAGCTCGTACGAGTCGCCGGCGGCGATGAACTCCTGGCAAATCTTGACCTTGTCCTCGTACTCGTCCGCAGCCGGGGTCTGGATCGAGGCACCCGGGAACTTGTTCGACAGCGGTGGCAGGGGGCTTGCGGCTGCCTTCCACATCTGCGAGGCTTGCAGTCTAGCGACCGTCGACTCGATCCAATCCTGTCGCTTACCAGGGCGAGGCCGGAGCTCCTGCACGTGTAAGAGGCCCTTGACATGATCAATGACAATGCTCCTCGTGACCCAGGCCAAGCAGACATCAGGTCTCCTGTGACCCCTGTGCTGCTCAGCAAGGCGGACGCCAATGCCCGCCAGACCCTGCTCGTACGTAATGTAGCCCATGAAGCCCCCAAGGAAGGGCAAGTCGGGCAGATCCGGCCCGGAGATTCGACGGGCTTCGTGAAACTCGGCCAGCAACTGCCATATACTCCCTCCCACCGGCAGCCCGACCCTCTCCATGGCGCCGGGGGAGTAAAAGGCAGACTCTGAGGGGACCCTCACGTCGGCAAAGCTCTCTCCGGTATGGTACTCGACCCTCAGCGCGTCCGACACGTCCATAGCGATGACGCTGTACTTCCCGCGCACGTCGACCCCAGCCGTCAGGGGCACGGACGCGTTCGACGAGTCTAGGATGACATGCTCGCTCTGGTCCCGGTCCGCACCCAGCAGAATCTCCACCACGTCCGGCGCCTGCAAATGCCCAGGGAGGTCGACAGCCCGGGAGGAGAACTCGCAGTCCCGGCCGGCCTCCCGCCACGCGCCGCTGCGCAGGCCATGGCCCCCATCGTGGTGGTGATCTCCACCTGCGTAGTCCTCGTGCCACTGCCCAGACACTCTGGACAGCAAGCTGGGCCACGTCGCGTTCCTCGCAAGTAGATGCTCGCTGCTACTGCCCGCGGCGACAACACGCCTGCCGCGCTCCCGGTTCCACGCCGTCGCCTCCCGGAACCAGTTGCGCACGACCTTCTGGCCCTCGTCGTCCGTGCACACCGACTCCGGGTGGTACTGCAGGCCCCAGTACGGCCGCCGCGCGTGCCTGACCGCCATCAGGATCCGCTCCGCCGCAGCAGCATCCTTCTCACATCCACCGCCGCCGTCCCTCTCCTCCTCGACCCACGCCAGCGGCACCAGGGCCGGACACCCCGGCAGAGGCGCCCACCTGCGCGCTTTCCAGTCGGCCTGCGAGAGCCCGTCCTGGCCCACGTCCGCGCACAGGCTGTGGTACAGCGTCGCCTTGAAGTCGCCCACCCCGGCAAAGATGTCGCCATCCCCATTCCCATTCCCGTTCCCGGCGCCCGCAGCAGTCCCGTCCGTCACCGCCACCCCGCAGTGGTCCACCCTCCGGACCATGCCGTGCAGGCCCCGGCGCAGCCTCCGTATCGCCCCGCCGCACGACGCAACGAGGCTCTGGAACCCCAGGCAGATGCCCAGCACGGGCAGCACGTCCGCCTCGGCCAGGTCCCAGACGCGCCGCATCAGCCCGACATCCTCGTCGTTGTCCGGCGAGCCCGGCCCCGGGCCGCAGACGACGGCATCGTAGTGGCCCAGTTCCCGGCGCAGGTCCTCGGCGAAGGTGGGCGACGCCGGGTTCAGCAGCGGGCTGTCGATGGGCAGGACGAACACGTCCACGCCGTCCCCCAGCTCCGTCGCCAGCAGCGACGTGATGTTGTTGGAGAAGGAGTCGTAGGCGTCGAGGAAGAGGATCCGCCGCCTCGGCACCATGGTCACTTTTCTGGACCCAACTGCCGACCCGATGTACCGGCAGTTTTACCCTCGATGCACGACAGGGAGCAGAGCCAATCCCATAACACCGATTCTCGTCTGGGCGAGAGAAAGAGGAACAAAAGCCCCCCTTAGGCTCTTTTTTCTTAAGTGATCCCCTCGAGATCCTGTGCTCAATGCGCCCTTATAAAAAGGCGTAAATGACGTGGAATGGACTGAACGTTGAGAGGAAATGTTCCGAAAATTTTGTCGGTGACTTACGGCAGTACTCGGGTCCTAAACCAGCGGTCTGTCTTGTATCTCTCCCGCAAAAAGCATGTGGAAACCTCGACGCCAGAAGTTCACTACTCCATAAACAGCCAGTGAGGTGTCTCACTAAAAGAGAGAAAAAAAAAAACACCGTCCCGAACCGATGGTGTGTATGGTAATATTATGTGGATTTGCAAGCAAGAATGGTCGGCTATCGCCGGGTCATTTCGTAATACAATGCTATGCTTCTCAGGACGCGTAGTAGTTCTACGCGTGTCACTCCCGGTCCCTGGCCATCAAAAGACAAGGCTGTCTAGTGTGCCACACCCGCCTCTCCCTTGCTCCCAGCGCCGCGTCCATCATCGTCTCCGTCTCGGACCGCGGGCGCGTAGATTGCCTCCTCTTCTCCTCCGCCTCTGTCCGGGGTATCCAGAGCCGCGTCTCCTCCACCGACGCCGTGATCTCGAACTCGCCTCTGCACAAGACTGTCATCCCGATAGTGACGTCCGTGCTGCTCTTGGCCTCGAGCAGAGGCAAGCTCTGCTGCACGATCCCGTTCCATGCGATCTTGCGTGTGAAGTCGAGCGCAACATTGAGGGGCCGGTGGCAGAGCGCCGGTATGAGCCGCACGGTCGGGTAGATAGGTTGCTCCGTCCGGTTCGTAATGTGCACCTTGACTTGTGTGAACTCGTCCACGTAGGCGACGCTCTTGCCCGAGGGGTCCTGTGTCGGGCTATCGCCGACAGAGATATCGATGCCGACTTCGTCAATCTTGATGGCCTCAATCATCGGCGCTGTCAACCTCATGCTCCTGAGCTCGACGCTTCCGGTCCTGCTCGCGCCGGACGTCGTCTTCCAGGTCCCCTTGAGACTGTCCAAGATCTTCTCTCGGTACCAGAAGGACTCCCGGTTCGCCCGTTCCATGTCCGGCGAGATCTTGCCAGTGCTGACCACGAACTGCCGTTGCCGCGAAGGGTTCAGCGCCGGGATGGGAGCATGCGGATCCTCCAGGTAGATCCGTTTCAGGGGCACCATGACTCGACTAGAGTTACCTGGGAGGATATGCTCCTCGACCAGTGCCCCGTCATCGCCTTCGAGCTGAACATGCATGTTACTAGGCCACGCGTTGCGCAGGTCGAGCAGCAAAAGACAGTAATCTTCGGCAGTGAAGTCCTTGCTCTGCCCGTCTTTGTACCCACCGCGAGCCCACAGCGGTCGCGGGATGCTGCCGTGCAGGGGTAAAATGTCCATCCTTGCGACTTCCACGCTTGCGTTCACAGTTATGGTGAGCTGCAGCGACACCTGGCGCGTGTAGAATTTGGCCGTCGAGAGCTCGTCCGGTGACATGCCCAGGTAGGCGTAGTCAACCTGTATCACACCATTCGTGAGCCCAGGCTTGCCCAGGATCTCAAACTCAAAGGTGGCGGTCTCCCCAGGGCCGATAAAGCGTTTTCTCTCCTTGCCTTTGCGGATACGCAGAGCCTGCTTCTTGGCCAAGATGAGCTCGTACTCGTATAGCTCGGCTGGCGTGGCGTCGCGCTTTGCCAGGGCCGTCTGCAATGGTTCCTGGGTTGAGTCCCGGAAGGAAAAGAGAAGGAAATCAGCGGGTGTAGTCTCGGACAGGTTCTCCAGTGTGACAGAGAAGAGCTGCCGCTCGCCCTCCAGGATCATAACCGAAGACTGAGCGAGGGTGGTAGACTTGACCACTACAGTAGGCTGCTCGGCGATAACGTTCAAGCTCAGGTGCTCAGTCTTGAGTGGCAACCCCTCGGCCGAGGCAGGAGCAGAGAGCTCTCGATCGAGAGAAGCCAGGCCGATCGCCTTGATTTTGGTCGACTTCTCGGGGGCCCACGCTTGGGGGAAGATGGGAAACCGCCGCTCTCGACAGCCACGTATCTTGACAATGGCTCCCGTGATGTGCAGAGACCCCGCCGCCTTTGGCGTCCCGGAGATCTTAAGGAGCTGGGTGCGGTATGCGCCAATAGTCGTGCTCTCAATTGCCGACTCGAACTCGACACCCTCCGTACACAGTCGCACGCTCTCAACATCCACCTCGACCTCAAAGGGATTCTGCAAGGTGAGCTTGAACACTGCAGCCTCCTCGGCAACCAGGGTCTGGCTCTGGGCAGCTCTACTCGGCTGCTTCAAGAAAGGGTTGTGGATGAAGGGGTCGACATCCTGCGAGGTTCGTGCAGTTGACGCCCCTGCCAGCTCGCTCTTCTTGTGCTCCACTGGCGTGCGCACGGCAGGGAGAGGCTCGAGTTTGACACCCCTCAGGAGGAACTCATCCCAGTACTCTGCAGTCAGGTGGCCAAGGCCGAGCCTCTTGGACAGGTTAGACGTCTTGGATATGTTTGTGGCCAGCCGGACCTGCTCGTCCCTGGTGATGGCCGGCGAGGCATCTTCTCGGCGCGGTCCCGGAGCGACTCCACTGCCTGCGGTTCTCAGCAAATCGCTTGAGAACTTCAGCACCCCTTGGAAGTCGGGGAGAGCCTCGGAGAAGTTGATGCAGGCGCGGAGGATGTTGAGCTTGACGCTCCGCATACCGAACGCTCTTGCAATCGACTGCCTCTGTATCCTCGTGATGGCTGATGCATCGGAATCGTCATCAGTTACCGCCCCAGAGTCGAATTCGATGACTCCATAGGTCTTCAGCAGAAGCCCGAGGAATGCGTCCATGCCCTGCTCAGTATCGCCCTCCCCGAGCTGCAATGCAACTGAGCCACTCCCGCCCCCTCCCGCGCCTAGGTTGTTCAGTGAGACAAGACCTGCGGCAGGATGAATACCGACTTCAGCTGCACCTCTAGTCCGTGCTTCTGCCAGCCCCCCTATCAAGATAGATACAAGCTCGCGGACAACCATGGCCTTCTTCCTCTGGAAGCCAAGGACGTTGAGAACCGAGGCAATACCGCTCAATATGACGATACGATCGACGGTAGTCAGTAGTTCGGTGGCCGAAATGGGGAATGCCTTGAAGAGCATATTCACGATACTAGTCCGTGGTGGAACTACCGTCACTCGCGGTGAGCTCGTCAGCTGCTTGGCCGGGTACTGGCCAAGTACGACCATCTTGAGAAAGTCATCGCCCAATTTCCCATCGGCCAGGTGGAGTGCCGACAGGATCTTGCAAAACCTGATGGTCGTCTCTGCCAATGGCAGGGGCGGCAGATGCTCTGCAGATATCCTAGAGTACAGAGCCAGATTGCGCTCGAGAAGGTCGGGCAGGATTAGTTGCAAGTTGCGAAGCCACTTGGGTTGCTCCGGGTCCATCTTCTCTGCCTCTTGCAGCTGCGTCGCGGATGTTGTGGGCTTGTCTGCCGGAGGGAGACAGATGCTCGGGATTGTGAACTCGATGCCCTTCCAACCCAGTAAGAGCAGACAAATGACGATCAGCTCGAGAGCCTTGCCGTGCCAGAGATGGTCATTGATAGACTTGGCAACGGCGGCTCCCTCAATGAGCTCCTTCAGGGCGTCGGTCCATCGTCCTGCTTGCAGGTAGAGGGAGCCCATGACAATCAGCACTCTCCCTTTGCCCTTGTTCCTCCATCTTTCGTTGAGGCCGCCTGGCCCAAACCCCTGCACCGTGACTCGGTCCTGACTTTGCGTCCTGAAGCCGTCGTCGGCCATTGGACGGTGTGGCACGCCGTGGTCTGGGCTCGACGGCTCCGTGTGAGTCCCATTGGTCATGTCGTCAAATGTCGTCGGCGGGTTAGAGAGACCGCTCTTCACCGGGGTGGAAGGCCTGCCCGGCGACGAGTTAGTTGAACCGAACGGCGCGCCCTTGGGAGGCACAGGCATCGACATGCGATGGTCTGCCACTCCGCTCGCCGAGCTGGACCGGGTATTCGTCGGAAGGCTGTGTTGCGAGTTGCGCCGCGACAACCCTGCATCGTCACCCTGCCACGACTTTCCGTTCATATGGCGAGCTGACGAGGACTGCCCCGGCGACTCGATATAGGACATCGCCTCGAAGGACTTTGCGGCCCCGGTCATCTCGGCCAACAAAAGCGACGATATATTGCAGACCAGGGTCTTCATGGTCGTCCTCTTGCACTTCTCCGGTGGAGGAATAGTGGCAAGGCCCTCCGGTATATGTATCGGGCTGTCCTCGGGAGCTTCATAGTCGAATATCACGAGCTGGTGCACCAGCACTTTGGGGTATGCATCCCGCAGGTCTTCGAGATCCTGTTCGAGGTTGCGTATGTTTCGTTCCTCTGGCGACCGCCCTCCGCCTGAATGCCTCTTGCTGAAGACCGAGCTCCCTAGCTCTGTGCCGTCTGCTACCGCGATCACAACGAGGGGTTCCCTATAGTGATCAAAGGGCGAAAGCGCGAGATGTGAGGGCGGAGGCAGGTGGGTCACGAGCTCGTAGAATATCGCGCCGTCCGGGAAGGCCAAGGGCGAGAACATGTCTGCAAACGAGTCGTCAGCGTTCCTGTACCGTACAGAGTCATCGCGGGGATGCATACTCCGGTTCGGCCGCCCGTCGGGCGTGATGTCGCAGAGGTGCACGACATGTTCGCTGTTGAACCTCTCGACGAAAGAGGCGAAGCGCGGGCGCTTGATGCGGCCGACTGGGAGGACGAGTGCCTTGACCCTCGCCGGGGCGATGGGTAGGAGAGGGTCTGCACTCATATTTGTATGCGAGCAAGCATTCCGTCCGGGGTTGCGTGGCTCATGCGAAAGATCGCATTGTACAAGTAGACGGTGAAGGCAAGGGAGAGGTGGGTATCGTATTAGGGGCAACGCTGGATCTTGTTGACCGCGATAACAAATAGCAGACTTTGACGGCTCGCAGGAGACCCTAGAAGCTTGCAATGGTGCCTTTCCTGGTAGGTATCCTCGAATCGCAGGTTGGGTCCTGATAAAGGTCGTTCGTCTTGCCTCGCCGTAGCTTGTTTGTTGCTTGTTGGCGTTTCGACAGGTCGAGAATGCGACAGATGGATGATAGCCTTCCCTGTCCGAGAGGTACCTGCAAGACAAGGGGCAGCTCTTGGATGGCCCGAGCGCTAAGCCAGTTCGTTTCAGGCGGGCGATCCCATTTGTGGCGGTCGGCAACAGTGGGGTGTCGTCCCAAAAGGGCACCTGGGCAGCTTCGTAGCGGGGTGGGCTTGCTGAACAGTTCTCAAAGAATTGAACCTGAACTACCTAGGTACCTAGTACTAAATCCATCGACCATTCGATTCATGGATTCATGTGAAGCTCCAGGCGACCTCTGGAGTGATAGAGAGGGAACGAGAAGTGTCTGGCCTAGGGCAGTTGTATCGAGTATACGTGCTCTAGTTACTCGAAGACTTGGATCCTAGACCAGAATATTGGCTACATTCTAACTAAGTCTTGCTACCAGGACTGGCTGTCTGTATTCGCTCCAAAATCAGCAGTATATAGGAAACCCTCATCATTCATCAGTCTCTATCCAACCCTCAGTGTGTGTGTGCCTCAGCCGGACGCAGACCCAGCCCTGTCTCCACCAGCACCAGCAGCCGCCACGCTGCCGGCCTTGGGAGCATCCTCGTCCTCCAGCGGCTCGGGCTTGACGACGTCGCTCGGGAAGATGTCCACGGCCAGGCTCGCCTCGACAAAGTCCTCGAGCTCCTCCGTCACCGTCTTGAGCTTCTCCTTGACGGCGACGCTGCCCTCGAAGCCGACGATGTGACGCGCGGGCGGGTTCTCGTGGCCGCCGATGGCCGTCAGCGCGTGCACCGTCTCCATGACGAGCTTGTCCACGGCCTGCGCCGGCAGCCGCGGGTAGCGCGCGATGATGCGGTCGGCCTGGGCCTCCGGGTCGGGCACGCTCGTGTCGGCGTGGGCGTTGAGCACGTGCGCGTAGATGTCGCGGATGTTGGGCGCCGGGTTGATCTCGCCGTCGTAGTAGGGCAGCTGCGGCGCGATGACGATCTTGTGCGTCAGGCTCTGCACCTCCTTGCTCGGCTGCACGATCGTCACCTTGATGTTAAAAGGCGCGATCTCGTACGCCAGCGAGTCGCAGAAGCCCTCGAGCGCCCACGTCGCCGCCGTGTACATGGGCATCCCCGGCGTGCCGATGTGGCCCCCGATGCTGGTCAGCGCCATGACGTGGCCCGTGTGCTGGGCGCGCAGCTGCGGCAGCGCCGCCTTGATGAAGTTGACCTGCGAGAAGAAGATGGTCTCGAACTGGTCCCGCACCAGGTTGGACGTGGCCGGCGTCGTCGACAGCTCTTCCACCGTGCCGATGACCGCTATGAACCGCAGAGATTGATTAGTATTCGTCAGGTCTCATAGAGCAGTTCAAAAGAAAAAGACCCCGTCCAAAGGGACCTGCCCGTCATACCTTCGTACTTGCAGCAGAGCAGGATGTCTATCCTCCCAAACACCTGCACGGCTTCGGCCACGGCCGCGCCGGCCTGCCCCATCACCCGCCCGTCGCACCGAATCCCGCGGATGCGGTCTTTCCACCCTTCTCTGTCCTTGCGGTTACTCTTGCACTCATTGATGAGCTCTCTGAACTCTGCGCTGCGATCATCGTGCTCAATCTCGTGAGGCGGCAAGCAGGCGACTACGTAGTCGCCGTGCGCCAGCAGCAGGCGTATGAGACGCACGGTCAGCGGGGACAGCGCCTGGGTCAGAAACCATGTCCTCGGCGAGTTGTGTGTTGCTAATTGACCATTGTCAGCCCGAGTTCTCATCTTCTCTCGCCCTGATAAGACCGGATCTCATGAACTTACGGAAAGAGGCAGCAGGGTTGGCATGAGCATGCCTCGAGCTCGAGGGTCCTGCGTCTGAGTTCTTGCGATCCGCCATGGTTTAGGTCAGGTGTCAGCCGAGGACAACGACTACATCTTCGTCCTAGAAGACGAAGCAACGTAGGGGCCCGGCTATAGAGGAGGTGACGAGGCTAGGGTCAGCTGAAAAATGTGCAGCTGTACGGACATCAATGGGTGTTGTTTGATGATCAAGTTGATACATGCCTCAATTGGTGTGTCTGGAACTTTAATACATTGTTCATTCGTCTTAGGCTGGTCAATTTGCCGACTCAACACTACCTGAGGTACCTAAACTTGTAGTCGCACCAAGTGCGCCGGCAGTTATAAGCGCGAAATAGCGAGTACCAGCCTCCCTAACTGATCCGTTATAGGTAACTACCTAGTTACCTGTAAGTCGATATAGCAGGCTTTTTATTATTTGATTCATCACGACCCTGCAAGGAGAAGCCAACGGCATGGCGTGGCTTATGACAGGAGTCTTATTTTGAGCCTCTATACAAATATCATTCGAAGAAGAAAGCGTTTGCAATCGGAAGCACACAATTCACAGATCATTGACACTCCATGACCATCAAATCGAGTTTGACTTTTTACTTTTTTCATTCATTTTTACGCTAATTAAGCCAACTGTGACATACAACAAGACCCATGATCCAATGCCTCGATATCAAATCGCATGAAACCAAGACCAATGCTGCATAGTCAGATCAAAAGTTGGTATCCCCCCTACCCCTCCTTTCCCTTTCTTGAGCAGCATCGACCGTCTACTGGCCGGCCTTGATCTTGTCGCGCTGGCCGTAGGCGCGGGTGGCGTAGTCGCCGCCGTGGACGATGAGGTCCTCGGGGCGGTAGTCGAACCGGCCGCTCAGGTAGCTGTCGAGGATGGCCTTGGTGCCGTCGGCGTAGCGCTTCTGCGCGTCGAGCGAGGTGCCCGACATGTGAGGGACCATGGCGTTGCCGCCGCCGTACTGGTTCTTGGCGTAGCGCAGGACGTGGTCCTTGGGCGCCGGCTGCGGGAACCAGACGTCGCCGCCGTAGCCGCGCAGGTGGCCCGTCTTGAGCGCCTCGGCCACGTCCTCCTTGACGACGATGGCGCCGCGGGCCGTGTTGACGAGCCACGAGCCGGGCTTCATCTTGGCGATCAGGTCCTTGTTGAACAGGCCGCGCGTCTTCTCGTGCAGCGGGCAGTTGATGGTGACCACGTCGCACTGCGCCAGCATCTCCTCGAGCGAGTCGACGCGGCGGCAGCCAATCTCCTTCTCCTTCTCGGGAGACAGGGGCTGGTAGTCGTAGTAGAGGAGCTCCTTGCAGTCGAAGGGCTTGAGGCGGCGCAGGACGCGCTCGCCGATGCGGCCGACGGCGACGGTGCCGACGACCTTGCCCTCGAGGTCGAACTCGTTCTTGGCGGCGCCGGCGACATCCCACTCGCCGGCCTGGATCATCTCGTGGGCGGGCACAAAGTTGCGGACGAGGACCAGGATGGTCATGACGACGTGCTCGGCGACCGAGACGACGTTGGAGCCGGTGACCTCGGCGACGGTGATACCGCCGTTGGTCTTGTTGGCGGCGTTCAGGTCGACGTGGTCAGAGCCGATACCGGCAGTGATGGCGAGCTTGAGCTTCTTGGCCTTGGCCAGGCGCTCAGCCGTCAGGTAGCCAGGGTGGAAGCTAGAGTGAGTGGCGTTGGCTGTTAGCTGTGATACACATATACAAAATGCTCCCTCATTCTCGGCTGCACGTACGGAGTGGTGATGATGACCTCGGCATCGACAAGCTCCTTGTCAAAGGTCGAGTTCTCGCCCTCCTTGTCAGAGGTGGTGACCAGGGTGTGGCCGGCATCCTCGAGCCACTTGCGGATGCCAAGCTCGTTCTCAGTCGTGCCGAGAAGCTCGGGGACCTGTCGCGAGGGAGTGTCTGGTCAGCGCCGTCGCGGAAGTCTCCAGGCAAACATCCGGGACTTGGCAAAGCCAAGAAAGCTTGGGAGAGAGATGTATGTGCGTATGTGTAAGTGTGGTGTGTGTGTGTAAGTGAAAGGAGGGAGGCAACGGTGAAATGTAACAAGGTTCCCCCGCAGGCAAACGGCGCATCGGATAATTGCCGTCCAAGCAAAGCAGCAGCGTCATCGCCAATGGGCAAGAGGTGGCGTGGCAGCGAGTTGGGATCGAGCTTCAGCTACCCACTCACACCATCCAGCTCTCCACCAAGCAGCACCTGCATGACCCCGCAAGCTCGCTCCACCCTTGGCTCTGTCCGTTGTATCCCAACGATCCCAATCCAGTAATTCGTTCTGGCTGGACGAGACGCGCAGAGTTCACGCACGGCAGAACGGAAGGGGGCATGCAGAGAGGGGAGGAGAGGAGATCGTGATCCCAGGCAGCTCTGACTGTGTGTTGTGTGTCATGTGTGTGTGTGTGATTGTGATTGTGGAGGAGTCCAAAGTGCCAGGCAGGGAAGTTGTCGTTGATCCCGCGTGAGGAGAGACGGGTGTGTTGGAGCTGCTCGACTTACATCCTGGGCATGCTTGCCACCGTCGTAGAGGACCAGAAGAACCTTGACCTGCATTGGGACTCAAATATTAGCTTTTTGGCCTCACTCGATAGCTCCCCACCATGGACTCAGCCCTAGGATATGGAGGCGCACTGTTCGCCGGCACTCCCGTAGTCTTTAGGATTGGCAGAGGAACGACGTACCATTTTGTCGGTGTTGTATCAACAACTTTTGAGGAAGATGGGTATGTATAAGTGAAAAGCAGAAGGTCTACCTGGACAAATGGTAGACAAGAAGTCTTCAGAAGAATTGGGGTATCAAGAGAGAGTTATGGAGAGAGAGGAGAGAGGAGGGAAGAAGGAGGGAGCTTTCGACAGAGCAGGCGGGAGGTGTCTTCAGTTATTTATCTTCAAGCTCAACTACTAGGACCAAGAACGGGGTAGCGGCGGCGGACCTTGGAGAGGGAATCGGCAGAGAGGGCAGAGACAAATCGCAGAATGGGCGTGGCCCTAGGGAAGAAAGGAGGAGACAGGTCCATTAAAGTTGACATAACACAACAGCTGCCGCTCATCTACGGAGCACCTATCCAGTGGTAGCTTGATGCTTGGCTCCAGCGTAGATCCAGGAGCTACGACTGATGAAGCAAAGGATGGGAAGGGAAACGGGACCCAGCACGACCGTCTTGCAAACCCGCATCCTCTCCGAAGCACCAACGGCTGGAACACTTGAGCAGCGCTTGTTGGGAGGGGTAACTAGCGGGCCGGTTGGTTGACGACGACATGCAGTCGGACTGGACATGAGGCAGGGCGAGCCTGGGCCGGTCAGTTGCATGGCACAGGCTATTACTCCTTGCCCTTATATCGGCATGTCAGACAATGCATGCAGAAGAGCTACAACGCTCCCTTCCCACTGGTCCAGCCGCTCGGACAGGCATCGAGCTTCTTGTTCAGCCTGATGAGACCAACAGCTTCGTGTTACTACAGGAAGAATGAACGTCCCTACAAGGGAGCACAGGCCCCTCCTCATCGCCCGTCTGAGATGGCCGCAGGAGGACGCAACGGCGGAAGCGCGGGCAACCTCCTGGGCCATGCAGCTCGGTACGTGGTGGCGTGTCTCGAGGGACGCCGAGCAAACCGTCTCGAGATGCGCTTCGCTGGGCACGGAATGTAGATATTAGTCCGGTCACGGTACTTCGATTGCCCGCCGAATATGCAAGCAGCTGCACCAAAGACGGCATGTAGACGACGAAGCCCCCGTACCCACCACACCTTGCTCTCTGCGGTGATGCTCGGCGATATGGGTCCTGGAAAGAGGGGACCAGTCGTAGGTTGCAGGCTGAGGCATCTGGGGCATCTAGAACCCCTTTGGTGTGCATCAGGATCTCCATCGCCATCTTTAGCACCAGGCTTGAACCACGGACGGCATCGCGGACGTCGTTCGGAGCTCTCTCGGCGAGCGGGGCCAGGCAACATGAGGGGTAAGCTTGGGGACCCCGCTCACCCCCGACAACTACTGGCACACTGCCGTCAATATTGACACATGTGGTGGCTTTCATCTCTGGTCGGTACAACAAGCCGATGGACCATGGTCACCTTTCCGAACAGAAAGGACAGCAAGCTTGATGCGTGATGGCTTGGCTAGATCCCGAGGAGGGCGGCGGTTAAGGCACTGGCCGATCTTAGAGTTTCCATTCACGGTTTATCTCTCCGATCCGTTGCGAAGCTATTAGTCGAATCATTCTGATCAACAATGCAATGTAAGAGTAAGGTAGTAGTAGTAGAAAGACATGTCTATCAATCAGTTTCCTTTGCTTACAATGCTTCTCAACGCCAGACATGCAGCGAAAACATGAGTTGCGTTCGTCTAGAAACCAGTTCTCTACTGTATACATCAACCATGAACAAATTCAACACACTCTATGCTCTAAAGCAACGCGAAGGTCGTCTCGTCTCATCTAATCATGTCCTAGTCCAGCAAGTTGTTGGGAGGTCTTCCTCCATATTGCTGGTAAGGCGGCGGCGGAGGCTGCGGAAGCGGAGCCTGTGAGCTTCCGGGAGCAACAGCTGTTCCGTTGCTCCTGCTCCCTTTCCCGTCCCACGAAGTCGCCATGGTCATCATCCTTGGGAAATATTGCTGAACAAAAGACTCACTAACGCACACAATGTTAGCTGCAGCTTCACCGACGATGTATATGCCCGATCAAACTTACGTGTAGTAGCTGTGGTTGGCGTTATGCGTAGTCTCGATATTGTGCGCCAACTCGTGAGCCAATACAACCCACCACCACACTGTCACGTCGACCTTATCCTCCGCTTGAGGGTTGCTGGTCTGCAATTTGTCTGCATGAAGCTGCTTGAAGTAGCGCAGATTGCAGAAAATGCTACCACTCGAGTTGAAGGCGATCGTCGGACCTTTCTCGTCGTAGAATATGTGTACAGAGGACGTCGACAGGCTGTAGATATTGGCAACGTCCCTCAGGACCGTCTCAAACATGGCGATGGGTCCGATGTTGCTCGAGAGGAATTCGTGCGGTTGGATCGACAGCTCCCTAGCCACAAACACCCGCATGCCGTTGGGAGCATCGGCTGCAAATACGAGGTTGGACGCCGCTGTACTGTCACAGTATGTGGCCTGCTCCTTGACCTCGGTCGTCTTTGGCGGGGAGAAGAGACTCGACGAACCGTGGGCGCGAGTTGCCTTGACGGCATTCAGGAGGTTCTGCTGCACGACCGCTGGGGATGTTACCCGACCGTCCTCACCTGCCGGAGGCTTCCCGGTGGATGGCCCCGTGCTGGGTCCTGCTTGGCCTGTGCCTCCAGGAGGAGGAACTTCTGCCTGGTGCTTTTCGTTATGGTCATGGTCATGATCCAGACCAAACTTCTTTGAGAGTTGCGAGAAGAGGCTCCTCTTCTTTGTACTCTCAGGAGGCGGCAGAGCTTTGACGGGGCTGGATTCAGGAGAAGAGTCGTCACCGAAGGCACCAGGCATGTTGTGTTGCGGAGATTTGGCGCCTTCTCGAGACGCAGTCGCCACGGCAGTCTGCTGGTGCTCCTGCTGCCTCCACTCTCGCTCTCGCTCTTGGATCCTGCGCTGCTCATCTTCCAAAGCCTTGCGCCTCTCTTCTTCGGCAATGCGGGCTTCTTGAGCCTTCACACGCAGGATACGATCAACATTGTAACCCCTCGCTCGCAGATCCAGGAGGTCGAGTCGCAGAAAGGGCTCGAAGAAGAAATAGGCTTGCTGGTTTGGTCGGTTCAGGAGGGCGTGGCAGACTGCCTGCCCAACTTGGTACATATCGGGCCGTCCTTCGGCGGCGATGTAGAGGACGAACCCAAAGCCCTCCTTAGTACCTGCTGCAGTGCGCTTCTCGGTGTGAGACTGGCCCCTGCCTTGGAGCGATCTGCGGAGAGAAATGTTTCGCACAACTTCCACGCGAAGGTTTTTCTCAAGCCACTTTGCGTCATGCTTGATGGCGTCCTGCTTGTACTTGGCATACTCGTGCAAGAAGAGCTTTGAGCGCTCGAGAACATGCTTATGAAGCCACGAAGAGGCGTCTTGCCTGTCCACGTGGGGGCCAACGCGGATGTCCTCTTGCACTAGATGGCTGAGCACTTGCGCTCCAAGAGCCTGGTAAAAGCTTTCAAGCTTGTCGTCCTCTGGAGCCCAGAGCAACGAAGTCTTGAAGAGATTGTAACTGATGAAGTCATCAAGTATCACAATGTCCTTCGGCGCTGCGAGCTGAAATTGCCGAATCGACGTTTCGTCCTCGCCGTTGTCGGCCTCCTTGCTGCCATTCGGAGAGGGTATCTCACGACAAGCAAGAAGGAACGGCGAGCTCTTCATCTTTCTGAACAACTCTTTGTCCTTCTTCAGAGCACCCCAGTCTTCTGCCAAGAAGCGGAGGAGGTTCAGGTACCTCTCTGAGCTTTGCAGAATGCTCAACAACCTGGCTGGCTCATTGCAGGCGAGTTTTGCGATCTCTAGCTTGGTAGGCTCGAGTTTGGCTCCGCATTTCAGCAGAAACGTATTGGCGTTGGCTCCAAAGTCTACAAAGTCGAAAATGTCCCCATAAGTAGTGGAAATACCCAGGTAGACATTGACAGGCTTTGCTAGAGTGGATGTGGCCGCAGCACCCAACTTCTTCGATGTCCCTGGCGTATGTCGCACAACCGGTACGATCGATGCATCCCTGAGCTTCGCAAGCGAGTTCTCACCAACATCGCCGAGGCGTGAGGTGAAGTACTCGAAGAGAGGCGCGGCCGACTGTTGGTCTTGCGGTGGGTTGGCGATCAGCCTGTTCACACATTCCATGATGGGCGGGTCTCGAGCAACGCCAAACTTGGGCGCATGCGGGTGCAGACCCTGTGCAAGAATGTTGAAGCCAAGTATAGCGGCTCGTTCATTGGTATAGCATGCCGAGGGCGTTACGAGAGTGTCCATCTTACCCATCAATGGCAGAATGGGTTTGTTGAATCCACCGATATTGAAGGAAGCATAGCCATTGGTGTGGTGGTTGGAGATGAAGTAGGACATGCTATTCTTTCTCACTGTCGGGTCTTTGTCTGCCATCATCTCGAGGAGCTCGGCAACGGAGGGTGCTGAGCGCAAGCCCAGAGATACCAGGAAGAGGCCCTCGGGACTGCCTTTCCGGTAGCTTCCTGGAGGTCCTGGCCATTGCAGAAGAGGGAGCCCTAGGGTTCTCAGAGGCTCTTGAGGCTCAAAGAGCTCAGATACCTTGAACAGTTGAGATGTAGGCTTCGTGGACTCCATCCCCTTGGGGCCGGCCTCCGCTGGACATATTCGCGACTCCTTGAGTTTCTTCATATCAGTCGCAGGAATGTCGGCCCGTACTGAAGCAAGGTACTTGATGAGCTCAACATGGCTCCATCGTGGCCGCCCGTTTTCAGCCGAGTTAGAAGGCTGGCTCAGCAACCGAGTGAAGATCGTATCCAGATCCACGGTCTTTCGCACACCAATAGCAGACAGGAACTTTTCTTTCAGGGAGTGGTTGTCTGTCAATGTGGGCAAGTCATCGAAAAGTTTGACCGAAGGAAAGAAAGATTCTGTCGGTTTCCGCATTCCCATCTTTGTTGGAACGACCGTAATGCTCTGTAGGGATGTCGCAATTACAGATTTGTCTGATGCGTTGGTCTCGGCCCAGTTCTTGGAAAGAACCGTAAGAACTTGTTGCGCGAATGCAGGTGATTTCGTCAAATTCTGGTCGTCTGGGCATCTCGCAGCCGAGTCAATGAGAAATTTCAGCCACGGCACAATGTCAAGTTGCGACCATCCAAGGGATCCCAGATTGGATTCCTTCGCTTTGCTAGTGAACACGAAAGGAATAGTAGTCGGCGGAATAGGAAGTTGGACCGGTATCTTGTTTGTTGTCAAGTAGTTCTTGATGGTGCTTAACGCAATGATGGAGCCTTGGTCATCGCCTTCGCCCACAGTTGCTACCGCAACATCGAGGAGGGAGCGCACACTTGGAGGATCCAGATCACCTGCTGCAGCCGAGTTACTGATCCACTGGACAAAGTGCATCAGCTGTTCTTTGTTGAGAGCTTTGGCTTCAAGCTCTTGGCGAACATCATCGATGGTGATGGACTTGAGGAGGCCAAACTCCTGCAGCTTCTTGACGAATTGGCTCTCTTTCATCTCGTCGGATATCACGGGAATGCCGTCAACAAAGGTGGCCAAAGCATCAGACTTGATGCGCACCTTGGTCGTGGGAAGCACTCCCTGGCTAGAGTAGACATCAATGTATGCCTTTCGATACGCCGTCCAAAACGCTTCCTCGATGATGCGGCCCACATGGCTGCTAGGTGTAGAGTCTGAAAATGTGTAAGTGTTGAGGATATGCAGTGCCTCGGGCATGAATTTGGCCACATCGGCTGGCGTAGGCTTGGGACCCTTGCCGTTTGCGGCGACCAGAGCCCGAAGTTTGGCATCGAGATCTGCCATGTCGTTGGAGAACGCCAAGCGAGTGACGATGCCTGCAACACGAAGCATTTCGATGTTCCAGTTTCGGACCCAGCGGGCATTCAGATCAATCGCTTCCCGCTCGACAGTCGGAATGACCGATGGGGCAGAGATGTGCATGCCTGCACCGGTTGTCTGACCGGTAGGAAACCCGATAAAGACTCTGCCACCAGGCTTTCGGCTGGGCAGGACAGTCGCAAAGACATCGGCTGCTTTCGCAGTAGCAGTAGCTCTCGACGAGCTTTCCGATGCCATGGTTTCATCATACGAAGATGTCAAGATAGCCATCTTGGTCGTCTTGGGTGGTGGCTTTTTGGTAGCTCGCTCCAGCTCTTTGGCGAAGTTGCTAGCGACTTTCGTCTCAATGGTGGCAGTGGTGACGCGCAAGAAAATGCTGGAGGATGATACTACAGTTAAATCTTCAGCTATAGCTTCCTGGGCGGCCTTCTCCTCTTTTGCTGCCTTTGCCCGTGCAGTTGACTGCGCCGAGCTGGAAGTAAATCGCGAGAAAAATCCCTTGATCGCCGTCATATCGGATGAACCGAAACCATATGCTTCGCTAGCCTTGGCTGCAGCCGCTGCGACTTGAGGCTTCCATCCGATGACGCTCATGATGCCCGCATCGATCTGAGTGCTCACGCGACCAACGCCGCTTATGTTCATGAGCCCTTCTTGTGTACGGGTCTCCAAGTCCCGTGGAATGGGAACGTCTATGCTGGGGGATGTCTTTTTCTTCAAAGCCAAGAGCTTATAGTCGTCAACCCAGAACTCGATGTTCTGCAGAGCGACAAAAGTCAAGCTGGTGGCAAGAAACTGGCCAACGGAGAGCAGATTCGGCAGCGGAGTGGTGGTATTCCGGTAGTCCAGCACAAACGCGGTGTCGGAGGTAGCTTGGTCTGCTGGGATCTGCATCTTCCTGGTGAAGAGCGCATTTCCCTTCCAGTAGAAGGCCATGGCTTGGTCCCCAGAACTGACAAAGGGTTCTTCACAGTCGGCGAATACGCTGTAGAATCCAACACCGAATGCGCCGATCTTCGTCTCATCCGGGTTGCCCTCAGCGATCCTCTTGAGGCGGCCCCAGTCGGTCTGAGTGAATGGCTGCCCATCGTTCTGCACCACTAGCCTCCGGAGGGTATGATTGGCGATGGTGTGTTTGAGGAGTTCGGATCGGTTCGCGCCATGAGGAAGGGGTACCGTTGTTGAGGGAAGGGTTTCCCACCGTATCGTAACGGTTGTGGCTTGGGCGTCGGCAGCATTCTGTATGAGCTCCCGCAGCGTTGTCCATTCTCCCGAGTATCGAGCGAGCACCTTGTCAATCAGGGCTCGGGTGTCGACGGTAACTGCCTCCTCATCCTCGCTGCTCTTCAGGGCAGCCGCCCGCAGCTTTGAATAATCCATGAATGCGCGCCGGTCTCAAGACAAAGAGACGGACATGTTCCCATCTGCGTTGACAGAAGACCAGATTCCTTCAGCAGCTAAGAAGTGCCAGGTGCACTCTTTAATACTGCGGTTGCAGTGCCCTAATCTCGGTCGCGCGAGCAGATTAGGTAGCGTCACCGCTTTGGTCGAAGCAGTGGTTCTGGTTGTGGCTATGTGAACTTCGGAGAACTTTCTTGCTCTACCGACCAGGCGAATGGGGAAGTTCAGAATCCGGGCATGCAAAAGAATGCGTGAAAAAAGTAGCGCTTGTCAAAAGCTCTACCGGATTTCTTGACCGAAGGTCGTTGACGAGGCGCAATGTCTAGTCACTGGTGGTCAAGGCTCCAACTCTGACGCGTAAATATCTCCAGCTGGATCCGTCATCAGTGGCGCAAGGGTTGCCACTATGGTCCCCTGACTCTCAAGCCTAGCACAGCCAATCGGGCGCTAGAAACTAGCCCCAGACAGGCGGATTTAGCCTCAGCTGCAGGGGGGCTGAGGTGCACTAAGCTGGTCTTGCTTGATGAAACTGATCAGAGGCATGTTTCAACACACCGAGCATCCCCTCATGAGGAAAAAAGGCTCTACGGAGTAGCTTCATCACATTTCCGTATAAAATCATACGGGGTACAGATCATATCCACTAGTGTTTGTTTGTGGCTTATACATTGCCAGTCATGGTCTATCTCCTAGTCGTACATGTCGAATCCGTGGAAGACTACCAAGGCGCATGTTGAGGTAGGCAGATTTACCAAGTCTAGTGATCATCACGGGTGTTCTGCCGTGTATCGGAATCCCTCCGCCTATTCTCGCGGTCATCCCTACTTCGACTGCGCCTGCGCCTCTCTCGCCGGTCCGGGCTTCGACTCTGACTTCGCCCATGGTATCGTTCCCTCCGGTCACGTCTATCGCCTTTGGGACTGCGACTCCTGTGCCTCGCGCCATCGGCACGTGGGCGCCTATCCCTATCGCGGGAGCCGTCCCTCCTCCGTGGTGATCGGTCTCTCCGTCTCTCGCGGTCGCGGCTCCCGCTCCGATCCCGATGTCTCCTGTGGTGTCTCCTGCCACCATCCCGAGAGTCCCTCCTCTCCCTACGCCGGTCGTCTGATCTGCGCTCGTGCCTCCTTGTGCTCTCGCGCGCACTCTTCGTTTTGCTGTCGTCGACATCTGGGTTGGCAGGTCGCGCCGGCATCCTAGACGCATTCACCTCGACGGCGTTTGCGCCAGAGGCATCTCTCTGGGGAGGCGGCAGGCCCAGCGCTTTGGCGATGGCATCCTCTTCTGCCTCCTTGACTTTCCTCAGCTCTTCTCGGCGCTCGCGCGCCTGGCGCTCCTCCTCGGTCTCGTTACTGTTCGCGGCTGACGGCTCCGACTTGGCATACCACGTCAGGTCGCGCCCTTGTTGCCATCGACCCACCGGTGCCTTGAGACTGTGACCGAGGTAGTTCTCGCGGTGCGATGAGGTTGCGACGTCATCCCAGCTGAAGTTGACGCCTCCCCGCGACCCGCTCTTTCGAACGGTAGACAGGAGATCCATCGTTGTCTGTGTATTGAGAATGGCAGATGTAGCATGAACCGATCTTTCGTTGTATTGAGCGCACTGGCGGTCGGCGGTGAAGCCGAGTTGGAGAGTTTCGGCACTGAATGATGAGTTGATGTTGTTTATGACGAGGATGAAAGCGGTAGCGGTTGGCAAAAATTCAAGCTCAAGTAAAAGAACAAAGCGAGTGGGCTCGATTTGCGGGGTGAAGATGCTATTCGACCCGCTCTTCCGCTGTTAGAATGCAAAGACCCACTACAACTCGCTCGACATCCAGAGCCTCAATCCACGAACCTCCACTCCGCATTCATTCATCTTTACAGCACTTTCTAGGTACTCTACGTGGCTTTGGTGCGCGTCATTCTCGAGAAATCCTCACCTCTGAAGCGTATACGACAAACCTCTGACTCCATTGGAGAATAACAGCACTGCCCGAGAGTCTCTGCGCCATCGCACCATCAACCGCGAAAGAAGATCGACGACACAGCATCAAAGAACACCACAATGGGCAACAAGAACGAGCCGCCCCTGGACGAGATCCAGTGGCACAACCCGGCCATCCTCGCCGAGATGCAGGGCATCCACTCCAACTCGGTGCTCTACTACTTCGCCGGCAGCCCCTTCTTCGACCCGACCTCCAACAACGCCGTCGTCGTCAACCAGGCCATGTTCAACCAGGCCATGCGCAACGTCCTCGGCACGCGCGAGGCCTTCGAGGCCCACCTGCGCAGCATGTCCGGCCTCGAGTACGTCGTCGCCCAGGAGCCCGCCGAGATGGGGCCCGGCATGGGCACGGGCGTCTGGGTCATCCGCAAGCAGACGCGGCGCAAGCGCAACGAGCCCGGCGTCGAGGACGACATCACGGTGCACGCCGACTACTTTGTCGTCGGGGAGAACATATACCAGGCGCCCACGCTGGGCGATATACTGAGTGCAAAAATCGTGCGTGCCCTTTTCTGCCCTCATGCTTTTCTCATGCTCTCGACTATGGTTATACCGGGCCTTTGTGCTAACCGGGATCTCCCCCCCCTCCCCACCAGGCCTCATTATCCTCTGCAGTCGGAAAGATCTTCCCAGCGGCAAGCAGCATCCAGCAGTGGTCGCCTGCCCAAGGGCACGTGTACAAACAGCCCACAGCTAGCACATCGCTCCGCACCAAGGGCCTGGAGTCCAAGGAAGGAACGCCCATGCCGGAGAGCATCACAAAGGCACTCGAGAAGACGTCCAAGTCGGCGCCGGACAGCCGCCTCGCGGAGGACTCGCTCATGATCCACCTGAGATACGGCGGCGAGTACATGGACGAGAACCCGATCACGGGCAAGCCGGGGGAGTTCCACCTGTCGTCTACCGGCAGAAAAGACAAGATCCCGCCGCCAATGGCCGGCAAACCGAACGGCCTCAAGCCCGCATCAGAAGCCAGCCCTCTGACCAAGGACGCGAAAGCAGACAAGAATGGGAAATCGGCAACTGCTCCGCCGAAACCCAAGCGTAGGAAGAGCAAGGGAGGCACGGTGACACCGTCGTGATCAACTGCAAAGAATCACATCCGTGATGGAAAAGAATCATCTCAACGGCGTTTAGGTTCTGACTTTACAAACGATACCCCGATAGACTACTAGATAGGTCATCAAAAATGTATTCATTAAAAAACGCCTCTGTGCATGCTGCTCTTCTATGCCTCACTCTACGCTATCCAATGAATGCCCACCCATTACTACTCCACGACCCACCCCTTGCCGGGAACCTTCCGCTGCTTGATCTTGGCCATGGGCAGCGGCCAGCCCATGCCGCCGCCCGCGCCCTCGGCCCGCAGGTACGGCACGACCCAGCACTCCCTGACCTTGCCGTAGTCCTTGCCCGAGCCCATGACCTCCTTGGTCGGCTTGCCGTAGCTGACCAGCGGCGTGCCCTTGGCCAGCGCCGCCAGCTGCGCGCCCGTCACGTCCGTCAGCGCGTGCATGCGCGTCTTGGGCCGCTTCTCGCCGTCGACGCTCGCGGCGCCGCGCTGCAGGTACGCGTAGACGATGTACTCTGGGCACTCGCGGACGCTGAGGTGCGACAGCGGAGACTCGGGGTGGATGTATACGAGTCTGTCCTGGTCGTCCGCGGGAGCCTCTCCTTCTAGAGGGAGGAGGGGGAGATAAGGTACGTCGATGGCCCGGCTGGGTTTCCGGTGCACCTCTGGAGGGTACGGAGACAGGTCGGCGCGGATCGCGACCTGGTCGATGAAACCGGCGGCGACCATCTGCTTCAGGAGTTTGATCTGGTGTTGGTCTGGTGGGTCCAGCTTGTCCTCGAATTTGATGTTGGCGAACGCAGGAATGTTGGTCTTGAGCAAGGTGGCGATCTGGTACCGCAGCTGCTGGATCTCCTTGAGAGCCTTGTACCGGACAAAATGACTCTCGCACCACTGCTCTGTGGGCTCGTGTGCGTACTCTCCCACGACCTTCAGCAGCTTGATGGCGTCTGATTTGCCGTCGAGCGAGCAGAATCCTCGGTGAGCCGCGCCGTACGCATTTCGAACTGCCTTCTGTCGGTTCTCCGCCTGGATATCCTCTTCTGTTCGGAAGTCACCCTCCTCTTTCTCTGGAAGTTTGGGGATAGCGTGATTCAGGGGTACGAAGACCTCAGCAGCCGACAGGCCAGCCACCATGGCTATGACATACGGCATGCAGTCGGCCTGTGAGCCAAGGAGCAGGATTTTGGCGAAACGCGGCGCCAGAGGAAAGATGGACATCGTTGTGCCAATCTTGGATATTTGACCTTCCGTTGAGATGGCTGACAAACACTTGAGTAGCCTCTCTGCTTTCACCAAGCTCTGGCGAGTGGGCGGTGTCGGGAAAGGGAAGGTCACAACGTCCGGGATCTTCATTGCCTTGAGCTGCAGCACCACGCCCTCAACTGGCATTCTCAGAAGCTCAGGTTCAGCAAACTCTGGGAAGTCCCGCTCATAGACAGCCGAAGAATACAGTCTGTAGCAATGACCAGGGCCAGTACGACCAGCACGGCCAGACCGCTGATTGGCACTAGCTTTGCTGATCCAACCAACCTCGAAACTCTGGACACCAGAGATCTTGTCATAACGGCGTTCCTTCGATCTGCCGCAGTCAAAAACGTACCGAATCCCGGGGATTGTCAGACTTGTCTCGGCAACGTTTGTGGCCAAGATGACTTGGCGAGTGTTTTCAGGAGGCGGATCGAACACACGTTGCTGCTCTTTCGTTGGAAGCAGAGAGTACAGCGGCAGGACGTTCATACGCAAAGGCCCAGTCCCTGCTTCCTCGTCCTCGATCAAGAACTCATCTTCTTCGGCCTCATCTCCGCCGTCTTCGGATGATTCCTCGTTATAGTCCTCATGGTCTTCGATATCTCCAAAGTCAACGTCCTCTGCCTCAAATGGCGCTTCGCTTGCTGAGATTCTGACCTTGGGTCCGTTTCCAGAAGTAACGCCGTTGAACTCCATCTTGAGTCGCTTACTGAGCTGATGGATTTCATTCTGACCAGTCAAGAAGACAAGAATACCTCCCGGAGGCAGCTTCCTATGACCTCGACTAATCTTTTGGAACATTTCCTCAACGTAGTCATGCTGGGTTCTTCTCGAAAAGTGGACAGTGACCGGAAATTGCCTCCCTTCCACGTTCAGGACTGGAGGGGGTTCGGCAAACAGTCTTGGGTTCTGCGTCACATCTCCAAGCCTCAAAGTGGCAGACATGATGATCAGCTTCAAGGGCTTGATCGACTCTCCGTTCTCGGCGAGGTCTTTCCGAATCTTGTTGACGCGACTGAGGATGCCGACCAGTACGTCGGTATTGACACTCCTCTCGTGGGCTTCGTCAATAATGATTGCTGAGTATTTCCGAAGGGCCACATCCTGTGCCACCTCGCGGAGAAGCACACCGTCGGTCATGAACTTGATGGCCGTCTTCTTGTCTGTCGTGCCCTCGAAGCGGATCTGGTAAGCGACGATATGGGAATGATCGCCGAGCTCTTGAGCGACCCTCTTCGACATGCTGACTGCGGCCACTCGACGAGGCTGTGTGACACCGATCATCCCAGGGGTGGGGGACTCGGGAGAGCCATAGCCCGCTTCGTACAGGAACTGGGGCACTTGTGTGGTTTTACCAGATCCAGTAGCACCGGAGACCACAACAATGTCGTTGTTGTGAATAGCTTCCATGATCTTCTGCTCCTCGGCGACAACAGGGAGGGCGAGCCGAGCAGTTTGGATCTCTGGAGATCTGGTGACTGTGACGCTGTATGCCTTTCTGCCAATGTTCTTCGTCTGCTGCAGCTCTGGTGGTAGCGGTTCCTGCTCTACTGGCCTGGGCGTGAAATTTTCTGGCCTCGGTATGTCCAAGATCGCGGGTGTGTCCGTCACAGACTGGTAACCAAGAGCTTCGTTCCGTTGCCTATGGGCCCAGGCCTTGAACGCAGATGGTCTCTTTGTTGTCCCTTCTTCTTCCTCCTCGTCTTCGTCCTCTCCTTCATCCGATCCGCTTTCATCGGAAACGTCGTCGTCGTCCTCCTCCTCTTCGTCATCCTCTGAGTCATCAGGCTCGTCTTCCGCTGCAGCTTCATCGCTCTCGCCAGCACTAGCGGAGGCGTCATCAGAATCGAAGCCATTCCAATCATCGGATCCGGATTGATCATCGATGACCATATCCACTTGAGGTTGTATAGTGAACTTGGATTTAACACCGCCACGCTTTTGCCTTTTCTGCAGTACAGGCCGGCCACTGTCATCAGTCTCCAACGGGCGCTTTAAGCCCGATCCTGCTGGTGCTGAGGAGAAAAGGGATTTCGCCGGCGCAGTAGAGACCTCTGAGCTTCCTTTGTCGTCAACCTTATCCTCTGTGTCGGAGACATCTTGAGGGGCAGGTGCGCTTTGCTGTTTCTTCGTTCCTTTGGCGCGCTTGGTAGTCTGCGTGGCAGAAGTGAAGATTGGCGTCGGAATTGCCTCAGATTCATCTGAGGAATCCTCATCAGTCCGAGACTGCCCTCCCTTCTCGTCCTCCTCGCTCTCCTCACCAGTCGTCAGCCCAGCTTTGCGTTCCCGGAACTTGCGCCTCAGCGCCTCCTTCTTGGTCTCCTTGGTCTGCCCTAGAGACCGCGCACTCGAGAACAGGCTCGTGTCGATCCTGTTCTCAGCGAGCTTCGCAAGCAGCTCCCGGGTCTCGTCCTTCTTGAGCTTGTTCTCAATGTACTTCTCCAGGCGCTTGGCCTTCTTGCCGCTGACCTTGACGCCGGGCGCTTTGAGCTCCTCCTTCATGCGCGCCTTCTTCTCTGCGCGCTCTGTGGTTGATGACGGCACTATCTCGAGCGCATTGCTGTCTTGCTGCTCGACGACATCCTCGTTGGCGTCGGCCGCTGCCTTTTCACGAGCCGCCTTCTCCCGGGCGAGCACCTTGTGCTTCCTCTGCCGAGGAACGAATTTCCTCGCCATGGTGAGTGGAAATCCAGTATAGAACGTGACAGAGGGAGGTCAATTGAAAGTTTTCATGACCAGGTTCCTCTAAAGCATTCCCACGACTCCGACCTCGATTTTTGTGTGTAGATTTGAACAAGACTTTGACGATGGACTCTTATCAAAATTCGATAACTGAACTTTTTAGCGGGTCTTCTCAGGCCAGAACCAATCACTGCAGCAAGTGCTGGAGTCTGTTCTCTCTTACACCTATTATGTCACGTAGAAAACCCTCTAAGAGGATGAATAGAAAATAGAAGTTGTAATGTCGAAATTGACTTTATGAGTAATTGCATACATAGCTTATGAGCCTGCCCCCGCCTGGTCAAGCGGCCCAAGTCTATCATCCAGGCACTCATTTCCAAGTTAAAAAGTAGATAGATGGCTGTGACCTTCGAAGAATTAGAGAGCTAGAATCTGCCCCACCTCACCCAAAGTCCACTGTAGAGCTATCTCATCTTCATAAGAGCTCTCACAACCCTCACTACGATACACCACATGAACTGTAATCTCATCAACAAATATTCACAGCCCTCACTCGGGCCCATAGAAACTCAACCCAGCAAAAACGCACCCATCTCAATCAGCATACATTAGGTACATACACATACATCATGGACCCCTCCGCCCCGCGCGAAGAGCCCTACCCCGCCCCGACGAAGCAAGCCTCCGGCTCCGTCAACGGTGAGCCCACCGAGGCCTCGTGCACCAACTTCTCCGACAAGATCATGATCACCATCTCCCAAGGCGGCCGTCTGTCCCAATGGGTAAATAAACACAATCCCCCCCCACCCCCAACCCCTCCGCTTTCATATTTCATCAAACCTCTCTTATCGCTAACCCTCCCGGGCCCGCCGCAGATCCAAGTCCCCCTGTCCGCCCCCTCCCCAGCCCTCCTGGACCTCTCCCTCCCCGGCGCGGAGGGGCCGGCCTCCACCCTGCCCTCGGCGCACCTGACCCCCAAGACGCTCCTCGGCGGCGGCGGCGAGGACCGCGAGACCCTGGGCCAGCTGTACGCGGCGCAGATCGGCAGCCACCTGAGCCTGCGGGACCCGGAGGACCGGCGCACGCTCGTGCTCGGCCTGGGTCTCGGCGGGCCGGCCGGGTCGTACGGCCGCGAGGCCTTCTTTGACGTGCTCGAGCTGGTGCAAAAGGTGCTTTGAGAAAAAAAGAAGGGGGGGCGGAAAAGGAGAGGAGAGGGATGTTACCTCTTAAAAATCCTTTGGGGCCCCCATGTAGACAGAGAGATGACAAGGGCTTTTGTCTCGAGAGGCCCGAGGTGACCCTGCCGTCATTGGAGGTGCTGCGGGAACGATAGGGACTGCGTGAAGTAGTCTCTACCAGTGACCACCTTTGGGAGTGGTTGCGGCGCTTGTCTCTCTATCGAATCTCAACCTCCCTACCGTCCCTTGATTGCCTTCGAAGCACACCGGTTCACTTCAAACCAACCGAGATAGGTGGCTGTGAAGCCGAGTACAGGTTGTCCAAGCTCACTCGGAAACCTCGATGACTCTTTTCCAGGTTGCCTAGGGACGTTGATCTACGTATCACATACGATCATAACAACGAGTCGCGCAGATCGACTCCCACAGGATGCAAAATACAATTAGACCTGCCGGTCTCACTCTTCATCAGACACCAGACAGGCGGCACGGCTTATAGACGTATATCGGAGTCATCATCATGACCTCAAGCCTCCGATTAATCGTTTCTTCTTAGGGAAAAAGAAAGAGAAAAAAACTCCATTTGCTCATAATAATCTGTTCATGCCCACATCGCAGGGGACATATCAATGTGACATGCATCGTCGTTTGGCAGCTGCCAAGCTCCCAAATCGTAAAAGCGTTTCCCATGTACCAAGAAAAGATTTCCTGTCGGCTACCTCTATGAGAAATCATTTGCCAACCCCGCCGCCGGCGGCCTTTTACTCGATTTCTTTCGCAAAGTGAACAAGCTACTTGTTGTACATTATGTAACCTTATCGCTTACGGTCACTGCTGATAGTCACGTTAGTAAAGGTGTGATGTCTTGAATGTCCAGCGGGCGTCAACTCACGTGCTCAATCTTCTTGAGAGCGTCTGCAACTTCTTGTCGTTCTCTGCCTCCTTTGCCGCCCTCTCGAGAGCCTCCTGCCTCTCTTCCTCGTTCTGCCTCACCACCTCGTCGTGGCTAGGCGGTAGCCTCTCGTTCTGAAGATCGACCTTGCGAGCATCCTCAAAGGTGCTGATGGCGTTCTTGATACCCTCGGCACCAAGCATGAGGGTACCGGCCGGGAGTCGTCCGCCAGAGACAGTCTTCAACTCGGTGACACGCTCAGACTCCTCACGCAGTACCTGGAAGACACGTGACAGGCGGCCGATGGCCAGAATCTTGTTCTTGATAGCACGGCGCTTGAATTCGATAGACTCGGGGTCCTCCTTGGCAAGAGCCGGGGTGGTGGGAGGCGAGCCGGGGCCGGGAGAAGTGGCCGAGTCGGGTTCCCGCAGCTCTTCTTCGGAGCACGTGCTCAGAATGGCAAGTAGCATATCGGTGATCTTCTCGCCGACGAAAGGAAGCGACCAGGTGAAGACATCCATGAAGTTGGGTAGCCAGTAAGGATGGGGTGTGCAGTTGAACTGCCGAATGTTCATCACGTTGTTCTCGTACTTGAGAACAGCAGCCTTGTTGTTGTACACATCGAGGTAGTTCGGGGCGGAGAATATAGTCATGACGCTGGGAAAGCCAGTCGTCCTCGTCTTACGATACATGCGATAGCCGGCATCTTGTGCCTCGTGGGCCCTGATGATGGAGAGAAGGTTGTTTTTTTCGAGGAAGGCGCAGGCAGCAGGGTATGAGAAGAAGTATGAGCAACCTCGGACGTGGTTGTGCAGGAAGTACTCATTGGTCTTTTCCTGGCCGAAGTCCTCGAGGGGGTCAGCCCAGAGGATGTCGCACATAAGTCCTTGGGTGGGGGGCTCCCTGAAACGGTCAATCTGCACGGTTGTCAGCCTCGAGCATACAATGGGATCGATGGCGGTTCCTCTTTCGTGATGTCACTTACGCTTCGCAGGTCGTCCAGGGTGTGCAACTCGGGGCTGAGACCACCATGAATGCAGAGGAACTGCTTGTTCATGACAGCCGCCAGAGGCAAGCAACAGAAAGATTCCATGCAAGCATCGTACACAGCCTCGGAGTACTTGTGCTTGCACTCGAGCTTGAACGTGAAGTAGTCGGTCAAGTGGCGACATTCGTGGTTCCCGCGCAGCAGCCACAGCGTCTTGGGGTAATGGATCTTGAGAGCCCACAGATAGAGCACGCACTCGATACTAAAGTAGCCGCGATCAACGTAGTCTCCAAGGAAGAGGTATCTCGTCTCGGCCGGGTCACCGCCGACCTCGAAGAGCTTCATGAGATCATAGTACTGTCCGTGGACATCTCCACAGACGGTGATGGGGGCGTCCATCTCGAGCAGGTTGGGCTCCGCGCGCAGAAGCTCTGAGCCCTTGTGGATGATCCATAGCGCCTGCTCCTCGGTCAATCGACCCTCGCGATAGAAATGCTCCTTCAGGAATACGATGTTGGGCTTCTCGCGGGTGTTGACGTCCTCGAAGAATTGTTCGTTTGTCGGCTTTTTCGAGGCGGGCGCTTGCACATCTGCAACCGATGGGGAACAAGATTAGCACTTGTATTACACACAAGATTCAGAGAGCAAACATCCACGAGGCAATCGAGGTCCCGTCGATCGCGTGCGGCGGCGGAGGGGTCAGGGAACAAGCAGGGGCGGGGTCCTTGTACCTTTGCAAACCCGCTCGAGCGTGCTCACTTGGGTGTTGTCCTCCATGGTGTGGATGGAGAAGTCAATCTCGGGCAGCGGCTTCTTATGCTGAATGGCGCGGATGGCATTGTCGACCTGCATGTTGCGCCGCTCCTCCATGGAGGAGCGCGCCTTGGGGCCGTCGGTGTCCATGGCCTCGGACATGGAAGTAGCTCGTCAAAGGCAAAGGTCGGTGGCAGGCTACGGTGTTTTGCCGAAACGGAGAGTTCTGCCAGTATGGTGTGCACAGCTCGAAAGAAATACCACCGAAGGCTATGGCCGGGTGTTATAGTGCGACTGGCACTGGAGAAAGGTGGTGATGAGGCGGGAAAGAGGTTGATGGAGGAGAGAGGTCGAGATGGAGGTGGAATCGGTAACGCAGAGCTGGGCTAGGAAAGTGGTGGGTTTTGGTGGAGCACGAGCACGCAGAAGTTCGTTCGTTCATTAGGAGGGGGGGCGAAAAAGGCGGGATGACGGCGGTTGTGTTGTGAGAAGAGCAAGTTCCCCTAACTAGCGAGTTCACAGGCAGGTCGAACTTGGTGTGTACTTTGGCCACTTATTCACCGCACTATGTACCTATGACAGGTACACAAAGCTGAGCAAGTAAGCAAGCCACTGTCTCCTCTCTGTCTGCAGAGCTCGTCTTTTTGGGCCTAAGTTTCGGTTCCCTCGTCAAGTGCCGTTTCATTTCAATAAGTTATTCCCCTTCCGAATCACTCCAGTACTCTCCCCCCTGATCAACTCTGAACAGAGAACACACACATCAAGCCAGTGAGGCAGAGGTCAAGCAGTCAGCAGCTGCCAGCCAAGGGGCCAATGAGACAATGGGTCAAACCTGAACACGCCGAACGACGGGGCCGCCTGCACGGAGGAGCCAGTCAGCTTCTGGGCTTTTAAGGGGGCCGCACTTTTGCTCCTGAACCGGCGACGGGTGGTGACGCCCAGTTAGTTGGGCTGCCTCAACTCTGGAACAGCCTTAAAGGTAAGGTAGCAAGTGGCTGCAAGAAAAGTAGACGGATTGCTAACAGAAATACATCAGATCCTAACATAGTAACCAGGGGCCCTGGCAGTTATGACTCTGTGATCTTCTAAATTTCCCCTCAGGGTATTGATAGACATGCACTGAATGGCTATTGTTTACTTTAGATCTATAAAAGCCAGTGAGTGGTATTGCCACTGATCGAGATGTTAGGTATGAAGTACTCCTTGATGGAAATCCGTCTACTTTTCTTGCAGGCACTTGGGTAGGTACCTAAAGTCGCCAACCCCTTTTTACCCCACCAACACTGCATCCACCCCGGTGCTCTGCCTGGATCCATCCATTCATGTTGCACATGAAAGTCAGGGACATGTCGAGTCCTATCTTACAGACAAGCGCACTCACTGACCGACTGATGATTGACATTGTCCATCTGTCATGGTTCATGTACAAGCTTTCTCTTGGAAGTGACATTCAAATATTGGCATTTCATCTCTTATTTACCACAGTATGATCGTTCAATATCCCGAGGCGAGAGAGACCGAGAGAGCCTCATGCGAGGCAGCCTTGGCTACGACATTGGCCTTACTGTCAATGGAGCCTTTTTTGTTGGGCACAAATGGTCACAAGGCTGCCGCCTTGGCGCCGAAGCATGGGAGCCAAATTCAGGTCGACCTGCTCTACCCGATCACACGCTTGAGAACCTCCTCACGAGGGTAATTGGTGTTTCGCCATCGTGAGGTAAAGTCATCTCGGTTGACTGCAGACACCCTGTTTAGACTTCCCGGCAAAGAAAACAGGTCACAGAGGATGTATCACTTACTGTATGCTCCAGACATTCTTCTCATTCCCACGAATGCACTCCTGCCATGCATGACTCTCCAGTTATCAAAGACTACGCGTACCGTATATTAGCAGCCTGCCGACATCTGCACAGCTGAAGCGGTGAAAAAAAAATGTTTTGACTTACTCAGAGTCTGTCCAGGCTGAAGTTGGGTCCAATACTCGACATCAGGCCGCCGTAGAATCGCTTCCCACTTGCGAGCCGCATCGTACCATTGGACCGGATCGATGCCGTTGTCGAACGGCACGACTCCACGATCATCATTGTTCCAACGCACTCGGTGCAGCTCGCCAGTCTCCTCGGAGAGCTCCAAAACCGCATACCTCTTGTCAGGCGAGATGGTGATGCCCTCGTTGCCACTAGCATGCCAGGGCAGCCGCACTTTCGACAAGATATGGTACGCTTTGGGATCCTGCTCCTTGAGGATCTTGGCGGCATAGAAGGAGTCTACGAGAAGCGACTCGCCGCCCATGGGCCCATCCTCAGGAGAGTAGTTCGGCGGAGGGATGTGAGACAGCATGTGGAAAGCCTGCAGGCCTGATGGGTCAGTAAAGTAGGTGTTGTCGGTATGAGCCGGGAGGGCGATGTTGGTATAGGCCGTATCCGCCTTGGCCAGATCCGGGATGAAGTCGTAGAACCCGCCGTAGTGCGTCTCGCGGATAAAGGCGATGCGTTCCAAGAGTTTTTTCGTATCTTCAGCGTTCTCGTGCGGAACGCCTTCTACGAATGCAAACCCATAAACTCTCTGCGTATCCTGGGTCAGTCCTTTGTGAGCTCTGTGGATACCAAGTAGTCACTCACAATTTTCGAGGTAAGAGAAGCGATGCCTTTCTCGGACGCCTCGTCCATAACCTCTTGATATGTTACGGTCGGCGGAGCATCCTTGATTTCGGCGCCACTCCAATAATGAAGCCTGGCAAGTCATCAGCACTTTCGAAACTACATCAGTAGTCGGACATTCGCGTACTCGATGGATTCACCGAAGCGGTAGTCGTGGTTTTGATAATGGGTAATGAGATCCCACGGATACAGGCTCTCATGGTTGTCTGCCGACCCTGCATATCACGGGGGAGAGCATTAGCAAAGGCGAAACGAAATGCAACACGAACTTACAACCAAAATCTCACACGTACATTTCACTCTCAAGCCATTCTTTTCAGCGTGTGCTTCTGTTGCAATAATGTCGGCCGGGATCTAAAGCCCATTCTCTTGGTCAGCAACCCATGAAGATACCTACCCAAAACTTCTTCATTTAGTGGTTCGAGTCACCTCAAAAGTGTTGAAATTGCGCTGGAGGGTGTCCTGGTTGACACAGCTGGAGCAGCGACAATTATCCCTAGATGGTGCGTGTAAGCGGCGATTGGCCGGGCTTGCAGGCCGGTCGGTGTAACGGACCTCAGCCAGATGTTAGGCCTGTCGTGTGCGCAATGTCTGTCAGCTCGGGTTTATCCCTCTCTCCCCCGCCATCCAGTCGCAGGCTACACATGCGTGATGATCATGCAAGACAAGCAGCTGTGACACCGGCCGGGGATGCAACATACAGTTCACGTCGCTTAGCTGCCTGCGCCGAGGCGATCTCAATCGCACCAGGCTTTATCTTGACGGCGGGATTGGCATCTGCACTGAATCTCCGTAAAACCCCCCGCGTCTGCACTCCGAACGCCTTTCTGTTGGCGAAATCTTGTGTTAGATCTCTTCCCAGTCGCACCCTCTCACATGCCGGATATCCACACAGAACCTCACCTGACAATCCCCGCCCGGGAACCAGCCAAAACGCTCATTAGGGTTACGTTGTGGGAGCAAAATCGGTCTCTTTCTGTGTTAGCCGGATGACGAGAGCATAAAAGCAATAAATGCAGGCCCGAGATGCAAGACCTCAAAGGTTGCACAGAAAAGAACAAATAGGACGGAGAATTACAGGGATTGTGAAGAAGGCGTAAGAAGGAGACTCATCTGATGGTCGACCGAAATCCCGGCCTCGGTCGTCGTGCGAGCTCGGAAGGAACAGGGAGTGGGGCTTCCCACTCGAACCGTCCCGCTGGAGAATACCTATGCCGTGGATCTCCACTGGAGCTTTGCGTTTAGCTAGGCGTTCTTGTTCCTTTTGCGGGGGCGCAGGCTCGCAAAACCAGCTGATGCTGGATTACTGCTGCAGATTCTAAGCGCCCGCGGCCGGCTGAACGGGTCTTGCTTCCTCCCCCCTCCAGCTTCCATAGGGGGAGAGGAACCCGACAAGCTGGAAAGGATCCAAGCCTACTGCTCTTCCTCCTGCGACTATTGTCTCGAAGGATGCTGTTGGTCCGAGGAGTCGGTCTCTACGGTGCCACGACCCCGGAGCCCACACACCGCTCCATCACGACATGGAAGTGCCTCCTGCAAGGCCCTGGTAGCTCTTCGTGGCGGCGCTTACCTGGCCCAGGATGGCCTAGTTGCCCTGGTATAAGCGCCACATCTGACCCTTCGCCCACTCCCAGGCCAGGCCCTGCGACCACTCGATCGCGAGACTAGTGAGGGTCGTCGAGTGATGGCTCGCTGCTGGTTGTCGTGATGGAGCACCGACAGATCGGCTTGGCCTCCCTCGCGGGCTAGACTGTCTGCGGGTATACTCGAGTGGTGGCCGTCCATCGCGGCCGGGGATGTGGGCTCGAGGCACTGCGAGAGCTGGGCACCGCGAAGACGTGAGTGGTGTTCTTGTCGGTGATGGACCCGCGAGTGACCAGGCCCGATGCCACGCTCACGAAGCGGACGAGCTCCGCAAGAGGTAAAGCTGCCCAAGGATGCATGTCACTAGAGACGCGGTCAAGCGACCTACACCTTGGCAAGGAGTGGATTGCATGGGGCTCCCCCTTATGCACAAACAGCAATTACGGTGTCTCAGGCGAGGATGTGATATTGCGTGTTGCTATAGCCTTGTTGGTAGATCAGTGTTATTGCCTGTTTGGTCATATAGTCATATATGGTGCAAGCAGACCCCAATATCTTTATGTACTCTTTCTAGAGATTGCAGTGAAGAAGATGGAAGCAAGAGCATCTCGTCCTCTCTCTCCTATATCAAATCGAATCCGACTTCTATAATTATATGACTCTCGTTACTTGTTGCCTCGCCACATGAAATACGGCCTTGCCCCATAGCCGTGGCGTGCTCTTCCAGGATGCCCGCCATCGCTCCTGTACCAACACCGGACCACCTGTTGGCAATCCCCAACAAGCTCGCCCCCACGGGAGCGGCCTGCCTCTCCTATGCTCCAGCTCTGGCAGCCACCGCCGGCCTGGCTGCTTTCTTCGCGGTGTCCTCGTTGAGTCTCTTGGTATGGCTCAACCGAAGATACCTGCTCTCCGTGCTCGACCGGCTGCGGGAACATCGGGCCCCCAGTATGGTCCATCGATGGCCGAGGGAGCACATTTTCTGGAAGGCCCAAGAATCGCGGCCACCGGTGCCACCGAAACCACTGCAGCGAGCCACCGTCCGTCGCTCGAGACTGCAGTATCCTCGAACAAGCCGGGTCGAGTGGAGGAGCGCTCACCCCGCGTTCATCACGAACATCGTCCACCCTCCTTTCCAGGCACAGACGCCCGTCGAGCTCCCGGCATCGCCCATAGAGGAATACGATAGCTCCTGGTATATACAGCACTACACAGAGCCGTGGCAGTCCTCGAGATACCCTGAACATATATGACGAGTGAGGATTTAAGAAGGGATTTTAGCAAGAACATGGAAGAGAAGAGTTCAACGCAAGTTTTTGTTTATTTTAAAGGGGTTTATCTGGCAGCACCGATTTCCCTATTTCGAACTCTTTTTGATACCATATTGTTTATTCAACTATTATGACTTTACGACATAGGGAAATTTGTACCTAAGCTATTTAGAAGAAGCATCCCTTCTAAAGGACATCTGTGAACAACACAACCGCACAAGAAATACTATATTACAACAATTCAACTCTCCAATGTATTGCCTCGAGAAGTGCCAGCCTTCACTTCCTCACAGAAAGAAAAAGAAAAAGAAAAAGGATTAAAGACCGCGAAGCCTATCCCAGAGAGACTTTCCAACGGAACTCCCCTCAAGAGTCGGAGCTGGTGAGAGGACTACGGTGTTCCACGTCTCGACACCGTCGACAAAGAGACGGTACTTGAGACTGCTCTGGTCGCCCTCGGCAAGCGTCTCGATGGTGATGGCGCCAAACTTGGAGTTGCCCTTGTTGATATATCTGCCACCAGGAATATTAGCATTCTCTCTCTCTCTCTCTCTCTCTCTCTCTCTTTCGTCCGGCTCCAATCAACCAAGATATCACACTTACTTGAGCTTGACATCCTCATCGTCCGTCTGCCAATACGTCGGGACAGGCGAATAGAACTGGCTGAGCGGGCTGGCCGAGAACTCGTGCACGGCCGCGCCCTCGCCCCACCTGTCGTCCCCGGCGGGCGGCGGGAACCTGGTCGCCGCGAACTCGTGCCGGTCGCCCGAGAGCACGACGACGCCGACGCCGCGGCGGGCGCCGGCGTCCCACATGGCCTCGAGCACGCGGCGCCGCTCGGCCGGGAAGCCGCCCCACGTGTCGCGCGTGTTGACGCGCCAGTTCTTGGTGAAGGGCACCGACGAGGCCACGATCTTCCACTTGACCCCGCGGGGCTCGGGCCGCGCGAGGAAGGCGAGCAGGTCCCCGAGCTGCCGGGCGCCGAGCATCGTCTTGGCCGGGTCGTCGGCGGCCATGGCGTTGCTGGAGCGGTAGGACCGCGTGTCCAGCAGGAAGAAGCTCGCGGGGCCCTGGGTGAACTCGAAGTAGGTAGTAGTAGCCGGGTCCGCCGCCCCGAGGGCTGCTGCGCTGCGCCGGCCGGCCCACCTGGCCGGGGGAGGGTTGGCGGCCGCCTGGTAGTGGTTGTAGGGCTCGGTGGCGTTGTGGTAGACGCCGGTCGAGTTGGCGTCCCAGTCGTTCCGGATCTCGTGGTCGTCGAGGACGTGGATCCAGCTCAGGTTCTGGCCGACGGCCTGCCAGTCGGGCGAGGCGTAGACCTGGCGGTACTTTTGCCGGTAGTCCTCGACGCCCTTGCCCCACCAGCGCGGGACGTCGACGTAGATGAAGTCGCCGAGGAAGAGCATGAACTGGGCGCCGAGGGAGGGGAGCACGTTGGCCAGATGCCGGAGACCGGGGATGGCCAGCGGGTGGTCCAGCGGGTTGTAGGGAAGCCTGGAGACGATGCATGACGTACTGAGGAACGTAAACTGGCCGCCATGAATGTCGGGCGTGTGCCCTGGTTTTGGTGCTGCGGTAAACTCTCCCGAATGGTTGTTCGAGGAGACCCATTCATAGGTACGCTGGCTGCCGTGCCTGATGGGGATACTCAGGACGGCAGTGTAGTCCGTCTCTTCCGCCGTCCATCTGACACCGCCGACGCTCTGCCATTGGGGATTGTCGAATGGCGGATGGGGGTCCTTGATGTGCATTTTGACGCTGATGGGCATCTTGGCCTGGTCAGGCTCTCGGATGAGCAGCCTGGCCTCGGTATCCGACACGTACCCGACTCTGATAAACGACAAGTCATCGGCGGTGTACGAGTGTTCCGAGAACACACGGTCGGCCACCATGGCAACGCATGCGATGTTGATGGCCAGCGTTAGGAGAGACAGCAACAAGCTCCGGGGGCTTGGAGTGCCAACCAGAAGAGTCTTGAGAATGTGTGGCGGCTTGGGCTGCATAGTGACAATCTCCTGGATGTCGACATTCTCCTCGACCACCCTCTTGTCGCCATTCACCACGGGAGCGTCATCCTCTGCCGACCCGTCCCTAACTGTGGTCTCCTTTACCACAATGTCGATCTCATCATCGACGATTTCGTAAGGACTCTGCTTTATTTTGCTGAGAATGAAAGCGGGCACATAAATAGCAAACAAAGTAAAGACAGCAGTGGCGGCAGGCTGATGTTTCTGGTTAGCTGAGCTCATACAATACACTAAAATGCAAGCATCTCATGTATACTCACAGGTAACAGTGCCTAGATAAAGATGCATTAGCTTCACGACCTATTGAACTTGAAACAACAAGATAGACTCACCCATCGTAAGAAGAAGTAGGAGAGTATCCTCAAGCCAACAGAGGAAATGCCGGCAATCCGGGTTTCTGGTAACGCCATCTCGGGCGAATGTCTGGTATCTGGATATTCACGGGCTAACAAGCCCAGGAGTTCCGACAGTTTGTCACGAATGGACTTGTGAGTTTGACAAAGGGAAGCGGATGAACAGGCCTGAAGAAGGAGAGTATTGATCTAATATGTATATGTGCCGGCATGTGGCTAATTCGAAGAGTGTCACGCTCAGAAAGCTCCGGTTGACAAGGAGACGTATACGTGCCACGGCAGAGAAAGGGCACCACCGTCACATCACGGTCATGAATGTCCAATGTGGCTGAAGCTCTGCCGCGATGATATCAGCGATCTTGCTTTAGCTCCTGTCGTATCCGCTGTCCGCCTAGCCACAACAGCCAATCTCCAGGGCTCCAAAACCAACCAGAAACCTTGTTCCCTAGCGCGCGTTGCCGGGTCTCAAATCGCCCTCAAATCGGTGGATCCGCAGTCGACTCGACGAGCTACGGAGCAATTACCCCCTGCGAGGACCGCTGCCACTGATTCAAGTTTAGCGGGCTTGGGAATTTTGGATCTTCCGCGTGTGTGGCCCGCTCGCTCGCTCGTGCTTGGTGCACGCCAGGCTTAGGTAGGCTTGCCAGGGGTGTGCTGCAACGTGTGCTCCTTTTCGCGATCCCGTTTGATTGAATTGATAGCTGGCCAGAGACACCCCGAAGAAGCAGCAGAAAAAAAAACCGAGAGGCACAACTTCTCCTCCCCCTGTCTCCTCTCCGCCCGTGCACATCGACGACACATCATGAAGCTGTCTCTCGTCACGTCCGGGCTCGTCGCCCTGTTCGCCTCCCAGGTCGCTGCGACGGCGCTGACCTACAAGCTGGTCGCCAACGAGAAGGCCTGCTTCTACACCAAGACCCAGCACAAGGGCGAGAAGATTGCCTTTTACTTTGCTGTACGCTGCCTAGCTCCTCCTGTCTGCTCCTGTTTTGGATGCACATCTCGCTCTCGACTGGAGACGCAGTATCCCAGTCTGTCGATAACGATCAGTAAATGACTGACACGCGACCCCCGATTCAAACAGGTCCAATCCGGAGGTTCTTTCGATGTCGACTACGAGGTCACCGGCCCCAGCGGCAAGGTCATCGTCGAGGGCGAGAAGGAGCGCCAGGCCGACTACGTCTTCACGGCCAACGACGTCGGCGACTACAAGTTCTGCTTCAACAACGAGATGAGCACGTACACGGACAAATACGTCGACTTCGAGATCGCGGTAAGGAGACCACCCCCCGAAGGCCTCGCGTGCGCCCAATTGAATCTGATACAGAATTCACTGACACTCCCGTGATCTACACGTACACAGGTCGAGAACGAGGCCCGCGTCAACCTGCCTTCCAAGCAGGGCTCTTCCCCCGAACAGACCTCCGTCCTCGAGGAGGCTGCCTTCAAGCTCTCCGGCCAGCTCTCTGTCATCTCGAGGAACCAAAAGTACTTCCGCACTCGCGAGAACCGCAACTTCAGCACGGTCAGGAGCACAGAGAAGCGCATCATCAACTTCAGTCTGATCCAGTGCGGCCTGATCATTGCCATGGGCGCTCTGCAGGTCTTCATTGTCAGATTCTTCTTCCAGGTACGTATCTATCCGACTATCACGGGGCAGAAAGGACCAGGAGAGCTAAAGGTTGGGACAGGGCGCAAGGAAAGGCTACGTGTAAATGCTTGGTTTTCTTTGGACTGGGTTTCGGGTTTGGGCAAGGCGTACGAAAGAGCTGGAAAAGGTCTTGCCGGGATGCACTGCTTCACACACGCATGAGTGAAAGAAGATAATGCAGAATGATAATAGACGACAAAACCGCGGGACTAGCAATATGCAATATTGCAAACCGCTGCGGTATAGATGATAAAAAGATGCATTCGAACGAACGACTCTCTGTACTGTCAATGTTGAACTTGCTTATTCAGTGGCATGGTATCTCAACATTGTCCCTCCCCAGATCTTTTCTCATTTGGAACACCAACGGCAACATGACTGACTACCCAACTGCTCTAGCATCCCGAGATAGCAACAATCTGCCAGGATCTACTCCTTGGCAAACGAGTTGACAAAGTTGGCCAATCTCTCGGCGCCCTCCAAGGTCATTTTGTAATTGGCGTATTGGGGTTTTCGGCACAAGCAGGAAGTACCCCCAAGTCACGCAGGACAGCAGCATTAGTGAAGCAACTCTTGCATCCATGAAGTTCCGTTTCGAAAGCCAAGCATCGATTCGATGTACTTCGTACAGTAACTTCGTACAGTATTGATGAATCCCTGCTCAGGTCGCCATTTGCTGGCAAAATTACGGTGGAGAGTTTCCATTTCGAGCCCACCCCAGCCAGCCCCAGGCCTGAAAGGCTTATCTTATCGCCTTGGTGCTGCTGGCTTTGATGCGACACCAAAAAATCCCAGTGGAGTTCCAACCTCGAGTCTGCAGGTGATCTTTGTGTGTGTGCATTTTTGAAGACCGGCACGGCATTCGGACAGGCTTCCATAAGAAAAAAATATCTCCTCGTCAACCCGCATCCATCAACACGCAACCCACTCCCAACTCACGGCGGCCAGGCTGCGTAACCGCCGCCGCGCCCAACAGACTCTCGCGATGTCTTCGATAGCCGCATCCCTCGCGCAGTCTCTGCCGAAGCCAAAGTACACAGGCGAGGATGAGGAACCTGCCTCGCGGTCGCGACAGCACGGCCCTCGCATCGTCGGTCCCGGACAGCTTGACGAGACCCAGATCGTGCTGAAGGTATGTACACGGCCGGCCCCACCCCCATTGCCCTCATGCGATATATCTCTCCCGTTACTGACTTCTGGCCCCCGTCCCGACAGCGATCGGGTCCTCCCCCGTACGGCCAACGAGCAGGATGGCGGCCGCGGTCGGCCGAAGACTTTGGCGACGGCGGCGCCTTCCCCGAGATCCCCGTCGCCCAGTACCCGCTCGACATGGGCAAGAAGGGCGCGTCGAAGAGCAATGCCCTAGCTCTCCAGGTCGACGGGGAGGGCAAGGTCAAATACGATGCTCTGGCGCGCCAGGGCCACACCGAGAACCGCATCGTGCACGCCTCCTTCAAGGACCTGATCCCGCTGCGGCAGCGCGCCGACGCTGGCGAGCTCAGTCTGGAGCGCCCCAGCCAGGAAGAGGTGGACGCCACGACGGAAAGGACAAAGAACGCGTTGGCGGCGCTCGTCAGCGGCGCCGTCGCCGCCCAGAAGCCCAAGAACGTCAACATCGGGAACCGGAAGGATCCGACTTTTGTGCGGTACACGCCCGGCAACCAGATGGGCGACAACTCCAAGAAGCAGGACCGCATCATGAAGATTGTCGAGCGCCAGAGGGACCCCATGGAGCCGCCCAAGTTCAAGCACAAGAAGATCCCCCGCGGGCCGCCGAGCCCCCCGCCGCCGGTGATGCACTCGCCGCCCCGGAAACTGACGGCGGAGGACCAGGAGGCCTGGCGCATCCCGCCGCCGGTCTCCAACTGGAAGAACCCCAAGGGCTATACCGTGCCGCTGGACAAGCGCCTGGCGGCCGACGGGCGGGGGCTGCAGGACGTCGAGATCAACGACAAGTTCGCGCAGTTCTCCGAGGCCCTGTTCATGGCGGACAGGCACGCGCGCGAGGAGGTCAGGCAGCGGGCCCTCATGCAGCAGAGGCTGGCGGAGAAGGAAAAGGCGCAGAAGGAGGACCACCTGCGCATGCTGGCGCAAAAGGCGCGCGAGGACCGGGCCGGCGCGGGCCGGCGGCGGGACTCTGGCGGCTCGAGGTCGCGGTCGCGCAGCTACAGCGGCTCCGGCTCGGGCTCGGACAGCGAGGAGTCGGACGTCCGCGAGCGGGAGGCCGCCCGCCGGGAGAAGCGCAAGGAGGAGGAGCGCAAGCTGCGGCAGTCGAGGATGGGCGCCGAGCGGCGGATCCAGGTCATGGCGCGCGAGCAGGACCGCGACATCTCGGAGAAGATCGCCCTGGGGCTGGCCAAGCCCACCCAGTCCTCGGAGGGCATGTACGACTCGCGCCTCTTCAACCAGACGAGCGGCTTCGACGCCGGCTTCAACGAGGACAACCCCTACGACAAGCCCCTGTTCGCGGCGCAGGACGCCATCAGCAGCATCTACCGCCCGCGGGCCAACCAGGGCGACGACGGCGACGACGACGACGGCGCCGGCGAGGCCGAGATGGCCAAGATCCACAAGGCGAGCCGCTTCGGCGAGGTGCTCGGCCGGGGCACCTTCCAGGGCGCCGCCGACGTCGAGGCCCGCGAGGGCCCCGTCCAGTTCGAGAAGGAGTCTGGCGGCGGCGGCGGCGGCGGCGGTGCCGACCCCTTCAACGTGGACAAGTTCCTGTCCGAGGTGGAGGAGAGCTCGGCCTCGAAGCGCGGCTACGGGCTGCAGGAGGAGGATTCGAGGCAGTCGAAACGGGCCAAGGTGGATGACGACGAGGACTAAAGAGGGGGTGGGCGCAACACAAGAAGAGATTGGGTGAATGATATCTAGCCTTTCGGAGATTATCTGTACTTTTGTGCATATCACTTAGAAAAAGGGAGTTGGGGGATCCTGCATTGGAATGGATAAATGAACCTCTTTGGGGGGTCCTGTGCTAAATTCACCTGCACAACTCATTCGGCGTGTGTGGCACCGTTGATACGCATCTTTGTATGGTGTTGCCGTAGATATCTCTCTGTAACAATTGCACCAGCTAACATTCTCAAGATAATTTCTATAATTGTCATTTCTATTGGTACACGAAGTTCATGCTCCCTCTGTCAGGCCGAGCCTTCTTGCCTCGCCAGCCATTTGATGCAAAACCCAAGTGGAGAGTATGTCCTCGAAAATGCCGGATTCCCAACCAACCCCTCAAGAACGCAAGGCAAGTCTATCAGATCTCGTAAAGAACGCCGGGTGTGTAAAACCGCCAAGAGGACGACGACTGAAACCCCTGGCCATCACCAGTCCACCGCACCTCGTCCCCGGGATAACACGTATACAAGTACACATCATCATATGCAATCAAACACACACTCCCACATACACCCATCTTACACACACATAACTAACCCCTTCCCGCCCCCCTCGCTCACAATCTCACAGCCCAACCAACACCTTACTCATCCTTGGGCATCCTCAACCAGGCATCGATGGCCGCCGAGAAGGCCGCGAAGCCGGCGCACCCCACGGCCGCGGCCTGGGGACCCCCGTTGCGCGCCAGTATCGCGCCCGTGATGCAGCCCGCCGCCACGCCGTTGCCCATGTCGTTCTTGGCCCGCAGGCCCTCGATGCCGCACTCGATGCCGCTGAAGAGCGCGCCCACCATGGCGAAGTTCTTGGCCGTGCTGTACGACCGCGCGCCCATGTCCTTGAAGCCCACGGCCAGCTGCTGGCGCAGCGGCAGCGAGGACAAGGGGGCGCCCGGGTTGGGCAGCATGGCGGCGCCGGCGGCTGCTGACGCTGACGGCGCTGCTGCTGCTGCTGCTGAGGTTGTCGCGGCTGCGGCGGCGGCTGTGGGTGTCTTGATGGGCGCGACGGTGCTGTTGGCCGTCGCTGCGGCGGCGCGAGCGATGGGGGATGAGGATGTCGCGGCCTTGGGCTGTGCTGTCGTTGAAGAGGAAGTTGCCGCCGTCCCGCTCGTCGTCGTGGCGGTGCTGGCGGTCGTTGATGCGGCCGGTGTACTCGTCACCGGTGCCGCTGTGTGGAAGGGGGTATCGTACGCCATCTGCACAAGGACCGAATAATTAATTAGAAAGCCGCCCTCAGAGAGATCGAGACAGAAGGTGATGATGATGACGAGGGATGCTTACCGAGGCCATAAACATGCCAAACAGGGCACCGAGACCGAAGCCCGCGACCCCAGACATTGCTGTCTTTGCGTAGCATGACTCCATGAGGGAGTTCAGCTGCAGGAGGCAACCCAAGTTAGCAAACAGTATCACTGTGGTAAGTTCAAGCATGAACATGCCTTCTTGACGTTGGGATCATTGGGATCGTAGCCCGATGCACCACCCGAAGGTGCGCCAGCTCCTGGGAAATTCATCGTTGCGTCCAGGTGTAGTAGAACAGCTTGTGATTCAGACTCGCAGAGAGAGAGAGCTTGTCGGTACGGCGAGCTGATAAAGTTGGGGAGTCCAATCTATGGAGGAAATTATTTTGCCTGGAGCTACCGCCCGCATTATTGCATCTGATAGCGGAAGAAAAAAAAGCTGGGGTGGGTGGCGTCGGTGTTGGCGCGTGGTGGGTCCCGGCTTCGCCCGCCGCATGCCTTCATAACCTTCACAGGCCTTGTACAAGTAATGATATATCCCAAGAGGATTTAGTGCGCTGCTATGTTGACTTATACACAGGTTCACAGCTATCTTATTTGATGGTTCGCTATGTCCTTTATGTCGCTCAACTCAATGTGCGAGTATCTAATGCCATCAATCCCTGCCATCTCCCCCCAAGAACAGTACCATAACGCAGGCCTCCTTTTCCTCATCGCTTGAGCCTGCTCGCTCTCCAATGATAGCCAAGCCAAGACACACACACACACACAAAATAGAAACAAGATGTAAAGAGAGTGAAGGTAGAGCCGAAAAGGGCATGGGATGGTCTCGGCAGTGAGGCCGAACCTTGCCAGACCGTGTCTAGCCTCCATGATCGATCATGACACAATGCATATATCCATCGTTTACTTGAGGAAGAGATCACCAGCGCCATTGCGCACCGATCTTGATCTATCAGCGTGGTCGAGGCCGAGGTATTCATCGTCCGACGTAATGAGGTCCGAGAGAATATCGTCTGCGGGTTGTCAGTTGCGCTCACGGGGGGGAAGAGGGCAAGAAGTTATTGCCAAGCTTACCATCATTCAAGTATTGCTGTTTCGAGAACTGTGACCTACGCACAACAGCAAACTTGATCTTTTCGAAACTCTTGCCCTTGAGTCCTGTCCGCTTCTCGAGTCGCTTCTTGGTCTCACTGAAGAGTTCACCCTGCTCCTCGTGTGAGTACATGCCAGCCAAGAAATCAAAGTGCGAGCATTCGACATCACTTACCTCTTGAAGGAGAAGCCTGAAGGGAACGCCGTGAAGCCTGCTCGGCTCGTTCTGGAAGTGGAGGACAGGGATAAACCGGCCTTCCTCAGCCTCGAGTTCCTCCTCGGGTATCCTCTCTGCGACCAAACGCGTGTACTCGTTGATGCTAATCACGGGGTAGTCCCTAGCCAACTCGCGGGAGAATTTGTGGTTGTTGGTCTCGTAAACGCGGATTCTGCCACCTTCCTCTTCGTCCGCGAGCTTGGCCTTCTTCGTCAATGCCACGATGAGATCCTCAATGGTCCCATTCTTTGACACGAGAACATCGTATTGATCCTGGTCCGCAAGTCAGTATCTATCACCCGCGTACTCGAGCATGTATCCACCCTTACCTCCTTGGTGATTCCTTCACTAAGCCAGGTAATCCGCACATTCTTCTTGGTATCCAACTCTGCCAAGCTCATGTCGAGAACCTCAAAGTAGAGCGCATCGTTCCGTTGGTTCATGTTCAACTGTCCATAGCCGCTGGGGTTAAGGATTGTGTTGAGCGTCGCAGTCTGTAAGCGCTTGACAGCCCCTCTCGGGTTGCCGGTAGTACCGTTGACGGTGAAGAAGCGTAGATGAGTGCCTTCCACGCCCAACTTCTCACCGACCTTTTCCGAGAGCTGGTCATAGCCCATGCGCGAGTTGAGAACCAGGTCGAAAGGCGGATAGAGGTTAGAGTCGCAGCGGGTTGTATGAGCATGGAACCTGACTGTCTTCTTGTTCATCAAGAAGTCGTAGTACTCCTTCGCGTCTTCGAATTGGTCCGACTTCCTGGTGCTTTGTCTTCTTGTTAGCAATCTCCCGGAGGCGACGTGAGAAGGTAAGCTTACGTCTCTTCGACAGCCTTGTCGGCAGTGTGCTTCTTCTCGAGGAAGTGGCGCTCTGATGATTTGCGTTCCGCCGTTCGCTGGAAGCAGACGATATCTCCATCTTGAAGCTCGGCGGCCTTGAGGTTTTGCTTGCCCTTCAACACCTCGATCATGTTGGGTTTGATTTCCTAACAAAGCGTTAGTTCCCGCCAAAAAATATCCTCATATGTGCCAAGCAGGGGTTACAGACCTCCCAGAGCATGATCTTCTCATCACCAGGCAGCTTATCTCCCCAGCCCATCTTTTTCAGAATCGTAGGGACAAGATCCTCGACCTTCTTCTCGCGGCTGATGTACACGTGGCCGACTCCCTTGAGGGTCTGAGCCTCCTGATCGAAACACTTCAGGAACAGCAGGATCAGGTCATTCTTAACAACCACGCCGTTTGGCTGGCTCTGATAGGTAGGCCAAAGAGCCTCGCCGTCTGCGTTGACCTCTTCAGCAACTTCAGCCCAGAGTCTCAAAGCAGTATCTCTATGTGCTGCAGCACGAGCAAATGTGTCTTCGATAGTGGGCTGGAGATCCATAATCGGCTGGTCTGGGCGGATAGTCTTGTTTTGTCGGTTGACCAGTATCCAAAGGCGTACACGTTTCGGGTCTTGACCCATGTCGGCAGCAACCTTTTGGACGGCCTCTTCTACAGTCGTTGTCCGCAGCAATTTGTAGAACTTGGGCGCGGCCGGGTCAGCCTCGGGATTCGAGTCAAACGAGGTCAAGTCGAAGCCCCCATGATGGGCAAAAGTTGCATCAGTGATAACCTTGACACCGAGGTACAAATGCTGTTCGTCACGCTCGCGTCTCTTGGCCTCCCTGGCAGCAGCCTCCTCTTCAAATCGCTTTTGAAGATGCTGGGGGGTGTCGATCTCCTCGACAGGGGTCAGTATCCGATCGACTCGTGACTGTCTGATGTAAACAAGCATATAGGCGCTGTTCGGTCGCATGATAGGTGCCTTCTTCTGCACAGGACCACGTGCGTTTCCGTTGAGGGTGGGGAATGGCCCGCCAAAGTTCTCCTCGAGAACTTCACGTCTCGTTGCCTTGGTGACCTTGTCGTCGTCGTACTTGTAGAACCAGCCATCCTTGTTGGGCTTGAGGAAAGCATAGTAGTGCCCGGCATTGAGATCTCCACTGTGGACTAGAACACCATGCAACTGGTACGTCCAAGGCTCAGACTTGTCGCAGTCCGCAGCGAGGTAAGGGGCGGCGTCGAAATATTCGGGAAATTCGTAGCGATCGTTGACCTTCATCATGGTGTCTTTGGCGATGTCGTACTCGAAACGCTTCAGTTGAAGATGCAGCACGTCGGGGAAGCTCGTGAAGATGACACCCTTGTTGGCGTCTTGCAACTTATGTTCGTCGCCTGCAAAGTACTTGTTGTCCCCTTCCATCCGTTCGACACTGATGTAGTCCTCGAAACTCGCTTGCAGGCTCTTGTTTCCGCTCACGTTCAGCTGGATGTCCCAAAAGTCTTCAATGCGGCTAGATTCGTAGTCAACGTTGATGCAAGATATGTAGGTCTTGATCTTGCCGCTGAACATCGAGGGGAGCACATTCTCCGCTTGCGTGCCCTTCATCTTCTCTTCCATCCTCTCCATGAGCTTTCGGGAGAGTTCCTGTACGTCCTGCTGCTCAAAGATGTGACGCGTCTCCCAGCCGAAAGATTTGGTCAGCTCGTTCGTGCTCACAGCCGTGTTGGATGTCTGGAGTTGATAAAAAAGGCGCTGCAGGGTGTATGCGCTGTTATTCATGCTCTCATCCTCAGCTGTGGGTATTTGGTAGATTGCCTGTTTCGGGGGTGTTAGCTAGCCGACACCCCAAGGACATGCGCAGACGAGTACAGACCTTGCGGAAAGCATTCGTGAAGTAAAGAGATTGCAAAAGTGAGTTAAGGTAGCAAGTGGCTCCCTGGTTCTTGAGACCGACGTAGCCCGTCTCTTTCTTGGAATCGTAGTTGGTAAAGTTGTGCCACAGGACTCCGGTCTCATCCTCGACCACTCGTACGTAGGCAGTGATGTTGGCTCGCTCGTTTTCGACCATTGGACGAGACGCTTGCTCAAACTCCTTGTTGAACATCTTCCGGAGTTCTAGGAATCTAGTGAATCCCCAGTCACTCTCCTCCTTCGTGAAGCGATGATGCGCGGTATGGTGAACATATATGGACGGATCCTCGGGGTTCCACAGCACCAGGGCAAATTGAACACAACAACTCCAGTCCTCGGGGACGTTCTCGGGGTCGAATCCATGCTCGAGGTATATGGAACACTGATCAACGCTGTTACCGAAGGGGAAGAGGAGGATCCGCCTATAGAGTCGTGTTAGCGGAGCGACGAGAGACTTCGGGCGGACCGGCAGCCAACAAGGGCCAGGAACACATACCATGGGAAACCGCCAGCCTGGAATATTGGGCCGTGTTCCTTCTTGGCCAGGGTCCGCCAGCCCTCTACAGTCCAAGTGTCCACGGCATCCTCGAGAACTCGGGGCTCCTCTGGTAGGGGTACCAGAACAAGCTCTTTCATAGCCTCATCTGCACGCCAAGGATCAGTATCAGCTGGGGTCGAGTGCCAGGCGCTTAGCTCTGGGCCGCTGTCTAGGACGTACAATCGTTTGCGAGAGGCAGGTCATGAAGCTGCTCTGCATCCCCGGACAAGGTCTCGGGCGTGATCTCGGTGACATGGTCCTTCTCCGGCAGGCCGTTGGGCTGGATTATATGGGTATCGTCGGAATCTATGGCCATGGCATTGGGCGAGTCCATGTCTGGATTCTGCACCGCGTCATTGATTGACAGGTCAGTACAGCTCCCTGATGATGGCGGGGCAAGATGGTCGGCGGTCATGATGTGAGGGGCCAGCGTAGGAGGTGTGGTGGGATGGGTACGGGGATAGCTGCATGGGAGATTTGGGGGTAAAGGAAGAGCTAAGATGTGGAGGAGCTGGGAACAGAAAACAGCGCGAAGACGAATTGCTGGGAAATGCAAGGCGGTTTTGGAGGAGAGGCGAGCATGTGCGACTCGGCGAGGATCTGCTTACCATGATGGGAGAAAGAGAGGCGCGGCTGAAGGAGCAATGCTGGTAGCCGGGCGCGCGGGGGAAACGGCGATGATTTTTTGGTGGTGCCGGCTCCAGGCAGGCTCGATGACGGCGCGCGTCACAGCTTGAGGGTCGGGAGAGGCAAGCTACAGCGGGGTGCCCAAAAACAAATGCAGTCTTGATTCTGGGTCCTGGCCGGTGGAATTCGGGGATCGTGGGCACCACGAAGCAATGCAGCCAGGTGGGAGGCTCTGTTGGAGGACAGTCAGGAGCAGCAAAACTGTGTTGCTTAGCTGGTCGTTGACAAAATGCAAGCAGGCAGGCAGGCAAAGTCAGTCACCAAGTGTAGAGGAGACCAGGATGGGGCCACCAGTCAAACCAGTCGAGGAAGAGGTTAGGTCAACATGCAACAAACTGCACTGCGCCTCTGCAAAACCGCCATCAGTCTCTTTCACGCACGCTTCGACAGCGCTCGCTCTGCATTCTGAGAGGGCTGACTCGGCAGCAAGTATCGATTCGGGACAAGTGTTAGGAGGCGGAGCCAGGCCACCACTACGCAGGCTGCCTAAAACGTGAGGCTCCTAACAGTTCTTTGCCGAGGGGACTCTACACAGTAGCGGCCTCCACATGTTCCGCACCGCTCCAATGACGTTTCCACCACCAGCGTGGGTGCTTTCCAGTTGTCTTGCTTTCAGTTGATAATCTTTAATCTTTGTCAAGTCTTGTCTCGTGCTTGGCACAGTCGCTGGTCTTGGTCTTGCAAGTCTGCAAGCTAAAAAGGATGAGCTCCTGGGTTGCTCCAAACGTGGATGCCAAGGAGAAGTTCTAGAAGACGACAACTCCGGACCGTAAATACGGTCTGTCTGGATCTGACCAGGACTTGACTAACAATGTGCCTGCCTCGGTACTGGCACCTGTACATTAAAAGTCCTCGCATGCTGACGTCGAGGCCCTGCCTCGCATTAGTCACCGCCTACGAGGAGCAGCGTATGATTATAAAAGACACTGCCTACCGTGTAGGGTCGTGCCATGATCTGCACCTTGGTCATAAGGTACCTTTGAAGCGGTCCTACTGACGGCGCCTGTACGGAGTAGCGTGGTCCAGATTGAGGGAGTGTCGTCTAACTACATACTATCCTCAAAAACGAGGACATGCCTTCGAGGCTGGGAAATTTGCACGTTTATATTTCAGTGTTTCGCCTTTGCAAACCTATTGCTAAAATAATTGACTATCGCCAATCTCTCCCTAGGAGAGGTATCTTGAAGGTAACTAGGTTGCTTAAGAGAAAACAACAAGTTTGTAGACATGTCACTCCCTAGATATGTAGCTTGGCCAACTTTCATCAAACGAGCCATTGACCTAAACAAGCGGCGATTGCTTCACAGTGCCAGGACACCACGTCGAATCGTCGATTGGCAAAAGAAACTCCGGTACTCATACTTCTGTAGTTAGGTGATTTGAGGCCGTTTTCGGTCGTGCATCGGTAGCTCTGCAATTCTGCCGCCGTTACAAAATGTGGGGTAAGACTCACATGTCTTCATGTCGAGCTCCGATCCTTCATTCTCTCCCAGTCCCAATCCTACCCAACAACTCTCCAAATATCAGGCCGAACCCAAGAGCGCTGCGTAGACCCAGCTCGATTTTACATCCTTCTTGAGCCTCTGGAACCGCGGCTGGGCTCTCACAACATCCTCCGTATATGGGACAATCGGGATGTTGCGCCTAGTACGCACCAGTGCGCATCAGACTCCTCGAATCGTACAGCTTGGCTCGAAGCTCCCCAGGGCAGGTCTGAGCCTGTGTGCTAGGCCATCAGGGTCTCTACCGAAGCATGTATCCAAAAGAGGGGTGCATACACATCAGAATAAGATATGGCGGCCAGTCTCGGTCCTAGATGAGTACGGCTGAACCCTCTGTCGCGTGCCCTTCGACCGCATGGTCCAGAAGCTCACCAGCTCACAGATGGGTCGCAAAGGAGGCACGGCCTATCAGTCTGCGGCAGCTGATGGTGTTTGGGAGGCAATTGACAGAGCAAAGACTGATTAGTTCCGCGAATTATGTGCGGACTGAACTCCCGACCAGGTTTGTCACTCTGACTCAAGGAACCCACGGTGCTGTGCTGGAGAGCCTTGCTAACAGAACGTCTTGACAGACTGGCGCACCGGATCCGCGACATGCAACAGCTCCCATACGTTGTCGTTACGAACCCAAATATCAGCGAAGTGTATGACCTGTACTACAATGCTTTCGACGCATTTCGCAAGGTCAAGGAGATCAAATCTCTCGACGACAACGACCGATTATGCAAGGTCATTAGCCAGACGCTCAAGGAACACCTCACAGTCATACCGAAGCTTGCTATGGGAATTCTAGAGTGCAGCGGCCTGATGAAAGCGGAAGAGTTGGACAAGTTCATGAACACCATCTTACGATCGGTTCGTCCTATCATATCGGTCTTCCCTTGAACTTAAAAGCCCCCCCAGCTAATACCCTGACCCGACAGCGCATCTCCCGTCGAGTCATCGCCGAGCAACACCTCGCCCTCACCGAAACCTTCCACGCGCCCTGGTTCTCTCCCGGTGCCAAGCTCGGAGACACCGACTTCATCGGCGAGATCTTCCTCAAGTGCATCGCCAAGGACGTCATCGAGCGCTGCGGCAAGGCGGTCCAGGGCCTCGCCCGCGCCGCCTACGGCCCGGACGTCGTCATGCCCGAGATCGTCGTCCTGGGCCACCTCGAGGCCACCTTCCCCTACATCCTCAGCCACCTCGAGTACATCATCGGCGAGCTGCTGCGCAACTCGGTGCAGGCCGTCATCGAGAAGCACCAGCAGGGCAGGCCCGGGGGCGAGGAGAAGCCGCCACCGATCGAGGTGACGGTCTGCGAGGCGGCGCAGCACGTCATCATCCGCGTCTCGGACCGCGGCGGCGGCATCCCCCGCGACGTCATGCCCTACCTCTGGTCCTTCAGCAAGGGGCCGCAGAGCCAGAAGCTGCTCGAGAACCTGGGCCAGGTGCCGAGGATGAGCGCGACGCTGCAGGAGCTGCGGCCCATCTCGCCGGCGCAGGAGATGCGCCGTCCTCACCACCATCACGAAGACGGGAAACACCAGCACCACGGCCACGGCCACGGCCACGGCCACAGCCACGACGGTGGCGAACCACACCACGAGGGCTCCCTGTCGACCCTCACCGGCCGGCCGCCAAACCTTAGGCTGGGGATGGGCCTGCCGCTGAGCCGCGTCTACGCAGAGTACTGGGCCGGCAGTCTCGAGCTGCACAGCCTCGAGGGCTACGGCGTGGATGCCTTCTTACAGATCTCCAAGCTGGGCAACAAGAACGAGCAGCTCACGACGAGAGCGAGCATGGATGCCGTCTAGAGGCGGGCTCAAGGTCGCTACATCCCGGCCCGGCGCATTAGAGATGGTCCCTTTCGTCGTCGCAGATCTAACGATGGGCTAGAGAAAGTCGAGATTTTCACACTGTATTTGGATCATTTCTTTCTTTCCTGTGTAAAGGCGAAACACGGTGCAACTTTGGAGAGAAGGGGGGCATCTAAGGGCTACGGGGAGTATTTGTTGCTGTGGGGATACCCTGACGTATATGCTGATGACCGTGATGGCAGTATCATCTTTGGGTCTTGTGATTCATATTTGACAATAGTTTAAAGTTTTTCTGGGCATATATATCTAGGACGGTCGCATACATTACCATCGTCGTTGGATTTACCTCATGGCATAATGAGGATACTACAGTGCAAAGTCACACTTAACAGGAGTGGTCGAAAGCCAAGTCAGAAGTTCGGTAGGAGTAGATAAGGCAGCCATTCTCATTATCTGGTATCATAAGAAAGACGACCGGAAGATTACATCGTGACTAGAACAGGACAGAAAAAAAGGGCAAAGTCTTCTGTAGACGGAGAAATGTGGTAAGAGAAAAAGGGGGAAGAAACCCGCAGCCGACATCTTTTTTTCAGATCCTCGAGATCCCAAACTTTTTCTACCAGCCGCCGCAATTCGATCAGAGAAACACGCACAAGGCAGGTTGGAAAAGTGTCTGCCCATCGCTAACTGAGGATTGAACTCATCGAGGCACCGAGTTTCCAGGACCAATCCCCCCGTATGATCCCGCTGCAAGCACCCCCGAACATTATCGAGCGGATCGCCCAAGGTTCGAAGAGACAGCCATGCACTTCGCGAGTCAAGAGACCGCCGAGCACACCCCCGCTTAACGACGGCCGTGGCTGCGGACGGCGCTGCCCTGCATCTGCTCCAGCTCGCCCTCGAGCTGCTTGATCTGGGCGTGGGTCTGTTCGAGGTCCTTGTTGAGGCGGTCGCGCTCGGCAATGAGCTTCTGCTCCCATTGTCGGAATCGCTGCTCCTCAATCTTGACCTGCTCCGTGAACCGCTTGCGCAGGGCCTCCTCCTCCTCCTTGAACTTGGGGTTGTCGAGCTTGCGCGGGCGGGCCTCGCCGAACTTGCGGGTCTCCATCTGCTGGGCGCGGTAGGCCTCGTAGTGCAGCTCCTCGGTGGTGTGGATAAGGTCGAGCATGTGGGTGCGGATGAGGATTGACCTCAGCTTCTTGAAGTCGCAGTGGTCCTCGTTCTCGACCTCGGCGACACCCCACGAGTACTGGCGGCCCTTGACGATGCGGCCGTCGCCAGTCTTGACGTCCTTCTCCGAGCCGATAACGGCGAAAGGCATGGCAGCCATCAGGCTGCGGGCGTGCTGAGCGGCAGCCTCGTCATCCTCCTCAATTGGCGGCTGGTAGATCTTGATGCTCTGGGCCTCAATGACGGCACGAATCTGTTTTGGATATGTCAGTGTTTAGGGCTACAATCACATAACAACTCGTACGCGGATGGGAGGACGTACGCGCTGCTTGAACTTGGCCAGGTCGGCAGGGCTGAGAGTGTCAGCCTTGGCGATGACAGGGATAAGGTTGACTCTGGAGCAGAGGCGCTTCATGACCTCAATGTCGAGAGGCTTGAGGGTGTGGCCAGTAGGGCGGATGAAGTACAGGCAGGCGTGGACACGCAGGTCGATCTTGTCCTGGCGGCGGGGCTGCTGCTCCTGAAGCATGTAGGACTCGTGCTGGTCGTCAAGGAACTCGATAATGGGCATCCACGAGTCCCTGTTGTTGACATAGTCGCCGAAGCCGGGGGTATCAATGACGGTGAGGCGAACTTGAGAGCTATCAGTACATCATTGTCCGAAGACGCAGGCGCCAGTGTTTCTCGTAGGTGTCAAGAAAGCATACCCTTGAAGAACTTCTCCTCGAGCTCGGCCTTGGTGATCTCGATCTCGACAGTCTTGTCGACCTGCTTCTGGTGTCGCCGCTTGTGGTCGGCATAGTTCTTGATAGTGGTGGAGAACAGGGTGTTGATGAAGGTCGTCTTGCCCAGACCGGACTCGCCAGCAACCTGTTACTTTTGTTAGATGCAAGGCGCTCACAGAGGCAGAAGAATAGTATGGCGAGGTGTACGGACCATGATCGTGAAGGCGGCTCCTCTCTTGGCGACAATTTTGTGCCGCTGGTTGGGCAGATTGGCAATGCCAATCGGTGAGGCGCTCTCAGCAGGTGCGGGGGCCATGATGAGCGATTCGATTAGACAGGAGCAGTAAAGTCAGAGGCTCTAGATGAGGAATGGAAAATCGGAGGGGACCCGATGAAGTTTGAAATGGAAGAATTGGCTGGCGCAGGCTCAAAACAGACCAGGAAGCAATTAATTGTTGACGATTTGGAAGGGCTGGCAGCTCGTGCTTCAGGGGAGAGGAAGGTTTCCCCATGCAGACTGCCAAATTTCCAGATGCACGGGCCATTGGGGGGGGGGCAGGGGGGTGGGCGGCGGGTGGTGAGAGGAAAGGGACCACTCATCAATCATCCATCCACTCACTGAGCAGCACTATGAACAGGCTGGCCGAACCCTCTGGGCGCCGGCTAGCGCCCATCATTAAAGCCCCCAGGCTTCTGGTCGGAGCTCCCCAACTGCTGTGGTACCCCTATTTCCGTGCCCCCCCTCCCACCAGTCCCGTTCTAACGTCTGGTCCTCTAGCATTTTAGGTAAGGCAGGCCAGGACTCAAAGCGCTCCTTGGCGCCCACAGATATCGGTGCCTGTCAGTAGCGGTGTGGATCCTAAACTGCCCTGACCGCCTTGATTGAAACGCGCTTTGCCTCAGGCAGTCTAGCGTCGCAGGAACAAGGAATATCTTAATCACCGACCCCGCCAAAAAGTTCAGAAAAAAATTGGCTGTAGTTTGGTTGGAGCTCCAGCAATCGGCAGTCTTGGTGGTTCTGATATCGATAAGTCGAGATAGACTGTGATAAACTGCATTCTTTTTTCCTTCACAACTTCAAGACAGACATGGGCAGCACGAGGTGACCATGAAGACAGATTTCAAGGTAAAGACCATTCTGTAACACAATGTTTGCGTACAGTGCATAAACTGACAATCGATCAACCTTAGTTTTCCAACTTGCTTGGAACTGTCTACTGCCAGGGCAACCTGCTCTTCAGCCCAGATGGCACCCACCTCTACTCGCCTGTCGGAAACAGGGTGACAGTCTTCAACCTTGTAGAGTAAGAATCAAACTCGCGCCTTTGAACAGTATTGATCCTGTAGTTCTCTTTGAAGCTAATATTCTCTCCTAGTAACAAATCTTATACCCTCCCCTTCGCTCATCGCAAGAATATCGCCCGCATCGGACTTACTCCCAAGGGCAATCTCCTGCTCTCGGTCGACGAGGATGGCCAGGCCATCTTGACCAATGTGCCCCGGCGCATCGCTCTCTACAGGATCTCTTTCAAATCACCAGTCACAGCCTTGTCCTTCTCGCCGTCCGGCCGCCACTTCGTTGTCGCCCTCGGACGCAAGTTGGAAGTATGGCATGTTCCCTCGACACCGGACTCGAATGCTGAGGGCGAGCTCGACTTTGCCCCTTTCGTTCGCCATCATACACACACAGGGCACTTCGATGACGTCCAGCACATCGAATGGTCGAGCGACTCGCGCTTTTTCCTCAGTGCCTCGAAGGATCTCACGACACGGGTGTGGAGTGTTGACCCCGAGGAAGGCTTCGAACCCACAGTCTTGTCAGGCCACAGGCAAGCAGTCGTTGGCGCCTGGTTCTCCAAGGACCAAGAAACCATATACACCGTGAGCAAGGATGGTGCGGTCTTTGACTGGCAGTATGTTGGCCGACCACGGGCCGAAGACGAGATGGTCGACGAGGATGAGGATGATATGCGGTGGAGGATCGTCAATCGGCACTACTTCATGCAGAACAACACCAGTCTTCGATGCGCGGCATATCATCCCGACTCGAACCTCCTCGTTGCTGGGTTTTCCAACGGTATCTTTGGCTTGTACGAGATGCCCGAGTTCAACATGATTCACACCCTGAGCATATCGCAGAACGACATCGATTTTGTAACAATCAACAAGAGTGGCGAGTGGTTGGCCTTTGGCGCTTCGAAACTTGGTCAGCTGTTGGTTTGGGAATGGCAGTCAGAGTCCTACATTCTCAAGCAGCAGGGACACTTCGACTCGATGAACTCGCTTGTCTACTCGCCGGATGGACAGAGAATCATCACTACGGCCGACGATGGCAAGATCAAAGTGTGGGATATTGAGTCGGGATTCTGCATTGTGACGTTTACCGAGCATACGAGTGGCGTCACGGCGTGCGAATTCGCCAAGAAGGGCAATGTCCTCTTCACGGCGAGCCTGGACGGGTCGATCAGAGCTTGGGATCTGATCAGATACCGAAATTTTAGGACGTTCACGGCCCCTACCAGGCTATCGTTCACCTGTATGGCTGTCGACCCAAGTGGAGAAGTGGTGGCAGCTGGGTCGCTTGACTCGTTCGATGTTCATATCTGGTCCGTCCAGACTGGACAGTTGCTTGATCGGCTGGCAGGCCACGAGGGTCCCGTCTCTGCCTTGGCCTTCGCACCCAGCGGCGACGTTCTGATAAGTGGTAGCTGGGATCGCACCGCGCGGTTGTGGTCTATTTTCAACCGCACACAGACGAGTGAGCCGCTTCAGCTGCAAGCGGATGTGCTCGACGTGGCTATCAGGCCAGACTCCCAACAGCTCGCAGTCTCGACACTCGACGGCCAGCTTACCTTCTGGTCTGTGTCTGAAGCGGAGCAAGTCTCCGGTGTAGATGGTCGCCGGGACGTCTCGGGAGGCCGCAAGGTGACAGATCGTCGAACAGCGGCAAATGTGTCAGGAAACAAGAGCTTCGGTACCATCAGGTATAGCGCCGATGGCAGCTGTCTCATTGCAGCTGGAAACAGCAAGTATATCTGCCTTTACTCAGTCACTACCATGGTTCTCCTGAAGAAGTTTACCGTCAGCGTCAACCTCTCCCTCTCCGGCACCCAGGAATTTTTGAACAGCAAGCTTCTCACAGAAGCGGGACCTGAGGCAGACATCGACGACCAGGATGCTTCGGACCGTGAGGGTCGGATGGACAAGTTGCTCCCGGGTTCCAAACGTGGCGACCCATCGGCAAGGAGACAGATGCCCGAGGTCCGTGTCACAGGTGTTGATTTCTCTCCTGCAGGAACGGCTTTCTGCGCAGCTTCTACCGAAGGTCTGCTTATCTACTCTCTCGATACAACTCTGCAGTTCGACCCCTTCGATCTCAATATGGAGATCACCCCCGCTTCCACTCTGGCCGTCCTCGAGAATGAGAAGGACTACCTGAAGGCGCTCGTCATGGCCTTCCGCCTGAACGAGGCAGGGCTCATCAAGCGCGTCTTCCAAGCCGTCCCCTACACGGACATCCCTCTCGTTGTGGAGCAGTTCCCGACGGTGTATGTGCCCCGTCTGCTGCGCTTCGTGGCCGCGCAGACCGAAGAGTCGCCACACATCGAGTTCTGCCTGCTGTGGATCAAGGCCCTCGTCGACAAGCACGGCGCCTGGCTGACGGCCAACAGGGGCAAAGTCGATGTGGAGCTGCGCATTGTGGCGCGGGCCATTGGCCGGATGAGGGACGAGATCCGGAGGCTGGCGGACGAGAACGTGTACATGGTGGACTACCTCGTGGGCCAGTCTGCCAGCGTGGACGAGGAGGACGGCGGCGCAGTCAAGATGCTGGATGGCACGGGTGAGGTCAAGCTGCTGGGTAATGGGCAAGGGAAGAAGCCGGCCCTGGCAACTGTGCTCGGCGATGAACAGGTGTCTGAGGACGAGGAAGAATGGGTTGGACTTGACTAGTGGACATCTTTGCGTGTTGAACTTGGGAGGTTGGGAAAAGTAGGGGAGTCTTCATCTAGCATATCGGTCCGGGCTGGGTGGACAGGCGTTTTGATACCAAATAGAAGCATTTTCATCCCTTCACATACACCTATCTTCAAGAAGCAGGTGTTTATTGGCTGGTATTTGCATTCGAAAACGGTAGGCAGTCTGAGATACTATGGACGTCAACAACCGCACAAAGAGGATATCATTTCAAGTTTCAAGAGCTTCCAAAAGGAATTGGGCAGGCTCTCCATACCCGCAACCCGCAACTCTTCACAACTTGGGCTGGTCCGGAACGTCCTGTTCCAGGTGCGTCAGTCTATCATTTCGAGGCCTGCGGAGAAGAGTACTCACCTTCCAAGCGGTCTCCAACCCGGTGGTCCTCACCCACTTCGCCCCAGGCGCCGTCACCGAGTCGACAATCAAGCGGAGGAGCCTGTCCCACATCTCCTCCCCCTTGATCCGGAGCCGTTCGTCGTTCTCGAACCGCCCCCCCTCCCCCCCCTCCGTGAGCTGCCGGCAGATCGCCGTCGCGCGGGCGAGCTTGATGGCGTGCCCGTCGTCCTCGAGGTCGTGCAGGCGCGCCGCGATGCCCGCGAGGCGCTCCCCGGAGCTCTGCACGGGGCGGGCGTGCGGCGGCGCGACGGTCCGGCCGTGGTCGTCGTCGTCGCGGGGCGTGTACGACGCGATGCGGTCGAGCGAGGCGGGCGGGGCCGCGCGCGCGGCGTACTGCAGGAGGTCCATGCGGATCTTCCACTCGAGGATGCGCGCCTTGTCCGCGGCGGCGATCCAGGGCGCGGCGTTGACGGTGAGGAAGATGGGGGCCGAGTTGACGTGGTGCCTTTTTGGGGTGTTGTCAGCGTCCCCCCTCTTTTTCTTCTTTTTTTTTCTTTTTTGAAACAGCACGGCTATGACAGGGGGAAAAGGGGGGGTTGTGTTGGTAATGGGCTTACATGAGGAAGAAGTCGAACTTGGGATACTTGGGCGGGTGGACGGCGGCGCTGGCGGCGACCAGGACGGCCGCGTTGAACATCTCGGCCGTGCGCGCGTCGAGCTCCTCGGGCCGCACCCTGACCCGGCTCGCGACCTTGATGATCTCGTCCTTGGCGCGCACGAGGACGCCGTCGCGGACCTTGTTGGCGTCCCCGTCGTGGGCTGCGGCGGCGAGCTTGGGGTCGTTCCGGACGGCCTCGTAGAGGGACAGGATGGGTGGCATGGCGGCCGAGGAGGAGGCGGCCGCGTTCTGCTCAGAGACCATCAGGAACTCGCGGAGGTCGTTCTTGTGGACGCAGGTCTGGGCCAGGGCCTCCGCGACGATGGCGGGCTGCTTCCACTCCAGGCCGTACATGAGCTGGATCAGGGGGTGGAGGAATCCTAGAGGGATCATGTCAGCAAAAAAGAGTTGTAAATATCTCAAGGAGGCAGTGCGCCTTTTTGTCTCGTACCGCCAAACAATCTCACGAGCAGGTCCTCGGCCTTGGCATCGCGCTTGAAAAGGTGCTCGTTGACGACGTGCTCCCAGCCATGCCGTTCCATTTCACGCTGGAAGAAGACCAGGAAGTCGGGATAGTACTTCTCGTTTCCGAGATACTGCTCGGCATGGGCCCAGTCCCTGAGCTCCTCGGGCACTCTGTCGTGAGGTTTCAGGGCGTGCCGCTGGTAGTTTGCATTGCCGTCCCACGCCTTTTGAAGAGAACTAGGGCCAGCTCCTGTTCCGAACAGGGAGAGCAAGTGATGGGGGATCTTTTGTGTGGTCAGAGCCATGACGAAGGCGTTTGATGATTATTGTGAGATGGTGATGTGGACTTACATGGTTATGAAAACCATCGTCGTTGAAGAATACATGGTGTTTCTATCAAACCGTAAGTAAACATATTGATCGATGACAACAAAAGCCTTCTGTCATGCCTGAAGATCCTCTTGGAGAAGCTCTGACGTCTTCTCAGCGGTTTCTTTGTCCTGTTTGAACTTCCACAGCCCGCTGTCCTCGGGCACAACATGAACCTGATATGGGGTAGCCATGCTTTCTGATATTCGAGATGCAATGAATCGACGCGAGAAGAGTCGTTGTGTTGTGTAGTGACTTGCAATGAGTCTTGCTGTCCTGGACCAAAGGGACATCCGGATCGGACCAGCGACCTCTTATGTAGACTATTTCGGAGCAGTATCATACAAACAGCAGAACAACTTCGTGGTATGTGGCATGAGGCCAAGGCTTGTTCTCCGAGTCTCCGAGTTCTCTCGGAGAGGCCGATGACAAATATGAGTTGAGATGCTTGAGACGAGGTTGCAATGCAGGCGCAGACCGACGGACTCAAAGTACATTCGAGATGCTTGGCATTTGCATGCGGGTTGGGGAGACGAGACAAGTTGCTTCTCAGCAGAACGAAAGGCCACTTCTAGATCTATTTGGTCTGGCTACGTTGAACTGCGTGACAATGATGTGGGATGGATGATTGGACGGCCAGAAGGGCCGCCGCAATCCGGTGCACACGGCCGAGAAGGGCCCTACGTTGAGATGCTTCGCGGAGGGATACCGTAAGCCGAAGAAGCCATTGATCCTATTGGCAGTTGCCACCGCGGTTCGTGAAGGTTTCCCCAGATTCTGTCACCGATGGGTGGACGAGGTGACATCATGTCGACGCGTTAGGCTGCACAAATGGGTGCACTAAACTTGTTCGGGGCGGCAGATGGCAGTTCGTGCAAGCTCACGCGTGCATTTGCTTGACAAGCTCGAGTGCTTACTTTGTAATTACTAATCTCGACGGCCTCGCGACCATCGCAGAGCTCGTAAGGCCGAGCAAGTGTGAGCGGTGCGGCATTCACGATGCGTCCAGCAGCAGCAGAAACAAGTCAAGTACTCCGTGGCTTCATTCGCAGACGGCACAAACCCCAGCTATGAAGATTGGAACCTTTACCTCGGTCCCTCTGCTTGTTGTCCATCGTGGAGTCCGGACATGAAGGTAATTTGCCCAACGACGGACTGACTCTTTTTTGACTCTTTTTGAAATTGGCAGTCAATGTGGACACACCAGCCCATGCTTCCAAGACTCTTAACATAGTCTTCTATTCGATTTCCGCTGCGCACTGCCGGCATCTTTCTCAGCTCACGCAACGGTGCGGCTGCGATGATCCCCGGTCCGCTCCCGCCTAGTACCAGAAGAATATTTCCCGAGTGGAAACGCTTGTGGCTTGGCTCGCCCGCTGGTGCATCGAACGTTGTTTCACCAAACGAAACAACGGCGCCGCGTGCTGTTGCGTGCGTGCTGTCTGCAGAGATGTGCCAACATCACCACCAACCCGCGAGACAAGCCCTCAGCTGTGGCTCTCATCTCGGCAGATCGTGCGTGCCTACAAGTACACCACCTTTCTATATTTGTTCCTTGCCCACGCCATCGTATGTGTTGGACTGTGCCATCGGAGCGTTTCAAGAAGCTCCCCTGAGACCACCGCCCGGGAATGGCACCTCACAGGCGCGCCACGAGGCGTTTCTCCTCTCTCTCCTGGACCCATGCTGTGCCATGGATAAGATCCCTGCTCGCCGACCAGGGATCCCGGCCTCACATCAACTCCTTGCCTTTAATTTAACAGAAACCCGTTCTTTGACTGTTCGTGATACAAACAGGGCAGACCCGGTCTGGCGAAATCACGAGCCTGGGAAGAATTAGGCCCCGGTTGCAATAGAGGCACGGAGTAACTCACTACTTCATGGAGGGCTCCCACTTCCGCTGTGCTATTCCTCGACCCCAGGGAATATTACAACCATGTATTTCCGATTCTTTCTTCTCATTTCTGTCTTTCTAGAAGCCTAGATGAAAATAGAAGGAGGACACAGAGAGCACGTAGAGCGTTGCTCCCTTTACTTTTCTCACACACGATAGCGTTTATGCTCAAAGCTTCCTAGATCTTTTGACACTTTTGTTTGATTCCCTCATTCTTGACCGTTTTTTTTTTCCCTCTTCCCTGTGGGGAAGGCTCTTGATGTCGGTTTCCGGGTCAGTCTCTATATACCTATATCTCACGAAAAGTCTCGGCGGCGTCTTCCCAATGAGGACCTCCGCCCACTATGCCGGCTTCTTCTCCATAGCCTCGATCCTGCTCTCCTTCTGCCAGCTCTCGAGGAGCCATCCTATAGAGCCCAGCAGCTCACCTCCCACTCCAGACTCCCCCAATCATGAAGGTGAGCAAGTAAACTATTCCAGCCGTTATCTGCGCGACCTCAAGACGAGCAAAAAGAAAAAGAAGAAAAGCTAACATCACCATACAGACTCTCTCTCCTCATCCTTCACCTCTGTTGTTGTCCTCACGCACCTCCTCGAGAGGAGGGAAGACGCCACCACACCGCCCTCTCCGCCCTCGCCCACCTCCTCCACGTCCATGAACCTGCCCCTGCCCCTCGGCGCCGTCATCGGCATCGCCGTCGGCGGGCTCGTCCTGCTCGGCCTCCTCCTCGGCCTCGCCCTCTTCGCCCTCGACAAGAAGCGCGGCCGCATCCGCGCCCTCGAGTCCCGCCTGACGAGCGCCGCCTCCTCCTCCTCCCCGACGCGCAAGGGGGCAAGGCGGCAGCAGCAGCGGGGGGCCTCGGCGCTGCCGCACGCCTGGCGCGGCGACTGGTCCCGCGACTGGTCCCGCCGGGGCAGCTCCGGCCGCGGCCTGGGTTACCACGTCCACGTCAAGGGCAACGCCACGCCCACGGCCTCCGTCTTCGGCTTCCACTTCGGCAGCTCGTCGCCCAACGTGCACTCCCCTGGCGGCGGCGGCGGCGGCGGTGGAGGAGGAGGAAAGGGAGAGGCCGCGAGGCAGTCGGTTGCTTCGACGACGCTGTAGAAAAGGAGGAAGCAGGAGAAGAAGGCAAGGTTGGTTCAGCATTGGCGCGGAGTTCTGATTGTGTTCATGACACATGGCTATATTTTATTATTTTTGGACCGAATGAAGCAAGCATCCCCCCCCTTTTTTTTTAACCCTCTGTCGGTTCTATTTCCCCTCTTGTGTTTCTTGGTCGTTCGGACCAAGCATGGCATGAAGCGAGCAACGCAACGTCTTTCTCTAGAAGCGAGACATACACACATACATACACCGTTTTGGTATTTCAAATGTACATAGTTATCATCATACCTTTCTCAAAACCAAAGTGCAGAGCAAGAAGCTCACTTGATGTGCTTTCTTCTTTTTTTGCTGTCTCTTTGTTTATTTCTTCTGATTCTGGCAATTCTATCTAAGTAGACGTATTCGCTGGTTGTCGAAAATGATCTGCTCGTTCTTCTGCCGCTTCGTCCTTCGTCCTTCTCTGTCCAACAGGTAGACAAATAGACAAACCCACAGCTCTTTCTCTTATATAAAGCAGACGTATTGAGCTGTGGCTGGTGTATCTGTCTAGGGTCTCTTCTCTCGCTCTTGTTCTTCGCTTGCCATGCCATACATATCTGGATCCCAATCCCGGGCAGCTGCGGGCTGGCCTGCTGATCTTAACCACATTTAGAACACCCGTCGCTATGCTCTGCTAACCCTCTCTATGCCTGCTCGGACTCCTGCGGTCTCTCTGCTCGGACGACCGCTCCCGTATAAGCCTCTTGCTCGTCGACGCGTCGTAGCCGATCACATGCGTCAAGTAGTATAACCTGCAGGCAAGAAAAATCATCGATAAGTATACATACGTGGTGGGTGCATCAATTGGCTTGGACATGACAGGGGAGAAAAAAAAAAACTCACTTCTCCTCATACGACTCCTTCTCCTTGAGGTCCTCGAGCCCCTGCTGGCACTCCATCCACGCCACGGCGCGGCGCTTGGCGTCGACCCGCTTGACCGTGACCTTGAACCGCCCCGTCACGGGCCGGTGGTCGCTGACGCGCACCTCGTGCCGGCGGTAGTCGACCTGCTGGATGCGCGGGGCCGCGCCCGCGCCCCCGCGGCGCGGGCCGCGGTACAGCAGGCGGTCGCACCAGGCCGGCGACCGGCGCTTCTCGCTCGAGTCGTACGTGTCGGTGCCCACGTCGTACTTGTACGTCGGCGCGAAGGCGATGGGCATCTCGTCGAACGCGCGCAGGCGGAAGGCCGGGTTGCGCCGCCGCGCGACGAGCAGCTGGTCGCGCTCGAGCAGCTTGGCCAGGTTGCCGGCCTTGACGGCGTTGACGACCGTGTCGCGCGACATGGTGTCGATGCGGTAGTTGAGGTCGCCGTTGAGGATGCACAGCTCGTGGTCCATGATCATGGTGCCGTCGCCGCCGCCGACGTAGCTGTCGACGCGCGCCGAGGGGTCGCGCTCGGCGGGGAGGATGGCCGCCTCGAGGATGGCCGCCACGTCGTTGTGGCGGCTGTTGGCCTGCGACTGGCCCGCCGCCAGGTGGCAGTTGATGAAGCAGAGCGACGAGTCGTCGACCATGAAGCGCACGACGATGGCGCCCTTGTTGCCGTGCAGGCCGCCCATGCCCCGCTTGACCTCGGCGCTGCTCAGGCTGCGCACGCGGTCGCGGATGTCGGCCTTGACAAAGACGCAGGTGAAGAGGCCCACCATGTGCGCCGTCTGCAGGAGGTGGTACAGCTCGCCGCCCATGAAGTCGTCCAGGCACCGCACGAGGAAGTCGCGCCAGTCGCGGTACTGGTGGCTCATGCGCTCTTGGTCGGAGCCTTCCTTCTTCTTGACCTTGAGGAAGCGCTTGGCCGTGGCCGTCTTGTCCTCTAGATCGACGAGCTCTTGGAACCCGAAAACGAGAATGTCGGGTGAGCCGCTGCCTTGCAAGAGGTTCTTGAAGAAGTCGGCATCGCCGTCCGAGTACCGCAGACTGTTGGGCGTAGATGCGCCTGCATTCCACGTAAAGACAAGCGTCTTGAGCGTCTGGAAGTCGCAATAGGAGGTGTCTTTGGCTTGCATCTGGCCCTCTAGCCAGTCATCCTGCAATAGCCCGTCCCACACTCTGACTGCGCTGTCCGAGCCCAAGGACACAATCTGGTACCGGCCGAGCCTGTAGGAGCTGGATCGGTCGGCAATAATCTTGCAAATCGGGTTGTCATGGGCTTGCCAATCCTTCATCACGGTCCATGGCTGTTGGCTCATGTCGTAAACACATATCCTGCCGATATTGAACCCGGCCCACATGTAGCGTCCCACCCCTGCAAGGGAATTGATCTTGTAAGAGCTTACGTTCACTACACCCAAGCAAGCATAATCCTTCCTCGAGTAGATGGTCACCTTTCCATCGGCATGGCCAAAGAACACTTTGTCGGGATCAGAACTCAGCAGGGTGCCTGCTGTGACATCGCCAGCGCCCTCATGGGAGAGAGGCCGGACCAGTACCTGGAACTGGGCTTTTCCGTCCAATGTAGGGAGGAAGACTCGTATCTCCTTCCCAGTGGTATGCCACAGCTCGTCTCCAACAACCAAGGAGAACATGTGACCCTTGGGCATCCGGAAGGTTTGGTGAGGACCAGTGGTCATATTGGGCGTGCCCTCCTCATCCGGACCCCAGACATGTAGCGTGCCACCGTCGTCCAGCGTCCACAGCTCGTTGTAGTGCCGATAAATCTTGATAACTTCATGGCGCGCATGGGCCGTAGGTCTGGTCGCTGTCAGACTCTGCGTGGCGATGTCCGCTTCCATCAAGTCCCCGACATTGTTGCCAATCCAGACGCGCTTGCCCTCTTCATCAACATTCAAGCCAGGCTTGAAAGCAACAGACGTAGCCTTGACACCCTCGCCGTGGGCAAGACTCATGAGGAGTTCACCGTCTTTCAAACTCCAAGCTCTTGTGAGGTGACCACTGGTACATACGACATCGCCACACACATCAAAGATGCGGCAATCGTACTTTGTGGAGATCTCAGGCACGCCTTGTTTAGCATAGGGAGGTTGACGGTTGACATTTGACGGATCGGGGTAGGCCATCGAGATATCATTCTTGGCTGCCGCTGCCGCTGGCGTTTCTCCTCCGCGAGGCTCGCCGGGCTGCACCACATTCGAGGCTGATGGCTGGCGTATATCATTTGCATTTCTGCTTGGGGTTGGCCTGTTGTCCATGGTGGTAGCCCTCACGTGGGTGCGAGTTGGAGGTGGAGGATAGTGTGCTGATGCTGATGACGTAGGGGTCGGTGTTGACACCACCCGCTTCTGCTGCAGACTGGCTACATCTTCAATATTTGAGCTCGAGGTGACCAGACCTGGTCGTGGAGGCCGAGGTGGCGGACGTTCCGAGACTGTGCTGCTGCGCGTTAGGGGTTGCGCATCTGAAATGGTCTGGGGCCGGTTTGGCAGTGGCGGACGCTGCTCGCCGGTGGTCTGCGGCTGCATAAACCCCTTTCCAAGCCCATTGGCCTCTTGCCCCCTTTCTAGCCTCCTGCTTGCCACTGAATGATGCACTGGAGGTGGCTCAAACCCCGCTGGGATGGTCTTGGCCCTTGGCACAGCTTCAATCTGTGACCGGGGGCGTGGCCGAGTCGGCAAGGACGGCGGGATCTCCCCTTCCTCGCTCTTGGGACTATCAGGAGGGCTGCTGAACGGGGATCGCTTCTCGGTGAGGTGCGCTCTGCTCTCCAGCGCCGAGACACTCTCGCGAACCTGCGAGGCAGGGGACGGCAACCTGGGCTTGTCGGTCCTGTTGATGACTGGGGGGCCTGCCCGCGCCTCCCGTTCCCGTCGCAGTTCCACAGATCTCCTCGGCGGCGGCGGAGAGGGCGGCTGCGACGGGGTCAACCGTGGAGACGGCCGTGGCTCGAGAACGGGGGTGTGTGGGCGGCTGCCAATCTTGAACTGACGGGGTGAGCTGGCTGGCGATGGCTGCTTGACGACCGCGTCTGGGTTCAGGAGACTGGACTGATCACTTGTAGCTAGGTTCAACGCTCTGCCTTTGGGAGGGGATTGCGGAGGATCGACGAAGAGCGAAGGGGGCGGCGCTATCGGTCGAGGGCTGAGTGGCGGCGGGGGACCCAGCTTGTTGGAAGGGCGAGGGCTGGTTTCATGGCTGGGTTGATGTTGTGGCTGTAGGCCCGATGCAGAGAGATCCCTTGGTTTTGGCTTGACGGGTATAGCTGGTGGCTCTTTATGCGCGGCGCTCGCTTCTCGAAATCTGTCTGGCTTAGGGGCAGGCGAGATGGCACGAGGTGGGGGCTGCTGCGGCTGCGAACCGTTTTCGGTCTTGCTCATGTTCTCGAAGCGCGCCCTCAGGGACGAGACAGGCTTCTGCAGGCCATCCAGTCAGTATTCTGCCACGAAGTCGGGAGAGTGTGTCGGCAAGGGGGCGAGGGAAGGGAGACTCACGAGAGAAGAGCCATCTGGCCCTTCATTGTTGGAGGGATCCATGATGGTTGAGGACAAGGAAAGGTGGGGGTTCCCTCGTTGTCGTGCCCATAACACCTAATGATGATGGTCGCTGTCATAAGAGGATAAACATGTGCTCTGTTGCGAGAGAGGCCAGCCTGTTTCCGGGGTAGGTCTGGCTTCAGTTGGCGATTGCTGAGGTGCGCCGTCCGCCTGGGCGCCGGGTGTGTGGCTTGGCTCGCAACCCTCAAACTCGGCTCAAGTGACGTCGATTGTAAGTGCGTGCGATGCCAGCGGTGAGCAAGAGGGAGGCGAGGATGGCGAGGATCACAGATGAACGAAGGATAGGTATTTTGGGAAGCGAGCGACAGGTTCCGGAGTAATGAATCGTGTGCAGATGCTGGAGTGTGTAAGCTGGAGGGAAGAGTCGTCGTAATGAGGATTGCCATGAATGGTCGCGAGGCTAGCGGGAGGGACGTTGCTGCGAGCCCCGCCAGGGCAGTGCTGCTTGGTGTTTCGCCTTAAAAAAAGCCGGTGGGCGGGCACCTGTCTAGTGGGTTAGTGCCAGATTCAATGGGCACGGGAGTGGATTCCAATGCTGAGTACAGATGGAATTGTGACTTTGCAACATCTGACATCAGAAATTACCTTGGCAACTGTGTGGGCGGGTTTGGCTTTTCACTTCACAAGCCGGCTCTGTTTACTCAGCGACAGTGCTGGGCCGTGGCGATGCACAGAGGCTAAGACAGACAGACAGACAGACAACAGCGAGCCCAGTTCAAACATGCACCCATCCACCGAGGGTTCTGATAGGTTACCTGGCCTTTGGGACCGTTATGTGTGAGCTTGTACCGTGCATCGCCCGAGGTCCCGGTGTTTAGGTACTTGCCCAACTTACCTAAATACCTGCAAAGCTATTGAGGAATGGTGAAAGCGCTACTGACTGTCTTTCGCTTTTGCGCAGCAGGCAAGTCTGTATCCCCAATCTCAACTCCATACCTAGACCTCCCGAGATGTCCCAAAATGGAACTTGGAGGCGTCACTGTGATTCACTGCACCCTCTGCTAAACCCACGCTAAGAGCCGACTGTTCTAGCACGGAAGCGGTTAGGGGAGAGCTGCCAGAGTCCCCGCCTGCCACAGGCCTAGCTAAGCACTGTATCACACATCATGCCACCTGTGGGGGCTGCCCGAGCTCTCCCGAATGGTCCCCGGGCCTTGGTGGCCCAGTGCTCCTACGTCAAATAAAAAAAAAGGCCCGCCGCCTGCCGGCATTCAATTGATTGGATGGTGATGAAGAATTGCTTCCCTTTCTTTCAACCATCCAGGTAGCTCGACCATATCTCTCCAGTCCCTCTTATCTTTCCCCAGATCTATATCCTGGGACCTCCTCGCCTTTCAATTGCCCGCCTGACCCAAACCGCGACCGCATCCTTCTCGATCAACCATCAAGATGAACAATGTAAGTTGATATCATCATCATGATACCAGCTCACGACTCAGGCCCTGTACTGACCCTGGCTCTCCTCAACAGGTCAAGTCCTTTTGGTATGCCTTCCGGGTTATTGCGATGATCCCCTCGAAACGATCTCCTAACAGTGTTTACATAGGCTAGGTTGGGGTGCCCTTGTCGTCGGTACGTACTGCAGAGCGAGTCGTTGCGCCGGAACACCTTGCTAACCCATTCGCGACCGTACAGCCGGAGGAGGAGCCTACGTGTTCGCCAAGAGGCAGATCAATGCCGACCGACAGGCCAAAGCGATGGAGCAGCGGCGCAAGAAGGCCATGATCGAGTCCCTTGAATACTCAGACAACGTGCCCAACCGTCCGTTGTCCTCGGCTGCCATGGGCGGCTCTGCAATGGGCGGCTCAACGTTGGGAGGGTCCAATATGAACGGCGGGCCAGCGCGCACCGATACCGCCGGCTCTCCTAGTCAAGAGTCCAGCTCGGATCCGGCACCGACACGACACGCGCCCGCGACAGAAGGCCAGAGAGTATGGGAGAAGAGCAAGTACGAGAGTAGCACGCCGTTCAGGAGCACCAAGGGCGATCGGTTCTCTTGAGTACGGATGCTCTCGGGCAGGAGGACTGAGTTGATTTGGAGGCTACAGGGCACATGTGGCTCGGCTCGGAGCTTTCTCGTCTTCGAAGGATTAGGGACAGTCGGTCCCGATGTATTGTACAAGATTGATGAAGGGTGCTTTTTCTTTACCAGGGCCGCGGAGGGTGGACAGGCTTGATCTTGGGTCAGAATGACGCTTCATAGTCTACGTGTCCTTTCTTTTCGAGTTCCAATGAATTTATGCCACTTCCCTGACGGATCGCCTTGAGTTCTGTCATTGTATTCGCATCAGGCATATTGGAGATTGATGCGATGATATCAGTATCACTGGTCTCATGTGCTGGTCGGCGTGTGATTCGCCGAAGCCGATAAGCACCAAATTTTGAGGGCCCCATCACAATGCGCCGGCTCCAGTCTCAAGCTGATAAAGAGCTGCCTACCTTGCGGCGGACCAATGCCGCGCACGATCTCGAGCTTCAAGTCCAACAACACACTACAATCCCATTGTTCCACGGCTCCCACTTCGCACTTCCACCAAAGCCCCGGCTGGCGGCAGACACCCAGCACCTCGCGCCACCATGGCGTCCTCTGCGCAGCTAGCCATCGCCAAAGCTTCCTTTTCCGCCGTGCTCCTGCGGCCTGACCCTTCGCCCTGCTCGCGCGACGAGATCGAGTCCTTCCACGCCCTCCTCGGCGCCGCGATAAACCGCTGCTCGCCGGAAAACGTCCAGGTTTGAAGCCTATATGCCTGCACATACACACACACGCGCGCTCCAACGCGATTGCACCTTGCTGTCCAATTAAGCCCACCTCCGTCCTCCCATCGTCAGCCTTGAGTTGAGTCGAGACCCGTGACTAAATCCTTGTTTCTGCGTTCCGTTCTGTCCTACAGAAGTGCAAGCAGTGGGCGTTGCGATACCTCGTCCAGTCTCCGGCCCGCGCCGCGTCGCTGGGCAAGTACCTCGCCGCCCTTGCCAGCGCGGCCGCGCCCGAGGGCGACGCCAAGTCCAATGGGCAGACATCAACAGGCTCCAAGCCGTCGACGACGGCGCGCTGTCCATCAGCGAAGCGGCAGCGCTTGCATGTGCTCTACATCCTGAACGACCTGCTCTTCCACGTCAAGACTCGCAATCACGATGACACGTTCGCCAAGGCCTTTGAGGGCGTCCTCTCGGATCTCTTCCGGAGCGCAGCTTCCTTCACCAACAGCCCAAAGCACATGAAGAAAGTCGAGGATCTACTCTCGATATGGCAGGAGAAGGCGTATTTTCCGACAGACCTCATCACGAAGCTGAGGGCAGTCGTGGCGGACGCACCCCTAGCGAAAGCATCCGATGAGAACGGCGCGAACGCTTCAGCCAACGCTGCTGCGACAAACTCGGCCGCAAGGGCGAAGAACGCACCCTTCATGATGCCGAGCATTCACGGCGACCCCACGACGCCCTGGTACGACCTCCCGGCCGGGGACTGGCTGCCCGCGATCCAGCCCAACTCTACGCGGCCCATCGACCCGGCCATGATCAGACCGCTCCAGCTGGCGGCCGGCCCCGCGGAGAAGACGCTCGTGGAGGCGGTCAAGAAGCTCCTGGTGGACGTCGACCGCATCTACGCCAAGGACCTGCGCCTCGACGCCGACCCGGCCGTCGAGATCGACCAGATGGGCGAGCGCGTCGAGGTCGACGAGATCACGGGCGACGTCCTCGACGGCGACACCTACTACGGCTGGTCCCGGGCCTTCTGCGAGAAGATGAAGGCCCGCCGGCGGAAGGGATCGCAGCAGGTCTCCGACAACGACGACGACGACGACGACGGCCGGCGCGGCCGCGCACTCTCGTCGAGATCCCGCGGCCCCTCGTACGGCAGCTCGAGGAGTCCCTCGGCGCACAGCCGAGAGCGCCCCGCTTTCAAGAGGAGGCGCCTCTCGCGCTCGCCCAGCCGCGACGACGACGGGTACACGCCGAGCCGCAGCCGCAGCCGCCGCCGCAGCTACAGCCGGAACCGGTACCAGCGCTCCTCGCGCAGCCCTCCCTCCCGCTCCCGCTCCCGGCCCCGCGGCGGGTGCCGCTACCGGCGCTCCGGCTCCAGATCGCCGGCCTACTCTCCTCCTCCTCCTCCTCCGGGCCCTCCAGCGGGCGAAGGGGGATACATCCAGCCGCATCCGGGGCTGCCACCGCCACCGCCACCGCCACCCCCGAACTCCTACCCCAGCTTCCCTCCTCCCTTCCCGCCGCCCCCGCACATGGCCGGAGGAGGCTTCCCTCCACCGCCGCCGCCCAACTTCCCGGGCCAGTGGCCGCCGCCGCCGCCGCCGCCGCCGCCCCCGAACATGCAGATGCCGCCCGGCGGGGCTGGGGCTCCGGGCCAGCGCCAGGGCTGGATGCCGCCCGGCGCGACGCCTGCTGTGCCCTGGAGCGGGGGGTGGGCTGCTCCCGGACAGCCTGCGCCGCCGCCGCCGCCGCCGTCGATGGGTGGCGGGTATCCGCCTCAGCATCAGCAGCAAGGCCACCGCTACGGTGGCGATAGAGGAGGAGGCGGAGGAGGCGGAGGAGGCGGTGGGTATGGCGGTCGAGGGGGTTGGAATCGCGGAGGTGGTGGTCGAGGTGGAGGAGGAGGTTCTTATAACCGTGGGAGAGGAGGCGGATGGTAAAGGTCGTGGTTGATCGTCAGTATACCCGGAATTGAGAAGATTGGAAATGTGATGATTTGGCCAGCCAGTTGTATTGTTCGGCCACCCTCTGGTCTAGCAAGTCTCTGTATACTCTGCCGGACACTGTGACTGTCCCGTCCCATTCATCCCAATGCACCCGTGTGTTCCAACGTGTTTTTTTGAATTTGCAACTATTAGATTTACAACACCGACAACACCCAAGGCCCGCCCCCTCCCCCCCCAAACAGAAGGATAACGCCCGAGCCCTCCTCATCCACCCCCCCCCTTGTTTTCGTCGAAGAGAAAAGGGAAAAGATTGGGAGGTGGCCATCTGTGCAATATAGGACAGACAAGGAACAAGACAACAAGAGGAAGAAAACAGTGACAGGATGCCGGACGGGGGAAAACAATAATTCTCTCTTTTTCTTTTTTCCAGACATGACTCCATACAAAGTTAAGGCTGAGAGCGGAGGGGGCCGGATGGGGTTCCGTCAAGCCCGACCACCACACCGCATTCCGTCGCAAGAGAAACAAACACCCAAGTTCTTCACCTACTGGAGTGGTTCGTCGGCACCACTACTCGACGAAACTCATAAAGCGAGCGTAGAGACGCATGGCCGGTTCCACAAACCCACGGTGAACTCGCCGTTGCCACCTCGTTCCCCAATCCTGCAGCTGTCTCTCCCGCTCTTGTTGTCATCGCCCTCTGTCCGTCCGTCCGTCCCATATCTTAAGCCGCCAAGCCACCAAATCAGCCTCACGTCGAGGAAGAAAAAAGAGCAAACCTTCGTTCAAGGTTGCAGGAGCCTCGAAAACAAAAAGCCGTTTGAGAAAAAAAAAATCCAGGACGTCGCCGTCCTATCCGTGTACCAAGGGCACTCTTGCCCTTGAACCCGCCATCCTAATTCCGCAAGACAGGCAAGAAACGAAGACAAAGAAGTTGTGCCTAATGCCGTGTATTCTCGGAGCAATCAATTTCGATATGTGCATATCGACGTAGAAGAATGACTCCTCCATCTAGGGTCGGGCATCGTGGGGTTGCGCGATACGTATGAAACGTGACTGGAGACCAGAATGGTACACCAATGAGGATCCGTAACTTTCATGATTTCATTATATGTTGGGAGCTGGCCAATTCCCCAGCCGTCGTCGCCATCACAGGCCTTTCGAATTCTCAATCACAAGCAGGGAGCTATCTCTGACCCCTCGCAGATCCGGACGAACTTTGACGTTCGTGAAGCGTCGGCCGGCGGTCCCTACGTTCGCCATCCTGCAGCTTCAACGAGTCAAGTCTTTTCTGATTATCATCCGAGGCGTCTGTTTCGTCCGCGCGAGTTCTCGGCTTGTCCGCGGTACCGTTGCTTTTCCTCCGGTTGGCCTGCTCGGCAATCGCAGCCCACTTGTGTTCACGTAGGGCTTCCCGAGACGCTGCACTGTTCTGCTGCTCGGTGTATTCATGGGAGCAGTCATCGAAGAGCTGCGGGTTGATCTCCATGAACAACTTCATGGCGTTATAGACCATGCCGTGGATGGTACTGGGTAGAGGTCAGGATCTGGCTTGCCAAGTTTCAGAAAAAATGGGTAGCCGGAATAAAGCGCTTACCGGTTCCAATGCCCTTTAGAGTTTTCATATAGCGGCGCGAACATGATAGGTAAAATGATCTCGACGTTGTCGCTTACGAGGTTGCAGAAGTACTCATTGTTCCAAAAGTACAGCGCACGTTCCGCAACCTGGAAATGCGGACTTGCCACAGATTTGGCAAGTTGGTGGAACAAAGGCTCCTGCACCTTGGCGAATTCGGCTGGGTCCATGACCTCAAAGATGTCCTCGACTTCGTTGAGGAACATCACCTCCTTTGTGCTGTTGACTTTGGGCCAGTAGCGAAGGAGACCGAGAACAACCTGGGAAGCCGGTTAGCAGAAGGATCCAGTCGGGCAGCAGAGTCGAAACCAACCTCTTCGGTCAGAGATGCGTCCTTTTCGAGAAACTGGACGATACAGTATGCCAGTTGCGGGTGGTACATGCTCAAGCTCTTCACCTTGTGCATCGGGATCAGAACCCTAGTCAGAAACAGCTTGTGCTCTTCTTTCAACGGTAGCGCAAAACCATTGATGATGGACCCCAGGATCTCCAGAAGCTCAGCGATGCCGTTGAACCGCTCAGTCTCATAAGTAAATTGGAAGAAGACGTGGTTGATAGATCGTCGGATGAAGGACCGCAGATTGAGGAATTTGCCGTAAATACGATGCAGAGTGGTCTTCAAGAAGTCTCGCTCTCTCGGATCCTCAGAGTCGAACAGCTCGAGCAGCTGAAGAACAAAGCTGTGATCTATATATGCCTTGGCGATGTTTGTGTTGAAGTCCTGGCTCTCGATGAATCGGAGAAAAAACTCGTAGACTACTTGAATATGCGGCCATGCGACCTCGAGAACGGGCTCGTCTTCTTCCGGGTCGAAGGCCTCGCCCTGCGGGTTCATCGGGGGCGGGATCGGTCGGAAGAGGTTCTTAGCGAACATCTCGACAACTCGCGGATACATCGGCTCCGTGATGACTTGGCGATTGTTGGCCACATAGTCCAGAAGTTCGTGTAGCGCGAGCCTCTTGATCTCCTTGGATTTCATGTCACCGCTCGCATCATTGAAATCGAAGATGACGTTGCACTGGTCGATCTTCTGCATGAAGAGCTCTTGTCTGCGATTCGGCGGCACCTCGTGAAACCCTGGCAGCTTCTCCAGCTCGCGATGTGCGGAGATGTCGAACCTGGACGAGTGTTGCCTCTTCGGGGTCCTGATGCCTTCGGGCACGTCCTTTGGCGTCGATTGCAGGCGATCAAACATCAGCGACTTCTGTCCAGCCTTGGGAGGGGCAAGGTCATGCGGCATGGTTTCGGCGGCGCCTGGAGGGGGCACATGCTATCGCAGAGATACCAGGTCAGCGCTCTGCACCAGAGGAGAAGAGGGACGGCAACAGGACGACTTACAGGAGCGCTTGGGCTGATGATGACGGTGGGAGGAAGTGTCCCGTGTCGTGTCGGCGTGTTTGCACCGTTGGCAGCTGAGGGAGAACCAGTGACGCCGCCAAACCTGTCGGGCCCTCCAGTGTTGTTTGTTCCACCCACATTCCCGAGGAGGGATGGCTGGTTAGCAGCGCCGTGGTCCCCACTGGGCTGCGATGTATTGCTCGGTGGCAGCGGCTTATTACGGATGTCGTTGAGGTTCGAAGCAGAGGAGGAGGGTGTCAGAACTGGCGACTGGGTTGCGGAGTCGCGTGAGTTGGCCGAGGATGGTGACGCCGTGCCATCTTTGTGGTCCTTGTTCTTCTTGGAGGCCTTGTTGGGGTCCTTGCCGCGCGACAACTGCGAAGAGATAGAGCAAGTCAGTAAGAGGTCTGGAAAGGCAGTGTTCGGTCGTTTTCAATGGCTCTTTTGCAAGTCAAACAAAGCTTGGGACTAACAACTCTCTGGCTGAACCGCTTCATCGTGGGTGATGAGGTCTTGCTGCGCGGTGGGGCGGCTAGAGCAGCCCGACTCGCTGATTATGGCGGGGTTGCACGAGTGATGGTGGCGATGCGGAAGGGCAGCGAGACGAGCCGAGGGAGGGTAGGGTATATCGTGGGAGAAGAGGCTCGGGCAGCGTTGTGAATTGAATTGGGGAGGTTTTCGGGCGACGGTGGACGGGAAGAATTCCAAGGTTGGCTGTGTTTGGTTTGGCAAGACGGTTGACGACGAGGCGCGAAAGTGGACCACACACTACCGCGGACCCAATCGACCACGAGGCAAGCGGGAGTCGGGATACTGAAACCACGTTGGATCGACAACGATGAAGAAAAGACCAGAAAGATGACGCTTTTGGCCGTTGGCTTTGTGGTATCGAGCAGGAGCTGGGGCACTGAGACAAAGGGGCTGTCCTCTCGCAAGGTGCGGTGGCCGGGAGGAGAGATTTGGCGAAGGGGGTTCAAATGTGGTGGTGCTGGTGTTTGGTGCTTTTCGTGGTTCTGGGTGGGCAGTAGAAGTGCTGGTGCTTGGTGCTGGTGCTGGTGCTGGTGCTGGTGCTGGTGCTGGTGCTGGTGCTGGTGCTGGTTTGCAGAGCGTGCAGGCGGGAAGAAGCCAGCGGACCGGCCCCGGCACTGACTCTCCCAGGGCAGAACAGAGCGGACAGCGTTCAAAAGATACCAACCTCGCGCTTCAATTTGGAGAACATGAGCACAGTTCCAATCCAACAACCACCGAGGGACGAGTGACGAGTGACGAGTGACGACAGCGGGCGGGATTATGCGGCTTGGGCGTCGGTATGTCGGTCGAGGTCGAGGACGAGGGCGAGGGCGGCGATGCTCGAATGCTGGTTGCAGTTGGCTTGCCGCAGTGATGATGACAACGGTAGGTCAACGACGGGTCGAAATGGCACCGGCACTGGTAGAAAGGGACCTAACAGAGGCCAAGATGGAGCAAACCCAGTCGGACCTCCAGCTCTTCTCTGTAGGTCAAGTCAAGTCCAACAAGTAGGTAGGTATTGTTGGTAGTGAGCGACAGTGGAGAGGGGACCGTCGAGTTGGGTGGACGCTGGTAGCTTAAGATGGCGAATCCAATAGGTAAAACGCGGGAACCCCTAGTGCCGTTAGGGGCAGTGGTGGGCCTGTGCACTGTCCTCGGATAGCGAGGATACCTGAGGATACAGCCCTGGGCCTTGGATTGGCTCCATCCCGGAGTGCTGCTAATCAGGTCTGCATGTGTTTCAAGGGTATTGTTTCTCCAAAGCGGTGTGATCTCTTCTGATGGATGTACTTGTACCTAATCTTGCAAGGTCCAGGAACAAAACCCTCATTCAGCAGTGCATCCCGCTTCTGATTACGGTTAGAGCCTCTGACGAACCGCCGGGGATGGGTGCTGGGGTGACTGTTGCATGACATCTCATTTCGTCCAATGTCGCTCTAAAAGAAACCAGGCAGGTAATGTACTGAGCAGAGTACTTTTTTTTTTTTTTTTTTTTTTGGCTATCAGCGGATGGATGAGATATGGCGTTACCTAGATTTCCCACTATGCCAGTGGGAAACGAGACAAATGCCTGTCTGGAGCATTACATTGCAGGTACTTAGCAGCAACCTAGATAGGTAGGGAGCTTGTAGGGTCTGGTTAAAGCCATTCTACGTATCAAGAGGTCCCCCGGTGTGTGGTGACAACCAGAAGTCAAAGGGACCGCCTACTGGAAAGTGTTTGTTTCATCGACCGTACAGGTCTGGAATCTGGTTTGGGATGTTCCGGTGTCATCGCATTTGCGTCATAACAACACCTCCAGGGCTCAGTACGGAGGATACCTCCGCTACTTGCTTCCAGAGCTCCAGGTGGTCGTCGCGAATTCCTTTAGCGCCTCATGACCTGGCGCTGGTGGAACCCCAGAACTCAAAGTTCCACACTTGGCAGCAGCTGGTGGAGACTCTTTTCACGGCTTACTCTTTACTCATTCCAGAGCATCACGAACACCTCAGTTTGGTACAACAAGCTGGCCGTCGTGTCTCTGAGAACATCTCAACTCCATTCAAACAACCTCCCGTCCACCCGGAAAAATCCTGCAGTGGTCGCATCTGCAAGACACGGCTTCTCGTCCAGTGCTGTTCAAGAGCTAGCCACACATCAGCAAGCATCTCTCATCTTCTCGCCTCGCAGCTTGTTTCAGAAAGGCTTTACATTCCACTATCTGGCAATCATGAAAAGCTCTCACACGTCCTAGCCCTGTATGAGATTGAGGAAAGCTTCAGCAGGCATCTCTAGGCCAACAACCCACTAGTCAAGATGGCAGCCGTAGCAGCGACCACATCTCAGGGCCAAGGTGTGGCTTTCGCCAACGGAGATCCGAGAGGCCATGCTCCAGTCTATCCCATTCCTGATACAAAGATTACCGCTCTGGAACACCCAATGATCATCAAAGATGTCGACAAAGCCATACAGACCTTTGGCCGGAATCCCAACCTCTCATCCGTAAGCGCATCTGTTCCTCTGCTTTTCTCACATGCTGGTCAACCACTAAGTTTCAATCCAGATCATCGACGACTCGGGGCCGCACGTCTCGGTCCCCTTGTATCTGCGCTATGATAACCCAGTCACGCGGCCTATTGTATCGCACGCGGCTGCATCACATAATGTCGTTCTCAAAGTCACTGTCCCCAAGAGGACAGGCAGGAAGCGAAAGCGAGGCTCTGATGGTCCCTGGACCGGGCCATCGATCTCAAACGGCGAACAAACTCAAGCACCCCCACCTGGCCCGACTGTCACCTCGGTGTCTAGAAATGACGACCCTCGACTTCTTCGGCGAAAGCTTGCGGACAATGTCGGAAGCTACAGCGTCGAGTCCGTCGGTCTGATCAAGCAGACCCACCGTTATCGAGGACTGACGGACTTCCAGCAGTCCATAACCAACGCCCCCTTCATGTCTGAGTTCATCAATCAAGTTGTCCCCGGTGATGTCACAAAACTGCGCAACTTCAAGTTCGGGTCGAGAACGACATCACCCCCTCCAAACGTTGAGCTGCCACCTCCTCCCACAGTCACCAACATCACACTGCCGTTTCCTTACTTCTACACACAAAACCCTCACGTACGCGAAGTCGCCGATAAGGACGGCCTACCACGTATCATCAATACTAGTGCTCTTCAGACCACCAGCGGGTACGTCCTGAAGTATGATCATTACCCAGCACCTTCAGGGCCTTCGAGGCCACCGGATCGATCTGATCCGCAGATGGCAATTGTGCTCGCAGAGATCGAGAAAGCGATGAACGCTCGACCCATCTGGACACGCCGCGGCCTCATCAACAGCCTTAGCGATATGGCAGGCGCAAACCAGATTTCTGCCAATCTTATCAGGAAGGCAATCCCGTTTGTCGGCTACCAGTTCAAGGGTGGTCCATGGCGAGACTCTCTGGTCCGCTACGGCGTTGATCCTAGGAAAGACCCCTCTTATCGCAAGTACCAAACCCTCATATTCAAGCTGCGCTTCTCAGACACGGGTGGATCTGGCCAGACCTGGCAGAGCATCCGTGCAGCCGACGTCGGGGAGACGAAACGTGCGCCCACGGATAACGACCGTGACGACAGCCACATCTTTGACGGCAAAAGCTTCTGTCGCGATGGCAAGGTCTGGCAGGTCTGCGACATTACTGACCCGATGCTGGCGGAGCTCTTCGCCAATGCCGAGGTCCGCGAGACAGTCGACGAATTCGGCAGCGGCTGGTATCACCGTGGTCTCTGGGCCAAGGCCAAGGCGATTATGAAGCACAAGATGAAGACGATTCATTTCGGCCGGAGTCTGAACCCAGAAGACTACCAGGCCGCCCTGAGGGTGCCGGATCGCACGCCAGAGCCCGGCTCCAAGTCGATCAGCATCCCTCTGCCGGATCTGAACTTGACCGAAGAAGAGACAAGGACATACAACATCCGCAAATTTCACCACGGCCTCCACCAGCGACCCCGCGATCGGACCGGGACTGCCTACCGTGTGCCCATCCCCAAGGGAGGGGCGGAACAGAAGACCTCGCCTTCCGCGGCCGGTGCTTCCAGCGAAGGGGGTTCTGAGGTAGCCAGTCCCAGCACCGACGTGGCTGCAGAAGATCGCCTGCCTACTGTGCTTGAAGAGGTTTCAGGTGATGGAAATGATGACGACGGCAGTAGCAGCGATGACGGCAGCACGACCAGCAGCAGCGGCGGCGATGAGAGTGATGAGGATGGCCAAGAATTAGAGCAGGAGATGGAAGACGAGGAGGAGGAGGGGATGGTTTTGGAGGAGGGAGGGGAGAATGCGGAAGGAGATGAAGAGGTTGTAGATGAAGACGAGGAGGAGGAGGAGGAAGGTGATGAAGAAGATGAAGGGGACGAAGAAGACGAGGAAGACGAAGATGAACAAGACTATGACGAGGATGAGGACATGGAGGGCGGCAGAGACGAGTACGGGAATGATCAGTACGAGGAAGAAGGATTCTCTAGCGGAGGTGAGTACGCATAACATGGACAAAATCACTCACAAGTGAGTCCAGTTGAGAACTTGCCTTGTTGGAGGTATGATACCCAATATTGCTCTTTTCGAGATGCCTTTAAATATCATGAAGTCTAGGTGACCCCAAGAGATGAAGTAAAATTATTAGATCTCGCCTAGGACGAGATTCATTGATCCAATCTTGACAGGAAACACCATTGCCAGTATATATGCAACCGCGCATTCCAGAGCCATTCACGTATGTAAATGCATGAGACAAGATGAAGGTGAAAGCGACAACGCCATGTGTCTCCCATGCAAAAAAGAGAGAGAGAGAGAGAGAGAAAGGAAAAGAAATGGGCGCAAAGAAAGGTCCATATAGGGCAAATAGTGTGAATCGCCCATCCTTTTTCACTGCACCTGCAGCACCTTGGTCTTGCTCTCCTTGAGCTGCACCATGGCCTCGACCCAGCGGCCGACCTCCTCGAGCGCCCTGCGCGGGTTCTTCTTGCGCTTCAGCAGGAACCCCTGCAGCTCCGCCGGCGAGAAGCGGCCCTGGGGGATCTTGTCCGCGAACTCGGCCGCGATGCGCTTCAGCTCCTCGGGCGACATGTCCAGGCGCTCGTCGTGGCTGATCTCGGCCGTCGTCGTCGCCTGCTGCTCCCCGTCCTCCCCGTCCTTCCGTGGCCCTGCCGCGCTGCCGTTCATATGGCTCGACGAGAAGTTGTCGACAATGTGCCCGTTGGCACCGCCGGCAGCAGCACCAGGGCCGGACGACGAGGGCTTGTTATGGTGGTGGTGGTGGTGGTGGTGATCGGCCTCGTACATGCGCTCAAAGAGCTCGCGCGCCTGCTCCTGCGTCGAGTTGGTGAAGCCGACCTGCAGGTCGACGCGGCCGGGGCGGATGAGCGCCTCGTCGAGCGACTCGGGCTTGTTGGTCGTCATGATGAGCACGCGGCCCTCGTGCGAGGCGACGCCGTCGATGGCGTTGAGCAGGCCCGACAGCGAGATGCCCTTCTTCTCGTTGGGGTCGTTGCCCTTCTCCTTGAGCGCGCGCGCGAGGTCCGCCACCCTCCACTCGTTGGGCGGGATGCCGTCCCCGCCGCCGCCCTTGCCGTCGGGGCCGCCGCCGCCGCCGTCCTTGCTCGGGTCGCCGGGCCGGCTGAGGCCCGCCGTGTCGATGTCCTCGAGCAGGACGACGCAGCGGCGCGGCAGCGTGTTAAACAGCGCCGAGAGGTCCTCCTCGGAGAGGGACGGCTCGAGCAGGCTGATGACGTAGATGTCGAGGCCGAAGACGCCGGCGAGCGCAAAGGACAGCGACGTCTTGCCCGTGCCGGGGGGCCCGTGGAAGAGGTACCCCCTGCGCAGGGGGATGCCGCGGTTGGCGTACCAGCGGGGCGTGGCCGGGTGCAGGTACTCGTTGATGTCGGACAGCACCTGGACCTTCTGCTTGCCGTCGAGGACGACCGTCTTCATGGGCCGGACGGGCCGGTTGGCGACCTGGAGCCAGGCGTTGCGGCCGCCGAAGCGCCGGACGTTTTGCGAGTTGGGCCGCTTGACGATGGTGCGGGCGTGGTGGTCCGAGTAGTACGCCTCCTTGCAGTGTTGGAGGAGCTTCTTGATGGGAGCTGTTGTGCTGGTCAGACAATGATTTTGATCTTCTTATCTATGGGATGAGAGGATTGCTTACTCGGAGACCAACCGAAGCAGGAAATCACAAGGTTCTCCTTGTCCTTGAAAGCCATGCCTCCTGATTGGTGAGAGTCCTCCATGAATGACTCTTGCTTGCGGCGAAGTCGGAAGTACTTCCCGTTAAACTTGAAGCCGTGGGTACCCATGGCCGGGATGAATCGAGGCGGCTAGCGAGAGAGATAACATGGTTAGATTGTATTCTTCGAGCAAAGGTACGGTGATAACTCACTGCTTTGGCTTCTTGATTTGAGAAATTCAGGTAGACGCCACTGCCATCTGGCGAGATCCTCGTCTTGAGAACATCAGACTCGTCCTCGTCCTCCCACGCCGTCTTCCCAACCGTCTCGGCCATGAGAGACCGGGAGCTGACCATCGTGGGCTGCCGCGCCAGCCACTTCATCAGGTGCAGATAGATCTCGTCGTTGCTGCTGATGTGGATGCTCGCCATCAGATACTCCTGGACGAGGCTGTACACATTCGTGTAGATCTGGCGCCCGACCTTGTTGAAGGCCCAGAGGAAGCCAAAGAGCGTGAGGATGACGCCCGGGTCCAGGCCCAGCCGCTTGGCGAGCATCTCGTACACGACCATGAAGGTCTGCATCAGGGGGTTGAAGCGGCCGCCGAGCAGGGGCAGGAGCTGCGCGACGCCGTCGGGCAGGTGTTTGGTGCTCATGTTGTCTCCGAGGCTGGTCCCGTTACCCCCAAAGGAGGGCAAGGCGCCCTTGAGCATCGAGTTGAAGTCCATGCTTATTATGAGTGTAATAGCCACAACCTCGAGTTTTTTTTTCAATTCTCCCAAAGAAAATGAACTCTGAAGATTCTTGGGGACTCTCGGATGAGGTTTTATTAAAATGGAAGAGCGAGAAACCGTCCGGGCTGTCCGGAGGGTTTGCGCCGTTGGTAGTGTCGGTTACAAGCCCGAAAACATATAAGTAAGTCCAGGAACAAACAAGGTCGAGAGAAGCCAAATGTCAAGTCCAGCACAGAACAAAACCACCGCAAATTCGAACCTCAAAATGCAAAGAGATTAAGAGGAGAAGTCAGGTCGGGTAGGCTATCGTTCCCAAGATATTTATGCACCCTTTTTGTGACTATCGAACGAGCGGTTGGAGGCAAAGTGCGGGCTGGTGGCCAGTAAGCCTCGTCAAGTGTTGGGGGCCTTGAGAGTCCAATTTGCCTTACGTGTGTGAGTGGCGAATACCTAGCTATCCCAAGTAAGGTCGGTTATATCCTGGAAACTGACAGGTACAAGTAGATCACGGCCTAGCGCAAGTCCATGCACGCTACTCTCGGAGCTCTGCAATGCTCGGCCGAGTTTCTACTGCGTCTTCAGGGAATGAGAATCTTGAGTTCTGCGAAGCAGAGTGGAGGTCTTTATATACTTGAACGAGGTCGGGGGCCTGGCTGCTCCTGTTGCCTGCATGATCAACAACAACTCAATAACCGAAGCTTGTCTATCACATATGCATGACACACCGAGCATGAGCACACGCCAGACGGAGAGTGTTGCAAGTACAAATGCGGTTGGGCACCGAGTGAATCTCATCAAACCCTTTGTGCACACACGGCATCTGCAGGTCAACTTCTGCTGCATCTCTTACAGGAGCCTGGTCATCCACATGCTTCCACGACCCCGTCTGTGATGGTGGGTTATATGTGCTTGGCGGTGGAGTGTGGGACAGGCGTCAAGTAATGCAGGGAAGTGTGGTCTGGAAGTGCAAATTGTTCGCGACCCAGAACGAACGGCGGCACCACTGCCATAAAGCTTCACATAGGTTTGCACATGTATACGAAGCATCGTCAGAGTCAGAGTTAGGCAGAAGGCTGCCTTGATCTCCACATGATCCGTCAGCCCTACGCTGCCGGGGTAGATGCTCACCAATGAGCGTTCATAGCAAGAGAGTACATAAGAACATCGACCGTTAGATCTGACATGTCTCAAGCAAAGAGGTTCTAGAATTTACTCTGGTAGCTATTGGTTGGTCGTGAGTTTGTACAAGTAGTTGGGGGGTATGCCGAGTTCAGGCAGCACCCGCTGCGCCCCCGCGCCGAGCTCCACCTCTCCCGCACGGCGCCTCCGGCCCGTACCTCACACCGAGGCGGGCTCCGGATCGCGCCCCAAACAGTGCACACAGAACTCAGCTGGGGTTCTGATATTTATTTTTCCACCATTTGAGATTTGGCAATCCCGCCACTACGGATGCAGCCATCCGTGTAGCAGGGATGGTCTGGCCGTTGGTTCCCTCTTCTCTCTGTCTCCATCGCTTGGCCCCCAAGGTCTGGATCGAAAATCTGCATTTGGTCCAACATCCGAGACCTCGTGCACTTTGTCTGCCGGGTAGTGCACAGACGCCTCTTCCGTAGTGTGTATGCCTCCAAAAGCAATAATACTGACTCCCAGTCCTACGCTCCCGCAGCCACGTCAGCATCCCGGGTGAAAAGAGTGCAGTAGCTCGTGCAGGTCGCATGCAAGAACTGCAATACATATGTTGGCACCAGCGTGTGCACTACTCCGTACGCATGTATTAGAAATGCAGGCTTGCCCTTCAGCCACTCAGATCATGAGCAGAAACACCCACAATGCACATTGCATGTCCAACTGCCGCAACTGGCTTCGACTTTTTACTTTCACGGGCATACTGCTTCCTATCAAGATCACAACCGATTCAAAGAGCCGAGCTCGTGGCATCGAACCGATTGAATAGAATTGAATAGGATATGATCCGGGAGACACCATCATAACAACTGAGGAACTCTCCCCAGTGTCTGCGGCCTCTGCGTAATCCGGGCCGTCCCGGCCACCCTTCACTCCGCCACACCACATTCACGACTACGAGCCAGCCGAAATGGAGAACTCGGACATATAGGCAGTGATACCTTGGACATCCGTGCAACCCAAATGTTGGAATCTACCAAAGTCTAGTCCTGCAAGCCTCTCAGAGTGCCGATTACCCAGTTCTCGATGCATGCATGAGCTTGATTGGCAGCTTGCCCAGTGCTCTTTGGCGCTGTTTCACGACCTCCACGGTCATGTGTGGCTCGGGGAAAGAGTATGAGTACTATATGGGGTTGGTGACACTACACAAAACAGGCAATCGGCCTGAAGAGGCACCCCGTAGAGGTGACACACAGAAGCACGGTCGAAACCTGCTGTAGGCTGTCTCTTTCTTTGCTTGGCAGCACAGTCCATCACATGCCAGGGCAACCCATGGAACTCGACAAACATCACAAGCAAAGCTGGTCGGTGACTGGCGCTCTGGTGAACTTCGTATTGAAATGTGATACCGTCCACGATGGGCTTTCTATCTGGGAACTTCCGAAATTCACTCAAATCCGCTGTATTCCCCTTCTTGATTACCGAGTAGATCTATAGTTTCGGAAACGCCATCATAATCTCCTCCATGCTAGGCGGAGCTTGACAAAATGTCAGTCTATCCTTCCTCCACGCCACACAAGTCCAAGTTGCCACGCCGATGTGTATACCGCTCGACACGAGGATGGGCTGAGGGGCACCGATTCAGCTTCCTGTTCTCGCAGGATTCTAGTCACATAGCGTGACCGGCCGAAATGATCGGGTGCCCCTTCTTGTCAACCCTCCTCCTCTCCAACCTTTCCTTCTCACTTCCGGGAGACGGACGACCCCCCGCTCAAGACGCCGGCCCATACGCCATCTCGCTCTCCCACAGGTGCGCCCCAGCCTCCTTGAGCAGCCGGACGTTTTCCTCGAGGCCCGACTTGTCCGCCAGGAACAGCGGCGTGTTGTTGGCCCGGTTGCGCACGTGCACGCTGGCGCCCCTCGTCAGCAGCTCCCGCAGGACCTCGGCGTCGGGGCCCACGGCGGCGAGGTGCACGGCCGTGTTGCCCGCGTAGTCGGCGCGCTTGAGCAGCTGGTGCGTGTCGTCGCGGTCGCAGTCGATGATCTCGCGCACGGCGGCCAGGTCCCCGCGCTGGACGGCGTACCCCAGCGCCGTGAAGGCCGACTCGGCCGGGGACAGGCGCACGGCGACCTCCTCGACGTCGCCGCCCGGGTGCGAGAAGACGGGCGAGGCCATCTCGGTCATCTCGCCGCGCAGCGAGCGCGCCATCTCGGCCCGGATCCGCTCGAGCGTCAGGCCCCTGAGCGCCAGCAGGTACGAGAGCTTGGTCAGCGCGCCCTCGGTGGTCAGGTCGTGGCCGAAGACGACGCCGGCGCGGCCGAGGGCCGTCCCCGGCGCGTAGAGCGGCGAGACGAAGCCGTTGGTGCACTGGCTGACGTTGACGACGACGACGCCCCGCTCGCAGGCCTGCCGGATGACCTTGGTCAGGCTGCCGTCGACGCCCCCGGGCGCGTTGCCCATGCCGAACGTCTCCAGGATCAGGCCCCTGAGGTTCGGCGCCCGGAACACGGCGTCCAGCATCTCGGGCATGATGCCGGGGAAGATGCGGAAGGCCGCGACGTGGGCGGTGTCTAGATACTTGGTGATGTTGAAGTGGGCGATGCGAGTCGGCCTCCGGACCAGGGACCAGTTCACGTCTACGCCCAAGCTTGTGACTTTGGCCAGAGGCTCGTAGTTGGGGCTGTCAAAGGCCTTGAAGGCCGAGGCGGACACCTTCGTCGTCCTGTTGCCGCGGAACAGGGTGTGATGGAAGAAAAGGCAGACCTCCGGGATGATGAAGGTGCCGGCGATGATGAGAGAGCCGAGCAGGTTGTCTACCGCGTCGGACTGGAGGGCGAAGATGGAGGCCTGGGAGCCAGTCAAGATGACAGGCTTCCCTAGGTCCGACATCATGAAAGACAGCGCTGAGGCCGTGTAGGCCAACGAGTCTGTGCCGTGAAGAACGACAAAGCCGTCATAGAGGTGATAGTTCTCCTTCACAGTGAGTGCGATCTCGGTCCAACCGGTAGAAGAGATGGAGCTCGAATCCAGAAGTGGTGAGAACTCCAGTATTCCGTATCGGATGTGGCGGGAGTACGCGCTCGGGGGTGTCCTCAAGCTCGGCAGGCTGATGCGCTCTCCATTCTTGTATGCTACTAGCTCAACTGGAGGAGAGGACGAGTCGTTGAAGGATGGCCTCGGCGCCATGGCGTTCTTGAGGAATCCCGTCATGGGGATCAAGCCATCGGCAGAAGGCTGCATACAGATGGTACCGCCGGTCATGATGATCAACACCCGGGATTCTGGGTAGTTGGAGGTGGGAAGGTCCCCCTCAACTGGTAGGTTCCCCATGGCGACTTGCACAGAGCGCGATGCAAAACCTTGAATACTCAATAAGAAATGCTTTCGTGATAGAGGTATATCGATATCAAATCAAGGCCTAGGTTCCGAAGGTCCTAATTTCTTAGAGCACGTTCTTTGACGAAGTTCTCCGTTGGTGAAAGAAATACAATGAAAGGACTGTTGTCTGTACCGCAGCGGTGTCTGTTGCTTTGTTGGGGTCCCGATGTGGTATAAATCGTATAAGAGGATTGATCACAAGCGGTCCACCGGCCTTGACGCTCACAAGAGATTTGACCGTCTTGGCGACTTTGCTTCACTGGGGTTTTAAGTACTTGGAAGTTTCTTTGAAAAGAAGCCTGCATCCACTCTTTTGGGTCGATTAGGTCGGAAAATGGCATCTCCAACACTAGGATTTCGTCACGACAAACTAAAAAAAATTCAGTTCAACGGCATCGCCCGACTGGGTTGACCGATTCAGACTCCACCGACGACGCCGGTTGCAGCGGGAGCTACCTGTTGTTCTGGCCCGAAGAGCCACAGAGCTAAGGCCAAACCCTCCGGTACTTGCGCGACTCGAGGGAAGAAATGGAAAAAGTGGCGATAACTATTACCCCATTGTAACTTCTACGGAGGTTGGTATTACCCCATTGTAACTCCCGTGGTCGAGGCAGGTGATACAAGGATCCGTGGGCCCTGCAAACTCTTAAGTAATGAGTTTGGGGCGGAGTGAGTTGTCTTGCAGATAACCAAAGCAAGTTTGATCTTAGATAGGATGAATTCATAGGCTGCCGGAAAAGCTCATTGTGTCGAAGCTGGACGCTATGCAAGATAAGGAGTTTCCAACCAGAGACTGACGGTGCCGTTCTAGGCAGCTACCTATAGGTAGGTAAGCAGCGCATCCGTGAGTGGTGCATAATCATAGCCCTTGAGTGCTGAAGGGAGTGTGTCAGTCGATTCTGTCTCGCCTCACATTCAATAACCCTTATCCGGCACGCTGCAGACCTTCAGAGCAGAAATCATATCAGAAACGAGGCTCTGGCAAGAGACAGGGCTCGCCAATGAGGAGCCCTGTCGTCCAGTCAAGAGTGGGTGATTCGCACTCAAGGACCAATCATCAAGGAATGGTAACTCGTATTATGGCAACTCCCCATCCCAAAAAAAGGCAGATAGTCAAGGGCAATACAAAGCGGTATCATACTCGCGCCGTGAGAATTCCCTTCAGAAAGCAGTCCCAGGCCGACGACCCCCAGAGAGCAATCCGTAGACTTCGGGGCAGGAAACCTGCATCGAGCCTATCATCGTCTGTTGGTATACCGTCTTGCAACTGCCACATCCGGTTCCTAACGGCTCCTGCTGCGCCGTCGACTACGTGACCTGTCGCGCCTCCTAGGCGGCGAGGCGCTCCTGTCCCGTCTCGAGCGACGACTGTCGCGATCCCGGTCTCGCGACCTGTCCCGCGACCGATCACGGACGCGATCTCTGTCCCTATCGTCACGATGGCGATCGCGGTCCCTGTCCCTATCTCTGTCTCTAGCCCGGTCTGCGTCTCGGTCACGTTCTCGGTAAGAAGTCCTCTCACGGCGCGGGCTGCGACTGCGGCTCCTCGTCCGATCACGCCGTCTCCCTCTGTCTCTGTCCCGGTCGCGGTCTCGATCCCGATCCCGATCCCTCTCATGGTCCCTTGAGCGATCACGGTCTCGGTCACGATCCCGCTCTCTCGACCGGTCCCTCGGCCGGTCGCCAGTAACGTGCCGGTCGATAGTACGAGTCTTGCGGTCCGCCGGGACGTACCGGTCAATCTCTTCCGGCTTGGTGGATCGCCTGACCTCAGAGGACTGGTCGTCGCCGGCCGGACGCTTGTCATCGATGCCGGGGATCGGCATGCCCTTCTCGCGAGCCTCGCGCTGTGCGGCCAAATAAGCCTTGGCCTCCTTCTCACGCTCCTTGACTTGCTCCTGCTTCCAGGCCTCCTTCTCGTCCTTGTCCAGCCGCGAGGGCGGGCGGACGTACTCCGCTCGCGACCTCGACCTGCTCCTCCGGTCCCGACTCCTGTCGCGTCGTTCGCTGACTCGCCTATCCGAGTCTCGCCGATCAGGCTCTCGTCGCAAAGACTCGCGCCTGTCAGACCTATTCTTCGACTTGCTCCGGTCTCGCTTCTCGCGGGGCGACCTGCTCCTGTCCCTCCTGGCCGCACGTTCCCGATCTCGCGAGGAACTCCGCTCTCTCCTGTCAGTAGCCCTCCTAGAGCGGCTCCTCTCACGGCGGTCCGCTCGCGCTCTCGAACGGCTGCGGTCTCGCCTCTCCGTTCTCGCTCGAGACGTGCTTCGCTCTCGTCGATCATCTCTCCTGTCGTCACGGCGGTCCGTCCTGGCTCGGGACCGGCTCCGATCTCTACGTTCGTCCCGTTTGTCGGATCGATAGCGGGATCGGGACCGTTCTCGGCGTTCTCGATCATCGTGCCTACGGGATGGGGATCGGTGCCGTCTCCGATCGTCCGCATGACTGTGGCGGCTCCGTTCTCTTTCCCGAGGCCGCTCTTTGTCTCGATGGCTGTCCCGGTCGCGATCCTTGTCCCGCTCTGAGCCCTTGTCAAGATGACGAGAACGTTCACGACTCTTTGGCCGTCGACTTTCCTCTCTCGATTTTGTCGTAGTCGTCTCTTTAATGGCTTCAGAGCTATCTCCTTCATCTTTTGAACCGGTCCTGGCCTTGCTCAGGCTGGTTTCTGGCTTTAGGCTGCTCTTTTCGGACGCTTTGCGGATTGGCTGGATCGCCGACGCGGGCTTCGTCTTGCGTGGCGGTGGTGCTAGGGTTTCATCGATCTCCATCTCGGGTTGCTTCTGCGAACCGCGCTTGCTCTCCCGTAAGAGATCTTCCATGGCCAGCTCCTCCAGTCGCGCAAGCTCCTCCTTCGATAGCTCCTTCTTGGTCTCGTCCGGACGACGACTTCGGCTGCCGTCGCGATCTCTGCGATGTCGGCTGTCCCTCCGATCACGATCGCGATCCCGAGAGTAATGGCGGCGTTCCCGACTGCGGCTACGATCACGCGAGCGGCGGCGTTCCCTGTCGCGCTCTCTCTCCCGTTCACGTCGCTCGCGGCTACGCTCCCGCTCCTTCTCCCTCTCGCGGCGTCGCTCCTCCCTCTCTTTCTCCCTCTGTTCTTCCCGTTCGCGCTGCTCTTTCCTTCTGGCCTCGCGCGCGGCACGCTCCTCCTCACGCCTCTTCGTCTCCTCCTTCTCGCGGATTTCCCGCTGCAGTCTCTGCTTCTCTTCTTCGATCTTCCGGAGGTCCTCCCGGACTTTCTCCCTTTCTTGCTGTCGGGCGGCGGTCTCTGCAGCGTACTCTTCGTCCGTCTTGGCGCCTTTCTTGCGCTCCTCCTCAGCGACTTCGTCGCCCACTTCCGCGCGCCGCAGCTCCCGAATGTGCGCTTCGATGGCAGCAGAATCTATCAGGCCTTCGATAACGTCCTGAGCTTTCTGGTAGACGCCGCTCCTGTCCAGCGCACCGTCGATGAGAGCGGCGGCTTTGCCGCGGTCGAGAGTGAGAAGCTGAGAAGGGTTGCGCTCGATCTCTTCTTCGGCGACCTCTAGTATCGACTTGGTGACCTGTGCTTCATAGTCCTGTAATTCCCAAATCGTCAGTATACACGTGTAGCCATAATTCAGACAAGTCGTGGCAGCAGCAGCAACAACAACAACAACAACCAACAAAGGAGATAGCCAAACACGTACACTAGCCTCGAATTTGTCCCAAACCTGCTTGCGGATGGCATCGTATCCCCCCTTCTTCTTGAACGAGTGTGCCAGCCCCTCGATTGCAGACCGCACCGCAGAGGTCAGGGGCAGGTCGGACGCCTTGAACTTTCTAGGCGCAGGCGCACTTGCAGCAGACGCAGCTGCAGGGGCCGCGGGTGGCTCTTGTGCCTCGAGCGAAGGCATGGTTGTAGCTGGAGCAGGAGCAGCAGGGACCGCCATCGACGCGGCGAATTGCACACGCGCGCGTGGTCTTTGGGGTTACGTCTGGCGTCGGTACGTTCCCGTCATGCAGGTGGCCCAGAACTGACGAGAGGAGTGTAGAAAGATGAACAAGCACAATTCGATTCCCCCGAGCTGGGAGATATTTCACGGAAGCCAAGCCAAGGACTGATGTTTGATTGCCGCAACACGGGCTTTCTTTTCGAAATAGCCGTTGTGCTTGGACGGACGGATGAGGGAGGGGATTAACATCCAGTGGACCTGTAGCATGCAGGCCAGCAAACGCGACAAGCTGCATGCGGGAAGACGTGAAGTCCAGGGTCCCGCTAAAAAGTGCCAGTGGCTTTGATGGGTGATCCTTGCCCCCTGTATCCACTGAAATACAGCATGCTATTTCGTCTGTCGTCGACAGCAAATCAACTCGATCAACGAGGGGCCCCACTTTGGCACACAGAGTTGCCGGCTGGACAAACTTCTCTTCCGAGGACGTCGACCAATCCGAGGCCGCCTGATATTGATGTGACATTGAATTCCCGACGAGAGTGGATGCTCACAAGCACGACCTTCACTTGGAGATAGCTTCATCAACTCACGCATTCTCTACGGGGTATCGACCGCCAATCTCTCGAACCAGGGCGTCACAACACACTCTCATTCGGGAAGGACCACACGAGCACCGTCCTCTACATCCTATTCACGGCGCGCCCGGCAACTTCGTACTCTCACAATGGTCTCAAGAGTTCTCTTCTGGTCCGGCTTCGGTACGTGCCCCCCATTCGACGACGGCGACTGCTCTGCACGTCCCGTGAGATCCGCGGCGGATCAATTGGATCATGGAATGATCTAAGGTTCACTTGGTAAATTATGCTGACCGGAGCCGCAGGCATCGCCGTGCGAGCATGGCAGCTCGGCCTCGAGATGCGACCCCTCTTCAACAAGAGCTCACTATGGGCCTATCCCGTCTTCGCTGCATGCGGCGCGAGCTTCGGTTACTACATGCAGGGCGTCGATGACCGCCAGTCAGCAATCCTGGAGGAACGAAAGCGGGCTATCCTGGAGAAGAGGGCGAGGAGGGCGCTGAGGGAGGGCGAGACTGCTACCGCATAGACGGCAGGAAAGGAAGGAAGAAGGAAGCAGGCAGTCAGAATTGTACATTTGCCCCTTGTACTGTCGGATATAGTGTCACAGCATTCAAGACCATATCATCGGTATTTCTGCAGAGCCATATCATTCCATTGGACAAAGTGCTAGTATGATGGTACATGAGACAGACGGCCCAACACCTTAGGAACCGTCAATTACCCGAAGAACGCCAATGAAAAGTGAAACTCCAAGTCTCCAGTCCAGATGCTTTTGTATCAAATCGCAGTAGGCTCTCTCGTTGATTAGCGGAAAGCATGCCTGCCCGACTTCTAGTTGGGGTCTTCTTGCTTCCGCAATATGGCGAGGATGGCCGTGGCTGGGGCATCACCAGTAATGGTCTCGTACTCGGTGACAACGACATTCAGAAACTTGTCGCGGGTGGTATCAAATAGCAGGCGGAATGACTCCTCGGTGCACCTCTCAGGGTCGATCTCGTTATACATTCCAGAGTCGGTAGCCACACGCTCGCGGTCAAAGTTGATCGTCTCGCATAGAGCGATCACGGGGAGGTTGGCCGCTTGTGCTGCCAGCGCAACGTCGCTGGTGCCAGCCGGGCCGTAGAGTGAGCCGTTGGCAAAGACTGCCTCGGCTCCGATCATGACTTTGGTAGCGTGCTGGAGGTGGCAGGAAACGCCTCCCAGTTGCGGATAGTAGGATACCCGGATGCCCTGCTGGCGTAGTGACTTGGCCATGGCCTGGCCAGTGCGGTCGCAAGGATCGTCGAGGATGGCAACCTCAAAGGTCTTGCCGTCCGCCCACGCCTGCTCTAGAGCCTTGCCCACTAGCCTCGCACCGCCATAAGTGAGGATATGATCGCCTTGGATGATCATGTCTGCCGCGTTCCTCGCAATGATCACTTCTGCGTAGTAAATCCTCTCCTGAATAAACCCCTCGATGGACTCGCAGAGCGTCTTGATTGCCTCCTCGTCTGACGTATCGGGATCGAGCTTGGAGATCCTAGCTTTGAGAAGACGGATAGCATTTCCCATAGCGAAGCACATGGGCCTGCACTCGGTCAGATACTCGATCTGAGGGTTCAAGACGTGGGGTACAAAATGGCGAGAAAAAGCGCTGCTGGGAGGAGCCTCATATGATTCAAGCACCTGGACGACTTGTTAGCAAAATGTTCCGCTCTCGAATGTCCGATATCGATCATGCTGACCTTCTTGAATGCATTGAGAGTCGCTTCCAGCCTTCGAATGTTGTCTCGTAGCGTAAACGTCGCCATTTGCTGCCCAACTGCCAGCACCACAGGGTGCACATCCTTATCCGCCTGCGAGAGCGGGATCCTCTTGGCCATCGGCAGGTGGCTGAAGCATTCCGGAATCAAGTCTCTCGGGTCCTTCTCCTTCAGAGGTGCAGGGATTACCACGGTGGGCTTTGCGCCCACACCAGATGGGCGCCGTGCAGCTGGCTTTCCTCCTCCTGCCTCGGGCTTGCCCTTGGGTTTCGCGCCGCCTTTGTTCGCACCTCCGGCCTGCGCGGCGCCTCCGGGAGGGACAGCGCCGCCGGGAGCCGCCGCCGCTTTCTCTGTCTTTGCCTGAATTGCTTGTGCCCTTCTCGCTGCCTTTTCGGCTTGCTTCTTCGCCTTGAGCTCGGCTCCCGTAAGCTTCTTTGCTGGTTGCGCCGCTGAGTCCTGGCCCGGGGCAGCAGCAGGTTGTGGTGTAGATGCGCTCGGTGCATTTGCAGTCGGTGCAGGCGCTGCCACGGCGGGCGCGGTCGATGCAGGGGCCGTACTTGTCTCGGCCGTCATTTTGGGGGTTGTTTCGTTGCTGGAGAAGCTGTGGTGTTGCGGCAATGGCACCTCTTGCACTTTCAGTTTACGTCGCCCATGAATTGAGTCACAGATTATTCGTCCTGATTAGGAGCAAGATTAGAGTAGGCACACTAGGTACGCAAGAAAAAAAGTGCCCCGCACTAATAGTAGGCCAAGCGCCAAAAGATGGACCGCTTGGGGCACTGAGTCCAGTGGGTTGCAGCGGGCCGCATGTCCTAAGGCTCAGCCGCATCAGGGGTCCCAGTGCTGGCAGTTCGTCACCAACTTTGCGATCTGGTAGTCTTGATGTTAAACGCAGCCCATATTGCTCTGTAAATCACAGGTTTACACATTATTGTGACTATCGACACATATGTAATATTACAAGTTTTTATTGGCTCTTTGAACCTTGTCCTTGACATCTGGACTAGTTGGCCTCGGCTTCCTGCTGTACACCCCCAGCCGGGCCCTCGAGGAACAGCCGCAAAGTGCTCAATATTTGCCCATCCATCACCTTGCTCTCCTTGGCCCCGGGCACTTCCCCCATCGTCTCTTTGACTCTGTCCACCACTCCCTGGGCCTCGTCCTGGCTCGGCTTCTTCTTCTTGCCCTTCTTGTTCAGCAGGATGACCTCCACCTTGAGTCCCTTCTCCAGGAAGGTGCGCAGCTGCTTGAGCCGGTGGTCCAGGTCGTGCGAGTCGATCCCCCAGTTGAGCTCCATCTCCTTGGTCTGCACGGCCTTCTTGCGCTGCTCCTTCTGCTTCTCCGCGGCGGCCTTCTGCTCCGCCCTCTTGTCGACGACCTTGCAGACCGGGTACCGTGGGCCATTGCCGGCACCGGTCTTTGGGAGAGCGAGCACGACGAGCGATTCTATGCGCCTGTTGAGCCCCGCGAGCACTGACTTCGTCGGAGTGGGTTCCGAGAGCCGCCCGTCCTCTTCTCGGACCTGGACGAGCCGGTAGGTGATGTCCTCGTCCCGGGGAAGTTGCTTTGCTGTTTTCGCGTCGCCGGCGCCTTTCCCTTTTGACGGGTATCTAAACGTCCGCACCTGTGTCGCAATCGATAATGACGGCAAGAACATGCTCGACAGTTGCGTGCTGGACGACCCAGCCCGCTCCACAGCATGGTTGAAGAACACCCTTCGGAGGGCGAGTGCCGAGTTGAAGGCGTGTTGGTGAGCGCGCATGGTGAAAAGAACGACTGGGGGACCTCCTAAACACTTCCTTCACTGTGTTCCGGTTCCGTCCTGGCGACCAATATATTCTGACTCCATCAGCCACGATCGAGGTTACGGATCCTTGGAAGAGGAGTCGTGGTGATCCTTGAGTTTGAAGAGATCAGAGCTTCCTAGGTCCGTGCACATGTGACTAAGCGCCTAATTGGGCGGCAACTCTACAAGCCTGGGGTGGTGCTATCTTATCGACAAGCTTTATCAAGCATCATCTCCAAGCACATCAGACCAGACAATATCACCTTGTAGAGCTTCCAACTCAGAACCCCCAAGAGCCATCTCTGGCTCGCGCAAGATGCCGTCACCTTCATAAAGCCCCCATGCATCCACGGCCCACTACACACCAAGACCACAGATGCCGCTCCCGCGCTTCGCAGCGACCTACCTCGGCCACCCGTGGCGATGGACCCTGCTGACGGCCAAGACGCTGGCCTTCGTCCACTGCTTCGTGACGTACGGCTACAGCCTCGGCCCCGCCTACGGCCCGTCCATGCTGCCCACGTTCGAGGTCCTGAGCGAGTGGCTGCTCATCTCCAAGCGGCACAGGAACGGCCGTAACCTGAGCGTCGGCGACCTCGTGGTCTACAAGATCCCCATCGAGCCCAACGCCGACGGCATCAAGCGCGTGCTGGGCCTGCCCGGCGACTACGTCCTCATCAACTCGCCCGAGAGTGAGAGGGACACCATGATCCAGGTGAGTAGATAGACTTGCCCGTAGCCCATTCAAAAGGTGCGAGTAAACAGGCCAGAAGACTTACAGCCGGGGAGTAGGTACCGGAGGGTCATTGCTGGCTGGTGGGAGACAACTTGCCAGCGTCTCGCGACTCGCGAACCTTCGGACCTGTGCCGATGGGACTTATCAGGGGCAAAGTCATTGCAAAAACATGGCCCTTGTGGGACTTCAAATGGATTGAGAATCCTATGAAGCCCCCGCCGCCGTCATGATCCTCACCTTACATGTACTATACTGTCAATTATCAAATGCGCCAAGGGCTGTAAGCGACCTAGCAGCTCATGAATGTTCGGGTTTGTATTATATTTGTTATGACAGAATCGGGTCTCAAGAGGAAGTGCCGTTACTCAAGCTGTGACGGCCAAGATGCAGAAGACAAAGAATTTGGCCACAATGTGCCGGGGCCCTTGGGAGAAACATACAACAGAAGTTACCTGTCTATCAGGCATTCTCAGTACAAGGTCATCCCGTTTCAGGGTATGCGAAAACAAAATGTCTAAACCCGTCCGCAAAAAGATGGCTTGTGCCAAAGATGCTTCCCATGAACAACACTAGTAAAAATGAATAGACCAACGTGACTGGTATAAGCGACTCGTGCCTCCACCCGTATATAGCTCGTACGCCTTAAACTCCACGCCGTTCCCATGTCCAGGAAGAATGCAGTTGACAGCCTTTCGTATGAAAGAGAATATAGGAAATAGTTGGGCTCGATAGCCCGGTGGTCAGGGTGCCCTCAAGGGTTAACCCTCGATATGAGTCTTCTCTGAAGTCTGCCCTAGCAGCTCGAGACAGCGTTGGGCAAGGTTCACCACCTCACCCTCGTCGTCCTCCTCAAATTCGTTGTCGTATTCGACGGGCCGAGTAGCGATCTGCTTGATCATGTTGACGATATCTTCGGACTGAGCAATCAAGCTCATGAGCTTTTTGTCCTCTGACTCGAGGAGTTGAAGCAGAGTCCAGATGGCGATGTGCTGGAACGTTGCATCGCCGCTATCGAGGAATCGACTCAGATAGCCGTGGATACCGCCGTGGGGCTCGAGCCAGTCCTGAATGAAGATCGAGTAGTCACCGACTGGATGCAGAGTTAGCGACGAACAGGGAGAGAGACAGGGAGAGATGTTTGTACCTTTAGAGGACAGGTTGCCGAGAGCGGCAGCGCTGTTACCCTGTACCTCGATGCTCGGTGACTGGGTCAAGGGAATGAGACAATCGAAAACGCCCAGACTGAGGAGGTGCGTCTTGAGCTCGTCACTAAGAGCCAAAACAGCAATGGCCGCAGTCATCTCTGACTGGACCGTTACTGGAACGTCGAGAACGAGCTGCTTGCATTTCTGGACCGCGCCGGCTTCAAGAACCAAGGCCTTGTTCCGATCCGAGCTGGCTGCGAGGTTTCGGAGGGTGGAGATGGCATGGCATTGTATCTCTTCGTTATCCGTAGACCCGAGCAGCTCGACCAGAGGTTTCAGGAAGCCGGCTTCGATAATTGGAGATTCGTTGAGAGGGTGGATAGAGATATTTCGTATGCAGGCAACAGCGGACAGAATGAGCGGCAGGTAGGAGGACTGAAGCAGACGTAGGAGAGGGCCCAGACCCTGGGCCCGGACGATATCTAGTTGATATTTCTCATCGGAAGCTAGGTTTCGGAGCGCAAGCGCAGCTTGACATTGCACCTTGGGAGATGACGAATCCATGAGGTTAACAAGAGACTGGACGAGCTTGGGCTCGGTTTGCGAGAGCTTCCTTCGGTTATTGGCGTCGACGGCAATGTTGCTGAGAGCAGTGGTGCAATAGTACTGAACATCGACATCTGGGGAGGAGAGGAGCTGGACCAGAACAGGAATGGCACCTGCATTAACAAGTTGCTGGCGATTCTCGTCTACTCATATGTCAGCCCGGCAATCCCTTTGTAGATACCGTCATCAAAATCCTCTTACCAGAGTGTGTCATGTTCAAAAGGGCCCCCGTCGCGTTCCTTTGCACTCGCATGTCTCGAGACTTTGCAAGGCGAGTCAGAGGGCCAAGTGCGCCGGATCGGGCGATCTTGGCCTTGTTCTCTTCGTGGGTTGCTAGGTTGGTGATGCATCCGACGGCGTTGCATTGGACTTCGACGTTGGGAGAGAGCATCTGCCGGATAAGCGGTGTCAGGCCACCCAACTGTACGATAAGGACCTTGTTTTCGGCTGCAAAGGGTGTTAGCGAAACGCAATGTCTGCAACATTCGGTACCGCGACATACTATTGACGGCGAGGTTGCCGAGAGCTGCACTGGCCGCCCTCTGAACTTCGATATCGGGATTCTGCAGGAGAAACAGAATAGGCTCAAGCGTGTCCCTGTCAACCTCCCTCACATCTACGACGGATGCTTGTCAGTCATGCTATGCCAGAGACGAGTATGGTCGTCTATGCAAGGCAACGAACCTCTCTCTGTGATCTCCGCAAACGTCAGACTTGCGCTGCGCTGAAGGTCGATGTTGTCGGAGAAGACCAGGGTGCTCAGAGCTCGTAAGGGTTCGCCGGAAAAGAAGTCGGTCTCGCCACGCTGTGGATTGTCATTAGCCCACTGTCCGTCACAGGGAGGAGCCTGGAATCAAACAAACATTCTCGAGATATTGGAGAAGGTCTGCCACAGCTTCCCGCTCATTGTCGGCGAGGACTGGCTCGTAAAGGCCATCGCGAGACTTGGCTATAGCAGCTGTCAGTGGCTGCATCAGAGAGCCAGGGATGGAACCTCGCAAGGTCAGAGTGCCATACCTCCACAGCAGGAAGAGGAGCAGATACCCATCGCGACCTCGCTCAAGATATACTGAATTTGATACCGGGGATGTATAGGCTCGCGTGTGACACAGTGGCTATGCGGTGCTGGCTTGCGGCAAGGCGGTCGTGAAGCTGGAGATGGGCAGCAATGCTTATTTACGGTCTGATTTGCCGGCGGGCAAAGGCTGCGCGCCAAAAGCTATGCTGGGCGGAAGAAGCTTGTTTGTGGAAATAGATCGCTGATACGGCCAGCAGCCGCTTGCTGTTGGCGATGTTCGGTTGTGGACAGGGGTCAGGGAACGGTTGAGCTCATTGTTGTTTTGATGCGGCATGGAGTTGAGGCGGATGCTTTTGGAGGACAGGGCAGGATAAGAACGGGAACGGGCACACCTCATCACGGTCATTCGAAGCTGCCTCGCTTGCATGGGCCGGAAACTTGGGGCAACCAAGGACCGTGCACCTGCCCGCCTTCACCTTTTCTGCAGGGTTGCTTTTGGGACTACAAGTACAAGTACCGTGTGGAGGGTGGGGCCGGACTCAGGGAGTACCTGCTCACTCATTAACCCCCTCCCTTTCCGTTCCGCCAGCGCACCTCACAGCACTGGCTGCCCTGGCGCATTCACTTCATAGGGATGCCAGGAGCTAGGTACATGCTGTACGAGGTCCTCATCAACGCCAATCCTCAAAAGGTCTGCGTCACATGCAGCGATCCCTCAAAGGGACCAATACACCACGGCAAGGTACCTTGCCGTAACTCAACGACCATCCCATCCTGACCAACATGCCAAATCACTAACACGAGGCCGCCTGTTGGCCAGTAGGGTGCCCATGCCCAGATTTGGACGTCACGCATACCCCCAAAGGAACGCGCGACTCCCAGCACCTGGCGCTAAATCCCTGGGTCCTCATGCCAGAGCGCGGTCCCTGGATTCATTGAATAAGTAAGGTACCTTAGATACCTAGGTTACCTAGGTAGGGAGCCTAGGGCTGGTAGGACAGGACCGCGAGTGCATATCACATTCCTGAGCTCGCTGTTCCCGTCTTGCAAAGGCTCCACGCAATGGTGACCTCGTTTGCGTTCGCCTGCCCCCAAGACTGATAATTGTTGAAGGCAGATCTCTTGCTGAGTACATGTATGTAGGGCGGTGCGAAAGCCAACCTCTTTTTGGCCACGACACCCTTTCGAGGGTTTCTGAACAACTACCTTAGACGAGCACCATAAGTAAGGTGGGTAGGTAGATCACAAGAACCTCGCACAGGCATACGCTCCGACGGATGTGTGGCTGAGGAACCAGTTGACGTCCTGAAATCCGGTGGGTGACAGGCGCCTCCGCAACGTGCTGGGTTAGACACGCATCATCCACGTTCGACACCTGAGTTGGGCGTTTTGCCTGCGACGGCGTGAAGTGTATGGCCTGGGTGTGTGGCTGCGTCGACTGTAGATGATGCCAGGTCGAGATCGAGATGTCACAAAATCAGGCTTTCGCCAAACCTGAACGACTCGAGAGGTCTGCCTGTGCGCAAGCTTGCTGCACCTTTGTCGATCAATGTCAAAGTCGGCTTGGGATGTACAGTAAAAAAAAAACAAATGTCGAGGCACCCAACAGACCCGCAGAATAGAGTGTGCCGGCAATACCAGAAGCAGCCGTGTCTCTGAGTGAGAAGGTTCCTCATATCGCTCGCACTGATAGCAGAGACCCAGCGAGCGAGGCTTATCTACTAACTCGGGAGGTCAATAGCCTTGATTTGGTGTTGGCGAGCAAGCAGATCCCCAGTTTACTTTAGGTAGAAGTCAATGCCAATCGCTCCATTCTTTCGTTTAAATTTCCCCGCCAAAGCTGCTCCCATCTCGCACTCTCTACTGCTTTTCGCGCAGAGTTTCCATCGGCACACGCACACGAAGCAAGCGGCGCTTCCCAATGAGTGTTCTGTTTTCGCCCTAAGAGATGGAGGACGTCCACGCTTCGGCCGCCGCCGCCGCCAAGGCCAATCCCGACGACAGGCAGGGCGCGGGGTCACAAGTTCCATCCGTCGCTGCGAGACATGTTGGTCACGAGCTTCCCTTCGTAGCTCCCTCGTCATACCTGCGCCCAAGGCCAAACACTCGCGCCATGCCCGAGGCTCAGCCCAAGCCCATGAGCCCGCTCGACAAGGAGCAGATGCAAGGACTGGTAAGCCCATGCCCTTGTCCCTCGTCTTTTTGCGGCCGACCTCTCTTGCCTGTCGGCTCAGTTCCCGTCTCCGACCACGGCTGCCGGCAGCCCTTTGGCCCAACCGGAGCGGGGTATCGCAAGATTGGTCAGAGGCGCAAAGCTGCGCAAAGCTGGGCAGACGGATCGCGGACCAGTTCTAACGCGCTTTGCAGAGACAAATTCGGGATTTCCTCAAAGTTCGAACAAGTTACGATGTTCTCCCGCTCTCCTTCAGACTCATCATCCTTGACAACGACCTTCTTATCAAAAGAAGCCTCAATATCTTGATCCAGAACAGTACGACGCCCGATGCACGGCTCTTGGGGCCTGACGCAGAAGCTGACCGAACTGCCTCTCTAGACATCGTCTCTGCTCCCATCTGGGACTCGCACAATTCGACCTTTGCCGGTCTTCTCACGAGTACCGATTACATCAATGTGATCCAATACTACTGCCAATTTCCCGATCAGCTCAATCAGATCGAGGACTTCCGCCTCAATAGGCTTCGAGGTAAAGAAGACCCCTCATGTCCTCAATATGGTTTGTGCACAAGCATCTAACACTGCGGTCTCTTCACTAGATATCGAGAAGGCTATCGGTGTTGTGCCCCTAGAGACTCTGTCCGTTCACCCGATGCAGCCGCTCTACGAGGCATGTCGACAGATGCTCAAGACCAGAGCCCGGCGTATACCCCTCATCGACGTCGACGATGAGACTGGCAGGCAGACAGTCGTCAGTGTGATCACGCAATACCGCATCCTCAAGTTCATTGCCGTCAACAACGAGAACAACACCGTCATGCTGAAGAAGACCGTCAGAGAGATCAGCTTGGGCACATATACAGACCTCGCGACGGCACGGATGGGCAACACGGTCCTCGACGTCATTCATCTGATGGTCGAGCGCAACATCTCGGCCGTGCCCATTGTAGACAAGGAGAACAGAGTTCGCAACGTCTTCGAGGCCGTTGATGTCATCCCCTGCATCAAGGGTGGCGTCTACGACGAGCTCGAATCAAGCGTTGGCGATGCTCTCTCAAAACGGGCGGACGACTTCCCTGGCATCTATACCTGCACTGAAGAAGATCGGCTCGACTCCATCTTTGACACCGTGCGCAAGTCGCGCGTCCACCGCCTCATTGTCGTCGACAATGAGAGTCATCTCAAAGGCATGATCTCGCTCTCGGATATTCTGAAATACGTTTTACTGCATGGCGAGGAAGATGAACATGCCTAGATGGTAGGATGGCGGTCTCTGAAATCTTGGGAGAGGGGCATTCGAGACTTCGAGAGGTTCAGCATGGCTTGGGTTTTTGATAATGGAATGATTTAGCATTTGCGAGGCGTCTAGGCCGGGATGGCAGGTGATGGAATACCATGGGCCTGTACATGGTTGTTTGAATCTGATTTTTCGGTAATCTATAGATCCATCCGTTCGGATGAGTGAGGATGGGGAGAGTGTAGAGATTCAGTACTTCTGGGTTAGATGGACGGACACCACATTCAAGACACTCGTACTTTTACGATTCTGCATCAATGGGCCGCCCGCGTACATTCTTATTCTTACTGTGCCGATTGCTACCCAAAGCAGACGATCGACATTGAGCCTGGAGGTCCTCTAAGATGGATATCGGGAACCTTAGCTGAAGGATTCACGCTGTACGACATCAATTGGGGCCTGTTCAGCCGCCCAGTCCACTGCGGGCTAGGTGCGGCACGCTAATGCAGTGCTAGTCGAGCACCCCCCCAGCCACGGTGACTTCACAAAATTTATGGGACAGACATGCTATCAGTCAATCTTTTAAAGATCTCTCTCGTCCTACAGCTTCTTCAGCGAACAAATTTCCCGCAAAAGCGGCAGTTCTTCCTCTGCCTGCCTCTCTCAATCAGCTAGCACGACGCATCTGCCCGAAGGGCTGCCACCAAAAGATGCCGCCCAAAATGACAGCCAACCCGGTGAGGCCGGCGCGGTACCGCGCCGGCAAGCCGACGGGCGCAGAGTCCTCCTCTTCCGAGTCCGAAGTGAGCGACGACGAGGCCGCCGCCCAGCAGACGAGACCCAAGCCCCGCAGGACCGCGCCCGCCCCCGCGCCCAGGCAGACGGCCGGCAAGATCATCAGCACCGGCGCCTCCCTGGGCAAGCTCGACCTGGGCCAGCGGCGGCAGCAGGCCGAGGAGGACGAGAGGGCGCGCCGGGCGCGCGTCGAGATGGAGCGCCGGGCCGCGGAGGAAGGGTTCGTCACCGAGTCTGAGGGGGAGGAGGGCGATGGGAGACAGAAGGCTGGTGCTGGTGGTGGTGCTGGTGGATCTAGGGAAGAAGAGGAGGAGAGCGAGGGAGAGGAGAGCTCGGAAGTAGAGGAGAGCAGCAGCGAGGACGAGGCGCCGAGGCGGATCATGGCCAAGCCCAAGTTCATCAGCCGGGCGCAGCGCGACGCCGGCGCCGGAGCTGCAGCCCAGCCACAGCGGTCGAGGGACGCGGATGCCGAAGCCAGGCGGCGCGAGGCCGAGGAGGCCGAGGCCGAGGCGCGGCGCAAGGCGGCGGCGGACGAGCTGGTCGAGGAGCAGATCCGCAAGGACCTCGCGGCGCGGGCGGCGGGCAGGAAGCATTGGGAGGACGACGAGGACGCCGACGCGGCCGGCGACGACGTGGACACCGAGGACGACGTGGACCCGGAGGCCGAGTACGCGGCGTGGAAGCTGCGCGAGCTGCGGCGCATCAAGCGCCACCGCGAGCGCATCGAGGCCAAGGAGCGCGAGCTCGCCGAGGTCGAGCGCCGGCGCAACCTGACCGAGGAGGAGCGCCGGGCCGAGGACGAGGCCCACCTCGCCCGCCAGCGCGAGGAGAAGGACTCGCGGGGCAAGATGGCCTACATGCAAAAGTACTTCCACAAGGGCGCCTTCTACCAGGACCAGGCCGAGGCCGAGGGGCTGGCCGGGCGGGACATCATGGGCGCGCGGTTCCAGGACGACATCCGGAACCGCGAGCTGCTGCCCCAGGCGCTGCAGCTGCGCGACATGACCAAGCTGGGCAAGAGGGGCGCGAGCAAGTACAAGGACCTCAAGAGCGAGGACACGGGCCGGTGGGGCGAGTTCGGGGACACGAGGCCCGGCAGGGGCGGCGGCGGCTTCGACAGGTACGGGGACGACAGGTTCAAGCCGGACTTTGAGCGCGGCGGCGGCGGGAGCCGGAGCGGGCAGGGGGCGAATGCCATACCCCTGGGTGACAGGAAGCGGGATGACGACTCGCGGAGAGATAGGGACAGGGACAGGGACAGGGACAGCTACCGCCGGCGGGATGACAGCCGCGACAGGCGGAGGTCGCGGTCCAGGTCGAGGTCGCGGTCTCCCAGGCAAGATCGACAACGGGACGAATACAGAGACCGCAGGAAGAGGTCTTCATCACGCGAGCACGACCGCCAGGACGCCGACAAGAGGCGGAAGGTCGAAGCATAGTTTGAGACATACGCTCAGCAATCACGGCTGTCACGCCAGTATGCATGCCATGTATGGCAGATTACATGAATGGAAACCTTTGATACCCAAACTCCCCGGTCGCCTGCCTCTGTAGCCCGGCCGATTAATGGTGTTCATCCCGCTCGTGACACATATGAGTACATTATGTTTCTTCAGATTCTTGTGATCTCCACCCTCGCCCTCTCATATACCATGTGTCCCAACATGCCCCCGGCCTGTTCAGTCCCAGACGTCGAGGGCGGGTAGAGCGTCATGCGTGCGTACGTCCCAGGACCCCTCCGCTTCGACAGATAGCCGGGATTAATGATGAGCACACTTTCAACAACCTGCACAATGCGATGGATTAGTCTATGGAGTCTGAAAAGTGTTTGGAATACTGCATTAGATGGAATGCATACCTTTGCAAATGGGGGCAAGATGCTGGGCATGATCAGCACGTCCGGCCGGACATTGACCATTTCTCCTAGCTTCAGGTAGCTCAGATCGAGCATGGCACCCGTCGCCACGCCCTCGGGCGTGCCTGTCTTGGGCAGCTTCTGCCTGTCTGTGGGCGGGAACAAGGGGAAGTAATGCCTCTGCTCGATCAGATAGCGGCTGAGCCGCTCAAAGATGTTGGGAGACATGATCTTGCCACCAACGAGCTCCTCGGCCCGCAGCTCGTAGAGAACATCCTGCGACGATATGCCAAGGAGCATCTCGTTCATCGACAAGGTCATTGGGTTGCCGATGATCTTGGCGGCCTTTGGCAGCCCGAGCTCTTTCTTCGAGAAGGCGTCTTGCGGCCATGAGACGTGCTTATCAATGATGTCACGTACAGAAGGGACAAGAAGGATGGTCATGGAAGGGTTGGCAGCAGCGAGGCGGTTGATGGCTGGAGAGAACATGTACTTGAATACGGTCGACATGGTTGCCGTATCTGGCTCCACCACGGCGTCGTCAGGCAGATCAAAGTCGCCCGTGGCGATGAGCGGGTGGTCCACGTCAATAAACGGGCCAGTCAGAACCAAGGCGTCGGCATAAGTGTCAGCTGCATGATCACAGAGAGCGTGCAGCGGTTCGAAGTCCAGGTTGTCGTCGGCCGTGTAGGGGCCTGCTGCGAAGATGACGTTGAGGGGCATCGGATCAGAGTCAGAGTCCATCGCATCGGGGTCACCTCTGAGCCTTTCGCGGTGCATCTCGAGGGTTGCGGGGGTTGAGGCTGCGTTGGGCAGGAGCGGCACCTCCAGGATCTCGGTAACGTTGAACGAATGCCCTGAAGCATTGGTCCCGCGAAGGGCGACAATCTGGCCTGGGAAGAGCTGAAAGCCTCGCAGCTTGTTAAGATCGAGGGGCACTCGCAGTCCACTGCCCATCCTCCTTGATGTCTCCAAGACCACGGATGCAGCGTTCAACTTGCCCTCCGGCGAGTCTGATGCAATTCGGCCGACAGCAACTACCTCGGACGTGCTCTGGCTCGCTGCACTACCGAAAGCCGAGTCGTCCAATTTGTGATGCTCCATAACCAGATTCTGAAACTCGTCTATCCTGTCGTCGAGGATCTCTGAGGTTTCGGACAACTTCATGGCGAGAGGTTTGTATGCGAGTTTCTTTTGGTCGGAAGCAGCAGTGAGCTTGATCCGTGACTCGCCAAATGGTGCAATGGGCGGCTCAGCAGGGGGTAGAGTATCGTTCAAGACTTCAATAACTTCGCCGGCGTTCTTGCGGTCAACAAACGAGGATGGGCTATATTTTGGTTAGTCGGGAAAACACGGACACGCAGGCGAGATGGACTCACGGGATGGCACCCATGTTATTCATCTGTTCCTCCAGTTTTATAGCAGGGGAGCTTTTGTAGTCCGGAGAGCTGCTGGCAATACCATTCTTCACACGAGAAATCGACGGCGAGTCCAACTGCCTCTTTCTGGCGGAGCCTGCCTTGCTGAGTTTGCCAGTTCCAGGTGTATTCGGCACCAGGCCATCAATCCTAGGGCATAATATGAGCATTCGTGACACCCGTGAGGTCATTTCTTGGTATCACTACTTACATGCCAAAGACATCGCCGCCTTTGACGGCCGTCCGCGGCGTCGCGCCAGCCCGCTTCTCGGTTTTGATGTGTGCTTGTGTCCGGTTGTTCCTCTCGAGTGCATCCAGAAGATCCTGCTTGAAGGCCTGGAGTCTCTCCATGGACGGCCGCATCTCCTCCGAGTCCATCTTTATGCAGTAGGACTCCCACTTGAAGAACAAGTCTTGGACCGTCAATTCGTGCGTGCGCATTATGGACTGCAGCGCCACGACGACATCGGGCTCCAGCTCTTTGCCGCCGCCGGCGAAGCGCTCGTTGAGTTCGGCCGTTTCCGCCATTCTGCTGACTTGATAGACCGATGCAACCTTCGATACCAAGACAGAGTTCGCAGAGTAGCAGAGTGCCTTTGCAACCGGCACTGAAAAGGTGTCTACGGGCTTGTGTGTAAAGTCTGATACCAGATATCGTGAATTGGCGGGGAGACGCGACTTGACGCGTTAAGTGGTAGTCCACTTCTCACTGGCCCCGCTGCTTAATTGATTTCTCTGACTGGCGCTTGCTTGAGCACACTTCCATCCAGTCCATTCGTCAATGACGCGGAACCAACCGTTTCTACGTAAGGTACCGACGAAAAGAACAACCCCCTGTCGCACCCCTATGGTCGCCCAGAAATTTAGTGCACTCCATCGTCAGCGTGTGCCAATGCGACGGCCCGCCCAGCCTGTTGCGATAAGACGCTATCGCTGCTCATCTTCAACAAATTTCCGGGGGACAACTTTTGTTGATTTCTCTTCTCCTTTTCATCAAGTGCAACTCTTAAAGCTGTAGCAGTACATTGCGGACGGTGACCTGCTGTTGACTGATACCACTGCCATTGAGACATCTTCCCTCGAGGGCCGAATCGAAGCGAATCTCAGAACTCTTACAACTCTTGGCCAGAGCTGGTGCCTCTCTAGTTGTTACATCCCGTCCCAGCCGGATAGAGAGTTGAGAACTCCACACAGCAACTAACGGTTGACAACGACACACGCGAGCCCTTGCCAAACGTCGACTTCGGTCGGGAAGACACAATGGCAACTGCTGTGGCTGCTGCTCAGGGCAGCACCGACATTGTGCAGGAGAAGGCTACAGGACCTCTCAAGACTCCTATCGCCGCCCCAACGGCGAGCAGCAAGCCGGAGCCGCGGGTTCCTCTGACCGTTGACGAGAAGGAGAAGTACGAGTGGCTGCTTGAGCAGGTCAAAGGATGGACAGAGATCAAGTCTGACAAGGGCAAATCTGGCCCTCTGACGGACAGTGAGCGGATGTGGTTGACCAAGGAATGTTTGCTGAGGTATCTAAGAGCTACCAAGTGGCACCAGAAGGAGTCTCTGAAGCGACTGCATGATACGGTTCAATGGAGGAGAGAGTACGGCGTCGAGGAGCTGACCGCCGAACACATCTCTCCCGAGAACGAGACTGGCAAGCAGATCCTCCTCGGGTTTGATAAGGAGGGACGCCCGTGCCATTATTTGAACCCGGGACGACAAAACACCGACCCCACGCCACGACAGGTGCAGCATCTGGTGTTTATGGTGGAGCGCGTTATCGACCTCATGCCTGCCGGACAAGAGATGCTGGCGCTGCTCATTAACTTCAAAACGAGCAAGTCCCGCTCAAACACCGCCCCGGGCATTAGCACCGGCCGCGAGGTCCTACACATCCTCCAGACACACTACCCCGAGCGGCTGGGCCGGGCCCTCATTATCAACGGTATGTGAACTGTGTTTGTTTTGGTAGCCTCTCAAGTTGCTGACGAACGAATAGTTCCCTGGGTCGTCTGGGGCTTCTTCAAGCTCATCACTCCTTTCATCGACCCCCACACCCGAGAGAAGCTCAAGTTCAACGAGGACATGACGCAGTACGTGCCCAGCGAGCAGCTCTGGACCGAGTTCCAAGGCAAGCTCGAGTTCGAGTATGACCACGACGTCTACTGGCCGGCTCTGCAGAAGCTGGCCAAGGAGCGTCGAGAGGCAAGGACCCAGCGCTGGATTGAAGGTGGAAAGCAGATTGGAGAATCCGAGGACTATCTGGCTGGTTCTCTCGAACACGGGGTGGCCGGGCCCCCGAAGACCGAGGCTGCTGTTGCCATTGAGACCCCCAAGGCTGAGGAGAATGCAGCCGATGCTAAAGTCGAGGACCTGAAAGTGGACGAGCTGAAGATCACTGAAGAAGCCAAGGAGGCTGCTTCATGAGGCTTTCTCAGGCGGGCGAGATCTACGAGAAGCGTGCGAGCAATTTAGAGTTGAAATTGGCTTAGATTTAAAAGCGGATGTGTACGACTTGTAATATTAATCATTTTTAATTCGTTACAGTACTTGTGATAATCTTTTTGTGTCTTGAGCTGTGGGCTTTCGTTGACATTTGAGAACTATCCACGACATGGGATTGTACAAGTACGTGTAGTGGATGCCCTGGGCCGCCAGTACGGACCCACGCCAGCGTACCGTCGACTCGAACATCCAAGCTCCGCTCAGCAGCTCGACTCCTTCACAAACTTGCGACATCACAGCTTCTGGCCGCAAAAACCAGGAGCAATACCCACACAGAATGGCGAGCATACCAACTGGCAAGACGCCAGTCAAGGATCAGCCGGGTCTGCGATACCCCTCGAATGGCAAGACCATCTACCACCGCCCGCTGAACCGCACGCGCACCAGCGAGCTCAGCCAGGCCAGCTTCGCCTACCTCTTCTCCGAGATGATCAGCTATGCGCAACGACAAGTGCGGGACATTCAGGATCTAGAAAAGAAGTGCGCGATATCCCTCCCCGCTCCCTAAACCGCCCCGGGTCTCTCTCTCTCTCTCTCTCTCTCTCTCTCTCTCTCTCTCTCTCCCTCTCTCTCTCTCCTCCAGTGCCAAGCAGCCCAGGTTTCATTTGCTAACCTCACAACTGCCTTCCTCCCCGTCTCACAGGCTCAACCTCCAGGGCCACCCCATCGGCCTCAAGCTCCTCGACCTGCTGCTCTACCGCGAGCCGGCGCGCACGCAGACGCGCCCGCTGACCGTCATCACGCTGCTGCACTTCATCAAGATCAACGTCTGGCAGCACCTCTTCGGGCGGCAGGCCGACCGCCTCGAGCGCAGCAGCAACCCGGACACGCCCGACGAGTACATGATCATCGACAACGAGCCCCTCGTCAACCAGTACGTCAGCGTGCCGCGCGAGATGAGCCAGCTCAACTGCGCCGCCTTCGTCGCGGGCGTCGTCGAGGGCGTGTGCGACGGCGCCGGGTTCCCCGCCCGCGTCACGGCGCACAGCGTCGGCAAGGCGGCCGAGGAGGGCGAGATGTGGCCCGGCAAGACGGTCTTCCTGGTCAAGTTTGAGGCCCTGGTGCTGGAGAGGGAGAGCTACATGGGCAAGACGTGATCGTTTTGACTTGAAAAGAGAAAGGGAGGGGTGGTGAGGTTTTGGTGCTGGCAAAAATAAGGCCGAGGTATCTTGGACAGCGAAGCTGGCGGTGCTGTCGCTACTTGCATGGCAATGGCGTTTTCGGAGTTCATATTTCACGGGCTGTGGGCTTTTTGGCTCAGCCTTTATTTACGAAAGAATTTGGCGCTGTTTGTTCATTCTGATTCTGGTTTGCTCGATCTAATGCACACAAGACAATCATGGACTCGTGTGAACGTTAACCTGGTGGTATCATGCTCCCCCGTTGTTGCCTCTAAGATGCCCTCGGCATCGCAAAACGCCAATTACACTGTGTGCCGCTCCATGCCCACAGGCTTAAGTCCTATGAACCATGCCACCTTTGAAATTCGTCGTTGACAGCATAACAACCCCACGCGGCAATCACCTGGGCAGTCCCTTGTACGGCGCCGCCTTGGCCTTGCCGTTGCCCTCCGTCGGGCCCTTGCGCATCAGCTCGCCGAGCCCGAGGTCCTTCCACGCGGGCTCCTTGGTCCTTTGCGTCGCCTTCTGGATGCCGAACGCGGCGTGCTGGTCCGGGACCACGTCGTCCTCGTCCTCGGGGTTGATGGGCTGGTGCTGCGGCGGCACGTAGATCTCGTCGTCGGGCAGGCGGTCCTTGCAAAAGTCCTCGAAGAGGTCGGCGTCGCGGGGCCGCTGCATGTGCACGTACGTGTAGCACCCGTCCTTGTTCTGTGAGTGCAAGCAAGTGTGGGTGGTCAGCGATGGGTGACCTTGTGGTTGCGGCTGAGGGGGGGGAGGGTGCCTGTACCATCTTGGCGGGATCTTCCGATGGTTGTTACGCCTTCAAGACACGTGCATCTGAGATGTCCTCGCTGGGCCAAAGAGATTTGGATCTGGCGCAGGTCGAATGGCCAGCCTGCTGCGCTGCGAGAGGTGATGTTAAGAAGGGAGGGAGGTGTGTTGCTGTCTTATCTTATCGTCACAACAATCACGGCGTTGCTCTTCACGCAAGTGGATCCTGCACTAACACGGCTGCGTCTGCTTCCACCTCGACTCCTCGTCCCCGCGGAAACATGATATTTGTCCAGCTCTGGCAATTCATCTCTTTTGCTGCAGTATGCATGGGCTTCGACATACAGGTAGTAAGCACTCGAGTAAATCTAGAGCCTTCAAACATGGGTGTGGCATATGTATCCACGGGCAGGCCTCCTCAAGACACTCCTCACGCTTCCTTCTTTTCCTTTTTTACAAACGATGATTGGGCTTTTCTCCACGGCCGTTTAGTTCATATAGAAGGAAATAAAATAGTGAATGTCCCAGGTCGACACCCGTGTTATTAGTTGCTAGCCACGTCCAAAATTAGCATATACCGCGCTCAGGGTTGGAGTCCTTCGCCAGAAACACCTCCCCCCCCCCCCCGAAACGAGATATCGCTACCAACTTAATGTAAAGCGCTGCCGCTTTGAAAACATCTTGAAGACCTGTAATTTCTTGGAGTCTGGCCCTCACAGTGTGTGCTAAAGGTGGCGCGAAGAGAATGCTTCAGTTAAAGCTACCACGGGCCTGCCAGTGTTGTTCCAGCCTCCATCGTGGATAAGTCTCGCAAATCTGAGATTCTTCTCACTTTCGCGTCCCAGCCCTGTCTCCAGACATCGTATAGACTACTAAGACCCCCTCAATCTCTGATTTGGTGCTCGGCGAGGCGCCAATCCCTTTCTACAACAACACCCCCGTTCGGGACTGTCTCCTTTCCTCTTTACCAACTGCACGCTTCTCTCTTCCAAAGATCTCCCCCGCTTGGCCTTAACGCTTCTACACTCAATAAATAAAGAATTATTGAATCTTCTTCTCTCGACTCTTCAGAGCTCCCAAAACGGGGATACAAGAAGCAGAGATGCACTCGCCCAGCGCCTCGGCTGCCAAACCTCACGGCACAATGGAGCCATACCGGAGCTACACTGAGCACGCAGTGACCACCAGTTCACGGGGCGAGCTCAGCAGCGAGGCCGTCGCTGCGATTGTTTTCGTCTCGTTCTACTTCGCCTTCTTCATCTTCCTCATGCAGCACGCCCGCTTCTTTGCACGCGTCCGCCGAGGACTGGTTGCTGCAGAGGCCCGCCGACGGGTGCAAAACAGCAGCGTCGCCGTCTGCGTCATGATCTTTCTTGCCCATGTCCTGAGGGCCGTCCTCATCATCCCCTTTGACCTGTTCTACAGCGTCACCTGGAACACCTGTCTTGTCTGTAGCTGCGGCGAGCTCGATCTGGACAACTGGGTCGGTCTCCCGGTCCAGGGCATCACCGACCTCACCTACTACGATTCCCCTGGCGTTGGTGTCTATTGGTGGGACCTCAACTCGGACCTCCAGGGGGAGGGACACACGGCTCCGCCGCCAACATATCGGCCATGGGTTCCAGGACACACTCGTGCACTGGATCTCGAGGCACAGCGGGCCGAGGACAATACTCGCTCTGATGGAACTCGCTCACCACCTCCTCCATATGACAGCCTCGCGCCATTCAACGAGGCCCCGCCAGCATACCACAGCATCTTCACTCCGGCAGTTGCCACAAGGGGTTGATCACTAGGGGGCTTCTACAAATCGATGCACTATGGTTCTGTGGGCAGGAGGTCCAAAAGAGTTTTGAATTATTGGAAGAGAATTGCCAGTTACCGAAAAAGCAAGGAAAGAATCGAACAGTCCATGGTTTCAACATGCGCGCGCCGGTCTGGACAGGCTTCGTCTTTTAACAGTCTAGACACAACAACAGCGTCTAGACCGCGTTGTCCCCGGTGTGAGCGCCGGCAGGCTTCGCCGACTTGCGGGTCTGGGGCTTGAGGCAGTGGTACATGGTGACGCTGAAGGCGAGCAAGCCACCGAGACTCAAAGCCAAGATAGCCGCGTCGGTCTCAGTCATGGTTGCGATCTGGGTATACCCTTCTTTGCTTTCTTGTTGAGATCTGTGTGGTTACCGTTGCAGTTTGATGATTCTTGATCTGCAAGAAGGAGAAGAAGGGGCTGTTTTCCCGGACTTTGGCCTTTTGGTGGTCTCTCTGATTCCGAAGAGTCTGGTGAGGGACACTGGACCTGCTTAAATATTGATGGTTTTTTAATTTGCCTGGGCAAACAGCACGGGCACAATCGCATTGTCGAGGGCAACTTGTTCGCCCAGTTACCAGCTTAGCTAAATTAATACAAAGAGAACTTTGATAGTGTCCACATGGTCCTTTGTAATGGAGTTGACCCGTATTGTAACAACAGCTTGTTCCTTTGTTGAAGATCCGTTGACAAAGAAAGTCTTGCTCTGCGCGTGGTTCGTGAACAAGGTGATTGGGACATGTAATGACATTATTGCAACCCGCTCCGTTGGTCAACCCGGCAAGTGATGGTCAGAGTAGTTGACAGACTGCTCACAAAAGTACTTGACTATCCATCAAGTCCATTCGGTTTTAGGTTGCGGGATAGCCCTTCCGAGTTCCAGGGCAAGGATATGACAAGGGTATTGATTGTTAAGATTGAGGTAGCTCCTGTTGAACCTCCCGTCAACTATTCAGACGCCCACTTGCCCGGCTACCGGAACTACCCGCCCAGCTGTGGAAATATGTGGTTCGTTCTCTCAGGAACTTGAAACGCGGATGGAGCTCTTGCCAGCTTTATTCCTCTAGCTGCGATCTCCCTGTTTTCTACTTGTCGGCTGTATTAAGTTTCTGATGAGAAGTTCACACGGCTGGAACAAGGACTGGTTGACAATCAAGCGTATATCGGACCACGAAATGTGTAGTGTATTGTATAGTCCGGAAAGTGGCCCGAGGGAAACAGATTTCTCGCTCCAAGTGTGGTTCCAAAGTGAACTTGTCAAGCACCACAATTTGTTTTTGGCTTCCCAGCCTCTGTCTGCTTAGGTCGCATTGAGAATGTCGGCCTTGGATTATGCCATGCCTGCTCGAATGTGGCGTTTCATCCTCTCCTTACTGGAACTTTTAATTACAGGCAAGGCCGCCACAGTCTCGGGAACATATGGTAAAGAAGCCGGATCGCCATCCCGGATTCCGAAGGGTTCATTGGACATGCCAGACTGAGGATACGAAAACTGGAGACTGTGAGACAATGCTTGTTCATCTATCTCTCTTGATCTTCTCTCCCTTAACTCAAAAAATCTCGGCCCTCCTGCGCGATGCAATACTAAATAGAGCTCTATACCCGGGACTCCAGAGTGCATTTCCAACACCTACTCCCTACAACCCCCCTCCCCTCAAATTACACACATTAAACCCCTAGGTCCACTACTCAGTAACGCTGACCCCTCCGCTCGCCTCCTCCTGCGCCACCGCCGCGCCGCCGCCCGCGCCCTCGAGGATCTTCTTCTGCTCGTCCCCGATCTGCACCCTCCGCCGGGCGTCGACGTACATCATCATCTCGTTGTACGTGTGGGGCAGCACCTTGATGTCCCTGGGCACGAGGAAGGTGTAGTTGAACTGGCCCGTCGGCCGCGCGTTGCCGTGCTCGACGTCGCGCACCTTGCTGTCGACGCGCACGTGCACCCGCGTCATGGGCCGCTCCGGGTCCGCCTGTGCGGGCTGGCTGCCGTCGTCCTCGAGCAGGGGCGGGTCCGTGTAGGCGACGGTGGCGTTGAGGTACAGCACGCTGCCGACGGGCACGGGGCTCTCAAAGGTGCAGGGGTCGGCGCTGACGAAGACGGGCCGGGCGTGGGCGAAGCTGGCGGCGCAGCAGAAGGCGAGCTCAAAGGTCAGCTTCAGGTGGTAGCCGCCAAAGACCATGAACTGGTGGCGGTTGCGCACGGTGGGCTGGGCGATGGTCGAGGTGGCGAGCTTGGTGTGGGCCATGGGCACGACGTTGCGCGGCTGGCGCAGGGGCCGGTTCGGGTCGTGGTACTCGAGCTGCTTGAGCCAGATGCGGTGGATCAGGGCCGACTCGGCGTCGTTGGGCTCGACCTCGAGCAGCGACGTCTTGCGCTTCTCCTTCTTGCGCAGGGCCTTGGCCTCGCCGGCGCGGAAGACGGCCTCCTCCTCGGGCGTCTCGCAGAGCAGCGCCGGCACGTTGGTCGGCTTCTTGGTCAGCGGGTCGAGGGCCACCATGGTGAAGGTGCAGGTCAGCAGCACGTCCTCCGGCCGGCTCGGCTCGTTCTCGCCCCTCGCCCTGGCCACCTTGCAGGTGATCTCCATGCTGCTGCGGCCCGTGGCATACGTGACCTGGCCGCTGTACTCGAGATCGCAGATCTCGGTGAGCGGGTGGGCGATGGTGATACGGTCGACGGCGGCAGTCACAGTCGTCACGCCCGGGCCGGTGTGCTTGTAGACAATGATACCGGCCAGAGCGTCTAGGTCCATGAACAAGGTTCCCAGGCTTCAAGGGGCTCCAATGTCAGCAAGATTGCGATGACAACTGCTGATAGCTGACTATACAAAAAAGCAAAACTCACCGTATTTGGCCGGTAGCATTGATGTATGTGTCAGAGAGCCACGGGTCTTGGCCCAAGGGAAGAATCTACAGACTTGTCAGTCCATCGTTTTTGATCAACTAAAGTAAAGTTCAGATGACTCACCACACGGTGATAGCTGTCCTTCATCTTCTTCGGAGAGATATCGCGCTCCTGCTGTTGCGGCTCCGCAAAGTTCGGCACTTGTCCCTCCTGCTTGAGCTTGAAGGCCTCAATCCAAGGCATGGGAAGTCTCTCGTCGCTCAAGCCGCGGAATACGCCGTGTGTGCCTCGGCGGAGGGGCGTCCCGGTCCGGAACGACCGCGCCGCGACGTATGGAAGCAGATCCGGCGACGGCTTGCATCGGCGAGTCACGCTACGCGCAGCGCGTAATGAGGCGTGCTGCAGGGTCATGGTTGCAGTGTGCGTCTGCAGATGAATCCTCGGGGAGGGGGTATGTTGAAAACTTGAAGGGGTGGGATTGAATACTAGACCGTGGCTCTATAGAAAAAGTTCTCGGCATCCGTCCGAGGTTGGATCGGGAACTGGCTCGGGATGGGGCGCGACTTGACGGAAGACCACGGAGAAGCCCGCCCACTTTTACGCTATCTTTTGCCCCACTCGAGACGACGACCATTCTTCGAGTATACACTTTCTCCGCCCTATTACGTACATGAAGGTATTCTGCAGAGCTCTTGTTACATACATAATGGTCTTACTGAGGCTATCGTGGAAACGCAGTATGCTCACTTGATAGATGTACTTTTCAAATGGCAAGGACACCAAAATCCATCACCCCCCCCCTCGCGTTTATAGAAATTGAACCGTCGATGATAATATGGATGCCTCTGTCTTAGTGTCTCTGGAGCACAGACATTGCGTTTGTTATCGTGTCTCTTTGCATTGATTTTAGACAGCAGATAAATTGGCCCTCATCTGACAGAGGTTGACCCAAGAGTTGAAGTATGTGATCGAATACAAGTGAAAGACAGCCAGCCTTGTTGGAGCCATCAATGTACATACTCCATATAACTCAAAATCTCTTTGTCTTACAGTAGTATAGGTACAGTGACAATGACAAGTGAACAAAGGAAAGCTTTGATGTGCTTGCTGTCCCATGCATGCCATTGTTGTACAGTCTGTTTGTACAATAAAGGTGCAGAACCCGTATTAAAGAGGACAATCCTGTCTTCTCAAGCCCCCAACCCTCACCTATTCATCTATTTGCTCTTCATTCTTAACATCCCCCTCTGGCAGCCTCTTCGCGGAAGCAAACACACAGACACACATCCATCGTAACTGCCAGAGACCCGGCACTGTGACCATGTCACCCCGACCAGTGACCGACACCCCTTCTTCCGCCCCTTCCGCCTCCGCGTCCCCCTCCCCAAACGACCATGCGCCGGCCTCCGCCGCCATGGAGAAGTGGCTGCCAGCCTACGTAGTCATCCTCGTCCTCTTCGCCCTGTCCCTGCTCTGCTCCGTCGTGCTCATCATCTTCCTCTTCCGCAAGCACCGCCCCTCCTCCGACAGCGCCGCCCGCCCTCCCCGCCGCTCCGGCGGCGTCGTCACAGCGCCCTACGGCCCGCCGCAGTACATGCGACACGGCGGCAACGAGCCCTTCGAGCTGCAAGCCCTGAGAGGAGGAGCGCAGGACCGCCCCGCGAACGCCACCCACGATGACACCTCGACCGGCAGCAGCAGCAGCAGGCCCGGAGGGAACGAGACAGACGGCAACAAACAACGGCCCACCCCCGCGAGCGGCGGTGTGCAGACGCCGCCGCCGCCGCGGCGCTCGCTCCCGGCGACGGGCTACAACTGCCACCGGCACCCGGCGCGGCCGAGCCTGCATGAGATCCTGAGCCGCCCGTCCGACGACCAGGACGACCACGGCCGGCGCAGGTACCCGCCCGGCGTGAACCCGTACACCATGGAGATCACGCGACGCGCCCCCTCTCCCTCTTCTCCCCGCGCCTCTTGTCGGTCCTCCTCCGATGCCGCCGCCGCGTTGCTGGCCGAGGGCGGAGGAGTCGCCGGGGTCAACAAGCCCGCTCCTCCTGCTGTCGCTGCTGCTGCTGCTGCTGCTACTTTTGTGCCCCCGTCGCCGGCCGTCACGGATTGCTGCTGGAAGGACGGCGAGGAGCAGGATGCGAAGCCGTCGCGCGGGACGAGGCGAAAGGGAGGGTGGATCAGCCGCAGGCGGAGCAGCATGCGCAGGCTCGGGGGCGAGAGCACCAGGGAGCGGGTGCGCAAGTTTGTAAAGGGAGAGTACACGAGATCTCATCAGAGGGGATCCAAGGTAGAAAGGGGAGAGCAAACAAGCAAACAGATCATAATAGCGTAAAACAAAGTGGCTGCATTGTCACAACATCAGATTGGGACGGATATATGTCGTGCTTTGTTCATAATTCTCTAGATCGGCGGCGTTCTGTCCGCTAGCATCAACATAAAAAAAAAGAGAAACACCATGCTCCCTCACTTCGTCCGGGCCATGGCCTTTTCGGCGAATACTGACGACAACACTGCCCCTGCCATACTCTCGGTGACTTGTCTTTGTGTGTGAGACGAGAATACTTCGTTCCTCGCCTCCTTTGGAATGAAGGAGTCTGATGCTCATTGCCGTCCCACGGATCGGCTCAAGGTTATAGAAATGACTCCCGACGCCAGCTTTCATGTCTAAAGCAGTAATGGATAAAAAAGAACGCCGAATGGGGGCCCCGTCGCCGCGAGGCTCGCCATTATGTCGCAGTAAAAAAGTATATGTGGGCAAGTATATACAGAGAATCGAACGTGAAACGTCGAGTGGGTATCGAATGCAGCTTTTTGGGTTGACCAAGGCCTGGGTCTAATCCGTTGGGCGTGAAATCAAATGTACGCTGTCCGTCGAATTCAAGGCGGGGCCGCCTTACTGTCGGCTGTAGCTGATGCCATTTCGGGTTTGGTGTCCGTGGGTTTGTATGGTGGTAGGTGGTTTGGGTGGAAGTCTCCACGTAGAAAAGGTTGAGGGAGGTAGGCCAGCGGGCGACACGGCTCACTGGTAGTCCTTAGAGTGCCAGATGCCGGCGCCCAGAGGCTTGCTGATGCCGAGGCCAACCGCGACGGCAATGCCTACAATGAGGACCACGATGAGGATCTTGACGATAATCCTGTTCCGCCTGCTCAGCTGGGACAAGCAGCCAAAGGCGCGCTTCTTCTTGGCGGCCTTGGCCCTCTGCTTCCAGTGGTCTCTGCCAGGCCAGACCTCGCAGTCGCCGCCCCTCGACTTGCGCAGTTCGCACTTTGTCGAGGACGGGGTGATGCAAGCTTCGACGTCGGTATCGAAGGGGTTCAGGCGGTTCGACGACGGGGACGAGACGTCCGATGCGCGCGCAGGGACCTCATGACTAGTGGTGTTGCCCTTCTTCTCATCGGCGAGGGTAGGTGTTTGGGAGCTGATCGACTCGCGCGAGGGCTTCTCGGAGACGCCGTGGGGGGTCTTGACGTGAAGCGGCTGAGGGACAGCGGGCTCTTGGGGGTTGGGGGAAGACATTCTGAAGAGATAGCGGGATGCCTGGTGCTCCAAGACTTTGCGTAGATCGCGTAAGAATGTTGGAGAATCTCAACCAAAAAAAAAAGAGGTTGAAACGGTCGAGGACTGGGTGGGCTTTGCGCAGCGTAGTATTGTGCGCCGACAAATAAAAAGGGATTGAGGACAGGATCTGGGTTCGAAGAGTTAGCCAAGAGAAGGAGCATGAAGACGACTGTCTCGTCTGCAAAGGATAGGGCATATCAAGAAGGTTGGTGCGTCACTGGGACCCGAAACAGCGAGTGAAGGGCTCTGCAGGGGCGTTGAACAGGAAAAGCAGTGGCGTATGCCGACCAACGTTACTCACCTGGACTCGCACCGAATGTATGTACAAAACACAAACGGCGATAATCGACAAAAAAAAAGAGAAGGTGAGGCCCTTTGAAAACGAAGGCGAGATCGAAGTGTTGCGTAGGCCGTTTAGGATTTCCGGCGGCAGGCAATGGAGGGCGTTAGGACTGGCCTAGGATCACCGCACTGCGCATGAATGTGTTGATTGAGGGTGCAGGCTGGTTGGCTGCCTCTCCGCTGGTGTCCGACTGGACGCGTTCCCTTTTGCTTTGCCCTTTCGACTTCGAGTCTTGCTTGGCCACAACGCTTCCACTGAGATCACTTCCTGCCTGGGGGACAAGCTGACGAAGGAGTGAACCAGAAGAAGAATGAAGGACTGGCTGACTGACTGACTGACTGACTGATTGACGGGAGAAAGCGAAGAAGCAAAGACGAAGAGCAGCGGCAGCTGCACGGCAAGAAAAGGCGGGAGGAGAGAGCGCACGAGGGAAATGAGAGACGACATGGATGATAAGGGGGTACGTACCTACCTGCCCTGGCAGTGCCTGGGAGCGCGGGTGCGGAGTGCACTGCGCCGTACTCCATACTTTGTTCGTATGTTACATAACTACAGGTAGGTACCTAGCGAGCCTAGGTAGGTAGGTACTGGGTTAGTTAGCTGGGGGCGGGCTGGTTGTGGGCAGATGAGCCAGGGTAGACGCTAATGGGGATCAGGCCAGACCACGCCAGGGCCAGGCCAGTCAGTGGTCAGTGCTGCATGCACATCCATGGATGGATCTTCTTTCCAGTGTTCTAGTTAACTACCCTGCACTGCACGAAGTAAGGGGAGAGAGAGAGAGAGACAGAGAGAGAGCAGAGCAGAGCAGAGCAGAGCAGAGCAGAGCAAGAGGAGCAGCGAGCATGCGAGCGAGCGAGTGAGTGAGTGGACCGAGGAGCCAAGACGCAAAAGAGCATGGGGTCTAGTGCGCGGCGAGAGAGCTTAGCCTGCCATTGGGGTTGGTTCGGTTGCCATTTTGGGGAGCTTCAGAGGCTAAACCGCGGCCGTGATTGGCCTGCAGCGGGCGGAATGGCCAGCAGCGCGACGCCCCAAGCCCTTTAGCCCGGCCCTACTGCGGGCGCGCCGTCCTTTCATGCAACCTCTATCTTGGTGCTGTTCTGTTGGTTCTGTTGGCTCTGTTGGCTCTATTATGCGCAGCGGAAGTCTCTGCTATTTAGCGTTGATCTCTGTGTGCTGTGCGTCGTCTCGCTCCAAGTTCGCGTGGAGACTAGAAGCCTCAACAGAAGTCCAGACAGACCAAGGCAGCTGAACAAGGCTAGACTTGGATATGCTCTACTCCGTACTCTGCTCGAGATAGAGACCCCCGAGCCGGACCCAAAGCTAAGAACTCTGGTATGACGCCAGAAAGGGGTCAATTGCCGACAGTGATGATGATAACATGACCAATATCCACTTGTGGTGATACCAGCCCAGCTCTGTACGGAGTCCCATGTCACGCATGTCTGCATCCTAGTGTACCTACTGTACACAACTTGTCTGGCCATCGACGGAAATGCGCACGACACCATGGGCAGCTAGCAAAGCACAAGCACAGGCTGGACTGCCTGCCTGCCTGGTCGGCGCGGACAGGCATAGCTCACCAGATTAGGCAATTCAGGGCCGCTATGCGACGATAGCAAGGCGTGCCTCCCACCCCTGGCCAATGGCGATACAATTGGAGAAGGGGTCAGGCAAGCTAACGAGCCTGTCGCGAATAAATCAGTCTTGAAATCTCGCTCCCGTTTCGTCGACAAGCAACAGCCAAGAGAAGGGGTCGCCGTGGCGTGCGACTCCGTACACATCTGTCTGTCTGAGGGCTGGGGTTGCCTGCTCCGAGGGAATGGTGCTCCTGCAACCACACCTCATGCAGGACAAGAAGCAGCTGTTGGAGGAGGAGACGGCATTGGCCACTGATGTGCACAGGCTCAACGAGTTCTACAAGTAGCCAGGTTCTGGCCATGATGGATTGGGAGAAGAGAACAGGCTCGCCACGACATAGTTCCACGTCCCTGGCTAGTGCTAATGCAGGTCCCCCGCGACGCAAGCAAACCCACCAAGCCTCCATCGCCTCCATCCGCCCATCTATCGCCCCAGCCGCGCTGGCATACCTTGAATGAATGAGGGGTTCGTTCGTCGAGAGAAGCGAGATCACTGCGCGGCCCCAGAATGCGGACGGAGTAGCTCGTCCAGATTCGCACCAGTAGACGACGGACTGGCTTGACTGGGTTGACGAGCTTTCTCTTGCAAACCGGGCGGCTATCGGCATGGGGATTCGGGACTCTACGAAGCAGTTACTTCTCGCTGCTGCCCCAATGCCAGTCCGTGCCGATCTGCCGCTCTCATTCAACATCCATGCGGGCAAGAAGGGCAAATCCAGACAGATACTCTCTCTCTCTCTCTCTCTCACACCGCTTTGTGTATCCGTTGAGAGATTGCGCCCTGAGACACAATACTGGAGCTTACGGAGTATGACAGAACACTGGGCCCAAGTCGAGAGATCGCTCCCAAGGTCTACATTCCCGCGTGTCTGTGTTTCTCTCTGAAAACTCGTATCGTCGGATAATGAGTCCCAAAGGGATTGGTTGTCTGATTGTGAGGAAATCCGCCCCCCCAATTGCGCGTCCTGAGACCCCGGCGCCTAAAATAGAGATGGTGCGCCAATAACTGGGAAACTCGCAATTTCACATGTGCACACATCCCCCAGCCTCCTTAGCTAATCTCGCAGGGCCGCACACACATAACGCAAAGCCCATCCTTGATGTCATTGGCAGCATGGGGGATTTCCAAGTTCTCATGACCAGGAAATCTCCTTCTGCCACAGGCCTGATGCTTACTCCCACGTGGGTTCAGAGAAGGGGAAAAAAGGGGACGTTTGTCCTTGGCGAACTCGCCCCCCTGGTGTACCTTGGCGGTTGATCGCTTCCACCAAGACTTCTGGGCCTTTAGCTTTTACAAGTCGAGAAAAAGACGGGCTTACCCGAGACCCTGCAACTGCAGCTCGGTGGTTGGATGGCTGACGTTGCAGCTTGTCTGTCTCGCCACGGCTGTTGATCAGTGGTTCCGGACAAGGTCTCTCTCCCCCCTGAACTTTTCCTTTCCTTTTTTGCTTCCCAGTCGAGACTCAATTGACAGCTGACAGCTGAGACCCGCGTGCGTATTTGCAAGACAAGACAGTTGCGGTGAGAGGGACCTGGCGATTTGCCGGGATTGGTCTCCTGTCAGTGCTCTTGGCGTGGTCATGGCTTGGACTCGAGTCGACCAGGTCGAGTCACCACCCCTGGCCGATCCGCTAACAAAGTTATTACGTACGCCCGGGAAGGAACAGTCCATTTCGGCTGTTGGATTTTCTGATCAGGGGGTTTTGTTCTCCATATGAGCCCACGAAAGGTTCAATACGTACATACGAAGGCGTATTAGGTTGGTAATACTCGAAGCAGCCGATCTTGTAATGTAACTTTTCCATCACCACAGCAGACAGATGTGCAGCTAGCTGAGACTTACAACTTCCAGAAACGGTAAGCTTTCAGAAATCTCACAGAGACTCCTACAAGAGTAGAGACCACAACACACATTCACGGAAGCAAACTTGGATATTGGCACCAGGACTCATTTGTATCGTTTGACAAAGTGGAATTATCAATTAAGTAGTCTAATATGCTATGCTAGCAGCCAGAGTAGGGTCTCTATGTCTCCAGGTCCTGCTTCCGTACGCTTGAGTACAAAACAGTGTCGTAGCGAGTGAGCAAGCCGCGAGGCTCGGGCAGTCAGGGCTGGGGGGCGGGGGGGTATAATACACAAAAGAAGCAACATCCTACTACACTTCACGCCCAAGATGCACTCAATTAGCTCTTCTGTCCCTCCGGCACGGAGGCCTTCTCACTCCCATCCGTGCCCGTCGTCTCGGCGGCGGCGATCTCACCGCCCGCCTCCGCCTCCGCCGCCGGCCCGGGACCGGCGCCGACATCCGCCCCGGCAGCGGCCCCCGCCCCTCTCTCCTCGGCGGCCGCCGCCTTCTTGGCCGCGATCTGGTGCTTCTTGACGGTGCGCCACTCGAGCCCCAGCGCGCCGAACAGCACGGCGCACGACAGCGCGAGACCCATGACGAACGTCACGCGCAGCGAGTCGTTGTACGCCTTGACCACGGGCCCCCGGAGCGCGGGGGGCAGGTCGACGATGCTCGTCGCGCCCGCGTGCTGGATGCGGCCCGGGTCGTTGCCGAAGCCGGGGATGCGCGCGACGCGGCGGATGAGCTCGTTGCTCAGGACGTTCTGGCCCGCCGAGACGAAGACGGCGCCGCCGAGGAGCTGCGCGAAGAGCATGAGCGCCGTGCCGACGGGCACGTCGCGCTGCGGCAGCACCGTCTGCGCCGCGAGGTTGGGCGCCTGGAAGGACGAGCCGAGCCCCCAGCCGTAGAGGACCTGGTAGCCGATCCACCTGGCCGCGGGGGTGTCGACGTCGAACGTCGTGATGAGGCCCGCGCCGACGGACATGAGGCACACGCCCCCGATCATGAAGGGCGTGTAGTAGCCGATGCGGGAGACGAGGATGCCCGTCGTGATGGAGGCGACGACCATGGACAGGACCATGGGGAGGAGGTGGATGCCCGAGTCGACGGCCGAGACGCCCTTGATGGCCTGGAACCAGACGGGGACGAAGTAGACTGCGTGGTCCTCGTTAGCGGAGAAGGAACAGCTGAGACTTCCAATCGGCGTTGCTGCAGCAGCAAGGCTAAGGACTCGGTTTTCTCTTTCTACGTACCGAAAATCATCATCTGCGAGCCGATGCAAAAGGAGGAATAGAAGGCGCAGTAGATGCTCCTCTGCTTGAAGATGTGGGGAGGCACGGTGGCGGTCTTGGGGAGGACGATCTGGATCGCGACAAAGGAGATCAGGAGCACGCCCGCCAGGACGAGCAGGGCGATGATGCGAGCGTTTGCCCACTAAAAAAAGACGAATGAAGGTCAGCGCATGAAGGGGGTTTTTGTTTTCTTCTCTTTTCCTTCATCAGAGAGAAGAGAGAAGAGAGGAGAGGAGAGGGAGTACTGCAGACAGACAAGACTCACCGCATAGTTGACGCCGCCCCACTGCAGCGCCAGCAGCAGGCACACGACGCCCGGCACGAAGACGGCGGTGCCCGCGGCGTCGAGCTGCGACAGCTTGGCCCGCGTGGGCTGGCGGGTCGTGTCGCGGTCCGGGATGCGCAGCAGCAGGAAGATGAGGACCATGGCGGCGCCGCCGAACGGCAGGTTGATGTAGAAGCACCAGCGCCAGGTGACGTGCGAGGTGAAGGCGCCGCCGACGAGGGGCCCGATGACGGACGACAGGCCGAAGATGGCGCCGAAGAGGCCCTGGAGCATGGGCCGCTTGTGCAGCGGCACGGCGAAGACGATGCAGACGATCTGTTGTGCGCGGGGGGAGGTTCCAATCCGTCAGTAATTCTCGTTATTTTGTCACCGAAAATCTTGTGAGAGAAGGGATTTCTGGACGACGTTGCATAATGCAAGAGAGAAAAGGTAGGGGGGGAGGCGACTTACACATCCAGAAAAGATACCCGCGGCTCCTATGCCGGCAATGGCACGGCCGACGATGAAGGCCGTGGAGCTGGGCGCCGCGCCGCAGACCGCCGAGCCGATCTCGAAGAGGAGAATGGTGGTGAGGAACACGAACTTGACGCTGTAGAATGTATAGATTTTGCCAAAGAGCAGCTGGAACGCGGCAGACGTGAGCATGTAAGCGCTGCCGTACCAGCCGATGTCCGTGACCGACTGGAACTCGTCGGTGATCCGCGGGATGGCGGTCGAGATGATCAATCGGTCCTAGACAGGCTGTTAGATGTATCCCTTATCTTTTTTTTCCCCGTCGAAACGCCCAGTGCTCATTGCCCAGAGGTCTTCGAAAGGGGAAGGGGGACAGGCGCAAGCGTACCAGAGAGACGAGGAACATGCTGACGAAGACGGATACCAAGAGCAGGACGAGCTTGACGCCTTGAGGATAGTCATCCGGGTTCTCTGTCTCCTCGGCATCCTTCGGGGCTTCTGTGCCTTTCTCGAGCTCTGATGGCTCCGGGCCGGAAGGCGGCACCTCCCCCGGTGCGGCTACCGGGTCCGGGTCGGCGACCTTCTTTTCTCGTTTGAATAACATTTTGGTGGTTCTGAGGCTTCCTTATTGCCCAGATCACAGCCAGACTTCCGAGGGTTTGTCCTGGTCAGATGTCCAGTCGTTCGAGAGTTGGCGACAGTTGAAGGGAGAAGCGTTGATGGTGGCGATGGCGTGTAGTCCGACTAGGCTTGCTGCATGTGCCCGCTGTCAGTTGATTGTTGTTACACGACACTTGAGACTTTGACACTTGAGAATAAAGTACAACATCTGCATGGATCTTGAAAGCCGTCTTCTTGTCCGACGCCCAAGGATGGAGAATGGACGGGCGTGGTATTTATTTACGTCCATGGCTGGCAGGCAGAGCCACCAGAAAAGAAAAGAAGAACCCAATCCCGTCACCATGTGTCACTCGTTACCCATGTACCCCCCTTTAACCTCGTCATCGGAATACACACACACACCACGCGTTCGTTCGCACAGGGAGCCTCGCAGCGGGAAGGGTGGTTGCAAATCAGAAACAAGCGCTAATAATCAGCCACCGAACAGCCTAGATCACAAAAAACAGCGTGCTGACGCTTGTTCGACAGTGGTCATGATGGGCATTTGCGGCGGACCCTCCCCACTGGGACGGAAGCTCGTGTGGCACGAGATGCCCACCCCGGGGGGTCTGCTGAGCTTGTAGGCCTGGGTGGTCCCCGTCCCTGGACTCTTTGCTCCAGCAGCCAAGGTGTAATTCCGCCGGCGTGATTGGTGATTGGCCGCGCGGGGTGTGGCAGTATTGACTTTGGGGGAGTGTGCTCGGCCGCATGGCGCCTGTGCGCGGGTGCGCTCCCCCAGAAAGCCAACGCCTGTTCGGGTCTACAGACGTGCTTTTCGACCCGAGCAGTGTGCCCTCTCGCACGCTTCGGCCCCGAGCCCGTGCCCAAACATCCCCCCCTGTCCCCACTACTGCCGGCTTCTTTCAACTTGAACGTACAGGTTTCGGCTTCAGCACGTTTCCTGTCCGATGAAGGTTTGCCATACCGAGATTTCATTTCCTCAGCATTTCCGCCAATACTCCGGGAGTCTACCCGGCGTCTTGAACACCGATTCTCGGGGCCTTTCGAGGGCTCAACAGATCTAGCAACCACGCATCAGTCGCTCTCTGGAGGTTCGGGTGTTCTCGCGCAGCCACTGAACAAGAAGCCGCCCACCTTCTCACTGGAATCTCTCCGTGCTTACACCCTTCAACTTCTGTGCAGAGTCTAGTGTACGATCAAATGAGATTCCATGACTACTTGGATTCCTGTCCCTGAACATCGTGGTTAGGCATCAATGTAATCCTATACGCAGAAAGACCTTGCATTCCGGGCTTTTCTCGAGTCGCTCAAGATCGTCGCTGAAGTGAAGCATCCTGGGCTTCCGAATAAAGCCTAGTGTACGAAGTCCGATGAGCCTGCAACGCGAAGCTGCATGATCCAAGCACTTACACAACGAGAGACGAGTGCAACGACAGTCGACGCGTCGCCGTTGACGAGTCATTGGCTCACCTCATCTGCGCCCAAGTCTTGTTTGTCCCCTTGATTCTGAACAGCAGTACCGTGCATGTATGCAATGCGAATAGGTATTCATTATTTTTGTCTGGCGGGAGATTTGTCGACCTCTTTAGAAAAACTCCAAAAAAAAAAAAAGAGAAAGGGATGCCTCTTGCAACCATATCAACCTCGCGAATCAGTGCCAAAAACAGGTTTGAAAAAGTTGCAAAATGGACAACTTTTCGAAAGGACCACCACCCCATAGTCAAAATCATACACTGACAAACAACTTGCCCGCTCCGCTCAACCCAAAATCCCCCCTTTTGCACCGTGCCCGCGGGTCAGTCCGCTCTCTGTATAACCTATAACCCTTCTATGAGAGGGGAGCATAACCATGTAAACCAAGAAAAAGTGACCCCAAACTCCGTCAAGAAAGAAAGACGCATCAATACCAAAGCCTAGATCTGCCTTGTCGAGGGCCCGACGCATAGATGCAAAGCCAAGAAACGTGCGCCCGGAACACCGACCATCCCATCGTCATTCTTGCACCAAGTCGTACACTCGGGACTGCGAACCCCGAAATTTGGCCCACCTCCTCCCGGCACTACCACTCTGTCGACGGACCCATCCCGAAGCCGCCAAAGGCCGCCATGGCCGAGTTGGCCGGCACCATGTTGCCCCACATGTCCCAGTCGATGCTGTTGACGTCGAGATAGCTGTTTAGGAGGTTGTCAAACGCCTGGTCCTGCTGCGGCATCACAAACTGCTTGTCGCTCTCGGCCTGCGTCTTTGACGCCGGCGCTGGCGTAGGCCCCGTCGAGGGAGTCTCGGACTTGATCTCCTCTTGCGGAATCAGCTGCGAAAGCTTGCTGATGAAACGGGGGGTCTCGGGCTGCAGTCCCGTGCGCTCCCGCAGTACTGCTTCCCGCTTTCGCCACGCCTTGAGAGTGAAGATTGCCGTCTGGTAGTGGCCCTTGCGTGATATATCGTACAAGTCGGGGTACATGTCGTACGCCGCGGGAACAACCTCCCAGGCTTTGTCCACTAATTTGCCGCTCGTCCGGTAGTAGAGCTGTCCCACCATATACTGGAAGAGATTCTGTTGAAAGTGCAACCTGGAAAACCACGCAAACCCTAGATCCTTTGTTCTGAACTCCTGTTCAATGCCGTGCTCTATCGAGGCGACCGCAATCTTGAAAGCGTTGTCGTTGGGAGTTTTGATCTCGTCATTGTACTGCTGCTCTTGCGGGGGGAGCATCAGCAACTGGAGCTTCTCGATCACTTCGTTCTTGATGTCGGCCGCCATCTCGTGCAAAGGGCCCGCCGCCGGGTCGCAGAATCGGTCGATCGTCTCGACCAGGATCTTGCCCAACTCCCCGACCTTTTGGCGATACGAGTCGATGTGCTCTTTGGTCGGGGCACCGTCGATTCCCTTGAAGGCCTCCGCCGAATAGCTCATGAGCATGATGGGTTCCATACCGGGAACCTCGTTGAAGAAACGGGCCACCTTGTTAGTGATGAGAATGATGATCATTTCTGTCGGGCCTTCCCTGTCCTGGATCGGCTCGGTCCCCATAGGAAAGAGATCTGCGTCGTTGACGTTCTTGGGCTCTTTCGTGTCCCAGTGGCGAGGCAGTTGGGAGTAGTTCAGCCCAGAGAGCATTGCGTATTTGGTATCGAGCATGAGGATCTGCCACCAGACTCGCCGCCTCATTTCCGTCTCGAACGGCGTCAGACCCAAAGCCTCGCCATCGCGATGGAGACCCATCTTTTGCGCAATCCGAATGACTACGCCGTTCAGAATCCACGCGGCATGTGGATTGTAGCGATTCTGAAGGGATATCTGCTCGAAATTTAGATGAAACATGTTCTGAAGAAGAAGAGGAGAATGAGAATTAGAAAAAGCCGTATCCAGGAGTTTGGCTCACTCACCAGATAGATGACCAATGCTTGCAGCGTTTCGAGGGTGTGGTTCTTCAAAAACCCAGCGCGACTCAACGTGATCCGCACTCCAGCCGAGAATTTCTGTAGCGCCATCTCTCTTGGGATTCCCAGGAGACTTTGGCACTCATCGGGCGTCATGGAGACGGTAGCCAGGGTGTAGATAGCGAAGAGCAATGACTCGATGTCCTTTGGCACGGTTTTGGAGCCGGCAGTCGCTTCAACCAAGTACGGCTGTAGCGACGGCACGTGGATGACCTTTGTCAAGGGGTTCACCCGCTCCAAGAAGATCTGCCACAACCGGAAAATGTGTCCAGGAGCTGGCTGATAATCGTCCAGGTCGACTGATGGGAAGTCGCTGCCCATGAGAAGATCGCTGTTCTCGTCGGCTGGGGTCGAGATACTGGCGTCGGGCGTCGCATCGTCTATGGAGTAGTCGTCCTCGTCGACAATGTCGCGCATCGCTTTCAACTCATCGTAGACTGTTGTCAGCAGGAACGAGTCCATGAACTTGACGCCGGTCTCTTCCCGCACGAGTCTCCCCGCGGGTTTCCACTTCATCAGGGCTTCGCGCTCGGGGAATGCGTGCGACGGGCTGCTCGTGCTCGAGCCGTCTTCGGGTTTTGCGGTCGCATACTCCTTCAAGAGCTCCTCGCAGCGGGCCAGCCTCTCTTGGAGATCCTGGTTGGGCCGCCGACGTTTCCGAGCCGGCGCCGGTGTGCTGGGTGTGCAAGTGACTTTGGCCTGGTGCAATCACGGGTTATCTGGTTGGCGGGGCTGCTCCGATTGGGGATTGGGGGAAAGGGAAACATGTTGCCCTGGGAGGCGACTTGCGTCCTTTCTACTCACCTTTAAGCAGTTGGCACAAGGAAAAGAACGGTCGCATTTGATCTTGCGGTGCTGACAGAGCACACAAGCCAGAATGCGGCTCGGCTTGTGCGCCGCTGGCGGTGCCGGCTGCGACGGAGAAGGGCCAGTACTAGCCATGGCGGATTGTGGTGGCGACAAGAGGGTAGAGGGTGCCGGACAAAAAGATGGGAATGCTGGTTTACCCCACGACGTTCGAAAGATGATGCATCGGCGCGCCGCTGGACGAGGCTGAGGAGCGCGCAGTGGCGGGGGAGGGGGATATTTGGCGGATTAGAGTTTGCGATATTATGTGAGCTTGAGAACACAATAGATGCGCCAGAGAGATAGAGACAGGAAAGGGCCGAGAAGAGAGGGCGGATGTCGAATCGAGAGGCCGAAATAAGGAGACTATAGCATAACCCCAACCGTAGAGGGGAAGGAGAGACGAAGGGAAGAAGTCGAAAGGGGACAAAGGTGAGAAGAGAATATCACAATGACATCGAGTCTCCTCTGAAGGAGGGCAGGCCAGACGAGTCGAGCTGGGGAGGAAGTTTGCTGGAAGGTTGGGTGGATTTGGCAGCTGACAGGATGGGCCGCGGGGACCGGAAAGCGATCCTTGAGTGTTCGGTCCTTCCTAGAGGGGCCCCAGTGGTGCTGTAAGCTAGGTGGAAAATCGGACAGATTGTACGACCGGCAAGCCTAAAGTCGCCGAGCACCGCTACGAGATGATCGCTAATGCGTCACGAGTTGACTCGTTGGATGTCTATCATGGATGGAACTAAGACTGGACGATTCAAACCTCAGGGCCCTTGGCAAGCCACTTCTCTCGCTGCCTGGCTTTACCCCACAGGACAGGAAGTCTGCCAGAAAGTTGCTGAAGGGCTTTTTTACTGCCAGAGCCCGCGACATAGATGTAGAGGTGTAAGAAGTTGGGCAACTACCTAGTCAGGCGAAAACGCGCGTATTCGCATGTTAAGTCAGATACTGGCCTAGCTGAAAACTCGCACCAGTTTTGACTGGCTACAACGTTGAAACGGAGGACAAGTCACCACATGCCGCGGAGCGGAAGTCCAAGACTTTCTTGCAACTTCTGCGAAACATGTAATACTTGTAGGCCTCCGTCCAACCCGGCCACTGCTGACGAAACCCTGGGCAGGGGTTTGCTTTGGCGCATCCAACTTTCAAGGTTGCCTTTCAGGTCCAGGTGGCTGCTAACCTCGAAAGAGATGTTGCTCGACTGTGGCTGATGTTTCAAGTGGTTGAACTCGGTGACACCTTGGGGCCTTTTAAATTGCCATTATCTCATTGTGTCCTACCCAACACGCGGCCTCGTGTCGCTGAATGATCTCAAGATATTGACATGCTGTCCATTCCGCCAGCCCTGCCGCCAGGCACCCGTTTCACGTACCTGTTCCGTCCTGTCATCCTTGGCGTTGAGCAAGCCGTGGCCACGGCGTGCTCCGTCCCATCTCCCATGTGCGCCAGACTGAGTCATCCTGACTTTGATACTTTGTGTAGCGAACTGTAGCGCAATCCTTCCACTAGCCACCACATGCCTCCGGCAATTGGAACATTCAGGAGTAGGAGCTTGTCCTTTTGCAGCCGATCACACCAACTCAAAAGGCAGATGCCACATCAACGACGCAGATGGACGGGCCACGCCGGCATGATAGCGACGTTAGACGGACTTTTAGTGCCAACAGGTATCCTCTGCAAAAAAACTCCATGTCCGCACCATCCGAGAGTCCGTGTCTTCGGTACCTAGTGCCTTACATCATTTGCCAATACAAGTAGATGATGGCCCAAGATTGCTTCCCGCTGTGCCTCCACTTCAACTTCAACAGATTCACGGCTTTCTTCCTCCTCCCAACACATGCAAATCCCGCGCAAGCTATCGAACAATTGAAAATCCAAGCATCAAAGACAATGACTGACCAAAGCACCGACCACGTTCTTAAGAAGATGGCCCCGATAGCGATGAAACCCGTGCTGGGATAGGTATACGATGTGCTGAGAGACCTCTTTCCTCTTTGCTCCCCCACCTCTTCGCTTTCCAGCCCACGATTCATGGTTAAGGGTGGTGCCGTGGCTGCATGCAACGGCGGAATGGCGTGCCCTGCGATTGGAGCACGTAGCAGCCCAGGCGCTACTCCGCCGACAAGCCCCGGCTCTCGGCCGCATCGCATTCGGGCAAGGGCTGGTTCGGGCCCTCTCATCCACCGACAGCGAGCAATTCGGGTCCAAAATGGGAGCCCTACACAAGTCCGCACAAGTACAAGTACCAAAGGTAAGCACCTACCGCGCTACCGCGACAGGCACGACACGAGAAAGTCTTATGACATCACGCTCGCCTGCCTCCAACCTTGATAAGTACAAGTAGTTACCCAGGAACCAATGTTGGGCCCTTACTCCTAAAGTACATCGCAGTAGGGAGAGACTTTTCCAGAAGCTCTTGGCACTACAAGTACCTAGGTAGGCTCGGTAGGTAATCCACATCTCTGAAATGCCCCAGCTTTCTCGGACTTCAAGGTGGAGATCCGGACGAACTGCTCATGAACTCCGGCGGCTTCCTTGGTACAATTAACCAAGGAAGCCAAAACATCGGTTCGAGCTTGATTTTCCTGGCTGTTCGCGCACAATGTAAATCGATAACCTCTTCCCTCTCTCCCTTCTTTCTCACTGCAAGCAGACCAAAATAATCCCCAAGACTCCGCGCATTCCCAACAACGAACGACAGCGAACTGCATACATAAGCAGGTGATGGTCAGATTAGTTGACGGACTTCGAACAGAAGTACTTGACTACCCATCAAGCCCATCGGTTTTAGGTAGTGGGATAATCCTTCCGAGTTCCAGGGCAAGGATATGACAACTATTTAGACGCCCACTTGACAAGTCACCATCGCACCCCAGAGTTTCAGCCCACTCGCATTGTATCCATCCGCGCGCAGCTGATCTCCCCGTTAGTAACAACAAGCTCCCACTCGGGCCATCTCTTTCTCTGTCGGGCTTCGGAGCGTCACCACCGTCCAAGTCACTCTATCAGGCAATACAATCACGTCGAGCCACCTATGGACAACTGCCTTTCAACTGGCGACTCGCCCATCGTGCCGGCCAAGTTAGTTCTAGAAGGACGAGATATTCTATCGCAATCCCGGCGAATACAAGCACAGTAATCGAACGGAATCATGTCAACCACGCGCTACGGCGATCCTAATGACCCAGATCCCTTTAAGCCTCGAAACCCCGACATACCCTTCTTCGACGGTAGAACTCACTTCGACGATCATCCTAAACCCCAGGTCTCTGATCCAGAAGACAATGCTGTGTGCCCATGGCTGGTACAGCCAGGTATCCATACTGTCCAAGTCTTTGAGGCCATTCTTGCTGCCTCCTTAGTCCAGAAGAGAGCACTCAAAGCCCGAATATGTCAAGCTGGTATCAGACAACCCTTCCGATAACCATGCGAGCCCGCTATGCCAACTTGGGTTCTACAATCTGACTTCCATGCCTCTTTCGATAGGCATGTCTGTTTTGTTATGTTGACTATTAAAGAGCATGATGCCCTCTGGAAATGGTTAAGAAACCATGAATATATTATCCTCTTTCCGAGCAGTGATATTTTAACACCCCTTGGTCGGCTAGGATATGCAAAACTCACACATACTGCCATGTTATCACCCGAGAAGACACTCGATACGGCTCTTAGCGATCTAGGCCTTTCAAGCAAGGCTTCTCTCGCTCCTTGTTTACCTCACGATCTCAAGCATATCCCGACATTAGAGCGTGAGTGGTCTTGGAGGCGGGGACTATCATCTCTTGGTCCGGATTATCACGGCCGTGTCGCCGACGATGCCGGGCTCGAGCGAGTCAACTGGGTCAGGCCCATTCCGATAAAGCAAGCTTGAGATGGGCTGTTCTTGAGACCAGTATCTATGTCTCAAAGCAAGCGTGTTGCAACCGTCCGTTCCATTGCCCGGGTATCTCGGGGCTGCTTTTCACAGCTGGGCTGGTTATCCCACTGCCTAAATTTGCTAGGTATAGATAGGTGCGGCGGACTAGAAGCAGAGCACGAGTAGGTCTCTTCTTTCCTGATCCCTCTATACCAACCACACAACGCACCGGCGGTGTACAGGGACGCTGCTCCCTATTGGCAGCTGTTGGCAGCTGTCTGCACTGCATAGCTAGCTTGAGTTTTGTTTTATCATGACAGCCTATATTAGGGAGGGATAGACTTTATAAATTATTTATCTTTGACTTATAGTATCCTTACAATCAATGTAGCGCTATATGAATCAGTCAATAAGTTATACCCTCTTTCTCTTATATAAGTATGTTCCTTAAAATTATACAACTATAGCGAGAGAAGATTAAGGGCAATTTCCTCCTCCCTTCTTGCAGTTATCCTTCCCACAAGCGGTGAACATCATGAATAAGTATGTATTACATTGCATTCCTACCAGAGGCAAACCTCTTTATTGGGTATATGCACCTCGGCTACAGCCAGCGAGTGCGTGAGAGGTACCTTCCGACGCTCTGTCACTCCCGTTCGTCATTTTGCCCATGAAAAGCCCGTGCTGTCGGCTCGAGAGAGGATGGCTCTCAGCTATTCCTGGCTTTAGAACTTGTCCCATGAACTAAGCGGCAAAGCACAGTAAGTAGTTTCCTGCAGCAGCCGACCGCTACAGCCCGGGATATCCGGCCCGAGCGAAGGATTCGCGGCCATAAAGATGGTGATCGTCGTCCCGTGGCCAAAGGCAATTGAGCTGCACGTGTCGTTGGAGGTGGCGGTGTGCCAGGTGCCGCAGTTGCGAGTCGTGTCCTTGGCGACTTGCGATCCCGCCGGGGGCAGGCTGACATGATCACTATAGCCGGGCTTGGGCTTGGGCGTGGTCGTGTCGACGGGGATGGAGCCGTTGGCTTTGAACTCGCCGTTTTGAGGGGACAGGCAGAGGATGTGCCCAAAGGTGCTGTCGCTGGCCGCGTGCAGATTCGAGCAGTTGCCGTCCACCCAGCGGTTGTACTCTTGGACCTTTCCAAAGGCCAGCGCCTGGGTGGCAAAAGTGAGGTTGTACTCGATCGAGAAGCAGGTGTCGTCCGGCTGAAGCTCGTAGGTCCGCACGCAGGGCGGCGGCAGACACAGGCGAGTGCCGGGCTCGATCGAAGAGCAGTTGTACACATTCTCGGGATTCCCGAGGTAGATGCTTGCGGAGGCGACGCCGTTTGCGGAGGCGATGGAGTCGCAGGTGTCGCCCGCCTTTGTGGTATACCATTTGTCGGTCTGGCAATACGTCGAGGGCGCGGGGAGGTCGAGGGGAGACTCTGGTATTGTGGTGTTGACCGAGTTCTGGCCGCACTGCGACACCGTGTATTCTAGTTGAGACTGCAAGAAGGCATCATATTTGGAGTATCGTGACCGCTGGGGCAGGGCGTAGTGTTCCACCCAGCAGAAGGAACAGAGCTCGTTCCTAGGCATGTCCTCGATCCTGGAGACTTTGGTAAAGCCGCCAATGATCTCGCCGCAGTACTTCCGGCTAGCAGGGTCTTTGAGGCACGTCTGATTCCATCCGTCCCAGATGCGACCCCCGAGGAGAGTTGGCAGTGCGTCATTGACCATATGCCCGGCACAGGCGATGGAGACAGTATCGTACCAGCTTTTCAAGCTTTTGCCGCAGGACGCCCTGCAGACCTTGTCCGTGGCTTCCACACTCCCCTGCCAGCTCCGAAGTGCAGAGGCCTGGAACAGCTCTGTCCTGTTGTCACACAAGATGACCTCGGTAAGGGCCTTCTGGCACTGCTCTGGCAGCATGGGACCTGAAAGCCTGTCCAGCATGCCGGCAGTCCAAACCTGGTATCCGGGGAACTCTCGCTCGCCCGCAATGCCTTCTGATCCTATCAGCCACGCGAGAACTGACGAAAGAAAGCCGTTGACATTGTTCCTGGCATAGACGGGGACGAGCCCCAGCGGTGTGATCATCTCCTGAATTGCCTTGGTACAGAGGTTATAAATCCATATGTCGGTGCTCTGTTGGATCTCAAACCCACGCTCCTGGCAGTCTTCCGTGGCCACACAGTCCTGCTTGTAGTCATCAAACCAGCTGTAGAGACCGGCGCCTAGCATGTAAATCGAGGTCGAGTCTATGATGCGGACGGCCCAGGAGACAGCACACCGGGGCGATGCAGCTCCGATACAGCTGGTGAATGTGGGGTCGTTGGGAAAGAGGCCCGTGGTAAAGGGCTCTGGTGCCTGCGGCACAGGCTGGAAGTATGGGGACTCTGTCTGGATCATGCCCATCACCACATCTTTGGCGTTGGAGAACTGGTACTGGTACAGAACGTTGTGCTCGACTGACGTGCCCCATAACCACGCCTTGTCGCTCTCGACGAGAAGACCACGGCCTGCATAGATGTCTATTTGATCCAATGTAGAAGTGTCAAGGTCGTGGTCGGCCGTCCAGAGCCAAACATTCTCAAGATAGGCGGTAGACTTGGGCTTGAGGTGCATGAGCAGTGAGGCTGCCTTGCAGCGGGGGTTGACGATGCCGGAGTTCTTTGGGCAGTTCTGGACGGAGAGATCACTTCCAGCAGCACCGCCGACCCGAACGTGAGTGTCTGTGTGACATGAGATGTTAGGCGACTTGGAATCAGGAATTGCCACAGGTCCTGGACTGTCACTCACCCCACATGCCAGCAGCTCCGAGGCTTGACTCGGCAATATTCCACTCAATGGCAACAGCGCCTGCTGTAGGTCCCCGGACTGTAACCATTATGCTGGTGATCTCGGCGATGCCTATGTCCCCAGCCTTGCCGACTTGCAGTACAGCCCTTGGGTGGGCCTCGTCCGAGAACTAGCGAAAGTCTTAGCAAAGAAACGGTCACTTTTACTCAGACTGTGGGAGCCAGGATCAATATTGGGAAGAGACGGTTGATAACTACTGACCTTGTCGCCGGTACCCATGATCTGAGGCCAGACCTGCCCGATGATTCGGGATCCAGCGGGCACACGCAATGTGTCTGTCACAATGTACACCCCATAAGGGATGAAAACGACCGAGGAAGTGTTTGCCGCCCCCTCTATGATGGAGTTGAGCGCATCTGTATCGTCGGTAACTCCATCGCCCTTGGCTCCTAGCGCTTTCACGTTCATCACTTTCGTCGCCGGAACATCAAGATACTGGGGTCGCCTCCTCGTGAACAAGTTTGGCTCTTGGTACGGATAAGCATTGCCGACCAAGCCTGGGTTCCGTTTCATGACGGGTATTCTGGCTCCGCCAGTGAAGACGGTGTCAGAGCCACCCCAGCCGGCAAGGGTCAGCCGGCCGAAGCCCCAGTTCTCCATGATGAGTTGGTCGCCGCCATCAAGCAAAACTTGGCCTGTAGCCAGGTCCTCAACACAACGGCGCGTGTTGAAGAAGCCGACATTCTGCAGCAGAAAGGAAGTTGCATGGTCGGCGACTAGTGTGGTCACAATGGCTTGTGGAGTATTGGCGATGATAGCATCGACAAGGATCAGGGAGCCAACACCTTGATTATCCGGTTTGGGCTTGCCAGCCTGTTCAAGATCAGTTAGACCAAAAATCATAGCGCACGTCATGGAGACACAGGGCTGAGATAGACTGGCTTACACCACCGGTGATCATCAGACCAATACCGCAGCTTTCAAAGATGAAGTTTTGCATGGTCCAAGCCCAGTCCCAATGCACCTGAAGACCAATGACTGAGTTTACAAACACGAGATGGCTGCTTGTGAATTGCTGGTTGCCAAAGTATGCCCTTCGCCCCCTCGATGATTAGCATCAGTCATCCCTAGGATCCTTTAGTAGTTAGAAGACGCTCACCCGAAATGTCCGCCGACAAAGGTAAGATCGGCTAGGAATCCTCCTGAGCCGTTCTCCATATAAATACCCTGGCGAGGGACTGATGTGAGCCTTGAACCAGGCAACTTTGGGTGAGGCTGCCTGGACTTACCTGCTGGTTATTGCCAGGAACATCCGACTCGAAGAGCATATAAAACTCGATATTCTCCAAGGATGTAGCCTGAGCAACTTGCCAGTGAATCCCGCACATGTAGCTCCAAGGGGACGCGGGGCGGATATCAATCTTGAAGTTTCGGACACTTCGCAGAAAATTCGCCGTGTTGAGATACCTGCAGCCATGACTTGTTAGAATCTGGGCAACCACTCCGGATGGCGCGACATTTACCATTCTACATCGTCACTTATATAGACATCGCTCGTGATGACGCCCTGACCGACGAAGCTCGAGGCAGCGAGGAGAGTCGGGACGTTGAGGGGCTGTTGTACCAGCCTGGCGCATCAGAATCACCCTTTCCCACTAACCGCAGAAACGGGGGGTAGCAGTGAGGTGAGGACTCACATCGCCTAGGAACTCAGTATTGAAATACTGAATGATTGGGCTGCTGACCAGGTACGTCCCGGGAGGAAAGTACACAACGGCAGGAAATCTAGTGCTCGACCCGCAGTCAGGACCACATCTGCCACCACTCGACACAGCAAGGTTGATGGCAGCTGTGTCATCCGTGACGCCATCGCCTTTGGCACCGAAGTCCTTCACATTGCGCCATACCTGCGCGTACAGGCTTGGATCAGTCACGAACTAGCCGAAAGGACGACGCTGGGCTTTGCTGACCTTATACCCGTTTGGCGCATACGGGCTGGCACCCGTTGACCCCATGTCCCTCATCCACCAGCCATCTGCTCGCTTGACTTTGGTGCCCCCGGAGGCGCCAGCGTCGTCGCCGTACACCGAGAGTCGCCCTTCTGGTGTCTTATGGCTTGCGGGAGTGTTGGTGTCGTTGTGCTTTTTCGAGTATTTTCTCCTGATTGCGGCCGCTACTTCGCTGTGATTGCCAGAAGGGATCTGCGGCGACGCCTCGGCCAGAACTCTCGCAGCTTCGGCTAGTTCGGGAGAGATCGAATAGCTTGCCGTTTTGGTGCTGTTGCCTTGTTGGCGCCGCCGTAGAGTGCCGTTCGTGGCAAGATCAGAGGAATCCAAGGCCGGAGCAAGCTTCCGTGAGGATTGACGAGGACGAAACTCGTACGTGTTGAAATGTGGGTTCTCAAGTCGGTCCTTGTTGAGCTCGCTAAGTGCTGCGAGGGCCTCCTCAACTAGAGACGACGCATTCGAGGGCCTGCTATCGTTCCGAGCGTGGATGCCTGAGTGAAGATGCGTGTGCCGACCATGATGATGGCCATGAATGGCCGATACAAAGTTGATCCCGGTGGCCAGCAAGACCAATACAAAGAAAAGACCCCGAGAAGACATCGCGAAACAAGAAGCCTTTCGAATCGTTGTTCAGGCTCAAAAGACACAAATGGCTTGACGAGCCTCTAGCATGAGGGTTGCTTGAGGAGATGCGGCTTCGTCGGGTCTATGAGGGAAAGATTGTATCACATCAAAGTAACTTCGACAAGGAACGCACGACTGGCGCGATCATTTGGCCAGGGATGCGCAATGCCTCGCCCCTACACTCCTGTCAACCATTTCAAAGCTGTGATCGTGAAATTGTATGACACGACAGGTGGAGAAAGATGTCTCCGCTAGATGCTTGGACGGCGAGATATTCCGGCTTTGTCGCAAGGGTCGCCCCGACTTACACTTATTTTATGCTTCTTTTGGCGTGAACTCATTATCCACCCGGGATTGAGGATCCGAAGTTTCCGTACTGTTGTTGTATGTATGAGCCGAGGCTCTTGTCAGTCTTGTGTTTTTAGGGGTCTAGATGCTTGATTCGACTAGGGTCAAATCACCAACGACATGCCAAGAAGGCACGATGCCACGGAAACTCCATCTTTTTGAAATGAACTGGTTCAGCTGTTGTCAAAATGGCGCCGCCACGCAGACCGAAAATAGCCCTCATTTCCGAGATACGCTCTTCTGATCAATAGAGAGTCCGAGAGTCTGCATGAGGATGAACTCGGAATGGTCACGAATCGGCTCAAAGCAGAGAGCCGGGTAGCCGCTCGAAGCAGTCCGAGCTTCCACTACGAAAGCGCTTTTTGGACAAAATGAGACTCAAGAAACCGGCCGGATGCTTAAACTTGAGTCTGTTCTGGTCGTTATCCTGTTTCTTCACAGTGAGGCACACTCTACTCAAGCTCCAAGCAACGAGGCGTCAGCATGGCGGCGTCATGGAGATTTTCCTATGCCCTCCTATCCCTACTACTGTTGTTTCTTGGTCTGACCAATGCCCAAGATGTCCCCGAATGCAGCGAAAAGGTGCCATGCAAGGTCGGCTGCTGCAGCAAGTTTGGCTTTTGTGGCCTAGGGCCGGCTTGTGAGTAATTTGGAAGGGCCGTCTCGACGAGAACATGCTGACGACAGGCCAGATTGTAGCAAAGCCGTCTGCGTCAATAATTGCGACCGCAAAGCCGACTGCGATCCAGGAGGCTATGGCAAGGACTTCGTCACCAAGACGACGTGTCCTCTCAATGTTAGTGTCTGTGTTCTAGATTAACGCTGCAGTTTCTCATACCATTGTACAGGTCTGCTGCTCCAAGTATGGCTTCTGTGGAACAACCTCGGAGTTCTGCGGAGACAAGAAGGTGAAGCGTCCAACTTGTGCCGTTGACAAAAGCAGCCGCTTCAAGCGTGTGGTTGGATACTATGAGAGCTGGTCGTCCGCACGCCCTTGCAACCGTTTCTATCCGGAGCAAATCCCCAGTGGCGTGTATTCACACATCAACTTTGCCTTTGCCAGCATCAATCCCTCGACATTCGAACTGATACCGGCTGACCAGTCGGATGTTGACATGTACCGCCGAGTTGCCTACTTGAAGAGGAATGATCCCAACCTCAAAGTCATGATTGCGGTGGGAGGATGGACTTTCAACGACCCAGGCCCGACAGCTACGACCTTTTCCGACATTGCTCGAAGCGAGGATGCCCAGCGGAAGTTCATTGGCTCCGTGCTGAGCTTCTTACAGACCTACAACTATGATGGCATCGACTTGGACTGGGAATATCCTGGCGCCGAGGACAGGAGCGGCCGCGGGGAGGACTTTGCCAACTTTCCCAAATTTATGGCCAATCTTAAGCAGGCTTTGAAGGACTATGAAGTCAGCATCACTCTCCCGGCGTCACTATGTGAGTTGTATTTTCGTGCTTGGTGTTCCCCTTTTCTTCAACGCCGGCAGTTTGATCTCTCTTCCCGGACCCTTGCTCTCTCTCTCTCTCCTTTTTTTTCTCGGCTGTTCATTTGGCTCACCTCTTTGTAGGGTATCTACAACACTTTGACATAAAACGACTGGCTCCGCATGTGGACTTTTTTAACATGATGACCTACGACTTCCATGGGGTCTGGGACAAGCCTAACAAATGGGTTGGGCCGTATCTGAATTCCCACACCAACCTCACAGAGATCAAAGAAGGTCTTGACCTCTTGTGGCGAAACGATATTGACCATGACAAAGTGACTCTTGGGATGGCCTTTTACGGCCGTGGATTTATAGCGACCAGCTCTGCATGCCTCAGTCCAGGGTGCACTTTCGAGTCGGGTACAGCTGCACAGCTCTGCAGTGCCGAGGTGGGGGTCATACTGAACTCGGAGATCGATGGCCTGGTTGCCAAGGAGGGCTTGAATCCAGTTCTGAACAAAGATGCAGCTGTCAAGGTCTTGACTTGGGGAGGCAATAACTGGGTCACCTACGACGATGAAGAGACTCTGCAGATGAAGGCGGACTTCGCGCGGAGCGAATGTCTTGGCGGTGTTATGGTCTGGGCGATCTCGCATGACACCCAAGATGCGAAGTACTCACTAGCCCTGTCACGCGCGGCTCCAAGGCTGTTCAATGCATTGGCCGATACTGGTTCCAATGATGGATATGTTACTGAAGTTACAGAACATCCCCAGTGCAGGTGGACCAACTGCAACGAGAACTGCCCAGCCAACTGGATTCGCATGATGAGGAATGATGGGGGAGCCAGAGGTAACGAGTTCATGGTCAACGGGGCAGGTTGTGATGGCCGCGGCGTACAGTATGTGTGAAATCTTATTATGTCAACATTGGCAACAACCAAAACCTTTTCAATCGAACCCTGCATGACCTTGCTGACCCTGTTTCTAGCAAGCTCTGTTGCCCACCTGGTAATCCGATTCCCACATGCGGCTGGTATTCACATAATAACGGCGACTGTGACAGTATGTTATGTGGCATCAACCCCCTTCAACTCCTGAAACCATCGTCCGGACTGACGCTCTTTTAGACGGCGCTTCTTGTCCCGCTGGCACCAGAGAAATCGGCAGCAATAGCGAGCACTGCGCTACGACATCGTACAATTCACTCTCGCCATCTTACCAGGCTGCCTGCTGCACGACAGAAACAGACAGCATGAAACTGTACTCGCAATGTGATTGGACCTCCACTCGCAACAAGAACTTCCCCAACTGCGATGCTGGAAGTTGCGGAGCAGATGTCGTTGCTTACTCTGGCGATGGCAGCGGCGATGCCACGTGCTGGGGAGGATGGTATAGGTATGGCATGGAAGACTCTTCCAAGAACAAGTACTGCTGCTCCCAGCCCGAGCAGGACAAGAAGTGGATCGATTGCGATTGGCAGGGAATGACAGATGCAAGCCTCTCCGCCCTCCCCCGTGCCTGAGTGATATTGACCGCGGAGCGTTACAGTGGACGAACGAGGATACGGGACTCAAGCTCTGCACCCCGACCTGTTCTGGCGGCCTCGTAAATGTGGCCATGGAGCACGCGGGCTGCTCGGGCGGAGGCGCCAAAGCAAGGTGCTGCAAGCCGAACTACAAGACTACTTCGACACGCTACCAAAACAGCGAGGACTATCAGTTCGAGGATGCCCTCAGGAACTTTATGACGAACCCGGTCTGTATGAGCAACATCTTTGTCGGCAGCCCGCTGCGGAAGAGGAACGAGTCCTTGGCGGTCGACATGGACCACCAGTCCGTTGGTCTGGTCCCGCGTCAAGACGCGGGCTATCGAACCTTCGTGATCGAGTCTCTCGTCTTGTTCATGGCACAGAGGCTGTTCGTCGAGACACCGAGAAGGTCCCTCATCGACATATGGGACAGAACCGTCGTGACCCGCTTCAACAGTCTCTCGTACGCCAACCTGGCCGACTATCAAAGACGCCGAGGACACACGCTTTATGTCATGTACGGCAGCACACAATGGCCCCGGTACATTACTTGCAACCTGGGCGTCTTGCAAGAGGCAATCGCAGGTAACGGTGGTGGTGGCGGCGGCGGCGGGTCGTGTACCAGGACCTGTGAGTGCGTGAGGCCAGACTGCTGCTCACCTGATAACTCGGCATGTGTAAACGCGGGTGGAGATCAGCTTCAGAAACGGACAAATGCAGTAACCTACGACTGGACTGCCATAGACCCGCATAGTACTGCATCTCAGTATCTGCCTTGGCGAGCACCAGAAGTAAGGCTCCCATCTCCATCTTCAAGCAAGAAGGCCAGAACTGACGAGTTGAAAGTACACCCCAGGAGGCCAGGTCACGAACCCAGCCAAAACGGCTGAAGCGTGCACATACGATCCAAACTGTGCAGTTTTTGAGCATCTCGTTGTGAACGTGATACAGCCCAATGGCGTCCGACTCGAAGAATTTGAGAGTGCGTTTATCTTTCTGCCGCCTTGCTTTATGATGAGCTTCGGGGAAGCTTCCTTGAGTTCGACTGCCCCTTGTGCCTTTGACTGACGATCTTTCGATGTCTACTTTTAGATGACCACCTGTTCGAGCGCCAGCTATTACGCACGTGGGGTGACGATGCGCTGGTTGGGCGATGGAACGCGGGAACAGGAGACGGCCCTGAAGGCATCGATGCTCCACATGAAGTTCCTTTTGCATTTTTCACGATCTCTCTGCAACAGATAGATGCATCTGGCCTCACGGTTCAAGATCGTATGATGCATGCGCTCGGGAGTAGCGCGAACCCCGACGTGATGACACTGGTTGTAAAAGCTATCAATCTCATGAAATCCCAGGTGAGTTCTTCCTGGACTACCCGGCACCCTGAGCGATTGCATAACATTGAAGTACTGACTGTCAAGTTCAGATGTGGAGTCTCGGGGAAGCCCTTGTGGCCGTGAGAGAGATGGAGGACTATGTTTACGGGACTAAGGTCAAGGCAGCTTGCCCCAAAGTTGCCCTGGACCATATCAGGAAGGTACGTGCTCGTCCAAAAAGCTATGTTGACATGACGTCTGGTTTCTCAACCGTGGTTCTGCAGGTGCTTGTCGTGTGGCGCTGGCACTCAAGCCGAGTAATTCGCGAACGCTTGAGGGGCATCGTGTGGTCGCTGCGTCAGCTGCTGCGACAAGCAGAGAGACACTATGAGAGCACACATGGCGGCCAGAGTCCATATGCCTTGGAGCACTTTGATGGCTGGGTTCAAACGAGAATGGAGGTCATGAGAGACAACGTGCAAGCGTTCGGTGTGAGGTGGCTCCAGGAGCTGAATCTGCCGGCAGTCAACAACGTGCCCGCAGATGCTGCCATCCGAGCAAACTTGGTGCGCGCATACGCCACCCTGCCTGACATCAGGGTAGACGACTTTTTCCCGCCCATTTAGAAGAGGGAAGAGGGAAGAGGGAAGAGGGAAGAGTGGAATGGCTGGCCGCGCTCCTCAGATGATGTTAGCGACCCCGCGAGTAGAGAAGTCTTCTTTGGCCTCGGAGCTGAGAGAAAGAAGATTGTATAGAACGGGTCTAGCCTATAATTGCCATCTTAACCCTGAAATCTAAAATCGTGGCAATTACAGAGTACAACGACCCTATGGCTTGTATCTGTAGCCTAGAAGGTGATGATGTCTGTCGAGACAGCCTTCCGAGGTTGTTGGTCGTGGAGATGGCGAGCAGGACCCGCCATTGATGCAACCCCAGTCTTCATGTTATTTCTACCCCACGCGGACTCTGCCCACCTCTCAACAGCCTACATCTATCCTCCAAAAAAAAAGAAAAGAGAAAAGCAGTTCTCTTCCTGAGGTCTTGCCACCAAGTTACAAGACTATTACACCCTCAGCTCTTCCAGCATGCGAACCTTTGATCCTCCTTCGCCACGTTACTACAAGGCGTCCCTGCGGACTCGCGGACAGGATTCCGACGCCATGAGGCGGATGCAGGCGATGTGGGATGGCATCTCCAACTGTCGACATTGGGGCGTAACCTATGGGGCGCACTCATGGGGTTATACAGGTGTGTGTCCATCTCCATCTCCCCTGTTTGCATGGAAGCTTATCCAGCCGAGTCCTTCGTACAATCTACTCGGAGGAGTCCAACGAGCTATGGCCTGTTGCTTTGGCCAAATTGGAGCGCTGGGTGACCCAATACTTTGTCCATGAGACGCGTCTGGCAGTGCCACGCTTTACCGACGGGTCGGTCAATGAGGAAATGGGTCGCCGCTTTGTCCTCGAAACCTTGCAGGATCCTCAATCAGAACCTCTACAAATTCCCGACATGTCCAAGGCCAGCCGCGCTGAGATCTTGGCTCTTGCCGACGTCTTTGATGCTTGGTATTACGATGTTGTTGGTGGCAATCAGGATGCTCGTAGATTCAATCCCAGGTTCTGGGACTTTCTCGTCATTGATGAAGCTGCACTCCGGTCCCTTGTCAAGCTCCCTGATGAGCTACCACCTACAGACCCAGCCCCTCGCGAAGAACGAAGGGTAAGTGCACTATATACAGGTCACTTCTAGATACTTATACTTATTATATCTGTGTAGGCACGGGATATATACTGGGACTTTGCATATGTCTGGCTGGTCGATCCACAGGCCGCGAGGCGTTATAAGGGCATTGACAACGATGAGAATTACGATGGCGTAATGAAGCTCAGCCCTGCGGACATACCGAGCTCTTGGTTCGAGAGGGTCGCAATGACGCTGCAAAGTGATAGTCACATATTTCTCCGCCAGGAGATTCCTACAGGGTCCGGGTCCCTCTGGTACCGTACTCAAGGCTTTTGAGACTCGACCCACGAGCCAGGTCTGGGAGTTTACGGAGTAGTCATAGAGAGTCCAACGAAGTACCTAGATCACCAGCGCCGTTGTAGTGGGTATTTTGCAAGCCACTGGTTCGCCCCATATCTTTGGCAATCTCCTTTAAATCAACAACACACAAAGTCTGTCTCCAATCAGAAGGCTTGCGCCGAGGACTCTGGCCTCGGTGAGCCTCCGTACTCTTGGCTGCTGGACCACTCAACTTCCTGTCGTTTTTGGCGCATCGATGCGGCGACCTACTTTGACGCGTTCCAGGCCCTGCTTCACATCGCAGGGTTATTCGGTCACTAAGACAGGCGGCGCTAGAAGCCGAAAATCAGACGGTTGGGGGAACTTGGAATTACATGCTTACCGCATCTCTGCTTAGCCCAAGAGTGCCTGACAAAGCCAAGCGGTCATGCTAGATCGGGGCAGAGACAGGTCCAAGACGGCGTTGTGGTCATGACCCCATCTCGATACGAAGCATGAAAGCAAATGGGTATCATTAGCTATTCAAGAACTAGATGCTGCATGACCAGCGACACCCTCTTCTACGTCACGGCCTTGTTCTTCCGCATGGCTGCTCTCATCCACCTCTTCTCTAACCACCAACGCTACCCTTTTCTTGTGCCGCACCATCGCACGGTGGGAGCGCCCCTTGAGGTGCTTTGCCCAGAGCTCCTCTGTGAGGGCAGTAACATTGCACACTTCGCATGTTTTCCTGCACGGAGTGCCCTTGTCGGTACTGGCCGTGACTGTGGACGAAAGGACTTGCGCAGCAGTCTCTGAGATGGAAGAGGGCATGGGCATCTCCTTGCCCTCTAGATATGCAGACGTTATATCGGCCGCAGTGCCCGCAACCTTGTGAGGCCATTGGCTCACGTCCGAGCTGTCCAGCAGGTAGAGGTGGTCCATGGCCCCTTCCTGCCGGAGCGGGGGGACTGTCTTCTTGGTGATCCACCGGATCTGATACTTGGCATAACGTCTAGTGGCAGTCTTGACGTCTTCAAGGCTTTGCTGTTTGACTTTCTCGAGACCGATAGGATCCATGTCCCGAGCGAGGCCTTCCAAGTACGGCTCGACCTGTTTGAATCCGATAGATTGCCAGATGCCCTTGGATCGGTCGACCTCCTCGCCCCGGCGCAGCCTTTGATTCAGGTAATCATGCATCTCCTTTGTCTCTTCGAGAAGACCAGTCTCGAGCATCTTATCAACGCGCCTGTCCAGGCGCCCATTCAGGATGTCTGGAGTAGAGTAAACCCAGAACAACAGAGTCTGCCAGGAACTCTGACGCTCTGCAGAAGCGGACTTTGCATCTTGTTCTCTTTGCTGCTCAGCGTAGATATCCGATGCGCGCTTCCCAGTGGTTAGGAAGATCTCGAGCGAGCGGCGTATTTTCCGCCTGTCATTGGGGTGCCATCTGTCCGCCATAACGGGGTCAACCTCTCTAAGCCTCGCGAGCATGGCATCGGTGGGCCCGTCCAATACGGGAAATGGAGACGTGATCCGACCATTTGACGTCAAAGTGTCGGCCCCCGGTGGCGCAGCTTCTGATGTTTCTTCCACCAGGCTCTGATTGAATAGCAACGCATTGACATAGTAATGGGTGCCGCCGACAACGATAGGAAGCTTGCCCCTCTGCCGGATCTCGGAAATCAACTTGCCGGCCTCCCGTTTGAAGACGCCGGCATCCCACGTCTCTTCTTCCAGGCCAATTTGATCGAAGAGGTGGTGCGGTATGCCGCGCTGTTCTCTTGCCGAGATCTTATTAGTGATGACGGGTAGACCTCTGTACATTTGCATGGCATCCGCGTTGACGATCTCTCCGTTGAACCGGCACGCCAACTCTACCGCGAGCTGAATAACAAGAACAAACAAAACCAATACGTCAGTCATCCCGGGTATCTTTTGCTCCGCTTCAAAGTGCCTAACACTTACATCGGATTTACCAGTCCCCGTGGTGCCCATGATGACCACCAAGGGCATGGGAGGTTTCGGACGTTGCGCCGCCATGCTTGAAACATAGCGTCTGGGTAGGCCGCCGAGGAAACGTCTCAAAGGGAACATGCGTTGGTGGCTTTCCGTGTTGACACTCTCAAACTGCAGAGCATCGCGTGGTGGTCGATCTGCCTGCAGACACTGTCGAGGTATGAGGTGGGTAGTCAGAATTAGCCCTGGTACCTTAGTTACATCCATAGCTGGGCGCAGGCGGTTTAGCCCTATCACCATCGCCCAGACGGGGAATTCCAGTGGCAGCTCCCCACCACCAGCGTTGCCCGAAGGAGATCGAAGCTTCTCCAGCTGCAGCCACCAGCCATCAAAACCCCACTAATTTGAATTGGGGGCAGGGTTCCGGACGGGTTGGGTGCCACATGCAGCCAATCCCAAATTCCCATGGCCCTGTGCCCAGCCAGCTCTGGAGCTCCAACGAAGGAGTGTCACGTGGCTGGTTACACTAAATTTGCGGCCACATCGACAGTTTGGCCATTTTGAAGCCAGATCTTGTCTCGGCGACCCTTTTCTACTCGATCGTGCATTGTGCCCTTTTCTCTCCTTTCCCACACCGTCCCCAACACCATTTCCTTCGACAACCCGGGCATTGACATCGCCCGTATTTCTCCCTTCTCTTCTCTTTGCATGACTGTTTAGGGTGTTTTACTCTTCACGTCGGACACAATGAGTAGCTGTAAGTAATGTCGCATGGCCCTCTCCCTCTCCCCCTTGGTATCACAGCAGAGCTCCTCCAGAGCTCCCAACCCCCTCGGCCTCCGAGTCAACACCCCTCGCGCGCAAGCCCAGCACGACGCGACAATCGAATCACGGAACGATGCGCTGACCTTCTCCTACCAATGCAGTACGATTCCTCGATCTGGTCAAGCCGTTCGTGCCGTTCCTCCCCGAGGTTCAGCAGCCGGAGACCAAGGTCCCCTTCAACCAGAAGTTGATGTGGACCGGTCTGACTCTCCTGGTCTTCTTGATCATGAGCCAGATGCCTCTGTACGGCATTGTCTCCTCGGACACGTCCGATCCCCTATATTGGCTGCGTATGATGATGGCGAGTAACCGTGGAACGCTGATGGAGCTCGGTATTACTCCCATCATCTCGTCTGGTATGGTCTTCCAGCTCCTGGCTGGCACCCACATGATCGACGTCAACCTCGACCTCAAGTCCGACCGCGAGCTCTACCAGAGCGCTCAGAAGCTCTTTGCTGTCATCCTGTCCATTGGCACCGCCACTGTCTACGTCTTCACTGGTCTCTACGGCCCCCCCTCCAGCCTGGGCGCTGGCATCGTCTGCCTGCTTATCCTTCAGCTCGTCGCTGCCGGCATGATTGTCATCCTGCTCGATGAGCTGCTGCAGAAGGGCTACGGCCTGGGCAGCGGTATCTCGCTGTTCATTGCCACCAACATCTGCGAGTCGATCATGTGGAAGGCCTTCTCTCCCACCAGCATCAACACTGGCCGTGGTCCCGAGTACGAGGGTGCCGTCATTGCCCTCTTCCACCTGCTCATGACCTGGCCCAACAAGCAGCGGGCTCTCCAGGAGGCTTTCTACCGACAGAACCTGCCCAACATCATGAACCTGCTGGCGACTCTGATTGTCTTCGCCGCTGTCATCTACCTGCAGGGCTTCCGCGTTGAGATCCCCGTCAAGTCGTCCCGCCAGCGTGGTGCCCGTGGCTCCTACCCTGTGCGCCTGTTCTACACCTCCAACATGCCCATTATGCTGCAGTCGGCCCTGTCCTCCAACATCTTCCTGATCTCTCAGATGCTCTACTCGCGCTTCTCCGAGAACCTTCTGGTCCGCCTCTTCGGTGTCTGGGAGGCCAAGGACGGTTCCGCCCAGCTGTCTGCCGTCTCTGGTCTGGTCTACTACATGTCTCCTCCCCTCAACTTCAAGGACGCCCTGCTCGACCCCATCCACACCGCTGTCTACATCGCCTACATGCTCACTGCGTGCGCCATCTTCTCCAAGACCTGGATCGAGGTTTCCGGCTCGAGCCCTCGCGATGTCGCCAAGCAGCTCAAGGACCAGGGTCTGGTCATGGCTGGCCACCGTGACCAGAGCATGTATAAGGAGCTGAAGCGCATCATCCCCACGGCTGCTGCCTTCGGCGGTGCCTGCATTGGTGCCCTCTCCGTCGCCAGCGACCTCATGGGCGCCCTTGGCTCCGGAACCGGTACTCTGCTTGCCGTCACGTAAGTCTAGACATCCATGTGTCTTGTCCATGTGTCAGTGCTAATTGTGATGCAGTATTATCTACGGATACTTCGAGATTGCTGCCAAGGAAGGCGATCTCGCCGGTATGAAGGGCATGATAATGGGCTAACCTTGCCAGACAAGGCAGCCCGATCATTCTTGAGACCGATATAATGAAATACTAGTGGCGCCTTTGTGAGGCTGTCATGTGTACTATCAACGTCGGGGTGTATAGGCTAGAGTCCAAAAGCGTGGTCAGTGGGTTCAATGCATCACGAGTTTTGCGTCTGCGGCATTGTAAAGACTCCTCATTTGCAGGGGTCAATGGATTTTTGTATGTCTAAAAAGTTTCAAAATGCATCAGTCATGACATCCTTTTCTGTCTGCTGCCCCACCTGCTCTGCTTGCTTGCTTGCTCGGACAGATGAACCAGACATGAGCAGGAGCTTGTCTCCGGGCAGTTGCACCGCCGTGAAATGTGCGTGGTGACAGAGCAACTCTCGTGCACGGATACATGGCTGCAGAAAGCCTAAAGACAGCAAGAGGCTGGGCGAGGCAAAGAGGGGATATTGGTCATCTGACGGGAAATCAAGAGAGAGCGATTGGCCGGCATGCGTGGGACTCCTGCATGTGCGTGCTTGCATGCTGCTGCTTGAGGCATTCCATAGACCGCCGGTCACTTGCAGGAGATCAAATAGAATTGACCCATTAATAAAGGATTGACTCTTTTCCGCGAGGTTGTCGTCGGGGCTTCTTGAGCGGTGAACATAAACACAGGGGCTGGCATGACTGAGGATACACCTGCGGCTCTGTGCGCCGGTTACGGAGCACTCCTTTCAATTATTGGACGAGACTGTATCTTTAATATACAAGTACTGGGGAGCTTGGTGCCGGGGAGAAGAGCTAGCCAGCCTCTGAGGATATGATTCGTCAATACCTCGATGTGATATCAGAAGCTTGTTGCTGATATTGAACCCCGCATCCATTGTCTCGTCTACCTACCTACATGCACGTGTGCGTAGGATCGTGGAGATATCTCTACGGGAGGTAGGAACGGGAACGGAGGCCGAAAATCACGATGAAACCCTTGCGAAGGGACCTTTGCCTGTAGGATTTGGGCAGTCGGATGACCCTTTTGGAAAGAGCATCAACGAGGTCTTGGGAGCCCCCTCTTGAAACCATTCAATCGACTAGGGTGCGGTAAGCTCAAAACTTCCAGCACAGCACAAGACAACCAGGTGCACCTGTTGCACAACATGACCGTTGCGCTCGTTTGTGCTACCGCGGACGCATGGGGAGTCACACAAATTTCATCCCGTTCGTTGTGACTATCAAGCTGTCTCGGTGCTGCACGCTCAGGAACACCTGTTCATTCGTCCGCTCAGAACGAACCATCTCTGTGCACATCCGCTTACTGGGCGCAAGTTCATGTCGCCACGGGCGGTGACAGTTCCCCGACACAACCGACTGCAAGGATGGGGTACAGACAGAGCGGGCTTAGCGCACAGCTTTTCCCCTCCTGAAAGTGTGGAGTGATGTTGCAGAAGGCTCCGGGGGACGAGAGGGACAAAACGGAAAGACGCCGTGCAGCTGTAGGAGCAGCACTGAGGCAGAGATAGGACACCGCCTTTGCTGGCCTGGCTACCAATACATGCAGTGTCTTTCCCTTCCCCGCTTCAGGACCCTCAGGGGAATGTTGGACGAGTCTTGGGGATAGATAGATCTCGTCGACAAGACTTCGACCCGGCTCTCTGGATCTACGTAAATCAAATGTTTCTCATCTGAGGCAATCTAGGCGAGAGAGCTCGCCGGGCCGGGGCTAGCTCATCTGATCAAATAGAGCAACTGGCTGACATCATCGAGACGCGCGCGGCGAACAATGAACGTTAATCTCTCTCCAGGTGGGGGTTCTCCATCGCATACCCACAGTTCTCTTGTGCAAGGACTGGACGGTTCGTACGTCGTACATCCGGCAGTATTGTACTTGTAGTTCCCTGGTCTAGGTATCTCGATGGGTCCCAACTTCGCATGCATAGACCCGTATATAGGTAAGGTAGGTTAAGCACAAAACATCCTGACGAGAAGGCCCTATCGCAGGCTGTTGATTTTCAACAAGTGCAAAGGCACACGATGGAGACCGCTGATCCATTGCAGACGCTCGTGCATCTGAGCTGCGGGAGGCATGCCGGGGACCCGTATCACCATGCATGCAGTCGCTCGCCTGTCACGTCGGTGTGCTCTATCTCCCCTTCTATTTGTTTCTGTGCCAGGCAAAAGAGTGACGACGGAGCACTTTGCCTAGCAGATATGCAAAAGGAAACGCAGAGATCACAAGCGAGAAATGGCTTGGCTCCTGTGATTGTCTGCAAGATTATACGGCATTTCTCGACGAGCCGGCTTGAGAGGCTGCCGGGGCCCAACGCGCCTACACAACCCTAACCCCGTCATTCTTTGGGGGTGTTGTTTGGTGTTTCCTTACCATTCTTGCAGTAACAAGGCCCCCCCGACCCAATGACTGGCCGTGTCTCACATGCGCCATGACGGATCCTGGATGGATGCCAACCGTCATCAGGTAAAGAAAAGAAGGCGCCAATGCGCGATTGCATTGGCCTACCTCTTGTCGTTCGTTCCAGTTTAAAATATTTTGGGGTAAAAGTATTGCATGTACATTAGCATCCGGTTCCCACCCTCCTGGAACTCCCCTCTTAAGCTATCTGTACTTATAGATACTTCGACCTTGGTTTATGTATCCGGGTTCTCCCACCCCCTCTCTCCTCTTCTGCACCATTGGGCCTCTCTTCTCGTCCTCACGCCACTGCCGACCGTGCTCTCTCCGGCATCGCTTGTCCGCCTAGAGAACACGATCATGGATGACCGTTGTTGAAGAAGTCGTTCTGCCGGCCTAATTCGCGGTGTGAACCTCGGAACGGAGCCCTGCTAGTCATTTCTGCTGGGTCCGCTCGCAGAGTTTTGGTGTCTTGGGAGCTCCGTATTGGCGTGCGAACTCGATCCACCATCCACTACGTGCAAGGGTATCTTTTGGCATCTCCAGTCGTGTCTGTCGCCATACTCTTTTTCCCCTTCGCTTTTCTTTCCTCCATCCCAGCTTTTGCTCCCTCGAGGATCCTCCCGGATACATAGGCCTCACCCCCCAGCTGTTTTTGTCCATCTCGACCATCGACGAACCCGACCAGAGAGCAGCTGTAGCGGATTTCCGGTGCAAGTCGCACTGCGTCTCGCCGAATCATCAGCCACTGCAACGTGGGGCAAAGATGGGCTTTGCGTCATGCTCCTGGCCAGTATGGCGCGTTGACGACTTTACACATTGCTTCCAGCAAGAGTGAGTCTCCTTTCTCTCCCAGCGCCGCGCGCAGCCGATTGGGTCTAACGATGCATCTTTGCGCGATCCTAGTTACTTGAGAGTTTTACTTCCCTTAATTGTAATATGTATCTCGGCGGTATATCTCGGCGTGCAGGGTGTACAGCGGGCCATCAAGGTGAAGGGCAAGAAACATGCGTACGAGCCGATCCCGCACGAGGGCCGGAGGAATTCTGCCCTGCTTCACACGCAGATCCCTCCCGACGAGCGGCCACTCGACAGTGATGACGAAGAAGTCTTGAGTATCCACGGCGGCCGGCTGGCCCTGGCCAAGACGACGAGCCGAGCGTCGATCGTCGAGGCCGATAGGCCTGCTTACCAGACGATATCAGTGCTCGCGGAGGAGCTGGGTATAGTCGGGCTGGTCGTCATCAGTGCCGTCAATCTGGCGACGGGCGCCTTTCCGAGGCACGGCCGGTTGGGGGCTGTCGTCAGTCTGGCGACATGGATTTATGTCCTCGTCCTCGCCACGTTGAGGTTGTTCGTCGGCCATACGCAATGGCGTGTCCCGCACCTCTGGAACCACACTGCGACAATCTACTTTTTCCAATGGCTGTTCAGCATGGCCATCTTCCGCTCCGAGCTCCTCCGGCCGACTTCCAGGACGGCCCAAATCTTGGTCATTGTGGAATTCTCGCTGACGACCATCCTGTTCTTCATGGCCATCACGCGGAGGAAGGGCAACAGGACGGTGCTGCTCGAGTGGGAAGAGGACATTCCTCCGTCGCGTGAGGACCTGGCTTCGGTATTTTCGCAGTTCACCTTCGGTTGGGTCGACAGCATCATGTGGGAGGGATACAAGGAGGCGCTCGAGATGAACAGGGTCTGGAATCTTTTGCCGCGCGATAAGGCCGCGACGGTCATTGCCAATTACCGACAAGTCGTCAAGACGTACTCCCTGGGACTGCACCTCATCATGTACTTCAAAGGGTCCCTCCTGGCGCAGACTCTGTGGGCCATCCTTTCGGGCATTTTCCAGTTCGCCCCGACCATGTTGCTCAAGGCCATCCTGGAATATGTCGAAGACCCTGATCAGGCACCTCGCAACGTTCTCTGGCTATACGTTATCTTGCTTCCAATCACGGATATCATCCGGTCGATTGGAGACAACCAGGCGCTCTGGATCGGCCGCAAAGTCTGTATCAATATTCGCGCCATCCTGGTCGGAGAGATCTATGCCAAGGCCCTTCGTCGCAAGGCGGCTGCTGGCAAGGACACCGTTCTTGGCCACACCCCTGAGAACTCGGCTGAGGCCAAGGGTCTTCTTGCTACTTTGAAGCGGAAGTTGCGCATGTTCAAGAAGTCTGACGATAAGAAGCAGACCGCTCAGGCTAACGGCGCTTCGCCTGCGGACGAGACGGCCAAGAGCTCGGACGAGCAGGCCAACATCGGCACCATCATTAACCTCATGTCCGTGGACAGCTTCAAGGTGTCCGAAGTGACAGCCTACCTTCACTTCCTTGTTGCATCAGCACCGACCCAACTCATCGTGTCGATTTACCTGCTCTACCGAGTCATGGGCTTGAGCGCCATTCCCGGCTTCATCGTTATGGCGTTGCTCCTGCCTGTCAATATCGGATTCGCCCGAGGTTTCAACTCGAGCCAGAAGAAGATTATGGCTGCAACTGACAAGCGCATCCACACTACGAACGAGATCTTGCAAAATATCAGGATCATCAAATACTTTGCATGGGAGCACCGCTTCAGCAACATTGTGGACGAGAGGCGCAAGGCGGAGCTCAAGGCTCTTCGCACGCGTTTCATGATCTGGGCGTCTGCTGTTGCCGTCTGGAACACCGTGCCCATTCTCATTACCTTCTTCTCGTTCCTGGTCTACACCCTCATCGAGAAGAAGCCTCTGTATCCGTCCGTCGCTTTCACGGCTATTTCTCTGTTCATGCTTCTCCGATACCCGCTTGACCAGCTCGGAGACATGATCGCCCACGTTCAGGAGTCCAAAGTCTCGATCGATCGCATTGAAGAGTTCCTGAGCGAGGAGGAGACTGATAAATTTGAGCAGCTCGGAGATGACAATATCGACGAGAATGGCGAGCGTGTCATTGGCTTCAGAGGCGCCGACTTTATTTGGGGTGCCAGAGATGCTGTCGCCGAAGATGGCTCGATGGCTTTCCGCCTGCTGGATATCGAAGTTGAATTCGAGATTGGGAAACTGAACGTCATCACTGGACCCACGGGCTCAGGCAAAACTTCCTTGCTCATGGCGCTGTTGGGTGAAATGACGCTGCTCAATGGCCGCGTTTTCCTTCCTGGAGGACGGAGTCGTGAGGATGTCCGTCCCGACCCCGAGACCGACCTTGCTGAGACTTGCGCCTACGTCGCCCAGCAAGCGTGGTTGGTCAATGGAACGATCAAGGAGAACATTCTCTTCTCGGCACCATTTGACGAACGACGGTATAGGAACGTCATTGTCGCTTGTGCACTTGAGCGCGATCTTGAGATTTTGGATAACGGCGACGAAACACTGGTCGGCGAGAAGGGCATCACGCTGTCTGGCGGTCAAAAGCAACGAATTTCCTTGGCTCGCGCTGTCTATTCCAACTCCTTGCACCTCCTTCTCGACGATTGCCTCAGCGCGGTGGACTCGCACACTGCTCAGTGGATCTTCAACAACTGCATCAGCGGCCCAATGATGCGCGGCAGGACATGCATTCTCGTTACCCACAACATCCCGCTCTGCGTGCCGCACGCACACCACGTGGTCATCATGAACAACGGCCGCATCGAGGCTCAGGGCCCAGCACAGGACGTCATCGCCACCGGCAAGCTCGGCGAAGAGATCCAGAGATCGCGCCCCGGGTCTGCTAGTGTATCGAGGATTCCGTCTCGCGTTCCATCGAGCGTTGGCGAAGACAGCGGCGAAACGTTGGTCGATAACAACGACGACAACCTGTCTAAGCCGAGAGCGGCCAAGAAGGAGAAGAAGAACAGCCTGCCGGAGGAGACCAAGGCCACCGGCGCTGTCAAGTGGCCAGTCATGAAGCTGTACCTGACCTGCATGGGATCCTGGTGGTTCTGGTTCATCGCCATTGCCGTGTTTTCCCTGCAACAGCTGAGTGGCGTTGCCTCGAATGTTTGGATCAAGGAGTGGGCCAACCAGTACACGACGGAGGAAGTGTCAAGAATTCAGTTCTCTGCAAACTCGCACAGCTACTCTTCGCCGTCCATCTCGACGACCTATTTCGCTTCCATCTCGACGTATGTCAAACAAACCAACTGGCTGGAGAGGAACTCTACCGTATTCGACTCGCCCACGGCTCTTCAGGCGGTCATGGAGCCTCAAGTCAATGTGCCTTACTACCTGCTCATCCTCGCGCTTATTGGGCTGGCGAGTGCGGCATTTGCTCTGGCCCGCGACTTGTGGATCTTCCTTGGCTCTCTGACGGCATCGTGGAAACTGCACAACCAGCTCATGACATCCGTTGCATTTGCTAAGTTCAAATTCTTCGACGTCACGCCACTGGGCCAGATGATGAACCGTTTCAGCAAAGATCTGGAGGCTGTCGACCAAGAAGTAGCTCCCATTGCCATCGGAGTTATGAGCTGCGCTCTGGGCATCGTGGTCACCGTGGTCCTGATTGCGGTTATCACGCCTGGCTTCCTGATTGCTGGTATTTTCATCACTGCTCTCTATGTCCTTGTTGGCAAGTTCTACCTCGCCGCTTCCCGCGACTTGAAGAGGCTCGAGTCTGTGCAGCGGAGCCCCTTGTTCCAGCAATTCGGCGAGACTCTGAGCGGCGTCACGACAATCCGCGCATATGGCGATGAGCGACGTTTCATTCGCGACAACCTCTCCCGGATCAACGCTCAGATTCGTCCTTTCATATACCTTTGGGCAGCTAACAGATGGCTCGCATTCCGGACGGATATCCTGGGTGATCTCGTGTCGTTCTTTTCTGGCGTCTTTGTCATCCTCAGCCTCGGCGTCATCGATGCCGGTTCTGCGGGTATGTCGCTCAGCTACGCCATCGGTTTTGCTGACAATATCCTCTGGCTGGTTCGTCTCTATGCCATGAACGAACAGAACATGAACTCGGTGGAGCGTATCAAGGAGTATCTGGATGTCGAGCAAGAGGCGGCGGCCGTCATCGAGGACAACCGGCCACCAGCCAACTGGCCGAGCCACGGATCTGTCGAGTTTATCAATTATACGACCAGGTACCGGGAGGACCTTGAGCCCGTTCTGAAGAACCTGAGCTTCAGGATCAACTCGAAAGAAAAAGTGGGTATTGTTGGCCGGACAGGTGCAGGCAAGAGTTCGCTGGCACTGGCAATCTTCCGCGCTCTCGAGGCCGAGGAAGGCAAGATCCTGATTGACGACATTGATATCGGCCTGATCGGGCTTCGGGACCTCCGCGAAGCCATCACTATCGTGCCCCAAGAACCGACTTTGTTCACCGGCACCATCCGGTCCAACCTGGACCCCTTCGAGATCTACACGGATGAGCAGATCTTTGCTGCTCTCCGCCGCGTGCAACTCATTGCGCCTCACGAGTCCACCACCCGGCCGACCACTCCCCTTATTCCATCGGCCGGCAACAGCATCCTCGGCCCGGAAGACTCACCTCGGCCGGCGGCCACGAACAAGAACGTCTTCCTCGACCTCTCGTCGCCGGTCAGCGAGTCCGGGTCGAACCTGTCGCAGGGCCAGCGGCAGCTGCTGTGCCTGGCGCGGGCCATGCTCAAGGAGCCGTCGGTGCTGGTCATGGACGAGGCGACGGCGTCGATCGACTACGCGACCGACTCCAAGATCCAGGAGACGATCCGGGAGCTGACGTCGACCATCATCACGATCGCGCACCGGCTGCAGACGATTGTCGACTACGACAAGGTGCTGGTGCTGGACAAGGGCGCCGTGGTCGAGTACGGGCACCCGTGGGAGCTGATGCGCAACAACAAGGACGGCTACTTCCGGTCCATGTGCGAGATGAGCGGCGACTACGACGTGCTGGCCAAGGCGGCGAGGAAGGCTTTCCGGGACAAGAACTTGATTGATGTCGATGATGATGAGGATGCTGGTGCTGGTGCTGAGGGAGGAGGTGCGGGCGCTGGTGCTGCGTGATGGCGGGCGCTCTCATGACCCCTGGGAGGGAGGCAAAGTTGTTGAATCTGTATCGATGGTACCACTGACGGGGTACCTTAGTCGGGCTGTTTTTTTTTTTTTTTTTTGTAAATATCATGGTGGCGTTGCACGGACACTATAGGCGTTATCATGCTGCATATGTTGCTGTTGGTAACTAGACATGATTGTTTTCTCTTCTGAAACTGGTGTTTCTATCTCTACTCAGTGATACTCGGTGATGGCTGGCAAGGCCATGCTTGCTAGGTTCATGTGTGTAAGTGGGTTCTCGAGGCTAAGGTTCTGTCTAACTATCGTAGGTACCTAGCCGACCCTCACAAAGTCAACTCCACACTCGCTTGACTAACAGAGATGACAATTTTGACAACTACCTGCCTCGGTACTTCGTAAGTAGAGAATTGCAAAAAGGAGGAAGGAAAAAGACCCAAAAAAGAAATCAACCTGGGGCAAACCGGCTTTGATCCGGTGACCTCCTGAACTCGAGGGACGTTACTCCTTCACTCAGACGCGACTCCCAACTGCGCCATTGCCCCTGATTGGTCGGATTCCCGCCGCCTTATTTTTGCTTATGCAGCGCTCACACACAGGCACAAGGGGTTCACATGCTCTCATTCTAAGATGTGCCCCTCCATCATAATAGTGATCTGAAACCCCGATAAGTAAAGACCATCGCCAACACATCAACCAAGTGACCATCACAACTTTGCGCCATAGCTACAAAGAAGCATATAAGGAAATCTTCTTAGGAGAACTTATTAGTCATCACTTTGCGCAAAGCAACAGAAGTTGAGGGCAAAGATGGAGGTGCAGAATCCCCGCCGGATACTGGCCGTCTCACTAGATGAGTCCGCAGACCATCTCAGCAAATTCATCAAGGGTGCGTTTTGATCTCATATCCTCACACAGGCTCCTCATCATACTGACCCCTCCGATCCTCCGCAGACCTCACCGGCACACTGCCCGAACCGTCGTCTGCGGCCCCGGTGCAAGAGACAGAAGATTCGTCGTCATCATCATCATCACAACCACCACCACCGTCAACGGATCCCGCTGCCGCCGAGGCGCCCGCGGACTCGGCGGCGGCGGCGGCGGCGGCGGCGGAACCCTCCCTGGCGGGGACCACGCACCACCTGCCGCTCAAGACGCCCTACTACACGGCCCGGGTGCCCGTGTGGCTGGACCTCGTCCCCGCGTCCTCGCCGGCGGACTGGGCGTCGGCCTTCCTGGCGCCCGAGGCGGCCGAGGTGCGGGCCGCGCTCGGCGGGCTCGTCGTGGTCGTGCACCTGGCGGCGGCGGAGGCGGCGGCGCGGTCGAGAGAGCTGCTGACGCACGCGGCGCGCCTGGTCGAGAAGGGGCTCGGGGGCTGGGGCTGGGACGGCGTAGGGCTGGCGGTCGTGGTCCTTGGTGGTGGTGGTGTGCAGGACGAGGTTGTGCTCGAGGAGTGGGAGGACTTGTGCGCCCGGGGTGGGCTGGAGATGGTGCGGGTTGGGGGCATGGACGATGGGGCGAGGAATGAGTTTGGAGGTGAGTTTTTTTTTTCTTCCTTTTTTTTTTTCGTTTCTTCCACTCGTGTGGTGTTTTACGAAGAGAAGAGGTTGCTGATGCAGGAGTGTGGCTATTCAGAGAAGACGGGCATACCGCGGGTGCTGGAGGCGCTGGAGGCGAACGACTGGTCTGCGGCGCCGAGTTTCTTCGGGGCAGGAGGGGAGTTTGATGACGATGACGACGAGGAGGAAGCGGACTTTGGCGAGTTTACGGGGTCGCTGGAGGACGACGACCTGGAAGACATGAACTTTGGGATCGGCAAGGACGACCTCGCCGAGCTGCGGAAGGCGATCTGGAACGCGGAGCAGCAAGAATCACACGCGAGCAAGCCAGCGGGGGCAGCTGCAGAGTCTACAGAAGAGGGCCAGGCAAAGGAGAAGGAGACGAAAGAGGCTGGTGGTGGCACGGGGCCTGACGAGGAAGGCGAGCAAGTTGGCGACGATGACCTGCAGAAGCTGGAGGGCATGATGCGTAAGCTGCAGGCAGTGCGGGACATGAGCGCGGGTCTGCCGGAGGATCAGAGGAGGAGGATGGCGGCGCGAGCCGTCGGGGAGGTGATGCGAGACCTCTGAGAGGGATTCTCTCCTGCTTCACGAGAGCAGTGGCATTGCACATTGTTACTGGTTTCGGCGTGCTGACGGATGCATGCATCATCTTAACCTACGATATATTTTACGACGGCTGAGGTTGATGTGCATTTGGGAGATTACATATCTGCACTTTTTTGTTGTTTGGAGCCTCGTTCTCCAGTCAGTACCTACGTAAACATTACATGCAGCAGTGACCGGGTCAGGCCAGGGCGTAGAGATGGGCCGAACTTGTCCGGATCGTCCATGCCAGCGAAACAGCCACAACCTCGCCGGGTTAGACATGCCTGTCATGGGTTACACTTTTGCTTTTTTTTTTTTTTTTTTTTTTTTTTTGCCTCAAGAAGAAAAGAGGCAGATCGACCGTTTGAAGTCAATCTCGTACAGGCAGGAGGCAGCAATAGCCTGAACATACCCTGTCCGGCCCGCCTGCATGGCGCATCGGAGAATCAGCCCTCTGTCTCTCTCTCTCCCCTGTCCTTAGCACCACACCTCGAGTACCTGGCTCTAGGTATTAATGCCCAGCCCGTGCTTGACAGGTCTACTCCGTAAAAGTCGTAAGAGGTGCAATTATATGGGCGAGGGTCGCGTCTCAATTCCGGGGTAGGATTGCCCTAAATAGCAGCAAATGCCGTGTCATGGTATTTCGTGGAGAACAGGCGTCGACCAGGCTGGTGTTTCATAAAGGAAGAGAGCCGGTTCTAGAAAAGTGGTCCACCGACCGGGAGAGCTATCCATCTACTTGTACCTACCATCCCAGGGAAATACTCTTGTCCGCAAAAGGAATGACGTGACGCTGTCGACATGCCCGTGGCTGGCCCTCGCATTCCAGACTGTCTTTGACTTCCCACGAGGTCCCGTCCCGATTGGGAAAGCCAAAGATTCCTCCTTTATGCGTGCGTGCACATGCTTGGCTGCCAGTCTCGCTCACCCCCTTTCTTGACGCGCGCGCAAAAAGGGACAGGTGCGCGCGGAGAAAAGCGCCGAACAGTCGAGGCTTGGGGGGAGGGCCGGTGATCATTTATGCGTGATGCAGCGCTCCTTTTCTCGCCCGTTGGTAGATGGTTCCCGTCAGCCTGCATGCCGCTATTGGTTCCTGCATCTGATCCTCCCCCTCCTCCCCATCCTCCGACTCGCACAGCCCCGCGGCATGGACGACAGAGCTCTTTTCGCAGCGTGTATGGCTTCAGGCGCAGAAAGCGAGTGTTGCAGAGCAGGGGATTTCGGAAAGAAGCCCAGAGGCAGATGCAACGCAGTGTGAAGTGTGCACGGGTACCTGCATCAATCAATGGGACGGCTGAAGTTGAATTGGCACTTCCGCGAGTGAACGGACCACACCAACCAGCATGAGGGCGATCGGGAACCTGGGCGGCCTGTCATGCACATCGTTTCTTTTTTTTTCTTTTTTTCCCAGGCTAGCAATGCATGTGCTAGTAGATCCGTACAAGTGAGGGAAAAAGCGCCATCATCGTGTGCTCACCACCACCCATCCCTACAGAAGAACGCCATTTGGCGGCTTTGACCTCACGGAGGAGGAGGGCCGACACGGAGAAGCACGCTTGCTTCTTTTCCTCTACACGGCGGCAGTGCACCCCGCCACCGACTCTGCTCTTTTTGAGTATGCGAAACACGCGAGGCGCCGAGGGTGGCAATGTGTCAGACAAGCACCTTGGCTTGCTGGAATGCAGAAAGCATTCCAGCCCGCGGGTAATCCCTCGATGGGTCCATTCCAGCACGCAGTCTCCATCGAATTGCCTGCCCCTCGTACTCACGAGAGTGCTTCTTCATTGGTTGATCACTTAAATGTCTTCTGCCGTACACATTTCTGTCTGGATTCGCCCGACCGGGCAAGACGGAGGTGCGCCGGGCTTGCTACCTTGCTACTTGCCCAAGCCACAAAAGCGAGCGCGAGAGAGGATCATGGATCCTCACCCCACGCTAATGCTGTGCACATCAAAACCGTGCCGCTTCATGCTGTGAGCCAGGGTGGCCCAAGTGGCCCAAGGTCTGGTGCCCTCCTTGTCAGAGAGCAAGAATAAGAAAGACAGGGGAGAGGGAGAAAAAAGATCAGACGAAAGAGAGATGTGTGTGTGTGTGTGTCGCGGTTCGACAAGGTCGTGGACCTGGTAGTCTACAAGTAGGTAGGTACGCACCAGACCAATTGGGATCGCATTCTAGCCCGCTTCAAGCCAGGATGTGCAGAGGGGATATGCAGCGGCCGGAGCCAATTGGAGGCGCGCATCGGGCGCGAGTGCAGCCAAGGCGGGTCGTCCTGCAAGGTACGCCCGCTCGATCCAGGGGTAAAAGTGGGGAGCGGCCTGGGTCTAGTCCAACGCTACACGGTCAGCTTTCAGGGGGTAAAAGGGTTGATCCCGTCTCCACGCACAGTGCGCCGCCTCTCTCTCTCTGTTCTGTTCTTTCTGGATGAGACCATGGTGGCCAGTCAGCGGTCGGTCGGTCAAGTGACGGGCGACTTGTACAACACGCACAAAAGCACGGTCGTCGGGAACCAGTTGAGTCAGTAGGGCTTGCCAAGAACGCTTCGCTGCTCGGCTCAGAGCACCAGGCATCAGACAGCAACTGTGGCGAAACACGGTCTCTCCCAGCTGTTTTGTCGCGCCGGCGCACCGGCCTGAAAGAGGAAAGCGATGCCACGTCCTTGTCTCAGGAACCGCCATGTCGACTGCGGCAATCGAGGAAGAGATCACTACTTCGTACGCTGGGGACGGACAGGAAGCTGTCAAAGGCACAACGCTGAGGACAAACTTTCAAACGGGCAGCTACCCTACCTTAGGTAAGTATATCGTCACTCAAGCTCGTGGAAACAGGGGGGGAGTTCATTCGCATCCACAAAAGGAAGAGGATTTCTCTCCTCGTCCTTGCTGGCCATGACCAGGCTCCAGGGAGAGCCAAGTGGCGCATAAACATTCTGGAACAGCCTGGATCCAGTGGCACGCAGACTAAGACGCAAGCCTAAGACAGAGTTCTGTATCTGGTCGCTCGCCTTTTGACTCGGTCCTTATGTGGTTACCTATGTGGCAGGCATTCGCGATGGAAGGAGTACTCCGTAGCTCGAATATCATACCGAGTCAAGTCCTTCTCGGTCTGGGAAACCACACAAAGGCATGTCTCCGTATTCGTGTCCTGGCACATGCAGAACTAAATGGCCAATGCCTTCGTCAACTAGTGCCCGCGAGAGGGATGGCATTGGGCCACGAAACGCGCTTGGCGGGCCGCGCCTCGGACGGAGGCGTGCACCACCGAGAACCGTCCATCACCAAAACAATGCCCGGACTCCCCCTCCGTGGATTGGCGTGGGATCTCTTAGACTGCAAAAAGCCCACCGGGCTTCTTGATAGACGCAAGGCCCAACCCCAATGAGGCAGGGCGTCTCCAGTGAGGCCAAGGAGCCGTTGGTTCCAGATGCGGAAGTGCTCTACAAAGAGACCGGGCTTGAGAAAGCTCTGAACAAGCTGACTTTCCAAGTACGTAATTTTCTCTCCTCGAACACAAAGAGGAGGCACGTAGGCACAGGTTGAAGGGCTGGCGGACTTGGACGGCCAACCCACTCCACTGATCCTGAAGAGTTGACGACAACCTCCAACACTGCGTTCCAAGTTTCGTAGAGAATCTGTCAGCTGCGGAGCGGATACCTAGCTCCTCCTGTGAAGCACTGTCTGTTCCAGTGCCTCCACATACTGTACGTCTAGTCTCAGATCCCAACCACGACGGTAGTCTCCATTGGGCTACGATTTGCATGACACGAGCGTGGACAGGCCCAGTGAAACATTCTGACGGGCACTCGATCCTGGACAGGAAGGCCGTACAAGTAAAACTCCCCCCAAGGAGGGTCCTTGGGGGTCCTTCCAAGCATGCCCCGCGCCTCTCAAGGACAGCACCGTTTTGGCAGGTCTTCCCTCAATTGAGTGTGTTTGCAATTCGTTTGCCCTGTAAGTTGTAGAGGAAGCGAATCATGCGAGACGTGATAACTACTCCGTACCTAGGTAGTCAGTGCGTTTGCTAAATGCCCATGAACACGCGCCTTGAGCTACGGCTGCACGCATTGTTAGCTAAGGTCTCACCCGCCTTCTGTCTACAATTGCCGGTCTTTGCTGGGTGCTAGATCTCCAGGGTCACAATGGCTCTACAGTTCGCTTCGCCGTTGGTATGGATAGACACAGGCACGGAACTACGTCTTAGTTGCAGCACAAGCTTGTCGCCCACATTTCTTCGGGGGGATCGGTGCGAGGGTTATCGCGAGCCACGAGCTTCACCAAGCCTCACCTTCTCTCACCTTGCCCGCCGCGTACGATCATCCCAGCCAAACAGAAACACCACTTTTACGAGCAGCATCCTTCTACTCGCAACTTTGCCTGACGGTGTGGCGCCAGCAAGACAGACAGGCATGCAGACACCAAAAAAAAAAGTCGCGTTACTTTTTTCCGTTCAGGGAGATGCGGAAGCTCAACCCCTGTACTTGTACTCGAACCTGCGCATGTGGCACCGCCTCTCTCCCGACTCGTTCTCTTGCTCTCCTGAGCCCGCCTGTGCCGTTTTTGGTCCGTCCGGTCCACGCTCCGCATGACGGGAGACCCCGGTCAAACACAACCCACCAGGTCGCATCCTGGCTGTTTTGGGCTCTTAGCGTTCTTCTTCTCGAGCCCTTGTCCCTTCCCTTTGTACGGAGTAGGTACAAGGACAGTGCGCCACGTTTATGCCAAACAGAGAGAGACAGGATCGGATCTCGCAGCGCGTGCCTCTCTCGTATGTTTGGTGGGAAAGGCAGAGATCAGCAGTATCCAATGCTCCCCTCACGGCGCCCTCAAAGCAGAGCCTTGGGGCAGCTTGTCGTTCAGGTGGCCATAATTGGAATACGATTGGTGTGAGTGAAGCATCCGGCCAAAGAGACAGGCCGTGGACAAGACTGATCGTGTGGTGCAGTCGGAGGCGCATACTTCGCAGGGGTGGTACCGGATGTATGCGGTACCCAATCGCCTTTGAGAGTCGGAATGCAGTTCCTGATCCTCTCGCCATGGACAACGAGACCTAGGGTCGGAGTAACTGTTAGACACCGCAGGAAGTGGAAGTCGATTTAGTACTTGTACTCTGCCGGTGTGTCCAGTTATGCATCACCATGCATGTGTGTAAGTACTACTGCAGGCACCATGTCCCCTGGCTGTAAGGTACCCGCTGCACCCGATGGTTCCTGGACGGCGCCTCGTTGGCTTGACCGGTGCGAACTCCACCGATCCTCGCTCGCTCTCGACTGGCTGGAGCCCGTTTGACCACCCACCCCCAGCCATCATCCTGCAAAGATAGGTTGTCAGCCCTCCGTGTTGTTGGTGCATAGAAATAGAAATATCGATTGTGCGCGTGTTTTCCCTTTCGGCATGAAACTGGCGGGGAGGTATGGGCTCGGCCATGCCTCGAAGTGGTTTGTGTTTGGGTCGAGACAACGATGTCACCCGAAGCCAGTGGTAAATACCTACCTAGGTTAGGTAGTAGTGACGGACTGACCATCACCAACGATACAAACATCTTGGGTCGTGCAACTCGTCCATAGCTCTCGACTGGGCGCGTTTGTCCACTGATCTACGTGCTGACCGGCCTCTCGGATGATGCAGAGGAGACCAGACAGTCAGCACACACTCACAATGCATGGGATGGATGGATGGACGGATGGATCGACTGTTTGTAGGTACCTGTAGCTAGAGGAGGAGAGAGAGAGTCCGAGAGTGGGTTTTGGAGCCCTCTGACTGGCGGCGGCGTGGAGACGCTGGTCGCAGTGGAACCCAGTCTGGTCCAGGTGGTGTGTGAACCGCCCTTTTTCGGCGGCCCACACTCCACTGCCCAGCAGAGAGAGTGGCCTGTCTCTCTGGCTCACAAGTGCTGTCTGCCACACCCGCAACAGCCCGCCGCGCACACCAGCACCAGACTCGGTGCAGTAGGTATCGCTGCCCTCCACTGGGGTGTCCGTCCCGTGCAGTCCAATCCATCCCATCCCATCCCATCCACCTGCAGTCCTGCACACACCACCCATCCCCATGTCCCGTTTTGGCGCCTCTGGCTTTTTCTACCGCCTATCCCCCCTCCTTTCCCCTTCCCTCTCCCTCCCCTTCCTGTCTTTTCTTGTCCATCCCGCGATCGCCTCTTCGTGAATTGTCGTTTGCTCGACAATCCTTTCCTCCTCTTTCTCTCTTCCCCGCTTCTATTTCCATTTCGCTTTTACTCACCACAGTCGCTCCCTAGACTTCGTAATTCAGCCCCCCCTCATCTTGGGTTTCCGTTCACTCCTTTACGGACCCGTTACACTTTCCTTGCCGGCTTGAATCACCGCTTTTTCAGAGGTCGACGTTCTGGAACACCCTTGAGGGCCCCCGGACGATCACTTCGACACGGTTAACAAATACAACCTCCTATCCTCTTTGTCAGGATTAGGACGACGCTCCTTAGCAGATTTCTCTACTATCATTTACAAACATCCAATATTCAGTCCTGGCCGACCGATAGCCAGCTAGCCGATCCTTCAATACCCTCGAACCACCACGACCCGACGTCAAGAAACCCCCCTACCCCGAAGAGTCGACTGTGCGAGACATTCGATCGACCCCTACGACGCGTTCCTCCCCGTGACGTCCCTCACCCATTACCGGGTTTTTCTTTCCTAGCAAACGAGAGGACCGAGATTCGAGACGTGTCGTATCGATTGCTCTTTTAATAGAGATTTGGCACTCCCTCCACAGCCCGAAATGGCCACCGAGGTAAAGCACGAGCCGCTTGCGGCCATGCAAACGCCTGCTCCTATCCACGATGCCACTCCCGGCTCGACACCCTCTATGAAACAGTCCTCAACGCCCTCACCTTCAGCTCCCTCCAATGGGCAGTCGTCCGCCTCGCGCCGCCCTCCGCGAAAGAGCACCCTGACGCAACAGCAGAAGAACCAGAAGAGGCAGAGGGCAACCCAGGACCAGCTCACGACGTTGGAGCTGGAATTCAACAAGAACCCCACACCCACTGCCACCGTCCGAGAGCGGATAGCGGAGGAAATCAACATGACTGAGAGGTCTGTTCAGATCTGGTTCCAGAACCGGTAAGTTGGAATGTGCATTACCGAATCAAGGCATCAAGTACAAGCCACTAACGGTGACCGATAGACGTGCAAAGATTAAGCTTTTGGCAAAGAAGAGCCTGGAGACGGGCGAAGACATTGACCTCATCCCTGAGTCCATGCGCGCCTATCTGGCCATGCAAGCTGCCGAGACTGGCAAAGGTCTGGGGGGCGCCTTCTTTGGCCGCACTGGTCTTCTGCCCTACGGTCACGGCAACATGCTTATGGGCGGCGAGCAGAGCCAGCAGGGCAAAGTCTGTGAGTGTAACCCAAGAACACGCCTAGTGCATGGGCTAGGTTGCCTACAGAGACACTAACACGCGGGTGCAGTGATTCACCACTTGACATGCCGCTCCCTGAGCATTGGCAAGTGGACGCGAGTCGGCCAGAACACCATGGATCTCATCGTCTTCTACTCCCCCGACAAGTGTACCATGACTTATTACATCAATAACGAGCAGGCCGGCTACAAGATCGAGTACACGTTCGCCCACATCAAGAACATCTATCTCGAGAACGGCGAGGGAGACCCGAACAAGCACGGTGGCATCGTGATTGAGCTCAATCGCCCGCCAAACTTCTTCATGGATTCGTCGCCGAGCACCAACGGATTCTTCCAGTGCGGTGACTTCACCGAGGACCAACAAGCGACGCAATGCCTCGTCCACCATCTGGGCGGCAACCCCAAGGTCCTGGCCGGCCAATTGGCCAAGCTCGTCTCGCTCGAGTCCTTCATGAACCGCCACAACCCCAACCCCTTTGACGCCTTCCACGGCCTCTCTGCCTCCGCTCCCGTCTCTCCTACGAACCGGCCCTCGTCCCAGCCCAACTTCGCGCAGCCCCATGTTGGCATGTACCAGGAGACCCAATGGGGCATTGGGGGTGTTCACCCCGGCATGCGTGGACCCGGCCACAAGCGGCAACGAAGTCGATCCGTTCCCATGGCAGTCGATTTCTCCATGCTGCAGACGCCGATGCCTTCCTTCTACATCCAGCATCCAGGCGAGACGCAGCCCCAGCCGCACAGCCCCGCCATCTACGCGCCCATCCCCCAGCAGCCGAACTCGCTTGGTCCCGTTGGCCCCAACTTGCGGATCGACACTCAGGCAGGCTTCGGTCTCGACATGAGGCAGTATCCCATGTCTGCGACGACAGCCCCTTCGCCGTCGGACTTCCCCAGCCCCAATTTCTTCTCCCAGGCGCCCGAGAACACGCCGCTCCCAGCATCGAGCTACAACACTCCTTACAGCAGCACGTTCCTGTCTCCTATGATGAACGCGCAAAACCTGGTCGCACCCTCGGTTTCTCCTCTCTCCTTTACCGGCCACGGCGATCCTGCCATTGTTGACCAGTCCCCGCCGATGTCGATGATTGGGCGCAGCGCCTCTGCCGACATGTTCCCGACGCACGGCGATTCTTCAGCCATCTCGGACGACGGCACCAGCCTGAACGAGATGTACTCCAAACACACCATCAACCTGCCAATGCACCCGCACTCCCCGGCCTTCCTGGACGCCAACCAGGCAGAGCTGGACATGAACCAACTCGTGCAGTTCGACGCGGTTGATCCTGCCAGCTTGTCTCCCGAGAGCCTCCCGCCAAACGCTCAGTGAGCAGACCTCATGTGACTTGATCACAGCTCCGAAACGGGCATCAGCACGATAGTCCGTGGGGCTGCCTACTGGTTGAGTTTTGTTGTGCACATGGCAAGGAGAACAGCTATGTGTTTGTGATTGCTCCTTGAAGGCGTTGGGGATTCCTATATATACCAGAAATCCATGGGCGAGCATTCTGCTTGGCCATGGCTCTTTCACCATTCCGCTCCATTTGGTTCTTGCTTCTTGGCGAAGGCCATACCTCTCTCTGTTCTTGTTGCATTTCTTTGTTCAGGGCCACGAATGTGCATGACGATACTATTTTTAGATTATTGATCATGCGTGTCTGGCACAGCGGTCGTACTCTATTTGCTTTCGAAAATTTTGTCCATGTTTCTCAGCATTTGCTCACTTCTTGACGGCGACACCCAAAGGTTGTTGTTGCTGGTTCACTGGGGTTAATATGCCGCTCTCAGTGACTCTTAATATCTAGTCACAAGTACATCTGTGGGCTACGAGGCCTGTACGGTTCAGGGATCTTGAGTTATTTCGTTGGTTCTTTTGATTCGGCTACAGATGTTTCTTGTCTTTTCTTTTTCGCGGCGATGTCGGAAGAAAGGGGGGAAGCCCTGGAGGCTGGTTTTTCCTTGTGTCGAATCGGAAAGGGCCATACAGGGTATAAGGAAACATGAGAATATACCTCGGCGAGCTCGCAGCAAGTAGCTCATTGCTACTCTCGCTTCTGCTCGTCTTTCTTGCAGGTTGGGGTCAACTCTGGATAGGAGATGTCTTCCGCCGAGACCAGTGAGCCGGAGTTTTTTTTTGAGGATCCGTGCTTCCTGGTGTCTTTTCTTTCAACATTCATACATTAGTTGGATGATACAGCACACACAAAAAAAAAAGAATCAAAGGTCTTAAATTCGTCATGAATCCCTGCAGGTTCTGCCGTGATGCGTTTTGTGACTGTCGATTTTCATCTTGACGTGTGGGGGGGCATCGAGTCGGGCAATCGGGATCTAGGCTCGAAAGCTGAGCCCTTCAGCTCGTAGTACCTAGCTGCATTGCTAGCTTGCTGGTTATGTATGCCTTGAAGCAGAACAGAATAGGACTAAGGATACATGATGGCTGCGACGGAGGATGGGCTTGCTTCCTAATGACTCTCTCACTGCATGGAAAGGTCCCTAGCGTGTCACGCGGGCTTGCTAATGTTGGTCCGTGTTGGCTATCCTCCTCTCCAGGAGGACAATCAAGGAGGGCTGTAAGTGTCCCCGATACTCCGCCGAGCTGAACCTCTACAGCCAGCTGATCTGACTTACTGGCGGTAAGGCTGAGTGAGTGTTGCGTCAGAGCTATCTGGCTTGGAGTCGGTAGAGTTTGGCCAAGGCCTTGTACTAACTTTCCGTTTTTGTGGGTTCGGACGGGATGCGATATGTGGCTGAGGATAGCAAGTCATGTTGGAGGAGGTCAGATCGTGTTTGTGTAACACAGAGCTCTCTTGGTTCTACATTACTTGGCGGCGGGCGTCCTTTTCTTGGTGAAGTCGTCATCATCAGTATCGCGGGCAACGGTCAAGCTGGCCGGGGTTGGACTTTTCCATCTGTGGTGATGTTTCAGTGGTCTGGTTCTCTTATACGGTGGGCATTGACACGATTGTCCGCGTTGGTCGTCAAGAAGGATCTTTTACTCAAAAGCCAAATGACGCCTCAGACAACTTCCTCCCGCAATGGGGGTTCGGGTGGCCTCTGGCGCAGATCTCCCATTTCAATTCTGGCGCAGATCCCGACCCGAGTCAAGTCGTGGAAGGATTGATTGCCAAGCATTAGGATGGATTGGATATGTGGACCGGACTGTTCGCCTTCAATGTTGTTCAGAGTGGCATCAAACCACTACGGAGTGCAGAAAAGGGCTGGGTTCACCACGCTGCGACTGTTTGTCTCGTGTCGGGGCCCTCCCCGGAGGAAAGGCCGAGTATGGGTGGCCATACAGGCCAAGGCGAAGTCTCTATGGCGTTCTTGTGGCCACTAGGAGTAGTTCGTGGGCGAATCCAGAGGCTGTCAATGGTCGGAATGGGCCAGCGCTGGTGGCCATGCAGAGCAATGCACACCACCAATGTTCCAGGCTGGCTGCCATGCAGGGGTTAGGGGCTTTACCAAGAATACCTGGCTCTGGGATTCGCTGGACCTCGCCCTTTTCCCACCTTTTTCCCATCCAAGTGTGGGTGGGGGCGAAGGTTCCAAGGTTCCTTTGGGGAGTCGGGAAAAAGCTTGGCCCTTCTGCGAATTGCCTGCGAACTTACGGGGGGACGAATTGCGTCAACGGCCTGGACTTGGGAGGCGGAGCCCGCGACGCAGGAAGCACCTGAGATCCTTGTTTTGGGGCTGGCGGGGTCCCGAATCAGCGGATCGGCGTATCAATGGCGAGGCCAAAGGCACTGCAGGCAGCAGAGAATGGCCAGATCAACCGCACTATATGCATCATCGTACACGAGAACGTTCCCGCCTCTCTGCATCGCATTACACTACATTACATTCGGTATTCTGCACCATCTGCAGTCGAAACCATCGAGCCGTTCCTGTTTCTCTTCATTGTCCCGATATCGTCTGCATACCTAACTACCTACTCCCAAGTCTCTCCGCCGGCCCCTTGCAACATTCTTCCCCGCCTTCTCCTAGAGCCCCCGGGTCTTATTCCCATTCCGCTATCGTCAAGCGCATAGCCTAGCGGGTTATTGGCAGCCTAGACCCCGACAGCCGGCCACCTGTTCTTGGCTGCCAATCTGACTTTGAAGACGAGACATTCCGTACGAAGTACCAGAGGCGCCTCCGGGGCTAGAGTTTGACCCCCCTCGGACGGGAGACTAGTCTTGACTCTGGGCTGCCATTTCGACTGCCGTGCTTTGTCTCTTGGGGACCAAACACATTCCCAGATCAAATGGGCATATTCCGATCTGCCCTCCCAATAATCAATCGGTCGTACGCGATCTGTAACTACTAGTTGTTCCTCGACCGTAGCACCTCGTCCCATGGCTTGCATCTCTTAGTCCTCAACCTAGGCGGCGCCCCAGGACGGACCTTTGAGACCCAAAACTTACCTCTTAGGTGCAACCTCTGCCACCACCCCTAGTTGGAAACCCGGCGCAAAACTCTACCTCGTTTCATGCGCCGCTGGTTCGCAACGGGCAGCAGACCAATTCGGCTCCAGGTGGAAAACGCAGCATGGCGGACGGCCGCAGGACACCTGCCAGACGCGGCCGCTCTGCCGATGACATCAATGGCCGGTTGCGTGACAGCCACGTCCGGTTCTCGGAGGAACTGAGGCGGGAGGGTGATCAGAGACAAGAGAGGCAAGGAGGGAGCCGCGCACCGCCGCTGCGACTCGACACGGCCCTCTACACGATCCAGTCGCGCGTCGATCCCACGGAGGCGCAGCGGCAACGCCACCCAGATGCTTTCGGCGAGACGGAGGGCGAGCCATCTGCGTCGGCGCCCACCGGCCCTTCGCAGGACGAGGAGGAGTATCGGGGACGGCCGAGCGCCGTGAGCTTCGGCGGATCACCGATTTCCATCACGCGCCGCCCCCATATCCCGGCGTTCGACGCGCCCCCCAAGGCCACCTCGAGCGTGACCAACAGCGAGAACATAGCCGCCGCCAAGGACACCCTCGCGCGATACAGGGCCCTGGTGTCGCGGCAGCGCGAGCGCCAGAAGCAACGGCTCAGCGCGCCGTACGTCAAGTTCAAGAAGAGGGCACATGCGCTTTACAACAGCTATATCGTCGAGGGACTGCTGCAGCAGAAGCCCCTGCCCCCGAGCGTCGACGGCAGGCACATCCCCCTGCGGCCCGGCCTCGCGCGGCGCAAGCCGCTGACCGACGAGCGGACGGGCAAGTCGTACATTACCAACTTCATCCGGTCGACTCGGTACACCCTCTGGGACTTCATCCCGAAGCAATTAGTCTTCCAGTTCATGAAGTTGGCGAACATGTATTTCTTGATCATCGGTATCCTACAAGCGGTCCCTGGATTGAGCACGACTGGAAAGTACACGACAATCGCGCCTTTGTTGGTATTTGTAGCCCTGAGTATGGGCAAGGAAGGGTACGATGACTACCGGAGGTACAAGCTCGACCGAGTGGAAAATTCGAGCGACGTATGGGTACTGGACCCTGACAGGACTGTGACCGGTGGTAAAGCGCGGCGGATGAAACCCTTCAAAATGCACATGGGCAGGAAGCCAAAGACGGCCGATCAGGAGATGGGCATGACGGAGCTCGAGAGGTCCGACAGCACCAGAGACGACGTCGAACCGTGGTCACCGATCAAGTGGGAGAACATCAGGGTCGGCGACATCATTCGGCTGTCGAGGAACGAAAACGTCCCTGCCGACATTGTTCTCCTCCGTGCCTCTGGCCCCAATGGCATCGCGTATATCGAGACCATGGCCCTCGACGGAGAGACCAACATGAAGAGCAAGCATGCTTCTACGCTACTGGCCAAGCATTGCTCTTCGATCAGGACGATGGAGGCCTGCAACGCAGAGGTCGTTTCCGAGGATCCCAATCTTGATCTGTACAGCTACGAAGGAAAAGTCATTGTCAACGGAGAGACTCGCCCTCTCACCCTGAACGAGGTGGTCTACCGTGGCTCGACTCTGCGCAACACCGAGGAGGCGGTTGGTCTTGTCATCAACACCGGTGAAGAGTGCAAGATCCGCATGAACGCCAACAAGCATGTGCGCGCCAAGGCGCCTGCACTGCAAGAGAAGGTGAACCGCATCATCTTCTTGCTGGTGATCTTTGTCCTCCTCCTGACCCTCGGATGCACCGTCGGCAACATCTGGTGGAATCCTAGACACGGCAAGAAGGCTGGATATCTCGACCATGCCACCCCGCCGTTCAAGGCTATCTTCCTGGGCTTCATCATCATGTTCAACACTATTATCCCGCTGTCCCTCTACGTCAGCTTGGAGATCATCAAGGTTGGCCAGTTCATCCTGATGCAAGACGTGGAAATGTACGACCCGGAGACGGACACGCCCATGGTGGCAAACACGACGACCATCCTCGAGAACTTGGGCCAGGTCAGCTATGTCTTTTCCGACAAGACGGGCACTCTCACCGAGAACAAGATGCGTTTCCGAAAGATGAGTGTCGCTGGAGCCGCGTGGCTGCATGACATGGACATTGTCCGCGACGCACAGGAGAAAGACCTGAAGGAGCGCGTGAGAGTCATGTCGATGCAACAAGGCGGCAAAGGCAAGGGGAAGCAGAGCTTCACATTGCCGAGGAAGGTCTCAACCCAGACCATTCGGACTCTTGACAATGCCACCGAACAGGCCGATGACCCCTTTATGGCCAGAGATATTCCAAGAAGGTCAACAACATCGGCGTCTCGCTGGAGGTCGTCCGTTCGCCCGGACCACGCCCAGCCCGATATGAAGACTGAGGATCTGATCAACTACCTTCGCCAAAAGCCTCATACGACCTTTTCGCGAAAGACCCGCATGTTCATCCTGTGCATTGCCCTCTGTCATACCTGTCTGCCCGAACGTCAGGAGGACGGCGAGATTACCTTCCAGGCGCCTTCGCCTGATGAGCTTGCGCTTGTTCAAGCCGCACGAGATATGGGCTACCTCATGGTCGATCGCTCTGCCAACACCATCACTCTCCAGTTCCGAGACCTCGACGGCTCGCCAGTCACGGAAACCTTCGAGGTGCTGGACGTGATCGAGTTCAATAGCAAGCGGAAGCGCATGTCGATCATCATCCGTATGCCTGACGGGCGTATCTGCATCCTCTGCAAGGGTGCCGACAGCGCCATCCTGCCACGTCTCAAACTCAACAATCTCGCACTTCAGAAGGCCTCGGCGGTCGAGCGTAGAGCTAGTGTGCGGAAGAGCATGGAGCAGGAGAGGGCGTTGCGCCGACAGAGTTATCAGACCACGCCCCGTACGAGTCTAGTGCTCCCGCGCACGTCTGCAACGATGCCTCGCAGGATGAACACGATCAAGTTTGGAACCTCTCAAACATCCATGGATGTTCTGCCGCGCCGTTCGGTGAACCTTACCGGCGAGGTCGACGAGTGGCTTACGCGCCGCGAGTTGGCGGACGTTGACACGACCCGGGGCAACGACGATGCCTACACCACGCCCCGGCAGTCCATCGCCTTGAGCATCTCGCGAGACTTGCCCAGCTCGCCTGTGGTCGATCTCTACGACGGTTTTGTCGACGAGTCCATGGCTGCGAATGAGGGTGCCATCTTCGACAGGTGCTTCCAGCACATCGATGATTTCGCTTCGGAAGGGCTTCGCACACTTCTCTTCGCTCACCGGTATCTCGAGGAGGAGGATTACAGGAAGTGGAAGGTGATCTTCCAAGAGGCTACTACCAGCCTCTCGGATCGCCAGAACCGCATCGATGCTGCTGCGGAGCTCATCGAGCAGAACTTTGACCTCTCTGGTGCTACGGCCATTGAGGACAAGCTGCAGCAGGGTGTCCCCGAGACCATCGACAAGCTGCGTCGGGCCAACATCAAGGTGTGGATGCTGACTGGCGACAAGCGCGAGACCGCTATCAATATTGCGCACTCTGCAAGGATATGCAAGCCATTCTCGGAGGTCTATATTCTTGATGCCAAGGACGGCGATCTCCAGGAGCGCATTGCTTCCACACTGGTCGACGTCGGCCGTGGTATGATGCCGCATTCAGTGGTGGTAATCGACGGGCACACGCTAGGTGTGGTCGAGGCCGACGACGACATGAGGGTGCTGTTCTTCGATCTGGTCGCCCGCGTCGACTCGGTCATCTGTTGCCGTGCCTCTCCGTCCCAGAAGGCATCGCTGGTAAGGTGCATCCGTGAACGAGTCCCGGACTCTGTCACCCTGGCCATTGGAGACGGAGCCAACGACATCGCCATGATTCAAGCTTCGCACGTTGGCGTTGGTATCTCTGGTCGGGAGGGTCTGCAGGCAGCGAGAACCTCCGACTTCTCCATCGCTCAGTTCCGCTTTCTGCAGCGCTTGCTCTTCGTTCACGGCCGGTGGAACTATATCCGGACGTGCAAGTACATCCTGGGTACCTTCTGGAAGGAGATTGTTTTCTATCTCATCCAGGCGCAGTACCAGTACTTCAATGGCTTTACGGGGACTTCGCTGTACGAGAACTGGAGTCTGACGGTCTTCAACACGCTCTTCACCTCCTTGCCCGTCATCCTGATTGGTATCTTCGAGAAGGATCTGCGCGCCGAGACCTTGCTGGCGGTGCCGGAGCTGTACACGTTTGGCCAGCGCAATAGCGCCTTCAGCTTCCGCATCTATCTGGGATGGATGTTCATGGCCGTCACGGAGGCCGTCATCATCTTCCGGATGCTCTACGCCTTCTTCTCCCAGTCCCTCTTCACCATGGACACGACGCTCTACGCCATGGGCACCGTCGCCTTCACCGTCAGCGTCATCTTCATCAACATCAAGATGCTGGCCCTCGAGATGCACCACCAGACCGTCATCTCCTTCCTGGGGCTGACCGTCTCCGTCGCCGGCTGGTTCGCCTGGAACGTCTTCCTGTCGGCTGTCTACGGCCACGGCGGGCCCTACCGCGTGCGCAAGGAGCTGCTCTGGAACTTTGGCCGCAAGTACTCGTGGTGGCTCACGTGCGCCGTCATCCTGGCCGCCTGCGTCGTCCTGGAGCTCGTGGTCACGAGCGCGCGCCGGGCGTTCTGGCCGCGCGACCAGGACGTGGCGCAGGAGTTTGAGCACTACGACGGCGTGCGCGACGTGCTGCGCGAGCACGCGGCGGAGCAGGGGGAGGCTGCTGCTCCTGCTGCTGGCGCCGCCGCCGCCGCCGAGGCGCAGCCGCCCCGCGGGTATCGGGAGGACGGCGTGGACCGCATGACGAGCTGGGGCTGGCAGGCCGCTGGCGAGGGGAGCGGCGAGGGCCCTGCCGCGGCGGAGCCGAGGGCGCCGGACGCGAAGCGGGGGAAGGGCGACGGCCCCCGGGAGACGGTCGTCGAGGTGACGCCTGGGCCTAGGCCTGCGCCGAAGAGGAGCAGCTGGGCTTAGTGAAGAAGCCCACCCCAGTTTGTTGAGTCCGGTTGAGTTGGGCTCTACGACTCTTGCTGTTGTTTGGTTTTGCACTTGTGATTAGTTTTTATGATCTGGGGCCTTTTTGGATCGCTTTCTTTGGTTTGTTCTCTGGTCATTTTATAGAGTGTCGTCTTGGGTACGACTTTCATATTTGATACCCCCACCACCACCATTCCTTATATATCGATGTCTTGGAAAGAGGAGGCGCGCAGCGGAGCGGAGCGGAGTAGAGCAGAACAGAGACAAAAGGGCATGCAGTGGTCGTGACCATATCTGGGGTCAGCGTAGTGTTGCTTTGCATTTCTTTGGGTCAGTCAGCATTGTATTGCGGGTGACAATCCCAAAGGCGAAAGGGGTACAGAGATTCTGTGAGCTGGTGTGCCCAACGGCTCGCCACGAAGTCAAATCTGGATTATACTTATCATCACTTGTTGGTTATGTGTATACGTTAGCTGCATCATGATTAGGGAATATGGAAATAGAGAAAAAGTGAAGATATCAACCGCCTTTTTGGATGTTTCTCAGGTGCTCTAGCTCCAGTCCATCTCGATGTCGATATGTTGGACCGCGCTCGGACACTGGAGGGAGAGGGTCGATGCCGCAACTGCCGCAGATTTGTGGACTCGGTCGTTGTGGCCCGCGACAGGGGTGTGCTCGTCGTGTTCAACGTTTCAGTGAGGGCTTTGGATCTCTGAACTTTCTTCAACTAACCCTCATTCTTTTGAATACGAGAGATTGTGCACTCTGTGCGTTGACCATCCCAACAGGGACCATGCATAGTGTTACGAAGCGATGATCATTGAGGCAACACAATCCGCGCGAAGGAGGGTCGTGAACTCGACCCTGGAGGCGGAGGACCGCCATGTTGAGGGCAGGGAGAAGGTTGAAGTCGCAGAGCCTCGTGTTTCCCCAGTTGTGGTGAACAAAGTGGGCAAGTTGCTGTTGTGGACTGAGCTTCGTGAGTTTCGCACGTCTCTCGCAACAGCCAGGAAACTAACTATAGCGTGTCTTCGCAACTCAAGCTCCTTGGCAACAGTAAGCTCTTGTGCATTCGTCGAATTCTCGTGAATGAACAAGAAATTAAGCACAATATCCTTCTAGGCATGGAAGTGACCTCATTCATACGGGTTACAGGTACGACAATGGTCTCTGTTGCTAGCGAGGGAGAACCCTCCCAACTAACTTCCGGAACTGTAGAAAAGCATCTGGGTCTGCACAAGGATGTCTTCACAGCTTGACATATGTCCACAACGAGACAGGTAGGCGACATCATTGACAATCCCAAGACAACACGGCAGACAGACAGCTAACTTCAGAGTCACAAAGTCAACATCTACTCCCATGTGGTCGGCGCTATCGTGTTTATCTGCCTGCCGATCGTCTTCTTCAGAACCAACATAGCTCTACCGCATGCCATTCAAGCAACGACAGTCGACATTGTTGTCTGCAGCATTTACCTCCTGGGAGTGGCGATCTGCTTCGTGCTTTCTGCAACGTAAGTTGATGCAAGCCTCCGTTGTCCCCAAGGCCAGACAGATAAGCAGCGTCTAACATTAACGATACCCAAGCTTCCATACACTCATGTCACACTCTGAGCAGCTGTACCTGTCCGGCATGGCCCTCGACATCCAAGGCGTTCTGGTCCTGATGTGGGGAGCCACCGTGCCTCTGTCATACTACTCCTTTCCAAACAGCCCCAGTCTTGTGGCTACTTACCTGTGTGCCAATACGCTTCTTGCCCTGGCCTGCTCGGCCGCGGCCTGGGGCCTGCCCGTCCTTCAGGGCCCGCACCTCGGGCATTCTCGCGCGATTCTGTTTTCGGCATTCGGCGGAGGATCCTTTGTGGCCCCCGTAGTGCACGGCATGCTCCTCGGCGGCGTCGGAGAGCAAGCAGAGCGCGTGGGTCTGAGGTGGATTGCGGCCACTGCTATCTGTAATAGCCTGGGAGCCGGCATATACATGCTCAAGGTAAGGTCGATTTGGCTCGGGACAACTATTCCCACGTCTCGCTACGAGCCCGAACACGAAGCTGATCGGCATCAACAGTTTCCAGAACGATGGCATCCGCGACGTTTTGATCTTTTCGGAGCCAGTCACCAGATCATGCACATAATGGTCTTGTTCGCTGCAGCAGCATATGCCTTTGCAGTACGGGAGATGTATGAGTACTCCCACAGGTGAGAGGGTGATATCTTTGAGAGTGGTGGGATTACCAGCAGGAGTTGGGACTTTGAGAACGAAAACACAACAATACAAACTCCAATAGCGCCGTGGAAACCTCGTAGCATCATCCATCTCTTTCATCTCATGATTCAGTCTCTCCCTTTGACTGGCTTATCCTCCCGAACCCCCTATCGCTTGCACTATCTGCACTCTTCCTCGGCCACCACAACCACAACTTTCCCTCTCGCTCTCCTCGACTCGAGATAGTCGTATGCTTCTTTGACCAGCTCGAACTTCCACTCGCTATCCACCACGACCTTGATCTTGCCTTGCTCCAGCAGCCTCACCACCGTCCCCACCAGCTCTCTGCCCGGGTCCATCACAGCCGGGCACCTCCACGTCCTGCCCGTGCCGCCCAGCCACGGGGACAGCGGCCAGTACGCGTTGAGCTGCATCCGCCACGCCGCCGACAGGAAGTGCCCGTAGCTCCAGGCCGCAGGCTTGATCCCGACGGAGGCGTATATGCCGCCCTCGCGGAGGTACAGCGCGCAGCTGCCGAACAGGGCCTGTATGCCGAGCGCGTCGGCCACGGCGTCGAAGGGCCTGTCGCCGTAGCGCCTGCCCAGCTCCTCGGACAGGTTGTCGTATGCCGTGTAGTCAATCACCTGCACATGCCCAACCCCGGTTGGGTCTTGAATCAGCGGTCGATTTCTTCCCAAGCAAAGCCACAAAATCATGGGTCGTACGCAAAGCTAGGAAGAGAACACTCACCTCGTCCGCACCCAGCCCCAGAACCAGCTCCCTGTTCCTCCCCGAGCAGATACCGACGACTCTCCCCTCGTCTCCGACGATGTGCCTCGCCATCTGCACGACAAACGTCCCGATCCCGCCGCTCGCCGCGTTGACCAGCACCCTGTCGCCCGCCCCGATCCGGGCCTCCCTCAGCACCTCCCACGCCGTGCACCCGGCCAGTATCACGCCCACCGCGTCCTTCTCCCGCACGTGCTCCGGCAGCTTGACCGCGTACTTTGCCGGGAACGCCACGTACTCGGCCAGCGCGCCCAGCCCCGTCTGGTACGTGAACGAGATGGGCAGGAAGGCGACCACCCTGTCGCCCTTCTGGAACCCACCACCAACGACAACACCACTGCCACTTGTCTGCTCCGTTGCCGACACTGGTGCCGCAGAAGGAGACGGCGTAGGAGCCCAGACGTCGACGACAGACCCGGCGAGGTCCATCTCCGGGACCGCCGTCGACGCCCGCAGCGAGGCCGGCACGAGGCGCATGTGGAAGAAGGAGCCCGGGTTGAGCGCGGCGCGGGACACGCGCACGAGGATCCACTCCTCCTCCGGGGTCGGCGCGGCGCGGGGCAGCGGCAGCGCCGGCGGGAGTGTGGGCCGGGGCCGGGCCTGGTTCAGGGAGAGGATGTCCGCCGGGGCGCCGCGCGAGGCGAACTCCCACGCCCTCATCCTCGTCGGGGCTGCTGCCATGGTCCCTTTTTTCTTGGTTTCCTTTTCCAAGGGTGATGGGCGTCAGGTAGGGGTGGCTAAGCCGCTTGTGCCTAGGAATGGTCGCCTCGCTTTTGTCTATCTTGCTATCGTGTACTTGATGCGAGCCTGCAGTTCTAGAGAGGACACAAACAAGATCACCGATCCGGACTTGAGAATTCAAAAGAATTTGTTTCTTAGGATGCCAGATTCTTCAACTAAATTCACTTCCAATCATCCAGACAATGTGTCTGCCTGGCATCATGTGAGACCTTTCATACTGGCCACGTTGACTTGCTGCTTCAGCCGTAAGTTAGCGTCGCAGCCTGCCAAGAAGGGGCTGAACTTTAAAGTCCGAATACACACCACCAGATTCATCCGTATTTGCCCAAAGCCTTCATTGCCTGCTTACTTCGTAACTGCTCCGAGTCCTGCGACTTCCGATGATGAGTCACGGAATCTTGTCGTCTCGAGGGTCGACAGGTAGAGAAGGAGACCCTCACACCATCAGTCATCACGACTCATCAAGACTTGACGCTGGGTCAATGCCATTTCTAAATTCACTGTTACACAACTGTTTTTAGTCTAATTGACAAACCACTGGAGGCCACAGGCATGCCTATCTGGAACACAAACGAGATGCTATGCCCGATGCTGGACTTGACCCTCTACCACGGTGATGGACTCATGGGACACCCTGCAGATCCTCAGTCGTCTTCATCATGCCTCAAACCATGGCGCGGCCTCCGAGCTCCATGTTCTCCTCACGAAGCACCTTCAGCTGTCGGTCAAAGTCCTTCTTGACCCACTCGCAGTACTGCGCCCACCGCTGGTTGGCACCGATATCAGAAGCCGCCCCGGCAGCATTCGACGACCCCTTGAGCTGCTCGGACAGGAGCAGAGTGACCCGGAGAACGCTCTTGTTGGCCTCGTCCTGCTTCTCATGGTCCTGCTTAACGGCGTTATCCTTAAGCTTCGTAGAGAGCGTCGCGCGGAACTTATCCGCGATGGAGTCGAGGCGGCGCGTGGTCTCTTCAGGGGCGATAATGACAAGTTTCGAGACCATCAGGTTGCACAGCGCACGGATATCATTGACGTCGCCAAGACCGGCGACAATGCGGTCGTAGAGGTCGATGATGCTGATGCGAGAGAACGCAGTCTCCATCAGCGCATACAGAGTCTCGTAGGCGCCCTATTTACCATCTGATTAGCAGGAGGGAATGGCGATAAGCAGGAGCATATATGGACAACACAAACCTTCCGAAGCTCAAGTCCATCATCAACAACATGCTTGAAAGGACCCATCTGGACTTCGCGAATGAGTTCCTCCTTGATCTTGGATTCTTCCATGACGTATGGCACCAGCTGGCCGAGATGACCAACGATGAGTTCTGGCTTGTTGTGAGCCGCCGAGTTGAGCGCAGTCATGGCAAGGCGTCGAATCTCCATGTCCCGGTCGCTGAGCATAATGTTCAGCATGGTCACAAGATGCTGCTCTAGAACATCGTCGAAAGCCTTGGAGGCTTCAGGCAGAGAGTAGCGGATAGCCTGCACGGCGATACCCTTGATCGAGGGGTCTTTGTTGCTAAGCAAGGCCTGTATGGTTCCCAATCGCGTTAGCTAGCTCCCTATGATTAACATACCGCACGGCTCCGACGTACCTCGAGTTTGGGAATGTAAGCCTGCGGCGAGATGATCACAACACGGCCAAGACACTCAGCGCACACGGCCTTGTTATCCTCGGCACCAGCCGACAGAAGGAGTTGCTCCCAAACCGGCGCGATGTACGCATCGGAGATGGTACCCTGTTGCAACGTCTCTTTAACGGAGTGCAACAGCAGGTACTGCGTCCGGCTATCCGTCTTCATGTTCTCGAGGATCACGGGCAGATACCGAGACACATTGCCAGCCCCAGCGCGGCCAAGGGCCACTGCGGCTGAAAGAGCGACCTTGTCAAGATCGTTGCTGAATTGCTCCAAGAACAGCTCTGGCGCAATGGGAGATTTGTCGCCGAGGCGCAGACCAACCTCGCCAAGAACTGCGAGGGCAAGGCTAGCCCTGAGCTGGTCTCCTTGCGAGTTCTTGACCTCTCCCATAAAGCTGTCAATAGTAACGCCAGCAGAGCCACCACTTGCGACGAGCAGGTTTCCTATGACCTTGCCCACCACAGCTGGGTCGCCGCTAATACCCACATCCTTCAGCAAGCCAGCCATCAGCGGCTGACCAGCACCATTTTGTCCAATATTGGTGACCAGCTCCAGAAGGGGCTCGAGCACCGAGCCCGCCACAGGGGATTGAAGGACCTGGCAAAGTGCCAAGATGATTTGTGGAGTCACGACGAGCTTTGGATGGACGCCGACCAAATCAGCTAGAACGCAAAGAGCGGGACTCAGCAAGTGCGCATCATTGTTAGTGATGACGGGCTGCAGGGCGGTCACCAAGGACTGGACGGTCTTGTCATCGAGGCAACCGGCGGAGGCAGGTGAGTGGACGAGATGTCTCAAAGCTTGGGCGCTGGCGCCTCTCAGCGCCCGGTTGGCCTTGCGGAGTTGGGCGGATAGTTCGACTGCCACTTGCCTCGCCCACTCTGGATCAAACTGCACGTTGCTAGATGCCTTCTTGGCAATGTCGTCTATGGCTCGGACAGAGGCAATGCGAGTGGTTTCGTTCTTCAAGCGCTCCAGCAGATAGCCGAGAGCCTCGCGACGCTGATCAGCACTCAGCATACCAACGGTCTGGGCGGTGCTGGTCCTTGAGAGCAGCGTTCCCAAGGCTTGGATCGCCTTTTGGCGAACTTCAGCATCAACGTCTGTAGCTATCGTGCGATCCACGACCACATCGTAAAGCTTCTGGAGATCGCCCTTGTTCGCGGCAGCGTTTGCCTGCGCCTCTGAGGACGTGATGAGGCTGATGAGCTCCTCTGCAGTCTGCACTGCCTCTCCAGAGATTTTGTAAAATCGGTCCTTGACAGCAGAGAGAACCCCGGCCACGATATTGGATAGGTACGGCTGGAGGGATTCCGACTCATGATGATGGGCGATGCGACTGGTCAAGCGGAGTGCCGTAATGCGTAGTGTTCCCAGAGTTGCAGAAGCGTTTCCACCCGTAGCAGACAGACCTGTCGCTGCCCCCGAAGCAGTCGAGAGTTTGATGGCCTCGATTATAGGCCCGAGAACCTGATCAAAGTACTCGGCCAAGCCGCCATCCTGCACAGCGACGATATCATCCAGCAATCCGATGATTGCTTGTTTGGTGGGGATGAGCTTGCCCTTGAGAAGTTTTGTCGCAGCCTTGATAATGGACGGCGTCTTCTCCGCCAGGGCAATCTGAGGACCCGAACGAGCCCGCTTGTGTCGAGGGGATGTCCGGCTGCTGCCGGAAGAGGCTGACGTGATAGCTAGGAATGAAGTTGCGCCGCCACCGCTGCTCTGCCTACGACGCTTTCGACTCGCTGGCGGCTGATTCTCACTCTGCGCAGTCTCCGAGCGGACGTCTGCGATGACGCCTTCACCTGTCTTGCGCACAAGTAGTGACATGGCAGAGATAACCTCGAGACGGACGTTCTCCTCGCGCTCGGCAAAACGCTTGATCAGTGCTGGGGCCGCTTGGTCGTACAACACTCCATTATCAAGCAGATCGCCGCTACTCCGCGTCGATATCAGAGTGTGCATAGCCTTTGCTGCGCAACGTCGAACTTTCCAGCTGGCATCGTCGTCGTCATCGAAGCCCTCATCCATGTCAAAATCATCATCGCCGTCAAACTCGTCATCCTCCTCCTCTTCCTCATCCTCATCCATCTCCTCGTCGTCATCAGCGGCATAATTCGGGTCGTACTTCAGGTATCTCAGGATAGCTGCCAGAGACGTCTCAGTATAGGGCCGCATCTGGTTGGGGCATGAAGCCAGGAGGGCTTCGAGGGCCACAAGGGCAGCCTCTCGAACCTCGTTGAAGTCACCCATGTCGCTATCGTCCTCCAGAGCCTCCAATTGGGCCTGAAGCTCGTCCTCGCTCAGCGCAGCTAGTACAAGGGGGACGACTGCCTCCAGATGCTGGCCAAAGCGCATAGGAATAGATCGCGCCATAGATCCGAGAACAGTGATGTACAAGCGCCTGGTCACCGAGTTGGCCTTGGGGCTGCTGAGGAAATTGACGCTGCGCTCCACGAACGACGGCAGCAAGTCGTCTGAGAGATATACAGCGAGGATAGAGGTAGCGACAACAGCACGCTTCTTGACGACTGAAGTTCCCTTGTCCTTCTCGAGAAGGGACACTACTGCGTCTTGCAGGGCTTCGACCTCGACAGGCTGAAGCATGGGGCCAAAGCACCGAACGACCTCGATCAGAACATCGACAGTCTCGGCGTTAACCTCGAAGTTGGTGTCGAAGAGGCCTTCGGCGAAAGCTGGTAGGCGCACGTTCTGGGCACCTCCGGTGGCCTTGGAGGCCTGTATGGAGCGGCCAAGCAGGCGCGGGATAAGAACTCTACTAATACCAGCGTACGCCTCGGCGACATCTTTGCCTGGAGCAACACCGGGTACCGGCCGAGGTAGAGCTTCAATAACGTTCTTCAGAGCCAGGGCGGGCACAGTGTTATCAACCGAGTTCTTGAGCTTCAATGTCGAGAGCTTCTCCATAAGAGGACCCATGATCTGAGAAGGCAGCTTGCGAACCAGGGGGCCAAGACTATTACGGTGTCAGACTCCTCCGGGATGTAAGCGAACAAATGCATCACGGCGCCTTACCACTTGATCGCCAAATTTTGTACTTCGCCATTGTTGTCATCGAGAGCGCGGACCAGATGGTCGACGGTCCTCGCAGCGGTGTTGTAATCATGATGGAGGAGATCGGGCTTGCAGATGTCGAGGACTTGGAGAAGGTCGTTAAGTGACATGAACCGAAAGTCGGGATCGGTGTCGTTTAGCTTCTGGAGCAGCAGGTTGACCGTTTGGGTCGTCGGGTTTTGGGGGATTGTGGTCGCCATGTTGGAAGTCCGGTGGAAGCGTTCGCCGGGGGGACTGACCGGAGGATGTGTCTAGGATTCAAAGGCAAAAGGTGCCTTGGTCTCAGGCGGCCAGCTTCATTCGTTACAAAAGGGCTCAGGCGGTAGACCAGGTGAGAGGTGAAAGAACAAACACAAACCAGTCCAGCTGAGTCTGGTTCGCGGTTGATGTCTTGATGATTTATTTGTGATAATGGCGGGATTGCTGGTTGGAGGCGGGGTCTAGGCAGCGCAGGCACTCAATGGGGTGTGGTGTGGGGTCTGTCGGAGCAGCTGTGGTTAGCGGGGGCGGTTGCTGCCCAGGCTTAAATTTCAACGCTCCTTTCGATCAGGCGCCGCACCAAATCCAAGCCAAGAGTCTCAAAGCAGGGGGTGGGTTGTTTTGCCAACCAGCAGTTGCAAATGCAAGGAGGAGCTATCCTAGGTAGCTGCTCAGAGCTACAGCTCAAGCTTTCTTTACCGTTCAGCTCCAACCACACAATGAGCTCTTTCGCAACCTCTGACCGATGTTCCTTGGGAGTCGCACTTACATCGACACTACTGGAGTAAAAAGAATTGTATCCATGCACTGGAGCATAGAGGCGTGGAAACATCGTGTGCTCCAATAGTTGAAAGGAGTAGATGAGTGACCATGCATGTCGTAGAAAAGGAGTGCCTTGATTGATCTTGCCCTTGTATACATCAAGCGCTCTCAGATCCACCTTCTCTATCATCATGCTGCAAGAGCAAGAGCAACAAAGGTACAAGAAAGAATTGAACCTAGTGTTTGTACCTCCGGAAACCTCACATTCCGTCCAAGCTTGAAAGTTTGCCCCTTCCGACACCTCGAGACCACAACTCCTCTCTCACAAACGCACACAGCCCTACCACTCCCCATGTATCATTTACACAGACCTATCTGACCACAAATATCCTTTTCCAAAACCATGGGCCAAGCCTGCGGCTGTCCTAGAGGTGGTTGCACGAGAAGAGGCGGTGCTCGGCCGCCCTCGCCGACCGAGCCTCGCCCACCCATCCCGTCCCCTCCGCCTCGCACTCTTCCCGACGCCAGCGACACGCCTCGCCCGCCTCGCAACTAGGATCCGATACGGGAGCGTGTCCCTCTGGTGGGAACAGGTCCCGAACAACTCCCCGCCGACCAGACGCCACCACCGCCTCCAGCTCAGGACGAGGAGCTTCATGGACCTCCACAACAAAAGTTGCCAAAGGCACCCACCGAGCCACCCCATCTCGATGACATCGACGAGGTCCCCTCCGTCACCGCTCCAGACGAAGGAGCCAAATCCCCATCGAGCCCGGCAACGAGTCCGAGCCCGACACACGACCTCTCAGGCGACAGGCGAGTGACGGTCCCCCAGATCAACGCCCCCACGCCGCACCGCCTCAGCTCGGACCGCCAAGTCTCCATCACCACGCCGGCAGTCCTCATCCACCGCCTTTCCTCAGACAACGCCGCCGCCGCGGAGCCAGAGCCGGCGTCGCCGTCGAGCGTCGATTTCTCAGGCCACGCCTTGCTCGACGACAAGCTCGTCACCTTCGCCAGGCCCGTCTCGCCCGCGCACGACCTGCGAGACGACGCGCGGGTGCCCATCTATCACACGACCGTCCGCCAGCCGCACCTGCTGTCAGCCGACGCCTCGCTGCCGTTCCCGCGGTCTGTGTCCCCGGCGCACAACCTGCGAGACGACTCGTTCGTGGTGAACCCGGTCCGGCGGGGGCCGACGCCTCACCAGCTGTCCCACGACGCACGGGTATCCGTCTCCGCACCCGCCACCCCGTCGCACGAGCTCTCCCGCGACAAGAGGATATCGATGGCTGGCGAGCTCTCTTCCCAGCCTCACGGCATATCTGAAGATGTCCGCGTGTCTGTCAGTCCGATGGGAATTATGCCACATTATCTCAAACTGGATCCGGTAGTGACAGTTGCCGGTTTGAGGCGGTCCAAATCATCTTCATCCCAACCGGCTGGGGTTAGGAGTGACGAAGATGTCCCGAACCATGGAGGTGCTGCATCTGTAATATGAGGGGTCAATGGTATCGTATGGGAGTTTCATCCAGGAAGTGGCAATGCGACGGAGCATGGGTCGGGGATGAGGGAACACCCTTGTGTTTCTCTTGATCGACAACTGGCGTTCTCTCCTAAGAAACTTGCATGCAATTCACGCCAAAGTGTACCTAGACTGAGAGATATGAAGACCGGGATCGGTTTCTAGATCATCATCACATTAGCAGATTCACGAACCCAAAAGCATCAACGGCACGCGACAATATCCTCGATCGAAGGCCACTCAAGGAAAGTATTTATCGAAGACGTGACAAAAAAAAAGACTTCATGAATTCCTGTATGTGATGCTGTGTTGGTTCCATTTCTACTGCGCCGCTCCGACTCCCAAAGACAATATCCCATTGTGATCCTCTCTGTTGTCAATCAAAAAAACAAAACAAGAGTGATACAATTCAAAGTTTGCTCCTCCACTGTCCGGCCTGGGCCCAATCATCTCGCCAAACTTTCTCGACATTACATGGTTCTGCCAGAAAGAGAACAAAAGAGACATTACCAAAAGTCATGGTATGGGTTATAGTAGGGTTTGTGGTTGGATGATTCTCGCAGTACCTGCTTCAAGGACGGAGTCCCTGTCATCTCTAGCAAGACTGGTACAATAGCAGCGGCTCGCCGACGTTTTCAATTTCGGGGATGGTGCACTTGAGGTCAAACGCCTTGGAAAGCACAATCTTGAAGATCTAGTACGAGTGTTAGTGGAGACGGGGCCTTGAGTCGTTACCGGAGAGTTGCGGTGAACACAGACCTTTTGCACGTTGATGCTATGGCTAGTGCTGCTGAAAATCAGGGCAGCACGCATCGCCTTGGCGAACCGTCGGGCCTGCGATGTTTTGTCAGCATGGTCTACCCCCTTCCCCCTTCCCTCCGCAAGCAGTTCTCCGAAGAAGGGCGACGCCTCGACAACAAAACGCACCTGGTTTGATATCTCCTCCTGGTCCTCCCTCGGGAAGTTGACAAAGTGGTCATACTTTGTGCCCACCAATATGGGGATGGCCGTCTTGTTGAACCCCCGCCCTTGCCTGTACCACTCCTTGATGCTGTTGAGGGTGCTCTTGCGCGTCAGGTCGAACATGAAGAGGATGGCGACGGCGTCGTTGCAGACGAGGGGCAGCATGTTGACAAATTCGCGCTGGCCGCCCAGGTCCCAGATGCTGAAGGTGATCTCGGTGTTGCGGATGCTGATCGTCTTCTCCATGAAGTTGACGCCGAGCGTCTGGATGTAGTCCTCGTCCCAGCTGCCCTCGACGTACTTGACCATCAGGCTGGTCTTGCCGATCTGCGCGTCGCCGACCATGCCGACCTTGATCACGACGTGGTTGCGGCCGTTGGACTGCGACGCCGCGGCCTCGGCGTGCGCGCCGCTGCCGCGCGATACGTGATCCGCGCTGTTGTAGCCGCCCTGGCCGCCGGAGAGGCCTGAGGGCGGCCGGCTGATCTGTTGGGGGATCGGGGGCGTTGCCGAGTACCGTGCATTGGGGTCCATCTCGTCTTGGCGGGGCGAGTTGGTCAGGCCGTGGTCAAAAGACTGTGACTGCATGTGACGCCGGTTGCCGTTACTGCTGGCGTGCGGGCTGCCCTCGAGCCCGCCCAACGTGTCATCGTGAGACATCTCCGGCTGGGGAACATGGTCGGTCTCCATGGTGTCGAGGGCGTCGTGGAATTGGGCAGGCGAGCCCGCTGAGAGTGTTGAGGAATCCACGGTGACGAGGCTGCCGAGGGGATGTGGACGGAAGGGAGATTATCGGGAGTCGGACAGACTGCGGGGTGGATCAGCCTCGACTACGGGTGGAAGCAGATGACGGTATGTGGCGGATTTGTCGATAGAATCAGCGGCAGCACTTTGAGTTTGCACTCAGATTGTCAGCTTCGAGTCGACCTCATAGAAGATGGCGGCCCAAGGTTGTCGGTCGGATAGCAAGGGTTGGCGATGACCACTGGTGGGCGAGACCACAACAGGCGTGCGTGGTGCCTCTTTACAAGCTGGTCCTGTTCAGGCACGGATAGTGCATCCCTCCATTCGAGGTCCGGCTGGGGGTCGGTGAGGAGTGGGCGACAGGCTGCGAGGCGGGCAAGGTCGGGATGACGAGAAAGTGGTGAGTGATCGGGAATGGAGTCGAGGTGAAGTTTGTCGTCACAGGCTGCACACCTTTTAGTGGGATTGATTTCCGATTGACGAGAGTTACTGTGGACTCGAGAGCCAGGGGTGGAGGGCAGTTTAGGTGGTCTAGTGGTCCCCAGGTGGGCGTCTCCGCCCCGAAACGTAGCACTTGAGATGGAATGTAAGGCGAAAGCGGTGGTGTCACACACGTAATAATGAATTTGGGACCTCAAACAACGCGGGGGGGCGCTTATGGGCAGATCAAAGAGCCTGCGAAAACAACCGGCAGCCACTGAGAGGGCAGAACGGCTCCCTCAACACGGACGCTAGACAACACAGCTCCTCAATCAGGTAATCCACAAAGGCTGTCCCTTTCTCATATTGAGTGCCTGCAGCACAAGTGGCCGGTCTAGTCGGTTGGTCTCAGCAACGAGCTGCAGGTCAGAGCGAAGCCCATCAGCTCGACGCGACTCGAGGTGGGACGCGACGCGAAGTGCCGTTTGGCAGCGAGACACGTTAACTACCTACCTAGGTAACCCACATACAAGTACTTGAGGACCCGAGTGAGGAGAGCAAGATGAGTGAGCATACGGGTCTCAATGCCGAAAAAGTCACCCTCGAGAACGTGTCAACAACATCGCTTACCAATATGGAAAAGACCAGTAGTCGTGTTGGGAGGGGAGACACGGACACATAAACAAATGAACAATTCTTGATTCTGGCTCCAGGGTAGCATGGGCTTATTTTGGTGCGAGGGGATATTTCATGCGTGTGTATGGAGGACCGCTAACAAACAAACCATCCCTCCTGGCATTGGCTCTCACGTTGAAGCCAATGGAGGGGCACATCTAATCCATAATAAGCGTAGGTACAAGTACAAGTATATGCCTACATTTTTTAATACAGGTACCAGAAGCTCCATGTCGTTCATAAGACAGCCAAGATCTACAACATGGTGTCCAGCTGCCGGAACCGGAGCTGCAGTTCGCCCATCCCCCCGGATCTCGAGTGGAATCGAGTCTCAGGGTCCAGGGGTGTGCGAGACCCCGAGAGTATATAGAAGTGTGGGATGAGCCGTGGTCTTATCTCAACACCAAGATCTCTCTCCGTCGTCACCTATCATATGCCAAACTTTTTTGTCGTCTGATAGTTATCGCCGACTGGGTGGGGAAATCGTACCTTCAATGGATTTCCGGCCTACCAACTCCGTTTTGCTGAAGCTGTCTCGGCTTCCAGCCCGCTTTACGTAAGCCAGACTGGCCCCGGACCACTGTGACTGGCGCTGTGAGACCACTGAACAGCCCTCCCCCCAGAAACATCGGCCCAGCACGGGCGGGACATGATCAGAGAGCTAGCGCACTGTGACATCCGCATCATCGAAAGCTTTCTTTCTCTTCTCCCCCTCAAGGCCGCCCTTGTTGAATAACTTCCTCTTCCCACGTCACCTCCCCTCACGAGACTTCACAGCTACTCACGGCGCTGCACGCTTACCTGTACCACCCCCATTGACAATGGCCTCAATCGCGCGCTGCATAAGGGCCGCCCGGCCGGCGACGACCCTGTCCGCCTTTGCTCGAGCTCCGGCTGCCCGCCGTGCCGGCTTCAATGCCGTTCGGGCCTTTTCAGTCACCGCCTGCAGTACGTTCACATTGATAATTGTCCTTTCCCCCTCCCCCCTTCCCCCTCCCCACTCCCCAATGGGGGAAACTCAGACCCGATTGCGAAACGTTCTTCAGATACCACTGTCTCTCCTATACTGACACTGCCGCCGCGCCTCTCTCTTGCCTCCAGGCCCGATAAGAAAGTACACCAAGGACCACGAATGGGTCGACCTCAACGCCGACAAGACGTCCGGCGTCATCGGCATCTCCGAGTACGCCGCCGAGGCCCTCGGTGACGTCGTCTACGTCGAGCTGCCCGAGGAGGGCAAGGTCGTCAAGCAAGGCGACGCCATCGGCGCCGTCGAGTCGGTCAAGTCGGCCGCCGACATCAACGCCCCCATCGCCGGCAAGATCACCCACGTCAACACGGGCCTCGAGGAGAAGCCCGGCACCATCAACCAGGTCCCCGAGGACGACTCCGCCGGCGGCGGCTGGATCGCCAAGATCGAGGTCGACGAGGCCAGCATCAAGGACTTTGAGGGCCTGATGGATGCCGAGGAGTACAAGACCTTCACCGCGACCGAGGCCGACCACTAGATGCTCTGTTCTTTTGTTTCGGCGGACGATCCGTTCTTTCGCAGGGGAGCTCGTGTAGCCCCCCTCCGTGGGACGTTGGAAAGAAGGGCTCGATGGAGGTACAATGCAGGTAGAAATACGTCTGCGATTGGTGGACTTTAGAAGAAAAGGGAAAACAAAACACAAACGACGTTGACACACAGTTCAACCTGGGAGATCATTGAAATGGGTAGCACCCCGGCAAATGTACCATACTACACGGGAAAAGCGGGGAGATGTTCCTGCTTTTTGATTCATCATGCAAAGTACCAGCCTGCCTAATGCCAATAGAAAAGAGCAAAGCAAGTTCTTCTATAGAGTTCCGTGACGAGAATGATGCACGCCGCTTTTCACATCCCCCCTTACCCTCTCACTCACGACGCCGTGGCGGGAACCAGTTTCGGGCCAGCCGCTGGTGCCGCCGCCTTGGCCGCGTTGATCTCGTCCAGGATCTTTTGTGCGCCCTTGGCGATGAGCTCGTCGGAGACGACCTTGCCGATCGCGTCCGCGTCGGCAAACGTAGAGACGTCCTGCGTCGTCTCGGCCTCGACGCCCTGCTTGCCGTCCAGGCTGACCACCGTGGCCTTGAGCGTCAGGGTCGTCATGTCGTCCGACCAGTGCGTCTCGACGCCGATCGGCACGCTGCACCCGCCCTCGAGCGTCCTCATGACGTAGCGCTCGGCCAGCACGGCGAGGAAGGTCGGCATGTGCGCGACGCTCCGGACGACGTCGAGCACCCGCGCGTCGCCGTCGCGGCACTCGAGCCCCAGCGCGCCCTGGCCCACGGCGTGCATGATGCCGCCGCCGCCGGGCGTGCGCGAGTCGAGGTACTGCGATATGCGGGCGCCAAAGTCCATCCTGCGCATGCCCGCCGCCGCCAGGATGATGCAGTCGTACGCGCCGCCCTCGGCCTCGAGCTTCCGCAGCCGCGTGTCGATGTTGCCCCGCAGGTCCTTGAACAACAGGGCCGGGTACCGCCGCCGCAGCTGCGCCATCCGGCGCACGCTGCTCGTGCCCACTATGCTGCCCGCCGGCAGGTCCGCGATCTGCCGGTAGGTGTCGCGCGGCGCCGTGTCGTCGGCCGACTTGGGCGTGCGGCGGAAGATGACGACGTCGCGCGGGTCCTCGCGCTCCAGCACGCTGCCCAGCACGCAGCCCTCGGGCAGGGCCGTCGGCATGTCCTTGGCCGAGTGCACGACGAGGTCGAGCTGGTTGGCGACCAGCTTGGCCTCGAACTCGGACGTCCACAGGCCCTTGCCGAGGTCCGGCAGCGGCGTGATCTTGTCGAGGTCGCCCATGGTCTTCATGGCGTCGATCTCGAACTTGAGGGTCGGGTGCGCCTTCTGCAGGGCCGCGACGACGCTCTCGGCCTGCACGACGGCGAGGGCGGACGAGCGCGTGCCCACGCGGATGGTGGCGCCGCCTTCCTGCTGCTGCTGAGACGCCATTGTGAGGGGCTGGGGGTGGCAATGGGTGCCGCAACAGTTGCGCGGGGTACGTCAGCAGGTTCGCTCGTGCGAGACGGTTGTAAGTAAAAGTCCTGAAAGGCTTTGGCAGGCCGTCAATCGTGCTATGGTGTCGTCGGACAAATTTAAGATCAGGTCATGCGTGGAAATATTTTGGCAAGTGTCACAAAAGATCGGAGTAGTTCTTCGTTCATGGTGGGGTAAAAACGGCTAAGGAGGTAGATCACAAGGGTCTTAATACAAGTGCCACTAATAAACCTAGCCGCATGTATGGAGAAACACACCTCCGCGGCCAATGCCGACAATCCAGAGAACATTGAACTAGCAATGGATAAGTTGGCATCAAGTCCCAATATTTATCTCTCGTCTATATGCGTATCTGGCACCTAGCGGGTGAACACGATCAAAAGATGCGGGCCATCGCCTTGGTCGAGACCTGGCCCGGAGGCCTCGTTGACGGTTCAACCACATCATTGATATCTTGGTCTCGTGGCCCAATAGTTGTAACCTCTTCGGCCAGGCCTTCTTCCAATCTTTGCATCTATCGCAGGCTGCATGCTTCTCCGGATGTCTTCGGTCTCTTCGTTGTGTGGCCTGGGATCTTCGAAAGCCGGGGTAGCTCCGGTGAGACAATCAGATACGTTTAACCAAAACCCTCCCCGTGAGACAACGTCTCGCTTCCCAACTCGAATATCCTTGGGCTGCGGCGTTATCGTCACCTAAACCCTCTGTTGAATGGTCAAAGAAGGACCGGCTCCGAGGCATCTCAGGGTGGCCATGGAGGTCGGAAGCCATTCATCCACCTTCGATCACTCGTTCTGTGCCTTTCACCCGGAATCGGGAACGATACAGCGTGATATCAGCTCCTGCTGCATGATCCTTACTAGCATGTAGTGCCTATATAAAGCAGCTATGAAGCTCATTGGGAACATGGCGATTCTGCAAAAACACCTGGTCATCTGCCTCTTTACAGACTAACACTTGTCATCTGAACCTCGCAATGAGACTGTCCTCGCCGGTATTCGCTCTCATCCTGGCTCATCGAGCAGCCGCACAGGTGCCAAGCAACTTTGCTACGTGGCGCGTTGGCCCTCCTCTTGGAGCAAGCAGACGACCGGCAGCTACAACTGCCATAGCCACCGTCGCGAGCAGCACTCTTCCGGGCATCCCCCAGACCAGCAGTAGCATTGATGGTGGCGGGGACGGCGGCCTGGGGGGAGTATGCTCATGGGGCTACACATACTGCGGTTACATCTTGAGCAACAACAACGGTCAGTGGTGAACATGATCATGGCCCGCTTGCGTATGGAGGGCCACTTACTGACCCAACGCAACGTCAGGCTTCAGCAACGAGACCATCGAGGCTGCATTTTGCGCTGTTGAGGGCAACTGCCCTGACGGGACCGCCGCGAGTGCCAGCACCAGCTATCTCGGTGCGCTCTATGTATGCCTCCCTGCGGATCCGCAGATCACCAAGATGAAAAGGCAGGCTACTCCCGACGAGCCCGCGCCGACCGCTATAGGCTCCCCTGACTGTCCTCCGCACCTGGGGCCGCACAAATTGCAGCTCCTGTGCTCTTGTGGCGGAGACCCAGATCCGCAGAAGGCGTGCTTGAACCCAGAAAGCGATCATATCGGCAGGTGCTTGAATCCCTGCCACAACTGAACGACGTGTGGTGGTAAAGTGTGCAGCGTATGGCTGGCTGGGAGCAAAGGCCGTGGTCACGGACAAATGCTGTGCCCCGTTGAACAGTGCAGAACAATACACGATCAGGTTGCTCTTCATGTCGGTCGTGAATTCTTGAGGTTCTTCATAGTGTTGTAGAGCAGGTTTGGGATGCCCTCCAGGCTGTTGTCTTCTAGATGTTGCAGCACGCCGGACCTATAGGCCTGCCACGACAAATCCAGTCCCCCGCCGGTGCCGAGCTGCGCAAGGCTCGACTGCGTAACGGGTCCAGCATGCCGTTTGTAGAGCTCCCCGCCCGTGCTGTCGATCTCGGCGTCCTCGAGACTGCGAAGGTGGGAGATAGACTGGAGACAAAGAGTTGGAGAGTGAGAAATCCCAAAGGACGATCCGAGGACAAGCTCCCTGTCGAGCCCAGTCATGTATGATGTGAACGATGGTAGCAGCGATTGAGGGATTCGACACCCAAGCGCGTTGGCGTCGGAGACTGCGAATGCCCGCCCACGCCAGAGGCAATTGCATATGTCCATCAGAAAGCCGTTGAAGGTGTTGACATTCTCTCGTTCATATGCACCCAGTTGCCGGTTCGCCGGACGGCTCATTGCAACCTCTAGGTTCTTTTTATAGACGGCCAAGATGCCACACAGCCGCGACAGCACGGCAAGAGATTGACTGAAATGTAGAATATATACCAGAGGTGGCGGTGGGATGGTGATCTGTACGTGGGCGAGCAGATCAGGCCTCGACATTATCGCAGTCACTCTTTCGAAGAAGTCCAGTATCTGTAGCTGAGTCGAAGCCGATGGTAGCGTTTGGAGTAATGTAAGTGAAAGCTTGTTTACGTGTTCAAGCAGGGCGCGTATGGTGGAAGAAGCATGGGCGGGGATATCATCCGACAGCAGGAAGACTGTCCAGTGATGCAAAAGCATTGTGTAGAATCCCAGGAGGTGAAGCTGCGATTCTGGAGTGTTGTTGAGTAGCCTGCCTTCCAAGGGCTTGAAAAGGGTCTCGTAAAGTGCTGAACAAGTCTCAGTTAGCAAGTGTATGGCATGAATGAGCTCTGAAGCCCATGACCTACTTGAGAATTCTGAGATGGGTGCGAAGGACATCACCTCGAGCAGCGCTGATCTCCTATCCTGGCCATCCCAAGATTTGAGCACCTCCTGGACTACTGACTGCACAATAGGGGGCAATGACTGACGGCTTCGTGAGCGGAGACACCAAAGAGGTAGGGGCATATGTGCTGACCTTGATGCTGAGGACATAGTCGTGAAGTACTTCGACCATGTCCAGTAATTCGCCATTCGTAATATCTCCAGACGCAGCATCTGCGACACACGCTGAGATCCAATGCTCTACTCGCCTGTAACCTTCGTCTCCGGGTCGCAAGAGCATCAACTTTTGAAGCAGAGGATCTGCAAGAACCGCGATCAACTGATTTGGCATTTCGATCTTCTCGATCTTTTGCACGAGATCTTGCACGGTGTCAATCTCTTCTAGTGTAATCGAGGTCTGTATTCGTCAGCGACGGTTTCTCAGAATAAGCAGTTGACAGGCTAACCTCTGTCGCATGTGAAGTATGAACACTGGGAATGTTCGATTTCCTTGTGGTCTTCTGCAGGCTGTGCTGGACACGGAAGCCATTTTGGGGGCCGCTAGCTTCAGACTGAGTTCTCTGCAGATGGGCCAGCTGGATCTCATCGACCCTCTCTCGCCACTGAGGATCGGGATGCTATCGATGATGTTAGAGAGATCAATGACTACGTTTCGACTGCAATAATGGCTCACTTTGAACGGTGACGCTCTGCCCCTAGTTGCCTCCCCAACGATGACTTCGGGGTAGTAGTTTTTATAGACGCGCAGAAGCCCTAGCAAGGCAGCATCGGTCCCTGTCTGACGCGAGAGACCCAGTCTAAAAAGCTTCATTAGCGCCGAAGGTGCATCAAGGGACTCGGGAGGTCATACATGGCCTGAATCCTGAAAGGGCGCACATGTTTGCGACGGGTGATCAGGGCGAGTAGGTGGCATATCTGCGGCCTTGAGGTTGTCAGTCGCTGCCCGAATCTGTCGAGTGGGAAGCTCACTCACCTGACCGCGGCGGTATCCAGAAGATTGAAGAGGACAGCATAGGTCTGGGATAGAACGGCCTGATTCCTCAAGAGGTGGTATACCAGGATAAGCCATCTGAGAAGCAACCCCTGTATGGTCAACGAGGGCTTCAGCTGCCCGAGGCCCAAGCTGCCGACGACTTTGAGGACCACATCGTCGGGTACCTTTATCGAAGGGTACAGATTCCTGACAATGGCAGCAAGGCTCGCCTGGTCGAGATGATTCGGTCGTATGACCAGGTCGATCAACTCTTCAAGTTCAGCCAGCTGCACGCCTTGGTCATAAGCCCGGGAAGTCAGATCTTGGACAAGGGCCTTGGCATTGGTGGTTCGCCGTTTGGCAGGGATCTTGGACGCTGGTTCATGTTAGCCTATCTGGAGCGCGCGTCCCAAATTACAGGAGCATCATCGCGATGAACATAAGATCGGGGCTCCCTCGTCTCGCTGATGTAACTCACCTTCTCGAAGCCGTAGAATAATGGTTCCCAGCTCGACTGCCGAGTCCTCCGTGATGAGAGACATTGTGGTCCCTGGCTCACATAAGTCCCATGTATATCCGCATGTGACCGTTAGTGATGATGTGTACGGTATATTGAGTTCCGGATTGAGTGTGCCGCTGTGAGTGTCTAAGTGTGTTTGACGCGTCTAGACGCGTGCGAGGCTACAGCGCTCATCAACTCCGTAGTTGGCACTAAAAGTGGAGAAGCGGCCCGCCTAGTCCAGCGTCTCGGGTACGCTGAAAGAAAGCAGACGGGAACTGCTGGCGCTAATAAACGATGCCACCACTCGAGGAAGCAAGCTGCGCATATGACATGATCCAAGAGCACACGGATCTCTTTATCTCACGGTATGGCACCCGATGACAAACCCTTGGTGTTCACAGAAGTGGATGGAGTAAAGCTACTCGCTAAATCAAACACGATCAAGTACGCTCTCATCGTTTCCTAATGGTCGATGAGGCAGGATGCATATCGTCCATGGTATGCACATCCCAAGGTCCTTCACATGGTTTCTTTGCTCACGTAGTCCATCCTCAATTTGTAAGGTGAGGGGAGACATGTTGGTCTTCTTGGCCGTTTGTGTGGATTTATGTAAGTGAGCACAAGTGGGCAAGGATACACACTTTTCCGAGAAGGGGCTGCAGTCTGGCATATCCGCATATTTTGGCGCTTCAACCTGCTTTTGTTTCCGGAGCCCTACTTGTCCCCTCCGTGCATAACCCTTGCCGATCAGATCCTTCATTTGGAGAGGCAATTCAGTCTTGCCGTCTGCAGGCCATGACGGCATTGTCTCGACTGTGACCCCCCCTTCCTCGTGTACTTGTAGCAATGCTGTCCGAGCTGAAACGCAACAAAAGTATGTCAGGCAGCCCTTGGAAGATATCTAGGACGCCGCGAGGGGGGTTGACAAACGTCCTCAGCCGCCCTCGGTGGTGGCTGAGAAGGTTTGAGAGTCCCGATGCCGAGCACGGCTTGACAGAGCAAACGCTGCTCGTGTAACCAAGCACGACAATGCGTTTGTCTGGGCTCGTGTCCAACCTCGTTTAAACAGGGATCGATGCAAGATGGAGTCAGACCCAGCACGCCAGCACCCACGCAAGGGCTCGAGTTGCTGCGTTACTAGTGGCAGACCAGCAGATTCCGATGGCACAGTCATAGAGGCCCAGTCATCGATGCAGGTGTGTGTGCGTTTGCCCTCGTTCGATAGACCTACTCCTGCTTCGTACCTCCATCGTCGCACAAGATCCTTGCCCTCATGCAGCCGGGCGGCCTTTGGAATATTCCCCAACGGATATCATGTTCTTTGTGCGACCAGACTCGCCGGTCTTGCTGCTCAAGGCTGCATGCTTGACACTCGGCTGCATGTAGGCCATTTATTACCAGCCAATGGGGCCTTGGAGCCTGATGATCTCGCATGCACACACACACCACAATGGGGTGGGAATTTGGGGCGGTCTGAGGCCGGAGCTCTGCACAGATGAATACCTGTTCTCTCTGGAGGGCTGTCGTCCCCCTTGATCGCACTGTAACTTGTTGCGGCCGGCTTCGATGGGTACCGACTTCCATACTGTGCCTCTCGTTACGGGGCTTGCGGTGCGGTGCGGTGCGGTGTGTGCGGTTGCTTGCTGATGCAGCAGTAATAACAGGGCCTCCTGCTGTTATGACCAGGAATAACTAACCAGATCGTATTTGCAGAGAGAGGCCCACTGTCCATCACCTAACCCGGCTCACTATTCCCCTTCCCACCAAGGCGATGCGGCGGCGGTCTCGCGTCGGTGCTGGTACCCTGGCCCAAAAAAGAAGGTCGCCTGGCCCAGTCAGTGCTCATACAATATTATCATCTCTCGCTGGACGCAAATCAAGGCCGCAATACTCACCTCATCTTGCTTTGCTTCATTCTCACGAATTTCCGGGTCCGTCTGCGGCCGGGACTCACAAAGGTCTCGCTGGCCTGCCAAATTGCCTCGCTTCCTTCCCTTCCTCCTTCTCAAACCGCCCGTTGTCGCCGATGCCATTCAGCCTGATTTTTTTGCGCAGCATTCTGTGACCCAAGACTTTCAGGTTTATGGTATCCACGCTTCCTTGTTGTTGTGAGATCCCCGCCGCCGGCCACTAGAGCTCTCGAGCGTGGCATCCACTTGGCACTTACACGAAAGGTCCTCTGAGCTAGTTCGCTCACCACTGCTGTCCCACTTCATGGTATCCTCTGGTGAATCTCCTGTTGAGAATCCAGTCCGAAAGACACCCTGGGAGGCGTCGCTCGCAAGCTTGATCGGATTAGCCAGTGGCCATATGAGCAGGTCCCCGGGGCCACGCAATGCTAGCTGGTTGACCGCTCAGCTACGACTTTCAAACCCACTTATGAAACCCGCGACGACAGCCGCCGCACATGCTTGAGTCTTCAAGTCGCTCAGCATACCAGCTTCCTCTGCTGTAGAAGGGCCATGTTGCTAGTATAGTACTCGGCTATGCAGAGCGCGTATGCTTGTGCTGGATCTCCTGGGTCCAGCCATCCAACGGAGCCAGCCGCGGTCCTCGTCCGGGACACGCAGTCGTGTATACCTCTCTCGCGGGTGCTCTCGGAAGGCGACCTCTTGTACATCTTCACCCCGGTGGTCGCGCCTCAGGAGCCCAGTGGTGGCCCTCCTTCTGACCCCTTCGAGATCTTTGGCAGAGCACTGGCAAAATATCACCCTTGGATCCGCCACGTCCCGTACAACGCCCGTGATAAGATCACCCCGTACCACGCAACTCACATCAACTTTGCGAGAGCCGTCATCTTCGTCGTCTCTGGACCGCCGAGGCCGGGCCAGCCTTCCCAGCTCGAGCTGTCGGAAGTGACTCGGGCCATCAGTGAGCCCCGGCCCCATATCATCCTGGCCTGCTGCAGGTTGCCTGAGTTGCTCGATGGAGGGGACGACCGGTATCCCACCGTCATCGAGATACCCGGCTTTCGTCGCAAGGAGCTCGAGGCGGCGGCAGAGCTGCTCTTTAGGCGGCATGTCTCACCAGCGATAACGGCACCTCCTCCTGCTAGTATCCAGCAGATCGCTAGCTTCGCGCCGCGGAAGTGGGGGGTCGAGATATGGGATGTCGGCAGGGACCTGGCGACGGTCCTGGAGCTCTGGTGTCAGTGCCTACCAGACTCCTTCCGCCTGGATCGCTTCCGCCTGCAGTCCTTGCTGCAACGGGACGGCTATGCGATGCACTACGTGGTGCGTGAGGAGCGCACCAAGGAGCTCCTGGGGTTCTGCGCGACGTACACGACGTTCATGGACGATCAGGACTCGAGGCTCCTGGGGTCGCTAGCCGCCATTATTGTCAAACCTTCTTATCGGCGGAGGGGAATCGGGCTGAGCCTGCACGACCACGCGCTGCGCCAACTTTCCAGGATACGAGGGGTCTGCCGACTCCAGCTCGGCAGCGCATTCCCTCGGCTCCTGTACGGCGTGCCTATGGAATTTACCTCGGAGGACTGGTTCCGGCGCCGGGGCTGGAGGGTAGACGAGCAAGGGCCGGGAACCGGTCAGGAAGTGTGCGATTGGCTTCTAGACTTTGACGACAGGCCCATGAGCGAGTTCTCGTCGTCTAGACTGACGTTCAGATCCTGCGAGATTCACGAGTACAGCAAGGTTCTCCAGATAGTGGCGAGGGAGTCGGTGCGCAGGGACAACATGGGCTGGTACGATCAGTACAGCCACCTGGACGGCACCATGCACATAAGCGAAGTCATCCTCGGCCTGGAGGACGACAAGATTGTGTCTACGGCGATCACCTACATTCCCAACCGTGGGAGCCCCATCGCCGATGATCTGATCTGGGCTGGAACGATACCCGGCAACGTTGGCGGCGTGACATGTATTTGCATTCTAGGTGCGTATATCGAAAGCTCCACACGCGCTTGTTCACCTTTGGCTGATTATTTATTTCCAAGACGACATGCTTCGATTTACTACGCGTGATTCTGTTATAATTCGGCTTCTGGACGCCTGTGTGCAGGTGCTTCGAAGTCAGGGCATGGAGAGAATGTTTCTGGATGCAGTAAAAGGAGGCCAAGAAGGCTTCCAGTCTCTGGGTATGCTTAATGCTCTGTTTTCTTTGCTATGGTTGTGTAATTCATCCCCAGATGAATACTGACATGCTCTCAGGCTTCCGCAAGTGGGCGAGATATAGAGATGTATGGCGTGATGTGTGAAACGACTTATGAATATTCGTCTGGTGTCAAGGCCGAGTTTCTCGACTCGAGCTATGATATTCAAAGCATATTGAGCAGCATAATTGAGCGACTTTTGGAGTTGGCATACTTCTGATGCCCAATGGGTCATTACTTCTGCGGCAACACATCGGACAACTGCGTCGCAAATGGAGAGTGAACGGGGCTGGATAACGAACGTGCAATCTGCTTTTACACTATCGCCAAATGGTTCCTTCGAGAAGAGCATGAGGGAGGATTTGCTACTGGGGGCAGACGGGGTTCGTCTTTTCGTCGAACCCAAACCTGTCGACTACCAATGTTTTGCTATCTATCAAGGGGAGACGAAACGCAATCCAATGGACTTCAATGCTCCTACGGCGCGCCACCGTGGTCAAATCGACAAGGCAACGTATTTTGTCCAGCCAGCCACATCACTTCGGGCACTTATGGACCAAGTGAAAAGAAAAACGAGCTCTCACATTTTCGAAACTGCCCTTGTCCGGCGTATCATTCAGCAAAAGGTCTGGCTGCACACGGTTGAGGGGAAAACAACGGACTGTGTTGTGATGCGTCACGGGTATCAGGCCAGTCATACCTGACGCTGTGTAACCCACACTTTGTCGAAATCTCCCTCTGATGACTTACACGCCAAGGGGACGCAGGTGTGGGCGCACTGACAACCGCGTGCGCTGGTAGGCACTCGACTCGGGTTGCAGAGGCCGGCCCCATGGACATGATAGACGAGACACTACGACGCTCCATGCGCACATGCATACATACCATACATACCATACATACACACTGATTTGCCTATGCCCAAACCTGCCCCCTTCATCTATCTGATAATTTTGCCCACCACGACGTAGCATCCAAAGGGACGCTCGTGTTAATCCCGGTCCGCATCAAGGCCGCCCCCCGAGGCGGCACGCGCCGGGGCGAGCGGGAAGGGATCGATCAGTGCTTCCTCGAAGGCTTCTTCGAAAAGGCCTGAGTACCCGAAAACGCACGAGGGGCCTCAAGGGCAGGAAGGAAAAAAGAAAGTAAAATAGAATGAATCACACGCAAGAGAGGCATCCGATCCTGCGCCGCAGTGTTACACATTGCTGGCACAAGCGCATCTGTGCGGCACGAGTCCCACCCACCCCTCTCGCCACCACCAGGGTGCGATGGCTGGTTCAACGTCCACTCCTTTGCCAGACTACGATTCGTTCGGATATCTTTCTGCGCTGTCCTCGCATGCTCGGAGGGGCCGGGAAGCGCATGCACTTGGCAGCGATTCTTTCATGTTGACAAGACACACACAAAAAAGGGGGGGCAGGCTTTCTCAGACCTCAACTCTGGTGCCCGAGAGTTGAAGAGTTTGGTCTTCATGTGCCACCGTCCGTAGTAAGCTATCACTCCCATCAGCAACAGTTAGTGCTTAGTATTTGCCCCTGCCGCACCTGACCAGGGAGGGACACCACATGTCAGCATGGGAAAGCTGCTCTCCCAACCTTGCTCCGTGTCGTGCGAGCTCGTTACTACAGTGGGCGGGCAGCGGGGAGGGAGAAGGCATCTCAACCCCACGGCTCGCAACACACCCACATGGGTAACTAAACCTCCCTGCCCCCTGCTTTCGACCATCGGATATCCGCCTGTCGCTTCGGTCTCCACGAATTTCCACCTGGTTTGACAGCGCTTGGACAAATCTGACGTACCTCTGTTGCATGCATCCCGCTCCTCCTGTTACTACGTTGCGCGGGATGTGCCGAGCCAGCGAGCAAGAAACGGCAAGGACAGAGATCAAGATCAAGCAATGCAACGGGCAGAACTTCAAGGCACTGGGGTAAAACACAAGCGGCAAAAACAAGGCGGCTCCATCCACTTCAAAGACTGTCCGACTGGACGTCGTATTTGGAGCTGAGCTAAGCTACCTTTAGCCAATGTATAATATAGACATGGGAAATAAAGGCGAATGAAGATTACAAGAAGAAAAACAAGTGAACAAGCTTTTTGTGGTATACCGAAACAGCCCGAAGCAATAAGTAATAGTGAGAGGAAACGCCTATTCAGACAGAGAAACCTTGGAAGATCACCCTCCGTTTCCGCACACCCCCCGAACTTCATGGACATGCCCCTGTTCATAACTCTCCCGTTTTGAGGTGTCCTTTTTGGCCAGCATTCTACCTTACGTTCCGTAAAAAAGTCATATCAACTCGTACAGGGAGACAAAAGCTCCCCTAGCATAGCGCTCAGGCCCATTTAGAGAAATCCAGCGAGTCGACGATGGAGTCGGCCCCGTTTGTCTGCATGATCTCCGTGTTGTCCGTCGGCGCCGTAGACAGCGTCGACGACCGGTGGCTCGTCTGCTCGCTCGTGGTGGTGAAGAAGGTGGCAACCGAGGATCTCCGGAGGCTACTGAAGCTGTCTCTGACGCTGCTCGGAGGGCGCGAGTTGTCGCTGACGTGAAGCGTTTGTGACTGAGACTGCTGCATCGCCTGCTGCTGCTGGAATTGCTGGGGGTGATGCGACATCGACATGGAAGCCGCGTTCGGGCCACCCATCGATGTCGACGGCGGGGACGTCGTGCCCTGAGACGGCGTCTTGGGTCCATAACGATCGCGCAGTCTGTTGATCTCACGTAGACGGTTGCGCCACGACGAGACATTGTCACCCCCTTCGCGGTTGGCCCAGACCAGCGAGAACACTGATGCGCTGAGCGCAAGAAGCCGCACAAACCCGGGCAATGCTTTCAAGCTGACCATCTTTGTTTCAGCGGCAGGCGAGATCTCAGGGAAGCCTGGTTTGCTCATGACTTGCACTCTGAAGAATGACGAGAGCTCCTTCTTGGTCTCGGTAGCGGATCCCCCCTCTTCGGCCGCGCCACTCTGTTCCCTGCTGGCAACAAAGGAGGCCCTCGACTCAGGCGTGATGACGATGTTGACATAATTGAACTCGGACGGGAAGGTATCGAAACGGAAAGGCAGTCCCGAGTCGTTAAACATGATATTGACAAAGTCATTTCCAATGTGCTTCTTCTTGTTGATGCACAGCGGGTCATGATCCAAGTTGGTAGGCATTTGCGTCGTAACGTGAAACACGAGCTCGGTCACTCGATCCCGCCAGGCGAAAGTAAATTGCCCATCGGTGTCGTGCTCCCGGTCAAGACCTTGGGTGTTGAATGTTGCGCCCTTCAGCTTGACCAAAGTGCCCAGCCCGTTGAGGAACTCGACGTAGTCACTGCTACCGGACACATTGCTGAGAATTGCCGTCTCCTCCGTTTGCCCTTCGCCGATGTAGACAACACCCACTTTGTGACCGTCAACGGTGGAGATCCTGTCAAACGTTCTGATGGCCCGTCCCACTATCTCGTCATCGGGTAAAGGTATTGGTCGGAGTGTCGAATCATTGGCCTGCGGGGTCGAAGAAAGCAGTTGCACCAGGAGATGGCTGGGGAGAACCGTGTTGCTGAACAATTGTTGAGCCTCAATCGCGGTATCGCTGGGGAGGTTCGACTGGTGAGCTGGAGGAGGGCGAAAGCTCTCGCGAATGGTATAAGAGGATGTTCCCGAGGGTTGTCGTTTGGTAATCTGAGCCCATCCAGCTTCTGCCGCTTGCTTGATAGTGACGATACTGTGGCCAACCAGCCACCTTTTTTCGGAAATCTTGCCGAAATTCTGTTCAGTGAATAGAGGATCCTCGATCGAATCATCTGCATCACTGAACGCAATCCGCTGCATAAAGTCGAGAGTAGTCTGTGCTTGCTCATCACTGATCTGTCGCCCATCGTTGTCGGTGAATAGCCTACTTGCAATCCAGCCGACCTGGTTCACACGATCTGGTAACTTGAGGGCAATGAACCAGAAGGTGATGACATGATATGCTAAGGCATAGACATACTGAGGGAGGTCGTCTGATGCGCTCGGTCGCCCAGCCGGCTCGGCTCCTACTGCCAACGGCTCACTCGGATGACTGGCACGAGAACCTCGCCTACCGTCTCGGACTGTGCGCAGGTAGCCGAAAGATATACCAAAAACGATTCGATACTCATCCTCGCGGAAGTTTGAGTACAGCTTTGGCAAACGGCTTAGTCCCACTAGGAATTCCAAGATATGCATGGCCACAGCTGGACGAGTGATGATCTGCGACATCTTTTGCAGGATTGTCACAAGACATTTGCTCGTGGACAACGGCACTTCGTGGCAACACATCGAGAGTGCATGGATACAGGCCACCGCTGTCTTGTCTCCAATGCCTTGCATGAAGGTGCGGACGATCTCGTCCTCGTCACTCTTGTGGAAGTGCTCATGATAGCTGAGAATCATGGTCAACGTGTGGTAGAGACAGATCAAGATTTCCGGCCGGCGCAACCCGGAAGAGCTCGGCGGCTCCACAAAGGTATTCGTTCGAATCTGCTCACACAAGAGCTTCCGGATGTCCTGGACTTGTGCGATAGCATCCCGGAAGATCGCATGGTTGCTCAGCTGTGAGGGCAAGTGCACGAGGATGAAGCTGTAGACTTCCCAGTCTCCTCCACACCCATTGTAGAATAGACTTGTCACCGCTTCTAGCCATGTCGCCATGCCCAAGGACCGTTTGGACTGCTCAAAGTCAAATCCATCGGTAACAGTAGCATGGTCGAAATGGGAGAAGAGGACAGGACTGGCTGAAAGCGTGGGCTGCTCGGGAAGAGCATCCGCGTCCGGTACGGCCCAAAGTTGCTGGTATCTGGGGGTTGGAGCCTTGGCCGTGCTCGCGGACCGAATTGGTAGCAATCTTTCCGGGGCTTGTCCTTGGCCAAAGGATGTTCCCCTTGACGTGCGTGAAGGCGGTCCCTGCTCAGATCGCGTCGATCGAACCGTGTGTGCTGCATCGTCAGCGAGTTTCCGCGCGAGCGAACCCTCTGTGCGATAGAGTGTATTGGCAAGTCCCTCGGATTCCACGTCCGACGTGATGAATATCCTATTCGCATAGTCCGCTCTAAGGCGAAAGAGAAGTCTCATGGCGGTAAGACGAGCATCGCTTTCGCAGCTATTGGATCTTGCAATGTGAACAAGCGAGTTGAAAGACTTGATGGCCTTTCTGACATCGATGTTCATGGTTTTCATGAATATTTGAACATAGCCGCGCGTGACGACATTGGAGGGACTTTGGTTGGCGAAATAGCCTGGCCGATCTGCAGACCTGGCTGGACCAGACGCAACTGGCGAGGACATCGCAGAGGAGAGCCGGTCATTAGCGACGATCCCCTTGAGAGTGTCAAAGATGAAATCGAACAGTTCCGTGTCTGCGGACGTCGCAACTGATACCAGGAATGACACAGTATCTTGCAAAAGAAGGGTATCAGTTTCTTCTCCGATGCCAGCAAGGAGAGTCCTAACCAGGTCGGGAACATGATGGGCGTCGACTGCGTCTTCTACGAGTTCCAACATGCCGTAAACCTCGGTGACAATCTCCAGTGCTCGCAACCGGGTCAGCGTTGAGCGTTGGCGATTGAGGAAGAAAGAGTCTAGAACGAGTCTGAGGTTCTCCTCCCAATGCAGGTCGGAAGGGAAACAACAACGAAATTCTTTGAAGTAATCCAGGACGAGACCGACCGCAGAGTCTTGGAGGTTTTGGTGGATCTTGGCGAAAAAGTTGATGCAATCCTGCCTCTGGATAAGGTCCGATCGCCGCTCCTTCAAAATTTCTTCCAACCTTATGGCGAGTCTTCGAAGCTCTGAGCCCGCAGGTTCTTCCCCCTTCTCAGCGTCATCCTTTCCGAGCGAGCCATGAGACCGCACGCTCTCGGCATCACCAGGAGGTGTAAAACCTGCCTTTCTCGCGCAAGTTGCTGCCACGCCGAAGATTGTAGACCAGTCCTCCTCGACTAAGGCGGGGTGGATTTTGCGGTCGCCGTCGTCAAACAATGAGTTGACAAGCTTGAGAGCCTCATTCACTATCCTTTGTGATGATGTTTGTTCCACCACGTTGACAAGACCATCGATGAGCAGCGCGAGGGGAACCTGAGGATACCCCTTTCCGGCATTCTTGGCCACAAGCTTTTGCAAAGCAGATAGAGCTCCCCTAACCTCCCTGTTTGCTTCCTTCAGGTCCGTGCCCTCAAGAGGGTAGCGGCGAAGGACATTGAGTAATATCTGGACCGTTGTTTGGCCGTGGTGAGATTTGCAAAGGTTCGCCATGGCATGCCATGAGTCTTTCTGCAAACTTTGAACGAGACAGTAGATGGAACTCAGAACCTTGACGCAGCGACTGAGGTTCTCCGCAGGAATGGAGCCGAACGTAATGATAGCGTTGGTGACATCTATGCAGGCTCTCAGATCCTCTTCAGAATTGGTGCTCATGCAGATCTCCAAGAGCACATCGATCAGACCTCCAACAGCTTGATCATCGGCCACCTTGAAGTTGAACTTGATAACATCAAGAATGAACGAGAAAAGCTGAGAAAAGTTCTTATCTTCGCCCGACAAAGGCGCCTTGCCCTTGGACCCCTTGGGCGGGCGTGGCGCGTGTTTTCGCGCGGATTTGACCGCTCGGTAGGTGTCCCGAAGCCAGCGAGTGAGCAGCGGTATTACGTCGTAGTCGAAGCCAGAGAGATCACGCCCGTGCTTTGTGAGGTCCACGATAGCGGCCAGTTGCAGATGGAAGTCGTCGGGGTCGGCCGGGGCAGACAACGTCTGGAAGAATTCCCGCCGTTCAAGATCTGTCGATAAACGGTGGTTGACGCATTCTGACAAGAGTTCCCATCCCGCCACCCGGACATTGGGCGGGTTATCGCGTTGTATAAGGTCCTTTCCTGCGTACCAGATATCAAGGACAGGGCTCAAAGGGTAGTCTGCAATGGCGTAGCGTAGTGTGTTGGCAGCTGCGACACGCTCATAGAGCGATCCATTCTTCAACTTCTCGAAGGTTTCTGTGTGATTCGGCGGCAGCCCTCGAGGGTTCGGATTCGGCAAGGTAGCATCGATGTGGTCGGAGGATAGCTGGGTGGTCGGAATGGAGGACGAGGCGGGCGCGGGTTGGCCTGTTTTGGACGATTTGGAGCTCGTCAGCCCCTTGAAGACGCTGGCGAGCCCTCCAACGCTCCGGGCCTCAGGCAGTTGGGACCCATCTCCTGAGCCAGGTGACATAGGCTCGTCGCTGTCAGGGACCTGCGGCCCTGGCGGGACTGTGAGAAGGAAGACTGTAAGCAGGCGCCTCGGGGTACAAGGGTGACCACAGAAGCACGATCAGGGACTCAGAATCCGTGTTTCGAGGACTTACATGCAGACAACTACTCGCATATGTCGTGGGCCACGGTCATCCGTTGAGGGAAGACAGGAGGAACTCCCATCAACAGCCGTGTAGAGATAGATAGATACCCAGTCTGAACGATGCGATAAGACAGCGGGAAGCTCGATACAGAAGACACGAGACTCGCCAGCAGTCGGCCGAGGGGGGTGGAAAAGAGCGACCAGCTTGGAGGGGAGTCGTCAAAAAGGCAATCCTTGATTTCTCCAAACGTCAGCAGCACCAGGGTTCATCCCCAGTCCAAAAAGGATTTGGCCACGCCAGACTAGGATGGCAACGACCACGGTCTCGTAAGTTGGTCCAGGCAAGGAAATGGACAGGGATCCATGAAATGACGATCAAAGCCTGTGCTGGATAGGGTGCAAATGATCGACAGCAGGTGGCCAGTGCTACACTGGTGTTGAATCCACGACTCGAGTCGTCGAGTAGCCGCAGTTGCGTTTAGGGGGGGGAGAGAGGTCGGCTCGAAGTTGAACGGAGACAGCCGTCTGGCAAGAGTTGTCTGATAGATCCCGTCATCTATCTGCTGGAGTCCATCATCTCTACTAAAAAGCACGAATCGTACATGCACATCAGGTACGGGCAGACGGGGAGACGGGGTAGCTGCAGTGCTAAGGCCAAGTGCGATAGGCGGCGTTCAGGTGGGTGGAGTCCCGTGAGAGGCTGCCAGGGTCTCTTTCTCGCACCATCTCCCGCTACTGAGTCAATAGCTGCGCTCTGATATCACCAGGGATTCTGACAAGTTCAGAGGCGGCATCAATCAAACTGTACGTATCATTTTGATCCGACTCCTGTGTTTTGTCTGATAGCCATTAAATCTACTTCCCGACGCAGTTTATTTGATCTGGACGAGCCCTACGTCTTGCATGTGGCCCCTCAACTCTGAGGTTTGATGAAGCTGCCAAGCCTTCAAGAGTGGTTAGTTCAATACGGTCGGTCACTATGCTTTTGTTTTCTTTTTCAGAGTTTCGGTTTGAAACACAGCTTCCAGAGGAGTTGAGAAACAGGCGATCAATTTCGATGGGCTACTTGAGTGCTGCCAATTTCAGCATTCAGTCTCCAGACGACCTAGGTATGTATCTCTTGTTCTCAGCTAGGTAGGTAGGTACCTACTTTGCTTCAGCATGATGTCACGAAGCCGTACTATTACATACAAGTACTCGATCCAAGCAAGCTCCCGTCCCATAAAAAAGGCTTCGAAAGGTCTGAACATCTGAATAAAAGCTTCGAGTAAGCATTTTGCGTAATCGAATTCTGTTACATCTACTCCGGCCGTTTTGTTCACACGCAGACCATCTTAGGGGTACTGCGACTGATGACTACTGCTTCTTGTAACGAATGAATGTTTCCACAGTCAAACAGAGCGCAGGAACAACTATCCGTGTGAGTTTAGCTCTTCCCCTGGAGCTGGGTTAGCAAATCGAGGTGCACGGCCCTTTTGAGAGCTTTCCATCACTTTGCCAGCAGAAGCACAGGCCTCATTGCCAGTTTGCCCCACTACAAGCCAAGCAAGCTTGCCCCCCCATCCCGCTGCGGCACCTAGCCAACGAAGCTGCTTTGTTTTCTTAGGCACCACCAAAAACTTGCATCACCGCCACAGGACCTGCTCCTGTCTATTTCTGCCTGTCAACCGCCGCATCTCTTGAATGAGATCTGAAAAATACTTGAACCTTCTCACCTGCGGAAATACCAAGGCTGAGAGCCCCCCCTGGATCACATCATGGCCGTTCAGATTGGTCAAATAGCACAGCTACTCGATGCGACGCTCGATCCGCAACAGCACCGCAAAGGTAAGCATCGCCCGCCGCCTGTCCAAAGTCTCCTGTTTCCGCACCACTAGTGGCTAACTCACGACTTCCACTTAGCCGAGGCTGCCCTCCGGCAAGAGGAGAAGAAACCGCAATTTTCCCTAATCCTTCTCCAGATCGTTGCCTCCGAGCCACTACCAGTCAAGACGCGGCTCGCAGCCTCTCTCTGCTTCAAGAACTTCATCCGACTCAACTATGTGGTATGTTGCGAGTCGGTTCGCGCATTAGGGTGCCAGTATACCTGACAGACTGGCTTCTAGGACGAAGATGGCAAGTACAAGTTGCCCGAGGATGAGGTCGCCACCATCAAGCAAGAGCTTGTCGGTCTGATGATCTCCTCGCCTTCGAACATCCAGACTCAGCTGGGCGAAGCCATCAGCATAATCGCTGATTCCGACTTCTGGGACAGGTGGAACACGCTCGTTTCGGTACGTTGATGGGCTCAGAGTGCCACACGGATCACATATCGCTGACCAAATTCCAGGACTTGGTGGGGAGGCTATCCCAGACAGACTACAAGGTGACGAACGGCGTCCTTGAGGTTGCACACTCAATCTTCGTTCGATGGAGACCACTATTCCGGTCGAACGAGCTCTTTGAAGAGATCAACAACGTGCTGGCAGTGTTTGGCGAACCATACGTCAAGATGCTTACTGTGAGGCTACCCGGAATGCGGCTTCATTTCTCTGCCCTGCTAATCACTGTCTGTTGTAGGTCGCCGATGCTCAAATTGAAGCGAACAAGGACAACGCTGTGGCCTTGAAAGGCTGGTTCGAGACCATGAGCCTCCTGATCAAGCTCTTCTACGACCTCTCATCACAAGACATGCCGCCCATTGTCGAATCACACCTGCAGCCAATCACTGGTCTTTTGCAGAAATATCTCTCGTACACAAACCCCATACTTGGTGACGACGACGAGGAGGCCACGATCATTGAGGTTGTGAAGGCGGACATTTGTGAGGCGCTTCAGCTTTACACGACCAAGTACGACGAGGATTTTGGCCCCTACACCGAGCAATTCATAACCACTGTCTGGAATCTGCTCTCCACAACCGGCCCTGGAAAGAGATATGATCTTCTGGTCAGCCGCGCGCTCCAATTCCTCACTGCTGTTGCCTCTTCTTCGAGACACGCAGAGAACTTCAACAACGAGAACGTTTTGGGACAGATTGTTGAGAAGGTCATCCTGCCAAACGTGCAGCTTCGGGAGTCGGACATCGAGATGTTTGAGGACGAACCGATCGAGTTTATCCGGCGCGATTTGGAGGGTTCTGACACGGATTCCAGGCGGAGAGCTGCAACCGACTTCCTGAGAAAGCTGCTCGAGAAGTTCGAGATGCTCGTGACCCAGGTGGTCTTCAAGTATATCGACCACTATCTCACCCTCGGCAAGGCCGACTGGAAGGCCAAGGATACCGCTATTTATCTCTTCCTGGCCATCGCCGCCAAGGGTATCGTGACCGCCGCACAAGGAGTGAAGACTGTCAACCAGTATGTCGACGTGGTTGACTTCTTCCAGAAGCATGTCGCTTCGGATCTCATGGCAGCCGGAGATGTCGAGCCCATCTCCAAGGTTGACGCCATCAAATATCTGCACAATTTTCGAAGCCAGTTGACCAAGGACCAGTGGCAAGCTGCATTCCAGCCATTGATTCAGAACATGGCATCTACCAACTATGTCGTCTACACTTATGCGGCTATCGCTGTGGAGCGTGTGCTGTACTTGACAAACGATGACGGCGAGCACCTGTTCGCTCGGGCAGATATCGAACCGTTCGCCAAGGACTTGCTCGACCACTTGTTCAGCCTCGTGGAGAAGGACCCAAGCCCCGCAAAGCTGCAAGAGAACGAGTTCTTGATGCGCTGTATCATGCGTGTTCTCATTGTGCTCAAAGAGGGCGTTGCTCCCATTGTGGATGGAGTCCTCAACCATCTCATCACCATCACCAACATCATCAAGGCCAACCCGAGCAACCCTCGATTCTACTACTATCACTTTGAGGCTATCGGAGCCCTTACCAGGCAAGTTCTAGACCGCGTCGAGTCCCCCCCCCCCCCTTCCTTGCTAACATCTCACAGATATTGTGGTTCAACGATGGAGCAACAATTGGAGACGCGCCTCTGGGAACCGTTCTCGTACATCCTCAACGAGGACGTATCTGGTAAGTCTATCACTGGGAAATGCCTTTCTGTCCCGACAACCTTGCTAACGAACTTTCAGAATTCGTCCCATACGTGTTCCAGATCCTCTCCTCCCTCCTTGAGAGCAATCCTTCGAGCCCACTCCCTGAGAACTTCAAGACGCTAATCCCGCCGCTCTTGATGCCAACTATCTGGGAGACTAGAGGCAACGTCCCTGGCTGCACTCGATTCCTTTGCGCAATCGTTCCTAAGGCTAGAGATGCTATTGTTGCGGAGAATCAACTCGAATCCGTTTTGGGCATTTTCCAGCGACTTATCACAAGCAAGCGCAACGAGCAGAATGCATTTGACCTGCTAGAGTCCATTGTTGCCGCCATTCCGGCGGCATCTCTGGATGCGTACTTCGGCAAAATTCTCGAGCTCCTTTTCACGAAGCTCCAGGCCAACCCTTCAGACTCCTTCAAGACGCGCTTTGTTCGCTTCTACCATCTTGTATCCGCAAAGGGTGTTGAAAACGGGCTTGGCGCGGATTACTTCATCAAGCATTCCGAGGCTCTTCAGGCGAACGTGTTCACTCCCATTTATCTCAACATTATCCTGCAGACTACAGGCCAGTTTGCCCGCCCGGTGGACCGCAAGCTTGGTGTCATCTCATACACCAAGACGCTATCTGATTCGACTGCGTTTGCACAAAAGTACCAAAAGGGTTGGGGTTTCACCTGCAATGCTCTTCTCGACTTGCTCAAGAACCCTCCCCAGGTTGCCACCGGTGCTGGAGACGAGATCGTCGCCGAGGCCGATGTCGATGATATCGGATTTGGTGTAGGCTACACTCCTCTCAACACGTGCAAGAAGGGCTCCAGGGATGATTTCCCGGCTATCGAGAACGTGCAGCAGTGGGTGAGTCAATTCCTGAAGGAGGCGAATGCAAGACACGGCGGTGCCATTGCGGGCTACATCGACCAGCGTCTGCAGGATAGCAGCAAGCAAGCGCTTGCGCCTTACCTGCAGTGACTGATAGTCGGCAAGTGAGGATGTTGTTTAGTCAGCAGTCCTTGCGAGAGTGTACGAATACCACGAAATGACAATGGAATGGATGGAGCCGAGAGGGTCTCACTCCAATGACATTTGGAGAGAGATGAGGCAATATTCCACGACGGGAAGGGGAAGATGCAAAAGGATAGGGCGAGCGGTGATGGTCATCGCCATTGGCATTCAAGATAAACCGTCCAGACAAAAAGTCAATATAATGAGCAATGTCCAATCTGATCCTGGGAATCATTGACGAGGCTCAACATCTTCCGTGCTTCTTGTACTCCTTGAAACTATGTGCCTCTCCTCGAAACGAAGTCTCGGGGTTTGTCAGTGTTTACCGGAAGTGGTCATCGAGTGATTTGCTTGCTTGCCAGAGAGCCCTGTCGAAAGCAGGGGGGGAAGGATCATGTTGACACTAATGACTCGCTGGGAAATCCGAGAAGTGACAAGAAATTAATCCATGATATCGCTTGAGCCTGGAATATCTGATTACTCGTGGTAGGCTGCGAAAACCGCTATTTGTCTGAAACAAAGGGCAGATGCAATCCCAGGACGAAGATAGGGGTCATTCCCTTGGTCGTGTGCTCTTACAAGTAGTTACATGGCTCTAGTCCCCTGAACGTTAAACCATCCTGGCATCCCAAGACTACGCAGTTTGGCAGTAGGCAATCCCGGACCTATTCGCCCTTCGCAGCAGGTCAGGAGCTTACAGGCTTGACTTGGGCTTTGCGAATATGAACCACCACCGCATTGCTTCCCAGCAACAACAACAACAACAACAACAACAACGAAAGCTGCAAAGTCAGACCGTTAAGGGTGGTGAGATCTTAAGAAGGAAGGGCAAAAAGCAAAGCGAGACAACTCGTCGGTGCGCGGCATCTACACGTGGCGTCTATTCATCCCCATGGGCTAGCTACCTCGCTTCTGAATCCCATGAATCCCACAAAGAAGCAAAGTGTATTGATCTACAAGTACGTACGTAGATACTACTTACCGCGACCGTGGTATGCACCGTTGGAGCCGAAAATTCTCGTGGGATGGCTAGGGGAACAAAAAGCAAGGGGACCTGGGGATATGACACATTTGCTTCTGTATCCACAGACACGCTCTCACCTATCATGATATCTTAAACCCCCAGTGCCGCCTGTCACCAACTGCAGCAGTCTCTAAGGGGCCTGGGTATCGGTTATTAATTGCTTGTCAGGGTACTTGTAACGTTAGTTGCCTCCACGCAATGTCAATCTGTTCCCGGAAATGGGGGGCGGAGAAGTGTTGGAGAAACTCAAAATATGACATGTCGTGCCGCGAGGCCGGGAATATGGACAGGCATAGGGTATATCTGGACCAAAATCGAGGTCCTACTCCAGCACATGAGAGAAAAGGACCATCCTCGTACGGACTACATACTGTAGTTACCCAGTCCAGCCCAGACGCCACAAGTCCATCCATCTGAGAGGTTCGGCCAGGTGACGGTTTCGGGCATGGTGGGAAAGGCAGAGAGAATCTTCGGAATATCACAGCGGCTGTCACACTCCCTTTCAGCATCGTCGTCCGAGGGGGTGGTGACAGCGCGGCCAACACTACCGAATCTGTGTCAATGGGTCCAGCACCCCTGAACTACTCAGGGGTCAGCCGACCAGTACTCCGTACCTGCATGAGCGAGCCCCGGCATATTAAGCACACAAGTACCAGCGTAGCATGCGAACTCGGCATGTGCTCCCCGCTGGAGACGAAATGACGAGGTTCCGTCACTGGTGTAAATAGATGTTTGATGAGAATCCAAACTTTCACCGCCTATCGGTACATTGAAGTCAAGGACTTTTATGCACCCTGTCTAACGTGGGGAGACTCGCTCGTCCTGTTTCTCTCGACAAGATCCGAGGCGACTCATCTCACCGTCTCGAGGCTATCGGGAATACGGAGTAACGTTAGCTCTCTGCCCAGTCTCGGACAAAAAAACCCACCAGTTGGCGAGATCGTTCGCGGTTTCAGCTGATATCGCTGCGGATCGACCCTGGACGTCCCGAAAAGGACGACGCGGGAAAGAACGTGGATTTGGCAGCGGGTCTTCAGCTTCGATTGCTGGAACGTCTCTTAAGCTGTGCCTCTCAGAGGCCGTTGGTGTGAAAAACACGACTGTTTGGGGATCTAGTCTATGATTGTCCAGGCAGTCCGTTGAGGTTGGGGTCTTGGGAGACGGGCTTGACGGGTACCTGACATGGGGCTCGAAATTTAGGTCTGCAAACTCGATCCACAGACTGGAGCCCGCTTTCTCGAAGACATGACTATTGTACTCGTACAAGTACATCAGGCTCTCCACCCTGCACCACCGATTCACCGACGCTGTGGCAAACGACGCTGTGAGCGAGGAAATCCTTGCCGACAGACGAGCCTGTGCCTGACTACCTAGACAAGTGGGCGTCTGAATAGTTGACGGAAGTTCATCAGGAGCTACCTCAATCTTAACAATCAGTATCCTTGTCACATCCTTGCCCTGGAACTCGGAAGGGCTATCCCACTACCTAAATCCGATGGGCTT